TAACCATACTGCTGGATCTTGATTCCATTGAAGTAGATTGACACATTTTGCTCCCCATTCCATAGGCCCTTGTCCATCTGACGAGTTAATTGAACAGTACTCTTTGTACAACTGTCTAAAGGACATGTGTCCATAATTTTTGATCAGAAGATGATATATTTGATAACCAGTTTGATCCTGATTTATCCGATTCTTTACTGGCTGTGACACTGAGATGTGTACCCAGAATAACAGGAGTTGGTCATAAGCAGTTTGAATTTCAATGACTTGTTCATTACCTCCACATTGTTCGAGGGAAAAAGGTATAGTACCAGTTCGAATATAGTCAACAACTGATGGTTCAAATGAATTTAAAGTATTCGTGAATTTTGTTTTCCAACGCATGAAATTTACCGCTGACATAAGCTTATCATCATCGTGAAATAAGTTGGTTGCCCAAGAAGCGCTTGCAGGGCTCATAACCTGTTGAGACTTTGTTTTGATGAGTGTAATGTCTACAGTCATTCTTCCTTCAATAATGTGACTATGTATCAGATAGTTATTATCTTTGGTATACCTAAGTCCCTCACTTATAAGTGGGATATGACACACCCTTATATATTATTTAGTTAGTCTCATATGCATCCTCAGATTTGTATCATATGAGAATGTGCTCACACTATGCATGCGTTAAGACCAACAAACCTTCATATCAGGATAAGCCGCACAGCCATGATATAATCTATGACTATCTTATCTCAACAAAGATAAGGACTGTGAAATTCTTCAAATATTTGCTTCCGACCTATATGTTCATTAACCTGAAAATCTCACTAGTTCTAATATCTTAAGTCTGAAGGCGTACAACTTTCCAGATTCAGATAGAATGCATGGGTAATGCTTTTGATATTTTTGGGTCTATTGACAAATAAGCACACACTGCGTTCACTGGTCCCATCTATTTTAGCAGTCAGTTACAACAGCCTAATCTTGGTAAGCTGGGACAGTCGTCAGCAATATCTTTAACTCCATACATTAGTGCAAAACGTGGCTGTAAATGAAATGAGGTATTAAACTCCCTACAGGCTAAGGATTCATTATAATGAGCTGTCACCAAATCTGACCATAAACTTTTGAATAGTACTTATCTTCAAACTTGAGTCAAACACATTCACCTGTATCTTCTTTCACGATTGCCACCCTATACTTTACCATTCAAATATCAAGACACTTGCGCAAGCCCAGTATGAAAACTGGATCTCTTCTATAAAAAAAATAATGATGTTGAACAACCTCCGAGACCGGGAATTGAACCCGGGTCTCCCGCGTGACAAGCGAGAATTCTAACCACTAAACTATCTCGGAAAAGGTTAGCATTTAAGGTAGTTGAATACACACATACGGCCATCGCAAAAATGACGTAACCTTGATATATACAAAACTATATATACATGGTATCAAGCAATAAATTATGCGGTAAACAATATTGCCAATTGGAGATACGCGACTAGTCTTGTCGTTACAGTAGGCGAGCATAACAATAAAAAAACAATTGTAGTTATGCCACACGATACTATATTTCCGGAATAGTTGAAGTCGGGTGGCTGAGATGGTTTGTATCACTTTCAAATGAGAATTAAATTTGTGACTAAATTTGGGCTCTTTCTTTTCTTAGAACAGAAGAGCCCTGTAGCATTTGCTCGGTATTTTTAAAATTGATGGGTTTTTGAATACAAGATTGTAGTTGAACTGCTCATATCATTTGCTTCAAAACACAGCAGTATAACTTAACGTTCCACATACCAGATAAGTAGCTGCTCGTCAAAAATCTGTGATCTTGTTCGAGCGATATATGTCAAAAAACTAAACGGTAACTAATATTAAACCCCGATAAATCTCCCAACTTTCATTTTAGATTTTACAGCCGTTTCCACTACAATACAAGAAACGATCATTTGAATGTCAGACTACCGTTTATCGACTCGTGAGAGTCATGAATACACACTGATCAATTTCATCTGCTTTTTACTTGCATGCTTTTCTGCGGTTGCGCTGGCGGTCTTCGTCTCTACAACTCAAACATACTTCATCACGGATGTGTTACAAATAGGTGAGAACGTCGGAAGTTACGTTGGCATTTTAGGTTTGTTCGATGAAATTCTGTCGATGTGTTTGGTGCCACTGATGGGAGTTCTAGCAGACCGATTTGGGTCTAGGGTGATTGTCTCATCAGGTTTTTGCGTTTCCGGATTGAGTCTTTTCGGTTTCGGATATTTCGTTAGAACCAATGTGGTCCCTCAGATGCTGTTTTGGAGATTAGTGTTTGCTGCCGGGCTGACAGCCTCCTTGGGTATCCTAACGATCATGGTAATCGAAATGAACCACTCGGGATTCGATATTAAAGCATACATATTTGGTTTAAGCAACTCATTGAGTCCATCTGATAGAGCCCAAGAGGAGTCCGATGCTATGGGCCGTTGTGACGGAGCAAGTGTCAATGGAAATCATTTGGAGAGAGTAGACCAATTGAACAAATCCAGGAAAGATGGGACCAAGGTTTCTTACATGGGTGTAATGAGCGGATTTGGTGCAGTGTTTGCTGTCACTCTCCTATTAAGACTTCCGGTGTTTTTTGGTACAACAAGACCAGCAGGGTCTGCGATGAGGTTGTCTTACTATACGGTTGGCGCTGGTGCAATAGTTGTGGCTGCCTTTATGTGGTTTTGTTCTTTCAAAAGTGAAAGCGATGTCTCTTTTAAGGACGACCTATTTGAATCATATTCACAGGGCAGCGGGATACGTGAAGATTTGGTGAGCGATTCTGATGAGGAGCACTTTACATCCTCTACGGCAAGAGAATCTTACTGGACATCTCTCAAGGCAGGATTTCAGTTATCGCTGGAAGACCCCGGAATTCTGATTGCTTATTTGAGTGGCTTTATTTCACGGTGCATTACAATTGTGATTACTTTATACATTCCATTCTATGTGAACTCCTATTACAGAGAGATAGGTAATTGCACCAAAAATTCAAATGACAAAGTTGATTGCCCTGAGTCTTATATTTTGTCATCAATTCTCACAGGTATCGCCAATTTATTTGGTCTTATGCTTGCCCCAATCTCGGGAATTCTAGTCGATCGATTGAACAATTACACCATCCTCATTTCCATTGCCGCAACCCTATCAACATGTGGGTTTCTTGCGTTCTGCCTGATAACAACACCTGATAAAAGTGTGATGATTTATCTAGCAGCGTCACTGATGGGATCTGCCCAAATTATGTTCATTATAATATCAATGACTATGATTTCAAATATTACCTCTGAGGACAAATATAGGCAACGGGAAGGTTCTATATCGGGGGTATTCGCTTTTGTAGGCGGGGTTGGAATCATTTTCACATCTTTTGTTGGGGGAAAATTAGCTGATTATAGTCCCAAGCTTCCCTTTTTGCTTATAGTTGTTACAAGCATATTGAGCCTTATAGCTGTCTTGTTTCTAAGTGGCCATTCCCTGAAAAGCTTGTGTGATCTTTCAAAACGTTCCGAAAGACTTGAGGAACGAGAAGATGCCTCGAATTTATTGGATTACGCTTCAACACAAACATGAGCGTTGCTTTTAGAGTGCTAAGAATATACGATCTTTCAGTCTACTAAATTTAACTTTGAGGTTGCCTTCGCTCAACTGCAATGTCTAGGCATAAGGAATGAATGTATTGAGTGATCAAATGAGTGAGGAGATATATGTAGCAATAGTGGCAAAAAGAGGTTGCAGTAAATCAGATGTTACTGGGACAAGCAGGAAACAATTACGAAGTCGAGGTATCACGGGGTATGACACACCAGCTATGGGTTGACAGCATAATCTACTATTGCTTAAGGAGAGTGAGTGCATATATATTGATCAAAGATGATAGACTCAATTTGCAGTAACCACAGAAGTTCCTTCTTGAAATCTGACTCTGAATAATCTATTCGCGTTGGTGAACATGCCCTCCTTCAATGAAACCACAATGAATTGAGACCCCTTAAACCTTGTTTTAATCAGATGGCCAATGTTCTGGGTGTGACTTAAATCGAGAGCAGCATCAACCTCGTCTAAAATATACATCGGGGCCGGTTTGAATTGAAGAAAGGACATTATCAAAGCTAGAGCGACCAGAGAACGCTGACCACCTGACAATTCAACCAGCGACTCTTTCCAAACGTTGCCTAGCTTAACCCGTACTTCCAATCCTCTGGTTATATCATTAGGATCTGTTGGGACGAGTTTAGCATAGGCTTGCGGCAAAAGATCTCCAAAAATTTGCCCAAAATCATCAGATACTTTCTTGTACGTTTTGAGAAGCTCTGTTCTCTTGTAATTATCAAGTTTCCGGACAGTTTCTTCGATTTTCGCCTTATCCTTATTAATTTGCCTTATTTTAGTCCTCAATGAACTCTCGTGCTTCTCATGCTGTTCTATCTGCGCCATAATATTGCTATTGACCCCTTTTTTCTTCATTGATGATGAACGGCTTTTTAGCTGTTCAATACGCTTGTGACAATGATCCAGATTGATGTTGGGATACTGCTCCAAAACCTGATTGAGTAGCTTGCGATCAGAAACCCATTCTTGTTCTGAGATGATTTGATTTACTTTTTCTTTGAGTGAACTGTAGAGATTCTCATGAGTGATCACTGCATCCTTTTGCTTCCTCAAGTTCAAATCTACATCATTGTAATCCTCGCGTTTTTTATTCAGTAATTGTGTCATTTCCTGCAGTTCCTCATTTATTCCTACCATTTTTGACTTCTCTTGAGTGATGGAGTTCCTGATTTTCGCAATCTCCGCTACTAGATGGACACGTTCTTCTTCGCCCTTATTGATTTCATCCTTCAGTAACATGATGGCTGTCCTGGACTCCTCGATTTGATTCTCAAGGACACGAAGATCAGATTGGCGGTCATCTTGGCCAATCTGATGCTGTTGAAATGCCTTTTGAGATAGCTTCATCTGTGTTTTCTCGGTATCAATAAGAGCGGCAAGCTCATTGATTTCCTGTCGTAGCTCGAGAAGCTTTCCTTCCCCGTCATTATCAAATTCTCTCATATCGTTTTGGAGAGACTCAATTTCTCCTTGAACCCTAACACCCTCATTTTCAAGATCCTTAATCAGCTTTTCAAGCTCAGTTATTTCAGTTTCATCTTGTTTCACCCTTTCTAGTAATCTAGCCGCCTCAGAATGCTCAATTTGCTTCAATAAAATGCTCTTTTGATAGGATTCCATCTTGAGGTCACGCTGAAGTGACTCGGTTTGTTTGCTCAGACTTTCTTGTTGCTGAATCTCCTGCCGCACTGTGTGTAACTCAGAAAGAAGATGATGTTCTCGAATTCGAATGTTTCTAAGCTCTGCAAACGCAGAAAGAACGGAAAAGGTATTTTGTCTTGAGCCGCCAGAAAGCCTACCTTCTGGGTCATATAGATCCCCATCCAATGTAATCGATGCAGTCCTCACCTTTGGGTCGAAAGTAACTTTTTTCGCTGTCTCCGGGTCATGGCAAATCAAACGATTTCCAAAAATGAACTGCATTGCTTTCGTGTATTCCGAATCATGTTCAATCAAATTCAGTGCAAGCTCTACCTTTCCCGGGGCCAGAGATTTTGCGACGGTCAATTGGGTGTCATTAATGACCTTCGAAGTTATTTTGTTGAGTGGAATGATTGTGACCCGCCTTCTTAAATTTCCCTTGTCCAATAATTTGGAGCCCGACTTTTCTGTGTCAACAATAACATTGTACAATCTCCCACCAGCACAGACTTCGATAGCCGTTGTGAACTTATTATTCAATTCATTGATCGTAAAAAGTTCTCCGACCAACCCCTTGACGGAGGTAGAATCTAGCCCCGCATTGATAGCATCAAATTCGAAGAGCAAGTTAGGATGAGCGCGGTGAAACTCAGAGAATTTGTTCCGAAGTCTGTATAATTCGTGGTTCAAGGCTTTCTCTTGATTTCTCAGGGATTTGAGCTTTTCAGGGAAAAAGCCAATTCTCGCAAGATCGGAAGACAATTTTGCACAAAGATCTTCCTTCAATTTTATTTTAAGATCAAGAGAATCCACTTCATTCTTAGCAGAGTCAATTTTATCTTTCTTCGAAGATAGGTCGTTCTTTAAATGGTCAATCCTATAACGTGATTTCTCTTTTTCCACTGTGATCCTGGAAAGTTTTTGTTTACTGTTGTGCAGCTGAGCCAAAAATCCTCCATCGGTCGAACCTCTAGAAGATAGGCCCGTCGAAAGCGTGGATAAAAGCTCCTCTCTTTGTTTCATTTGCTCAAGGAGATTCTCCACATTCGTTTTTCGACGATTGAATTCCTCTTCAGCAATCTTGTACGCTTCATCAGTATTGTCTTGTAATTTCTTTTGCTTGTCTATTTTCAAACACAGACTCTTCAATTTGATGTTCTCTTCCTCAAGAATTTGTTTTTTCAGGTCTCTCGCTGTCACCGTTCTAGTCATCGAATTCGTCAGTTCAGTTTCAGCCGTCTCAAGCTCCTTTAAGATGGCTCCCTTACCTATTTCATTTTGTTTTCGTGCACGCATATCTTTCAAATCTTCTTCCAACGTTTTGATTTCGCTTTCTAGAGTTTGGAATCTGGACTCTAGTTGCTGCAATTGCGTTTTCTCATTTTTGACCACATCTTCTTGACGTTCCAACTTACCTAGAAATATCTGATAGTCATGGGCTGCAACTGCTTTGGAAAGGGTTTCCAGCTCGATAATTATATCCTGAAATTCCATCACGGTACGTTTTTGTTCCCGCAGATGCCTAAGTTTGGGTTCCACTTCTTCTTTGAGGAGATTCTCAGTAGTTTCTAGCTTTATATTCTTTTTAGCCATTATTCGCTCGGCTTTTTCTCGCTGACCCTCGTACATCTTAGTTCCCGCAGCTTCCTCAACTAGTCCAAGGATCTCAGTTGGTTTCATATTCAGCATCTTCGTGATCTTCCCTTGCATTATTAAAAAGTTCGGATTGTTGATATTAAGCTGAACTGATTGAAAAAGATTAAGTATCTGTGATTGCTGAACCTTATGGCCATTGATAAGGTACTTGGAAGCCCCTCCAAGCATTACTTGACGAGATATACTTATTTTAGAATATTGTTCAAAACCAATGGGAGATTTAGATTTGTCACTGTTATCGAAGGTGATAGTCACTGAGGCCTTCGTAACCCCTGCCTGACCTCTTTTGTAAATCAAATCCTGTAAGTTTGCTGCCCTGACAGTGGACATACTTGATATCCCGAGAACAAAGCAAATCGCGTCTAAAATATTAGATTTTCCAGATCCGTTCAATCCAGTTATCGCATTGAACTGTGGATCCCAAGATGAAATCACAGTTCTCACAGCATAAGATTTGAAACCATCCAGTACCAGCTCCTCTACTTTCATCTTTGGATGTCAAAACTAGAGAGAGAAGCTCAAAATATTGTATTGTTGATAAAGTCAAGGATGATTACGCGTAATTGTTTTTCTAGTCCATGTTTATTCTCTATCAAATTTTTGGGTGATACACACACATGCGTATTATTGCAACTCGTCATATCAAGCCCCGCAGACGAAGTGTGCTACTCTACATCATGCTGTTGAGAGGCGCATCAACTTTATCTGACTCAAACGTGAATAGCAAATATTTCACCTATTCAGTAAAACGCTTGTAGAAGAATTGATAAAGCCTATGATTAATTCAGCATCTATGGCAAAAATAATTTACCTTAAATTCCGCTGTCCGCAAACGAAACGGGCGAACAATTGTTTTAGTGGACATTGAGGAGATGTGTGAAAATGTTAACGAGGACCGAAGCTTGAGGGAAGCGTTTCTTTCAGATGTGAATATTGCAACTCAACGTTCTATTGCTGATGATAAACCTCTGGTGATTATGGTGGAGGAATTTTGTCAAGCTACAAAAAATGATAGTAAGAGGGGTTCGAACCTGAAGATATCGCATCTCCACTACCAGCTCTTTGAAAAAGAGTTTGTAGGATTAGCCATTCAAAAGCCATCCACTGACTTTGACTTGCTATCGCAAATATTTCCTCAAGTTCAGCTTTTAGCCCCTCCTTCTCTTATCGCCATATATCGTGGCTGTATCATTCACTCTATGGTAGACAGTGTCATTTCTTTGACAATAGGAGACTTCCTAGCTGACGCACATGAAAAATCTACCCAGTTGCGCACGAATCAAAAACTCGATACATCTCATCAAGCAAGGCCTAGTGAAGATTCCTCTAAGAATAACGAGGGCGATGCGAATTCCGGCACACAAGGTGTGACCTTGTATCGAAATAAGTTGTGCTCGAGTCCTAAAAGGTGCAACAAAAGCTCAACAAGGAAGCAGTGCAGTCAGATAGAGAAGGACAAGAAAAGAATACCGAAATTGGCAGAATTGGATAGGATCGAGAAGCAGCTGGAAGCGAACTCTGAAAATAAAAGGTTTGTGAATCATACTCAGTCCAACGAAAATCGAGAACCAAGGCCTTCCACAGATGTTTGCCTTATCCAGGTGAAGTTAGTGGACGGCATAACGAAGCGTATGAAGTTTTCGAAGTTTGATAAGCTGTCGACTGTACGTGAAATCATATTAAAGAGTTACAGAGAATACCAACAGATACCGTTTCAATTCTTCAAACCTACTGAAAGGCTCACTTATTCTCAAGACCACGAAGATCTAATGCTTGAACAGCTCCAATTAGATAGGTGCACCTTGATATTGAAACCAATTGATCCATTCGAAAGCCATAATGACACCGATCACCAAGGAGCGACTTCTTCTTATCACTGGCTCAAAAACAAGATACTATCTTTTGTTGGATATGGTGGCGGCCAGGTACCCAGGAGTCCTGCAAATCATGTCAATGTAATTTCGTCTGTTACAAAAAACAATGCTCCTCACTCACCAATACTGGATTCCGAATCGGATACAGATACAATATACCACTCGCCCGAAATACGCTCCTTACTGTCAAGGTCTTCATCACCTCTTGAACCGTCACTCAATATATCCTCTTCGGACTCCAACTTCGACCTGAATGGTGTTAGCAGCAAATTCCTCTCAAACCCTCATTATAGCTCATCCTCAGCCCATTGTTTATCAAAAACTAGAAACGGCTCTCTAGGAGCTTGCGCTTCTGCCTCTTCATCGAAAGGCAATCCGGCAGAGCTACTCGACAATGGAGGAGACGAAAGCGGTCCCAAATATGTGAATGTTGAAGATCACAACGATGACAAACTCTCATGAAAATTAACATCCCTGATATGGAAAACACATCTCGTATTATACAGAAGCTAATAAAACTAACTCTACATAACCAGTGACTGGCTTAAACCATTATCATGGACCTCCACAACACTCTTCGAGACAGAAGCAAGCCAACAAAGCAGCCAAGCAACCTCCGTAACATCCACATCCGTTGTCCCTCTGCTTTGGGGGCTGTTGCTGCACGTACATAGGTTGCTGTTGGGGCTGGTAGTAGCCTTGTGGAGGTTGTTGGTATCCTCCTTGCTGAGGAGGGTATCCACCCTGTTGAGGGGGGTATCCACCTTGTTGATAATATCCCTGAACTATTAGTAATTTGGAATCGCTCGAGCTCAAAGTAGAAGCATGCAAGCTTTGATGAGCGGTATGTCTGAGCCTGTAGAAACACCGTGCCCTAATTGAAGCGGAACCGCTCATTTCGCACCATCTTAAAATAGTACCTAGATGTGACTTACCTGGTTGTTCATAATTCTGCTAAGAGGACAAAGGTCGTTGATGCTGAGATTTGTAGCTTAAAATAAAAAACTGTTCTTGAAACGAGTGTTTTGAAATTTCATTTTTGGTGTCTGCTATTTTCGGATGACGGGGCTGTGCAGGTACCTAGTAATTACCATTAGGAGGTAGACAGAATATTTGAAAAAAAATATTAGGCTTTTATCTACAGTCTGGAAATTCCATATACGTACGGGAAGACTGATCCCAAATTTCCCCACAGCGAAAGCAGCTTTGCTCATCCAAATGCATTTAACAATTTGCTAGATACATTGTTTTCTAGTTTTCGAATCAACCCCTTCGAGAAAATGTGATCATTCATTGTAACAATTGATCTCTGTAGTGAGCTTGGTGATTAATAAACTTTGCTGATCTTCTGTCATTGATGTCCTTTAATTTTTCTTGCCTAGCCCAAACTCTCTTCTTGGCTTGGAGCTCCTTGCGATCAAAAGGTTGGACAAAGTGTCTGGTTTCCGCCGCAATTAATGTTCCCTGGCCTTCAGTAAGTTCCCTATCGGGCTTCAAATTTTGCTTGTAGTATCTCATTAGAGATCTATGACCAGCCACATGACCACTCGGAAGGTAAAGTTCGTATCCGTTAGTGTATAAATCATCCGTGGATACTTCATCCTCTGAACCCTCACCAGCTCCATCATCTGATAAATCTTCCCACTCTTCATCGGTGTCTGTAGCACCAGCCTCTGTGTTCCTGAAATAACTGGATTCAAAATTATAAAACTCTGAAATTTCCATCTTTTCATCCAAAGTTTCATAGGGGATCTTGCAATGTCCTTTTGCACGCATATGTTGTCTCACACTCTCGATATTTCTACCCTGGAAATTGCAAGATAAGCACATATTCCCCAAGCCAATCTTTTCAGATAGGTAAGATATCAATCCAGCCTTGTCAACCAGATAACTCATTTCTGGAATATACAGCCCATGACTTTTAAACATGTGATCTATATTGCCATCTAGATCGAGAGACACGTAGCCACAAAACATACATGTGTCCGAAGGTATTTCCACTTTGTTTTTGATCTTCTGGTCAATGAGCTGTTCGGTCTTCCAATCTTCATCATATACGTCGTTAGCTTGATCTTGAGTATTATCGAATAACATCGGCTTTCCCTTTCCGTCATTAGGCAAGCTTTCTACTTCAGCCCTTTCTGCCTTGATATCATCATGTACTGGTACCTGGTCGTTGGATGATATCATTCGTCGTTTCGCAATCTCCAAAAGCTGTTTTTTCTTTTCTAACAAAGCCTCCTTTTCCAATCTCCTTTGTTCCTTTTTTGTCATTTGTTTGGCATCAACCCCTGAGAGGCCCTCTCGTATGTCATTTCCTTCGCTAGTTATTGTTATGTTTCCTACTTTCTCATTAAAAAGCTCCTCAGTAATGGGAGGCAACTGTGAGACTCGTCTTTTGAGATTATATCTATGCCAGTCAGTTTTCATGTGAGACCGCTGATCTTCAGGCCGTGAAAATGCTAGAGAGCATGAGTTGCAAGTATATTGAGGCCTGGATGTGGACATGATATGGATAAAGAGTTTGATCTGGAAGTACTTTAGTCAGTTCTTGCTCTAGTTTTTTTTTTTCCCTCAAATTTTTTAACATTTTGTTATTACACAGCCCAATAATGACAAAGTTTCTGTTGAAGAAATTTTGTCTTCTTTTGCGTTAGTAGCCAGAAAAACTGACATTTAGGAGGTTCAGATGCTATTGACGAAGGTCTGTCAGATACAAAACACTTTCACAATTCTAAGTAGTAAAAAGGGGTTTGACCATGATCGATCTCTAGTTGATCAAACTGTGAGAAAGAAAAGCCACATTCGATTTTTGAGTCGTTTGCTGAACGAGTGATTAGCCGGCTGTTGCTACATCAAGAAATGGAATTGTCATCACTAACTTGTAGTTGTTGTTATTGGAGGTTGACAATAGCACTAATTTCACTCAACAATCCGACAGATCTTAAGTAGGCCCCGCTTTATACTCGGCAAGTGGGGTTACACCAGAAACCATCGAGTGGGATCGCACCTCAGGTGGGGCTTCCACTCATACAATTGGTTAGCTTAAATCCGTGCGCTCTTTTTATACCGGAATTAAGCAGCACAAAAATAATCCGAGCATAGCGTGGTCTTGAGTTAGGTTTTTCCGGTGTAATCTCACAATTCTTGAAATAATTCATAGCTACAGCCACGCCTTATGATTTGTTTATGAAACAGATGGTCAGATCAACTCGGCCGAAAAAAAAGATGCAAGCAGGGTGCCCCGCTCTGGTGAATGCTTAGGAGCTTCCCCCACTCGAGTTGAGCCCAACACAAATTATTATTTTACCCGATGATTACGTAGAGAGTGCTTTTTAAATAACAGGCTGACGCAGGTTCTTGATCTCAACAAAAAAGAAATACAAATGAGGAGAATCGTGCTCAGTTGAGGGAGTTGTCTCAGCGAACGATCCGATTTGCCAGAATTCTGCTCTAAGTAATATGACTTATGTATATATGCAGATGGTCAGTTCCAAGAAAATGTCTTACGTGATACAGGCCGTAGAAGAGCCTGTACCATGAGGAACGTAACAAGCTAAAATGGTCTGCTTTTTCCAACTTAAGGAGCGCAAGTAGGCAAATTTCGGACTTTGAAAAAATCGCACCTCATGTGATCACCAGATACCTGCACAGGATAAAATCTTATTGTTAACAATAATAGGCGAAATTAAAACGGAAATAGATGCAGAAAAAAAAAACGATGCACTAACCATCAATCTCCGTTACACGGTTATTTGGATCACCTAATAGCTCGAAGAGCTGCGCTGTTTAATTTTTAACTTAAAAGTCAAAGCTGCTTTTAAACCAAATTGCAGTAAAGGTTTGCGCATTTGGCTGGTGAACCTTGTTAATACAGACACCGCTGATCTTGTTATATTACAATGGACGGCATAAGCAAACCAGTTGGCTTCGGAGAGAATAATGAGAATGTGGTGAAGAGAGAGTTGTCTGATGATGATCTTTTTGTTTTAGAGTCTCGGCTCAGTGAATCTGCTAGTTCAACAAACTTGACTAACTCTCCATCGCCTCCTCAGAATTCAAATCTTTCGAATAGCCATCATATCAAACCTACCGTATCAAGGACCACATCGTCTGGATCCTCCTATGTCCATCGCCAACATACACCTTCACATGGGCACGGATCACGCCATTTAGCTCATCATCATCATAACAACAGTGTATTTCCGCAAAGGACCATAAAAAGGGAACCAACTGACTCACTCGAGGATGATGCCATCGAGGAAGCAGAGGGTTTTGAAAACAAAAGTCAGTCACGTAATAAACCTCTGATTGAACAAGCTTGCGACTCTTGCCGAAGAAGGAAATTACGCTGCACAAAGGAGTTACCCAAATGCTCAAAATGTATGGATCACGGATGGGAGTGTGTTTATTCACCTCGAGCTGTTCGATCACCGCTAACCAGAGCGTACTTGACTAAGGTTGAAAATAGAGTGAAACAACTGGAAACATTTCTTCTTAAAGCGTTTCCTGGGGAAGACTTAGAGCAGATGCTAGGAGGGTTTTCAAGAACTGGGTCAAATATACAGTCTTCAAGCAATTCTCCAAACATGAGCGCCTATTCACTTCTCTCCCAAAATAAGCAGCCATACGATAATCCAAGCAGCACGCAAACGATGCAGGATTTCTCACTAGACGCCCCATCAGCTACGGTCTTCAAAAAAGAGACCCCACAACAAATTCTGTCAAGACTTCCAGATGAATTCATGGCCACCGAGTTATCAAATAACACTAATTTTGATTGGTCGGAAGATGATGAAGAGAGAGAAAAGGGCTTGATGCTGAATGGATCTCCATCGTCCCCATCGTCGATAACGTCTTTACACGAACCGAAAAATTCGGTGATTTCTTTCAACTCACTTGACCACCTTCATACAAGCCAAGCTCAATCGTCGACTATCAGTACGAAGACCAACAATTCGTCTCTTTGTACTTCACCATATCTCAGAGCAGTTGCTCCATCATTTTCTACAGATGGGATGGGAGTCAATCCTACCACCAAGTCAGGATTTCTAGGCGTAGGATCCTCGTCTTCATTTTTGAGGGTCATGAAGATCGACAAGATTGATGAAGAAGATGTTGCAGATTTTGTGAATACTGGTGCCACAGACACGGATTTTGTAATGGATGATTTTGACTTGACATCTTGCAACAATAATACTGACACAAGGAAGCCATTGAAATCACCACCGAACGTGCCTATGAATCCTCAGATCAAGAAGCAGATAGTGGAGGGGTTGAAAAGGGGCTTAGACAACATGGAACAGAATAAAATAGGCGAGGAGCTTGAACAGTACTTGAATATGAGGTCGACACAAGAAGAATTCTTGCAAAGCTATTTCAGATATTACCACACTTCTTATCCCTTCATCCACAAGGAAACATTCATGAAACATTACAGAAAGCAATTACCTGTAAAAAATGAGGCTCATTGGCTTGTTCTGTTGAATACAGTTCTTGCTTTAGGCTGCTGGTGTTTACATGGGGATCATACTACTATCGATCTTGCATATTACCATCGTGCTAAGAAAGCATTGAATACAGGTGCCAATGTATTCGAATGTGGCAATATCATGTTGCTGAGTGCCTTAATTCTATTGAGCAATTACTCGCAAAAGCGGAATAAACCAAATACCGGATGGAATTTTTTGGGTTTAGCAGTTAGGATGGCAATATCCCTGGGAATGCACAAAGAATTTAATGAGCAATCAAGTACTCGGGAAACCCGCAAAGAAGACCTGTTGAATCTTGAAATCAAAAGACGTCTTTGGTGGGGTTTGTACATATTCGACGCTGGAGCATCTATAACATTCGGAAGACCGATTAACCTGCCTCCTCCAGAAGTTGTTGATGTTAAGATGGTAAGCAACATAAATGATGATGAGCTCTCTCAGATCATTGAGAACATGGATGGGTGCAGTACTGTCACAGAGGAAATGATCAACAAACCTTATCCCACGTTATATTCCGCCTTGATTGCACAAACAAAACTCACTTTCCTGACTACACCCTTTTATTCAAAACTTATCTCCAAGCCTGCCCCCACATTGCAAGAGTGTTTCAACATGAACATGACCTTGGAAAACTTCATTAATGAATTGCCAGGTTACTTTCATGAAGATGAATCTGTTGCAAAGCTAGAATTTTTCAGATCGTTACCGGCAAATCTTCGTCAATCGACAAATGAGTCACATTTACCTGAATGGTTTTTGCTCTCCCGGAATAGACTCATTTGGAGATACAGAAATATGCAAATAATTCTTTTCAGGCCTTTTATCTGGCAAAGAATTGTGGGAATATCCAATCCTGAGGTGATGGAAAGCTGCAAAACTGAGGAAGCTAAGGAAGGAAGAAGAATTTGTCTCAAGGCAGCTTCTGAAACCATCAAGTCAATTGATAAGTTTGTGAAGGATAACGAATCTCATCTTTCCATCATTGCCGTATGGTATGCAACATATTTCTTGTTCCAAGCGGTTCTTATCCCGATAGCTTGTCTGTGTTCTGACTCATCATCTTCACATTCCACTTCATGGATGGATGATATCAATCGCGCAAAAAATGCCTTGTTTGTTATGTCAAAATATAATTCAATGGGATCCAAATTGACTAAGGTTATAGACAAGCTTTTGGGCCAAAAATCTGCTTCATCAAACTCGAAGCAAACAGCATTTGGTGACAGGCAATTTGCTAGCTATCCAGTCACGAAAGTCAACAGTACATCGTCAAACGACTCTCTCAATAGTCAGCCAGCAAGTTGTTTTTCTAGTCAAAGATATCCGACAACGATGTCTTTTGATGGACCGAAGCTTACGAGATTAGCTGAATCGTCAAAGAACTTCATGAATAACGTGAGTGAAGATATCGGTGCCCAAAACGTGGATTCATTTGTATCTCTGGACACTTACTTAAACTTTGATACAAATAATACCCCAGAGTCAGCACTCTTTGACTTTGAGAAAAAGAGGAAATTGTCCAATGCAGAGAACTCAATTCTTTACAACTCGTCCAGCACATCGCTTTTCAACACGGCAAATACAACCTCAGTTTCCAATTCCTCTGCTACTCTTAATAATTTTGACCTGGACCCTAATATGGAGTACAAGAATAAAGAACACCGTTCTGATAAAAAGGAGTTATTGAATGATATCTATTCAATGCTTTTTGACGAATTTACTGATCCGATGGCCTTCAGCGTCTAACGACTCTACTTATGTTATGAGTTTACATTATGTTTATACACTATATATTAATGATTTACGTTTATACACTTTATACCACAACCCACATTCTGTAGAGCATAAAGGTGCATTACAAATTGATATCTATGGGCTTGATGCATATAAATAACGAATGCTAACCTAATTTATATGAAATATAGGCTAGTTAATAATTCAATAAATAAATAAAATGAAAGAAGGGGAACGACAAAATCGTGTAGTCATGAATGAGCTGAAGAGCCATCCCCAACTTTTGGAGGTGAAAGACTGAAGCCCCATTTATCCTCCCCTTCTCTAACCTCATAGTATTTCTTCAAGTCAATACCATGATTCTGATGATTCACGAAGTTAAACCAAGGAATAAGACCAAGCATCATGTGGCTATCTTTAGAGTTTCTGGAAGCCACATCTTGTAAATAGGGTGTAAGAGATGAGGCACCATATGGATTCAAATTTTGACTCAAAAGCATCTTCACTTCGTACCTATCTTTCCTCACTTCCCTCGAATTTTCAGTTTGCCCTTTGAATCGGAGCACAGATCTTTTGTACGCAATTAGAAAGCCACCAATAAAACCCAATACACCAGCGGCTCTCAAATGAACTGCTGGCGGTCTTCCTATTTTTGCGCTCGATGCTGGCTCGTACTTCTCCAGCCCAAATAAACCTAAAGGTAGAAAGAGAGTGCCTGTAACCCACGCAGCATAATCAGACAATCTAAAGTATCGTACAACTTTTGTGAACTCTGGATCTTGGTCAATCAACTAGATGGTTAGATAATCAACATCTCCAGAGTGTGCTATAACATACCTCATAAGTTTGTCTAGTCATTGTATCAAAAAACTATTGATATCTAATTGTATTGAAGTGGGGAAGCTATATAAATTTACTTAGTGTTAGACACGGCTTGATAACAAATTAAGTAATCAATAATCTGGAAATTTTTTTGTCGCTGGTCGAAGGACGGGGCATCTGGGCAAACAAATATAAACGCGTTCCATTTCAAGTTTGACCTATTCAATAAAGCCGTACCCTTAGCTAGCACTTAAAATCAGCGAATTCAAAGATACTTTCGTGATGGTTGCAAAGAGGAGACCTGGAATTGTTCTCACATTGAACCGCAAAAAATCAACAGTCGTTAATGAAGTTGATAATCCTGAAAGCCTGAGCAAAGAGAGTTACATGAACATCATTGACTCCATTAATGATCTTATTGATGAAGACTATAGTGTCGCAATCACTGGAGATTTTATGAAGCTGCCTCCCAAAAAACTGTATCCCGATTATTATCAGGTAATTGAATCCCCTATCTCCTTAAATGAGATAAAAGCGAAAGTGAAAAAGTCCGACCGCTACTCAGTTCAAGAATTCCTGAAGGATTTCAAACTAATGGCAGATAATGCCAATACCTACAATGACCCTCAAAGTTATATTGCTAAGAATGCGAATAAGATATATGAATTTGTTGAATCTAGAATAGCAGATATAATTTCGAATTCCAACGGCACTGAAACATCGAAAACCAAGAAAAAAATCAAAACTGCAAAAAGACTCGATGCGGAGGACAATGCTGGTAACCAGGATTATACCGTTGACCTCAAATACATCTTGAAATCAATCATAAACTATAAAGTCCCTTCTAGAGGCAAATTATCAACACCGTTCATGGATCTTGTAGATGGTGATATGTATCCGGATTACTACAAGATCATCAGAGAAGGAATGTCGTTCAACTTGGTGAGACAAAAGCTTGACGAAGGCGAATATACTAATGGTATAGAGGGAGTTGTCCACTTTCAACGAGATGTTGACCTTATTTTCACCAATGCCCAGACTTATAATCACGAGGAAAGCCTTCTTTACCAAGATGCGGTGATACTCCAAAAGCTTGCAAAGGAAAAAATAGAAAAACTGGAACAATCAGTCTCATCACCATTAGAGTACGAAGATGCGTCTTCTGACGACTTTGACAATAAAGCTCCACCTCAGTCTAAAAGAGTAAAACATCCCATCATGAAAGAGGACAGTAAGAAAAGAAAGCTATCAAAATCGAGGAAGAGAACCATAAACGAGGTGGAAGATGATGATTTAGAGATTGAAGAAGCTGGACAAGACTCCGAAGATGATGAACCGAACTCTGAAGACGACGAAAGCGTAAGAAATGGAAAGGGCAACGTGACACACGAATTGAATATTGAGTATCCGGTAGAGGGAGACAGCTTTACAGAAGAACCAGCTTTCATACAAGGTCACGAAAAGAAGGCACAAGCCAATTCTCATGTTAAGCAGATCACGATCTCCTCAAGCACTAAAAATTATACACAAACAAGCTCCGACAGACTCTATGAAATCACTCTTTCAAATCCTGATACGATGAACGCAATAACGCTCCCATCTGACGTTGTGGGACAACCTTTTGTTGTCTTCGTATCGCTTTCAAGTTCCATCATGAACGAGCGGTATGTGTCTGAACTGAAAGTGAATAACGAAACGGTAAAGCCATTTCCAATTGCAATATCCTACGATGGCAAAGGTGAGAACGATTTTCTGGCTGCAAGATATGAGATCAAAACGGGCTTCGGAATTAATCTAATTGAATTTATACTCAAAGTACCAGGACCTAGGGATGTTGTCAAAAGAGAGGCCTTAGCTGAAGAGGATTCAAAATATCGTCGCCGCACTGCTGCTTTGAATCCTATAAATGCAACAAATAATGCGGAAGACAAGAACTACGATGTCCAAACAACCAAAATATGGATAAACGTTTCTCAATAAATGTCTATGTAGAGTATGACAACTAGTTAATCGCTTAGTCGAATTCCACCTTCAGGGCGCCAATATTGTTGGTGTCAAATCGAATGCATTTGTCAAAAGGAACATCCATTTTCTCTTCCAAAATAGCAAGCTCTTTCTCCATTTCCTGGCGAACTTCACTGCTGTCCAGCACCTCGATCTGCGTCAAGCCACGTGCACCAACAGAATCGTATCCTCCAATTGCCTGCAATTGGGGCGTAGAGTTTTGATCAAAAGAAGCTAATGATGTTGCCATCGGTGCATCCACTGTTTTTGAGGATGCTTGATTGTGTAGGGATGGCGAGGTTGGTTCCTTGAGCACAAATTGCGATTGAAGATGTAGGAAGTTTGTCAAGTCTATGAGATGGTCATTTGTCGAGTTCAGTATGCTATTCAGTTCTTTATTCCTTTGTTCTAGAATTTGCTCCTCGTATTGTTGTTGTACAGCTGATGACGACATATTTTCACCAAGAAGAGGCGTAGATTCATCAAACTCATCATCGGCCTGTGGATGAAGGCAGGATAGACAAACACCCATTGGAAGACAGAACTAGATTATGAGTTGACTAAAGAATGAAAATGGTGTTAGGATGTTAAAAAATTTGAATCCTTGACTTAGTGGCAAATACTGAATTGAAGCACTTCACGAGTTGAAAACATCTAGACATTATTTTTTTTAGAGCTAGCAGACTACTTTAAATGGTTGGCCTAAGCTTCGACAACTTTCAAAGAAACCAATTCTTGTCAAAAAATGGGGTCCAGACTCCGCAAGCAATTTCTACTGGTACCACTATTGTGGGATGCAAATTCAAAGATGGTGTAGTGATTGCAGCAGATACCAGAGCCACGGCTGGACCTATAGTGGCGGACAAAAATTGTGAGAAACTGCATCGTCTAGCTCCTAAGATTTGGTGTGCAGGTGCAGGAACAGCAGCAGATACTGAGATGGTCACGCAATTAGTTCAATCCAATTTAGAGTTACACTCGATGTCTTTGAATAGAGAGCCAAGAGTTTCTTCAGCATTACAAATGTTGAAGCAACATCTTTTCAAATACCAAGGGCACATTGGAGCATATTTGATTGTGGCAGGGGTGGACACCAAAGGATCTCATTTGTTTTCAATTCATGCTCACGGTTCTACAGATATAGGATTCTATCAATCTCTAGGTTCGGGATCGCTTGCCGCTATGGCAGTTCTTGAACGTGATTGGAAAGAAGATTTGACTAAAGAGGAAGCCATGAGACTTTGCGCAGATGCTATTGAAGCCGGTATTTGGAACGATTTGGGTTCGGGCTCCAACGTCGACTTATGTGTGATGGAAGTCGGCAAGGACGCACAATTATACAGAAACTACTTGACTCCTAATGTCCGAGAAGCAAAAGCAAGAAATTATAAGTTTGAAAGGGGAACAACGGCTATCTTGAAAGAGAGCATCTACAATTTGTGTGAGGTCGAGGAAGTTCGGGCGACAACAAGGGATGCAATGGAGGTTGACGCTTAAGCCACATTAAAGTAAAGTACATAATTTATTTGGCATTGAGTTGCTTCAAAACTTCAATAGTTCCTTCAACAATTGCTTCATGTTCGAGAGCATGGATTCTGGCTTCCCATTTTTCAAGCGATTCTTTCTTGAAATCAATTTCTTTGACAACAAGAGGAGTGCCTTTGTCGACCTCCTCGATAACGTAGTGAATCATACAACCACCTTTATCAATTAAGCCATCTTGACCAGCTTTCCAGGAGCGCTCGATCGCATTCGTTCCTTCAAATTGACCGGGAAGAGCAGGATGGAGATTGATTATTGGAATTTTTGCTTGATGGAGAGGCTTGAGGAAATCGGACGACAATATGAGCATCCAGCCAGCACACACTATTACATCTGGTTTGATCCTTCCAATTATGATATTTACTAGATCTTTGTTGAAGTTGGCTCTGGCTTCATTCCGTTCAATTTGCTTCTCCTTGGGAATTCCTCTATAATATGTCTTAAGTTCGTGGGTTGTGGTGGGTATGCCTGCTTGAGATGCTCTTTCGAGACCGTATGCTTTGGAGGACGAGGAAATCACATGTATGATTTTCCCTGGAATTTTACCGCTGTTGCAATTATCAATCAGTGCTTGTAGATTGGACCCGTTTCCCGAAATCAAAACCAAGATGGATGGAAGAGCCATTTGTGAAAGAAAAATCAATTTTTTTAATTAGTTTCCTGTCATTTTGATCAGACTGAAGAAAAAAAATCTCTTTGTAGGAGAATATAGTTAGTTGCTAAGTAATCGTGCTATGCTAGATAGCCGTTGCATGTATTATCTATTCGATCGTCTAGAGTCAGCAGTAAGCCTGGGAGCCACGACCCATGATGTTGCACAAGTTAGAACAGTAGTGAGGATATCTATGACAGAGGCAACAACAGAAGAGTATGGAATGTAAGGAAATATGGATATTGTACCCTTTAGTATCTAATTTGCCCTTTTTATTCCCAGTTCTACGGGCACCGTAGAGAATTGTATATCTTTTGTATATCTTTCAAGATTTTGTGTAAGAAAGACTAAAACATAATAGGCTTGTTAATACCTGAAAAATTTTGTGTGAAACGTACACTATTATGCTGCCACGCTGATCACCTATGATCTTGGATTAGCTGCTAAAACGAGGTATGATCCCCTGATTATTGAATTTGAAAGGTTACTGATGGTTTATGTGAAAGTGGAAATCCTCTTTTGAGGGCTGTTGCAAAACAATCCTTTTTTGGCAAAAAGCTCGCAATCTTCTGCCCTAAGCTCTTGAAAAGCGCCTTAATAGTGTAGTTACATGGCAATGATATGAATACTACAGAATAACAAGCTTCAAAGGGATTTCTACTCAACACAATATGGAACCCCTAATTCTCTTTCACATTGGTTACAACTTCACTTGACCTTCTTGCCGATTATTTTAAATAATCAAATACATTGTAACAACAGTAGACGGATGATCTTTTTGGCTTGCTCGCACAGATATTTTGCAGCCTAGCTCAAATCATTTTATTTTCTTCGACATTAAGCTAATCAATCAGTATTATATTTAAACATTATCTATTCAGAGACTTCGATTGCTAGCAATTGGTGGCATAGTAAACAGAAGTTCAACTGGATGCCTCAAAAATAAGCAAATTATACTTATAGTCAAAGAAATAGGGTAGATGTTTATCAGTTTGGCTTCTTTAGCCACCATATCTTCAACTTTTTGTATGATTTATGACTGTTTTTAAACAATTGTTTCTCATAGCTATCGAGATTATTCATAAACTCTAGATTACTGCCTCTGAAGTGGTCATTCAATTTGAAGCTCAAATCGTTTAGTTCACATGCTCTGTCGACCAGTGCTTTGCTTATAAGCTCCACCAATTCCGCGTCTCCGAACATGTTCGACCATTTGGTAACAATGCGATAGTAGAACATGTATGGATTTAGGTTGAGCCTCAAAGCATCAGACTTTATGAAGTTGAGGAAGACGGGGGAAAAGAACTCGGGTTCCAAGAGTTTCAAAAATGTAGTTTCTCTATCTTCGTCGTTTTCCTCGTAATCAGAGGAGTTGGATATAGAGCATATGGCTAGGATCTCAGCCAGCCATATGGGCAGTTCAAGTCTGACATTCTCTTTTATTGGAGACCCAGGCTCACCATTCAGATAGCCCAGTCCTGGGATTGTAATTGAGAACTTACATGGTAATTTCTTCAACGTTAGTCCACAACACGAAAATCGCACTTACCTGACTGTCTGCCAGTATATCATCTATATCATAGTAGCTCATAAAAGAGTGGTTTCTATTCCTTGCATTCAATACCTATATCTGTCGCCGCTGTAATGGTAATAAACGTAATATATCATGAGTTATTTAGAAACGCGTCTCGAAAAATTGTACATATCTTACACAGCCAGCTATTAATTATGCATCTGTATGTGTATGCTAGGAAATTTTATTATTCAAATGCTCAAACTCTAGTAAGCAGCAGTTCTGCAATCCTTTATGATATTTTCCATCCATTCGTTTTCATCAACCTCATTAAAGTCAGTTACTGGATCGCGTATTACCATGCTGTTCAATACATCAAATATTCGCTTGTCAACGTTGTTCAAATTCTCATAAGAGAGAGATTCTTCAAATTCAAAGTTGAATTTATGAGCTAGTTGCTTCAATAAGATATCTTTTCGTTGATGATTATTGATTGAAGATTGAAAGTGACGAATGTAGACAAAGGTCAAAATGTGCGGCGTCCAATCTTTCTCCAAAGTATTGTCGGTCAAAAGGGACTGCATCATTATTCTCAAGGCAGGTGAACTTTTGAGTTTGTAAATCTCTGCAAATGAATTAAGAATCTGGATCATAGTTCTCAATCTTTTGCACTCGCGAGCATGTTTCATGAATATAGTCATGGTGGAGCTTTTTGGATTGATCCCTCGAAGTTTGTGTTCTTGAATCATAAAGTTCCATGCACCTTCGAAGTCATTTTCAGTTTGAAGAAATTTATAAATGATGCTATTCATGCAATTGACATCAAGTCTCCCGTCAGTGCTATGATAATAATTTAATATCTCAGATAGAGAGCGACCCCTGTTCAGCATGTCAACAATATGTATGTCTTGAAATTGACTTGCAGCTCGGTGCAGTCCATGAGAAAGAATTAGTTGTTTCAGCTCTTGCTTGGCAGGCACTTCCGTAGGCATGAGGCTCAACGATATGTAGTATGTGCACAGATCAGCCTTGACGTCCAGTGACTTCATTCGCATCAAGATAGCTTCCCAAATCGCTAGTCGCTCACGTACAATGCTTGTGTCTTTCAGATAATGTTTTCCCAAAAGATTGAATGTCATTGCATTGGGCTTTTTGTTATCCTTTTCCATGCGGCGAAATATTCTTTTAATCATGATCTCATCATTCTTGTCCAAGAAAAAGTCGATAAGCTTATTGCAATACTTTAGTGAGTGCATGAAACCAAGTTTGTCGTTTGCAAAAAGTTTTCGTAAAATAGTCGCAGCTTTGTGAGAATTGTTTAGATATTTGAATGTTGTAAGTTTATGAACGAACTCCCGAAGTTCTTTTTCTGTCCGCGGTTTTGGAGGAAAGTTGGGAAATCCGCTTTCAATCCAAATAATTCTAAAGACTCTATGGAATGAACTTTTCCTGTACGAAAGTTTTGAAAAATCGTTAGTAAGATCCATAAGCAAACCAAATATTCGCTGCGATGTATAGCAAATGAGTTCGAAATCTTTCCCCTGATGTCGGAGGTCACTTTGCAGTTCACGAGGGCAGTTTGGTATCGCTCTATTGTTGTCCACTTGATTCGAGTATAATCTGTTCTTCGACAAGTGGACGATGCCGATCGATGATATCATGCCAGCTTCTCCCCTAATTCCAAATGACGGTCGCACAAACCAGTATGCCCGGGCTAAATTTTTCGCAACTAAGAACTGTATCATATTATGACCATCTTTTGTTATTGTGATCCTGTTGCTGTGAGAGTGAAATCTTTATGTTAAGAAAGGATTTTAATATTGAAATATGTTTTAATTTTGTATGATTTTAGGATCTGGACGTGTAGTATTCAAGAGCGCTGGAAATTTTGTTAGACAATTTTCAGAAAATTTTTAAAGTTTGAAATCCAGGTCGATATTAGTTGCTTTCATCTCGTCGCCTCTTAATCTACGCATTCTTGAATAATGAGCAGAGAAGGATTTGTCCCCCCTACAGCAGCGAATTTGGGAAACGCGGCTTCTGGAATCCAAAGTTTGAAAGATTACGGAGTGAAATACATTTGTGCACAATGTGCGGTCAACTTTTCTCTCTCTCCAAAAGAACCAGTTAGATGCAAGGAATGTGGTCACAGAGTTCTTTACAAAGCTAGAACCAAACGTATGGTTCAATTTGAGGCTAGATAATTAAGTTCTCAGTGATTTTACAAGGCCGTATAAGAGAGCGAGAATTGTATAATAGTAAATGGTGCTTACGGTTTCCAGCTGTGATCAGAACAATCAGTAGCGCACTCACTTGATTATATCAAGCATATGGCAACGCGTACTTCTTGAGCTGTCTGAATTCTTCTGTGCATCTGAGGGACAAATAAATTATATAATAAAATTCTGATGGAGTAGTTATAAATGATCCAACATTTTGCGAGGCAAGCTTTATGTGTATATCGTAAGCCAGCGCTCAAGGAACGGACATTCGTACGTATAACGTCTCGCCATGCGAGCTTTTCAAGTGAAACCAATATCAGCGTACGTGCATTGCTTGAGAGCAATCTCCGCCCCACCAAAAGCTCAGAGGTTTTTGAATCTACGGAAGGAGTACGCGCGCGAGAAGCTCTAATAGTCAAGATACTTCTCAGTTCGCATTCAAGCAGAACATGCGATGAATTGCAAGAGTGGAAAGAACTTCAAAGTCGATTTGAAGCTGGTATCAAAGGACAATTTCCGACTTCAAGCTCTGGCGGGGCTCGACATTCAGAGATTTATAAGTCGAGTTTCTTGTCAAAAATAAATACGAGCGGGAACCATAGTTCACTTGGTGTGAGAGGTATATCAGGGCGAAACAAGACAGAGTGGACATTGGACCCTCAAACGACGATATCAGATGTAATCTTAGATTCCGCAGAGAGAAACAAAGTTTACGAATTGTTCAAGCATGCTTGCCAAGGACAAGGGTTTATCGACGAAAGTGTAAGGAGCCATATTTTCAATCTCTTCACGTATGGCGAACTCTCTCGGCTAGAAAATGCTAATCATTTATTCATTACTGATTTGCTCCTTTTCCTTGTCAAAATACTCCACGAGTATTCCATCAAGTCCACATATGCAACTTTTATGATTGTGCTCCATAAGCTGAGGTCCTCAAGTGCACGTAGACGTTTGATCGGCCACATTCAAAAGCAAAGAAGTGATTTGGAATTGGATTTAATAGGGCAGACATCATTAGCTAAAGAGGATCTACTCGGTAGAAAAATTAAACATCAGCATTTACTCGAGAAAGCCAACAGATTTGACGAGGAGAGCTCCAGATTCATTCTGGCATTTTTGTTGGATATCAGTCCGAAATTGGCGGTGGGATTTTTCAACAACAGGTATGTTATTGGTCCAGAGCCTTACAAACTCAATAGCTCGATCGTTGAAGTCTTTGTGGATTTTTGGGTTCCAAGAAAGAGATACAAGGAACTCTTTAAGGTTTTCTTTTTCATCGAACGAAATCTAGGACTTAGCATGAACTATTTTCTATTGCATACACTTTCGGGGATGATAATGGAATGGTCTTCTTTTCCGGGCCAGTTAATCACCGAGCCTATATTACTCTATTATCACTATCTTCGGAATAAACGAGGGTTCAAAATCCCCAAAGCGCTTGTTGCCAGGGTTAACGAGAGATTGAAGCCGGAGGGAGGGTACGATAAGAATCGCGCTTCAAACCTTATCAGGAGTGTTGCTAAATCGAATTCTAATCGTTTGACTATATAGTCGGGACGATCGTCGCATGCAAATAAAAATACCTTATTCAAGTATAACCATCAAGGTATAATGCAATAATCTATATACATTAATTACATCGCCGACGCTTGAAAATCATAAGTCTGTTAGCAGTGTATGAATCGAGGAGTCAGTTTTTCTATATTTTGCTACTCTGAACATGTCACCTTGTGCTGTGAAAGATTTTCAGGATCGATATGACGAGCTGCAGTGCTACCTGTACTCGGAAGCAGAGCCTATGAACGAGCTTTTGAAATGCTGCTATGATCCTTCTCATCTCCTGAACCAGGAAAACTGTCACGATGATGAAGATGATGACCAATCGGATTGCTGCTTTGATTATTGCTGCTTTGATAATTGCGTGGATGTTCCTGATCACGAAAAGCCAATCCACGAATCATTATCGAATGCTACATCGCCGGACAGACAGGTTAAGCTCGAGACTTTTCACTCCGATTCTGGGTATTTTAGCCGGGATGTGCGATTCAATTTTTCAAACAATAACTTGCCTGGCAATAACGAAGATAAGCTGGGGACTATTGATTTACTTGCGAACATGTTCCCCTGTACTGCTAGCCCGCCCAAAATAAGCCCACAAGTTAAAATAAATGATTTGAGGCAAGAGAATAAACACTTTTCACAGTCACATCATCATCACATGCACTTTGAGGACCAGTACAATGGGAATGTGGTTCGACATGATATTATTATCCCATCGAACATTCATACTCATTTGCATAGCCACAGCCACCACAACTGCCCTGACCTAGAACAGGACCAACATGGTCCTTTGACTCACCAGCATCATCACCACCATCATCGGCAGCCAAGTCAAGCACATTCTGGTATCAAGGAAGAAGAAAATCATGAGCCTTTGCGCAAAAGAGTGAAGCTGAACGACGATGAGCCCTCAAATTTTATATCATGCAAATGGAATGGCTGCAACAATGAACTGGAGAGCTCGTCTTTTAATCAGCATATACTGGACTCTCATATCAACATCAAATCAGACACTTTCGACTGCGAATGGAATGAGTGCCTTTTTTCAACAGACAACCTTGATGATCTTCTGCTGCATGCTGGATTACATTTAGACCAGTCGCCAGTGCCCATTGAAACTTCGACAGACAGCTCGGCTAGCTTGAGACATGCGTCTAACAAGCCCGGTAGACATGCGGAACATACATGCCTCTGGGTTTCGGAGGATGGCTTGACCTGCAATCAACAATTTATGACGACGACAGACCTAACGAACCATGTTATAGAAGTTCACGTTCAATCTAAGAAATCTGAATACACATGTCGTTGGAAAGACTGCACTAGAGAACTGAAACCATTTACGCAACGTCAAAAAATCATCAGACACTTGAATACCCATACGAAACATAAACCATTTGTATGCCATTACTGTATGAAGAGCTTTTCTTTGGAGTTGATGCTCGAGCAGCATTTGAGGACCCATACCGGAGAAACCCCGTTTAAATGCAATGTTTGCGGTAAAGAGTTCAAGACGTCGTCATCTTTCACTATACATCAGAGAATACATACGGGTGAAAAACCCTTGGAGTGTCAGATCTGCCGTAAAAAGTTTAGGGAGTCATCAAATCTCAACAAACACATGAAGACACATACAAGGAAATTCAAGTGTGAATGCTGTATGAGAAGTTTTGACGACGAAGCAAAGTTCAAAAAGCATCAGAGATTATGTCAAGAAATCGGACGTCCAAATCTAGAATGCAGCTGCCGTGTGGACCAAGAGGTTGTTGTAAAAGTAGGGCAATGATTATTAGCTCCATGTATATGCATATTATAAATCTAGCACACTTTATCGTTTGACACTTCCCACAACTCCTATATTGAGGAATAAACTCAAAATCAACGCTAAGCCCGAAAAGGCAATCCCCACGTAATAACAATATTTCATTCCGTCGAATAATTCTTCAAGGTGGTCAGCCTGGTTGGCGCGACCATAGTATGGGTCTCTAGAAGCCAAAATAGTGGTGGATATTCCTAGTCCGACAGAAGAACTCAATTGGATCACAGTGTTAAATGTACCGGCTGCTTGACTTTGTAGTTTGCGCTCAACTGACGAAAGAGAGCAACGGTTTGCAACATTGTACACAAGATCCACACCCAAGACTGTGACACAAAATGACCAAAAAGGACCCAGGAAGTAATTTCTATGAATGGTGTTGGTAGCCCAAATAATGCTAGAAACAATAAAACCTCCACATCCTATTGTAACCAAATATTTTCCTGGAATGATATGCATCGTAAAGCCAGCAAACAAGCTGACCAATGAGCCGGCTATTGGCTGTGGGAGGAAACAGCAAGCTGTGATAATCACTGAGTAATTTCGTATCTGTTCGAAGTATAGAACAGCGTTATAGTTGAAGATACCAAAGAACAACATCCAGCTCAAACTTGCAATGCAAATGCACAGAACAAAATTCCTACTTTTGAACATCTTCATTGGAATAAGTGGGTTTCTCGGGACATATGTCTCGTAGAAACCGAACCCTATCACGAGGGCAAGCCCAACAATCAAAAGGGCAATGATATAGGGAGTTCGCCATCTTCTTTCTGTCGCATCCACCTGTGTCAATGAGAAACAAATCAAAGTAAATCCTGACAAAGACATTAGAGCACCTAGGTAATCCAGATCTTTGAAGATCCTTCTGGCGTGCTTCCAATCGATTATCTTGTCATTAGGCAAGAACAAGAGCACCCCCATACTAGTTATACAGTATAGGATTGCCAGAAAATAATGAACCGAGCGCCAATTTAAAATGGAAACACAAACTCCTGCGATGAAGTATCCTGATGCTCCTCCTATGGGTGCCCCAATACTGAAACAACTCATCACCAAATTTTTTCGCCGTGAATCCTTGTAGGTCGCACCGAGAAATCCTGCAGCTGCTGGAGTTCCACAAGCGACTGCTGCACCTTGCAATGCTCTGAAGACACAAAGCAGGATAAAGTTATTCATAAAGCCTCCTATCAACGCAAAAATCGCAAACGAAGTGTATCCGAATAGTAACGCTTTTTTGCGGCCGAATGCATCTGCGATGTTTCCCATCAAAAGTAAGCAGCTACCATTCGCCAACATGACCCCGGAGACACACCATGTCAACTGTCCTCCTGAAATATTGAAGTGTTCAGAGGTCGCGGTTAAGCTGGTCTGGTAAGCGGCTGAAGACATAGACGCCGCGCAAGGGGCAAACGTCAAGCACACACAACTGATGATTTCATGGATGGCAGATTTGAAGATGGGAGGGCGCTGTTCGGGATCGCTGTAATCGGCAGTGGCCTTCGAATCAGTCTGTTGCACAAGTGATTTTTCTTGTTTTATGCTTTCTAGATCTTGGGGAGGTCCCTCGTTTTCTACTGCATCTGAGGCAACGCTTTCAATGTCAGTCTCCTCTCTATCCATACTGTAGCTAAAAGTAGCAAAGTACCAAAGGCAAGCCTGTTCCAAATAAGTCGTAGCAGCAAGTTGCAAAACTGGGTTTCAAGATGTGCTAAGCTTCGGCATATCAACCTACGTCTAGAAAGCGCACGTACTTTTTTTTGGATAAAAGACCGAGAAAAAGAAAAAGAATACGACTGAAAAGATGGATAAAACCCCCTTATTAACTAAATCTGACTGTTAGACAATCAGGTTAAACTCAATCTAATGCATCGCAAGCCGTCACGGGCTCACCTAGTCATAATCCCTTACGACGACTAAGTCTACTTCAACAGTGAAAATGTGTATGACAGAAGTAAAATTGATGAAGGTGTAAAGCTAACTACTATTTCCGTATTTCAAGGTCACCCCTTCACTACCCTTACGACTTAATCGAAAGAGATTGTAATAGTTTAAAAGTTTCGTGATTTTCTTGGGTGAAAAAGAGAACAAACAACACAGATTGTCATGTTTTACTCTGCTTTATGTCGATTCAAATACGACTACTCTGGACGATTACTCGATCAGGTACTATAAAATCTTCATATCTTGGCAAAATAGCTAGTGAGTTAAGCTACATATTAAAATATATAAATATATAATATACCCACAAAAAAAAATAAAATACGCAGTTACTGATCTTGATAGATGAAAGAGCTTTTATTTCGACATGCAGTGAGATCAGTGACAAGCTCGCCTACTAACAGGGGTCTAGATCCCAATAAAATTCGATCGTTGCTTGCTAACTCTAACAATCATCTACAGAAACCACATAGACCAGTATCTGAGAAATCAAAAACTAGGACACCTTCGCCGCCTATAGATGGTCCACAACTGAACAAGCACTTCGCGTACAAAAGTGATATCTCAGTCCCGGTGCTGACAAGCATGGATCGAGGAAATGTATCCAGAATTATGAACGACTCAGAAATTAGGCTTGATTGGAGCATATATGACCTAAACAAATTGCCAGGCGAAGATAAAAGAGCAGCTGCCGAAGCGGGTTACGAAAAACCTCATATAGATCACGAAAATAAGGGCGAGCTTTTGCCTGAAGTTATACTTTTGGGGAGATGTAATGTTGGAAAGTCATCTTTGGTGAATGCTCTATTGAGCAACAATAGACAATCTGCAACAACATACGCCAGGGTTAAACAAAGCGCAGGCTACACGCCATGCTTGAACTTTTACAATGTGGGAGGCTTGTTCAGACTTGTGGATACTCCAGGGTATGGTGTGAAGGGAAAACCATGGCAAGGAGAGCTCACAATGCAGTATCTTGCTGAAAGGAGAGAACTCAAAAATTGTTTCTTGATTCTGAATGGTGACCTTGGGATCAACAAATATGACGAGTTGATATTAGAAGCATTGGTTCAAATGGGAGTCCAGTTTGACATTATATTCAGCAAAATTGACAAGATCAAAAATGGTTTGAGGATTCAACATTTTGAAGAACTGATTTCTACAAGTATACTCGAGGACCTCATAATGAAACCACGTATGTACTTTGTGAACTCGATTGAAAGTGATTTAAAGCAACGCACAGGAATAAATGAGGTCAGGTATGGGATTCTGGAATCGTGTGGCTATAACGATCTACAGACTCTAAAGCCGCGCAGAAGGAGAAAGAACGTCAACGAAACGACAGAGAAAATAAAGGAGAAGAACGCAAGAAAGAGCCTGAAAGGACATTTGAAATCTAATTTGCAACGTAACATTCATTAAAATCATACATCGACGCATCATCTAATCTATAGCTATCGCCATCACTCTTCGAAATAGCTGTCAACGGAAGAACCCAAATAAAGTCTGAGCTGCTTTTTCGTACAAGGGAGAATCTTGCATTTTACCAATTGTTTACCGCTCTTTTCGTAAGCCTGAAATCTATGGCATCCTCCAAACGCAAAAAACTTTCTTTTACCGTTTTCAGAAACTGTAAGAACATCAATGGGAGGCAGCTCGCCTGGAGTGATGTCTTCAATATTGCAGGTAGGGGAAGCCGCTGGCTGTCCATTTAGTGTTGAAACCATCGTATCGATCTTTGAGTAATCGAGGACCGGAGGAATCGGTCTGATTATTTGATCTAAAGGCAAGTATTCTATTTTTTGAATTGAGCTGCTTTGAACAGACATTTTGATATTAGATTAGTTTAACAAGCCTGATCTGCCTCATATATATTGAGTTTTTAGCGATCGAGACATCAGCTCAATAATTATTAATCTTGACGATCAATTTAGCACCGCCATATTTTACTAAATAAATTGCTTATTCTAGACTCACATTTATTTAGAATGAAAGTATCACTTTCCAGGTTCCTCCGCTACAAGCTACTAGCGCAATAGCGATTGAAAAACTGTCCCGTGATTTAGATGCTCACAAGTTGAAACATATCTCAATAAGCGTATGGGTAAATTGAGTTTACGCTTTGAGCTTCAAAACAAGAGCATACTAGCTTTTGGTGACAGAAGTTAAAATTTATCGCAAACCACCCCTTTACTAATGATAAAAAGGATCTCATGGTGTAGAGAAGTGTCAAAAACTACTTTTTTTTTTTTTGGTACAAAATTCAGTCAGTATAAACTAATGATGCGGTCGATCGACGTAGATAGACTTTATGTAATCGTTTTCGGTATTTCTTGTTTGTTTACTTTTTATTTTATTATCAATTGGATGGGAAACAGTTCAGCCTTGTCTAAACATCTGCAGAACACTCTTTGATATATCTTACAACAGCATGGATGGAGGAGATGATGCCGATTATAGGGCGTTGCCACTTGAGGAACGGTTGCAACACAAGGTAAGTTATAAAAAGTTCACCACGCGTTTCTAATATTAAGGTTTGGAAAGTCCGTTTGGAAGCCTACGAAGAGGTTAACACCAGCTTTCAAAATTCCAGCAGCGAGGACGATGAGTGCTTTGGCCGATTTCTTAAAAGCCCTGATCTTCTCAAAAAAATGGTAGTGGATAGTAATGTTGTCGCGCAAGAAGCAGGAATTAATGCTATTTGTTCTTTTCTGGAGTTTGGAGGGTCTAATGCGTGTACCAAGACTCGAAGCCAAGTTATTAGTGCAATTGCAGAAAAAGGGCTGGCATCCACCAGAGCTGGTACCAAACAAAAATCTATCAGTGCGCTTTTATGGTATATTGAACTGGATGCTCCTGACCCTGTTATCGAGTCTTTGCTACCAGCGTTGTCGGCAAAATTACCAAAGCTTGTGGCTGGTGTAGTTGCTGCTTTAAACGAGATCTACAGTACCTTCGGTTGCAAAGTTTGTTCTCCGAAACTTGTTCTTGATGTGATCCCCCAATTGTTTGCTCACGCCGATAAAAATGTTCGGGCTGAAACAACAAATTTATCAGTAACCTTGAGATCTTATATGGGCAAGGTGTTTGACACCATTATCTTCGAGAAGTTGAAGCCAATTCAGCAGAAGGATTTGGCAAAAGCGTTTGACAAGATTGAGGGTACACCGACACCAAAACGTTTCCTGAGATCGCACCAAGCTCAGATAGCTGAATCTAAAACAGGCTCAGAGGATATCTCAATGACTGATGCACAAGAAAATTCCGGTGACCAACTGGACGCTTTTGACCTGATTGATCCTGTTGATGTTCTTTCCAAGATACCAAGTGATTTCAAATCAAGAGTCGAGTCTCCTAAATGGAAAGATAGGGTTGAAGTCTTGGAAGAAGTTTTGAATGAATTTAGGCATCCCAAGTTAAAAAACGATGACTACATGGATTTGATAAGGATTTTGAGCAAATGTCTCAAAGATGCCAACATACAGGTAGTAACCTTGGCCTCTAAAGTAATTGAGAGATTGGGAAGCGGAATACAACAGGATTTCCATCGTTATGTTATGATTTTAATCTCACCCCTGCTTGAGAGAACAAAAGAGAAAAAGCAGTCGGTGTTAGATGCCATTTCAGCCGCGCTGGATGTGTGCTTCAAATTCTCGACTTTGAATGAACTTCTCGAGCCGACACTCCAGTATATGTGTCACAAAACCCCTCAAATTAAGATCGAAAGCTCCAAGTTTCTGATTAGATGTCTCAAGCAAACGGACACCATACCTAAAAAGCAAGAACTTGATTCAATCATGCAGATTTCTTTACGACTGATGTCAGATTCACTGGCCCCGGTAAGAGATCTTGCTTGTGAAATTACGGCGACCCTTATGAAGATCGTTGGTGAACGACAACTCAGGCCATATTTGGAGGGAATAGATTCTAGGAAAACAAAGAAGATTGACGAATACTTAAGCTCCTGTGAAGTGAAAGCAGTTGGAACAAAACAAAATCCCGAAGGCGCCTCTCTTCAGAGAGCTGCGGTTCCAGCTATTTCACATAGAAGTGGCTTGCTTGATTCTGCAATGCCTGCAGGGCAGGGCCGTTCAGTAACTCCGAATTCAAGCAAAGTTTCCGAGCCTTCTTTGACAGCCAGGAAGTTGGCAAGTACGTCAACCACTATACCATCCAAGCGCGGACCTTCTTCCCCTCTAAAATCATCAGCAGCTACCGGCAAGATGAATCTGACTTCAAGAACACTCAAGCCCGCCAGTTCGCAATCGCTGAGTCGAGCTCAATACACAACACCCTCACTCAACTCGTCGGAGAGAGAGCTCCTTGACTCGTTGAAGGCAGAAAAGTTAGAGTGGGTTCAAAGAAGAAAGGAGTTTCAGAGTCAGTTGGACACAAAGACAGAGGAAATTGCTTGCTTGAATAAAAAACTAGATGACCAACAGGTGAGACTGACGGAAGCCACTATGGCTGTCAAATCAAAAGATATTCAACTTTCTCGACTTCAAAGCGATCTCAATCAAAGTGAATCAAAGATAAGAGAACTGCAATACCAATTGCAGCAGGCATTATCGGAGAAGGTCACGGTAAAGGAAGAACCAGATGATAACTTTAAAAACTCTCTCCAACAACGGGAGAAACTAGACTCAAGATCGGATTTGAACAGAAGGATTTCCGACCTGAGTATCCACAATGGCTTGGAAAAAGAAAACTACTTTGGATCCAACGCTGGAGGAACCACTAGTACGAGAAGTAAATTCAGCTCAGGTCTATACGATGTCGACTCGAACGATGACAGCTGGAGGAAAGCCGCTGAAGTTACCAACCAGCTGAAGGCAAGAATTGAGATGATGAAATCCAAGTCTAGAACGTTCAATCAATTATAAAGGTACGCTTTGTGAATTATGTTTTTATGTCGTGATATAATTTTCTTTTGCCCCTATTTTTGATGTCGCTAATTTTCAAAGCGAGTTCGCCGAAAATCGAAGGAATTATCAATTTCTTGAGACTTGAAAATAGAATTAATTTATTGACTCGCTATTTCGGATAGTAATCGGGACCCGCAGTTCTCCTTTGTCAATGTCGTCTAAAATCAGAATTTTACTGCCTGTCAAACGGGTGATTGATGCCGCACTTAAACCTAGAATCAATAAAGCACAAACAGGAGTTGAAGCTGCTGGAGTAAAATTCAGCATCAACCCTTTTGATGACATCGCTGTTGAGGAGGCCATTAAGATCAAAAACGCCCACAAAGACAGAGTCGAATCCATCCATGCTGTCTCTATTGGTCCAAATAAAGCACAAGATATCTTAAGAGTTGCTTTAGCAAAAGGAGCCGACACGTCGACACTGGTGGACGTGAAAGACCAAGAAGTCGAACCGCTTCAAGTTTCCAAGATTCTTAAAAAGCTGCAAGAAAAGTACAACTCTAACCTGATCATTCTTGGTAAACAAGCCATCGACGACGATTCCAATCAAACAGGGCAAATGCTTGCCGGACTTTTGAACTGGCCTCAAGCAACTAATGCCTCCAAGGTCAAACTGAACGCAGATAACACTGTGGAAGTTGAGAGAGAAATTGATGGAGGTGTGGAAGTCGTGAAGGCTTCCTTGCCAATGATCATCACAACAGATCTGAGACTTAATGAGCCAAAATTCGTTACCCTTCCAAAGATGATGAAGGCCAAGAAAAAACCACTGGAGATTTTGAAGGTTGATGACCTGGGTATCACTCTTGAGAACAGATTGGAGACTGTTAAGCTTGAAGACCCTCCAGTGAGGCAAGGCGGTGCTAAGGTTGGCTCTGTTGACGAGCTGATCTCCAAACTAAAGGAGCTGAAGGCTATCTGAATCAGCATCCCCGAATAGAGGCCAGACCTCAACGAAAATCATCATATAATTAGTAGAATTTCATGTTAAAGTTCCCCACATAAATAAAATTGATTTCAAATATTCTTTGATGTCTGTTTTAGTCCGTTCGTTAGGATTTCTGGAACCAATTATAAGAGGTTGGGACTATAGCAAGCCCTTATTCATTGGCTTAGAGGGCCCTCAAGGTTCGGGCAAAACGTATGTTTCCACGAAGTTGGTGAAAGAGTTGTCAGTTAAATTTCCAGCACTCAACATAGTACGATGTTCAATGGACGACTTCTATCTCACATTTGAGGAGCAGAAGAAGGTCAGTGAGCAGAACATAGGGAACATATTATTGCAAGGGCGTGGACTACCAGGATCTCATGATCTCAAGTTACTATTTGAATGTTTTGCGCAGATCGAGAACGGCAGCGATCATGTTATAATTCCATTTTATGACAAATCATTGCACAAGGGTAAAGGAGATCGTGCCCTTGAGAAAGAATGGACCCATTTACGGGGTCGCAAGGTTGATGTGGTCCTTCTTGAAGGTTGGTTTGCTGGATATCGTGCGTACAATAATGAGACAGTATTGAAACGCAAATGGGAGGAAGTCAGGAAACAGCACGAACCAAAATTTGACTCTATCAAGCTTGAGCACATCTTGAAACTCGACCACGATTTGAGCCTTTACGAACAGATTTGGGCAAGGTTTGACTGCTTTTTGTACATAACAACTTCTGACCTGGCCAATGTGTACATCTGGAGGCACGAACAGGAGCAATCATTGATAGAATCTAAGGGAACAGGCATGACGGACGAAGAGGTGGAACAATTTGTGGATAGGTACATGCCAGCGTACTATCTGTATTATGAAAGACTTCCCGAAATGGAGAGAATAGTAAAATTCAGCGCTCGCCTTGACATTGATATCCATCGAAACTTAACAAGCTAATCATTCGAGCTGACTGAAATGTATGGAGCTTTTGGCAGAGCGTGTTCGGGAATAGGGTGCAACAGAGGATTGTTTTTTGCTAGCGGGACCGTCTTGGTGTGTACCGATGGATTTTGAAGAGGATCTGCTTGCATTCTTTGGGCCTTGCGGCAGAGATCTGTCATCAAGGGGTGGATTCTCGCTCCATGCGTTTTTATTCAGCATCTCAATGAACCTTTTGTTGAACTTGTCCTGTCTTTCCATCATTCTGAAAATTTGAACCTGATTGTCAAGTATCAATCTGGTGTCGGATTTGATATCATCATTGGTACTCTCATCAAGAGACTCTTCCCTGTATCCAAAGAGCTTCAGACGAGTATCCATTTCTTTCATGATGTTTTTGGACTGCGTCGCAAGAGCCTGAAATTGTTTTATGCTTCTTTTGATGTCCTCTGACATTGAACGTAGATCCTTAATCAATTTCTTGGAGGTTTCCCTAAGGTCGGCACTTTCTAGCTCTAACTTATTAGCCCACAAAACCAGTTCCTTCTGGTCCTTTACGCAGTCACTGGATTCTGATACAAGTCTAGAGTTGTCTCCAGGAACATGGTCTTCATCCTCTTCTGATTCTTCAGTTGCCGATTGATCGCCGGAAGTAATATTATTTTTATAAAGTTGCAACGATTTTGCTAATCCCACTTTGGAGCTTTGTGATCGTAATTGTGTGCTTGGAATATCAGTCAACTGGGTATTGTTTTCCAACGAGTATGATAGTTTACTTCTGAGTGATGAAGTACCGTCCGAAAATGAGCTTTTGTCCATTGAACGCTTTCAGAAATTGCTATAGAATCCTTCAATCTGAGTGAGCCCTTTTTCCAATTTAGTTTTTAGGTAATTACATAATCAGTAGAAGATACATACTAGGAAAATAAAATTATAGTGTATTTTATCAAGCAGGTTGATCTTGCGGGTCAATTGCTCTATCAATCGAGATGTCTGCTCTAAAATCTTTTCTGGAAGGTGAGTTGGCAGATGCGTAATCAAATCTAACAAATATAGAGAAAGTCAAAGTGGTAACTTCAGACGGAAGACTGTTCATTGGAGTCCTAGAAGGATTTGATCAGTCCTCAAATATTGTTCTTTCAAAAAGTTGTGAGCGGATTTTCTCTCCCACTGAACCGACCAAGGACTTAGAGCTTGGGTCCTATCTCATACGAGGGGAGCAGATTGTTATCGTTGGGATGTTGGACGATGAAGAAGAATCGCAGACGGATTACAACAAAATACATGGCTTTCAACTCAAAGACACGAAAAATGCGCTTAGATAGCATACTTGTACATTAGAATAGAATAAATGATACGAACAAAAGAATATGTTTATTTTTCCTTCACCGTTGGAATTCCAAATTGTTTCATTTTGATGGCAAGTTCCATCAAATAGTCTAATGCCTCATTGTAAACCTTGGCTTTCCATATGTTTTCTCCCCAGACAAAGATTCCATGCCTTCTAACCAATATGGCAGTCGTACCGGGATGTTCTTTGATGCATTGCTGGAGACTCTCAGATAAATCCTCCTCTCTTTCTGTATTTTCCAGGATTGGGATAACTAATCTATCCGAATACCAAAGGTTACCGGCCTCTGTGACCTTCGGAAGAGCTTTGATCTGCTCAATGCACGAGATCTCAAAATACTTGTCAAATAGTAATGTGACCATAACGGCATTTTGAGAGTGGGTGTGTATACATGCTCCAGAGTCTCTGATATTGTAGATATCCAAAAATAGTGGCGTGCAAGCAGAGGCCTTATACTTGGCAGGCTTTCTAAGATACTCCTTTGATTCTAGATCCATCACAAACATGTCTGAGGGAACCATTCTCTCTTTGTGAACGCCACTAGGGGCGATATATGCTCTGTTAGCGTCTCTTATAGAAACTCCTCCGCCAGTACCAGTGCACCATCCATTATTGTAAAATAGACGACAGAGCTCGCAGATCATGTTTGCGGGATGTGTAGGATCTTTGGAAGCAATGAGATGGTTGTTATCGACACCCACGTCGATTCCGAAGTCGATCTCATGGCAGCTGCAGCACGGCATGGCGACTAATAAGTTGGAAAAAAATGTGGCACGGATAGATCAAATGTGTTCAAGATTTGGAAAAAAAAACGTCACAGACAGGATTCGAACCTGCGCGTGCAAAGCACACCGCCTTAGCAGGGCGGCTCCTTAACCACTCGGACACTGGGACGACAGTTGGAGGAGAGTGATCCTCTGCAAATCAATGCGATAATCATGGTTACAGGTTGGTTTATTGTACTTCATGACGGACGGCGAGAAACCAGGGAAAGAGAACCTGGCCGCTGAGATTCTACATGCGCTTGTGCCGGCCAAGGCCTATTGTCGAAAATTGTAGCAGCAACGACGAACTTTTAGAAAATCTATTTTTAGGCATCCCATGATGATCTGGGCCACATAGACAAAGAGCCCAGCCTGGAAGTAGTCATGTATGCGTCATGTGCGCTCTATAGTTCTCGGGGAACAGGGTCCTATCCGGCAATGACCATGGGCCAGCCACCAGCACGCTTGGGGCTGAGTCGCGTCGATCGACGCCACGACTGCGCCCTGTTTGCGTCGGAGCTCCAAATAAAGCATAATTTCATCACACGCGTTTTAGTGTAGTTTGAAACTGGAGCTATTGTTGAAGGCTGTGTATGATTGATAAATATACCCGTTTTCCACACTTGCCGAACTCACACACTCCTCTAATTCCAATTTAATTTTGCCATGAGCCATCCATACAGCAGCCGAGCACAGATACGTGCCAATCTTTTGAACGATAATCCGTACTCGTTCGAGCAGCAGCCGCGTGCGCAGCCGCGATATCAACAGCCAAGGCCTGTCCAGCAGCCTCCAAGACAGTATGTTCAGCAACAGCCGTATGTGCAACAGCCAGCGACGTTTGTTGCGCATCCCCTGCAGCAGAACCCGTACGATGCACCACAGCAGCCAGTTCAGCCAATTCAGCCCGCTCAGCATAATCAACCTATTCAGCCTCTTTACCATGCTCAGCCGGTCCAATACCCGCGTCCGCAGCAGCAAAGTGGCTCAAAACCCTATATTCAGGGCCCCAGACCACAGCCAGCTAATTACCGTGAACAGTACGGGTATACTCAGAATCCTCCTCGTCCTTACAACCACAACCATCACCAGTCTCTTCCATACCCGCCAGAGCACGAACTTCAGCGGCCACAGCCGCAATTGAGATCCACTTCATACAATGACGACTATGCAAACGAGCATTATGGTTCTGCAGAGCCTGAGCTTCGAGCTAACGAGTACCCAAAATCTGCGCCGACCGAGCCTTTGAGACTGACATCGCGGCCAGCCGCTTCACGTTCTCCTGAGGCACAGGTGCCGCCGCCTTCCAAGCCGAATGCCCAATCAGTGGATAACGAAAGAATCAACCAGCTCGAGGACAAAATAATGCAGCTGGAAAAAATGCTAGCTCTTCAGGACCTCGCGTCGAAAAACGACTCGCTTACGTCTGTTTCCAGCGACTCCAGCAGTATCAAGGCCAAGGATGAATTCAATTTCACGGCGCCGAGCATGGGGGCCAGTAGAATAAGTCTGCCGACCTCAGAGAAATCTGTTAAGTACGCGTCCCAGAACTCGCAAACGACGGACTTGGCGGGCGCTCCTCCTTTGCCGCCCCCGCCGCCCGCAGAACAAAGATCCATTGCCAACAGTCCGGTGGCAAACGTTTTTCTTTCGTCTGGACTCGACGATAGAAGCGGAACCAGGGACAGTGCTACGTCTTTGACCTCTGGCGAAAAAGAACTCGTCAAAGAGTTTCTGGACTCGCCGGGGAAATTGTCCAACGACGCTGAAGATGATCTTCCTCCTTCATACGAGGAACTGGAGAAGTCTGGAACTCTGACGTACTCGCAGTCGATCTACCGTACTGGGTTCGAAAAAGCAGGAATCCACATGGATCACATGGAAACTCCAGCAGTCAAGCGTCATGCTCAGAAGCAACCGCAAACGGGCCATTCGTCGCCAACCCTGAAGTACAAGCGGAAATTGCCTCCTCCTGCGTCGGAGTCGGTCGAGAAGATGCTGGAAGGACAGAAAGAAAATATTTTGAGTCCACCTACGTTGCCAGAACCACCAAAACGGCTGATTAGCGAGTCAAGCGTGAGTTCGAGCGTATACAGCGAGAAGACACCGGTAACTGGCGACTTGCCGGACCCCAATGAAAGAGTTCCTCCTCTTCCAGATCCCGACACTGAAGGGTCTGAATTCCTGGAGAAAACCATCAGATACATCAAGCCGAGCTCGTTCAAAAGACATTCAAATGGGGTCATCGAGCCAATACTACCGTCCAAGTCCACCGACTCCCTGGATAGTCTCATCAACGGTTTTGGAATAATCAGAGAAAAAGCATTCAAGGACTACAAGAGCTTCACGCCGTCTATCCAATTCGAGTGGGCCATTACCCTTCTTGAGGCCATTGCTCGTTCAGATTTAATCTCAAAAATGGCCATCGACGGTAGGGTGAGGAAGTCACCTATTCCGTTTAAGTCGCTGGCTCCCCAAAGAGAACAATTCCTGAACACAGCGGTGAAGGTGCTGGAAAAAATCATCCAGATATCGCCAAACTCTACTAGAGCCCGTCTCTACCTTGGTGACATTTATTCCGGAGGTATCCATCCAGGTGTGCTGCCCAGAAACGAGGCCAAAGGGTACAAGCTATTCTACGACGCTGCTACGAAACAGGATGACCCGGTGGCTTGCTACAGAGTGGCTTGTTGTTTGGAGTCGGGAGTTGGCTGCGCCAAGAATGTGGAACAGAGCTGTCGATTCTTTGAAAAAGGAGCCCAGCTTGGGGATCCGTCGTCAATGTGCCAACTTGGAATGCTATATTTTGCTGGAGTGAACGGCTTCCCGTTGGACATCAGCAAATCGGTTTACTGGCACGAGATGGCGTACAGGGCGCTCAAAAATCCCGACATCATGGGCTCTGATCCTCTGGTATCGGCAAGATCGTTCAGCGATTCGCGTGGTGCTCTTTATACGCTGGCCAAACTGCACCAGACAGATCTCAACATTCTTTGTCTTGATAAGGATACGCCAAAGACGAAAGCTTCAGTGAGCCAAATGATGAAAGCAGGGATCTTCAGAAACTCATCCAAGACGCTCAACTATTATTTGGAAGCCGCCAAGCTGGAACATCGCGAGTCGCAAGCGTCTCTTGGGTTCTACTATGCCCAAGGATTTTTCCCTACGGCTCATTTCAAATCTGACAAGGAGTCTATGGGCGGCACTCCTGCTGCCAAAGACGCCAGACGGTCTATCTACTGGTTCTCAAAGGCTGCGGCCGATAATCATCCATACTCTGCTCTAGGACTGGCCAAATGGTACGGGTCTGGGGCCCCCGGAGTGCTCAAGAAAGACGACCAGCAGGCGTTTTTGTGGGGCCGCAAGGCTGCCGACGAGGGCCAGCTGGCAGAGGCCGAGTTCATGGTCGGTTTGTGCTTTGAGCAAGGTTTTGGTGTGCAAAAGAATATCCAATCTGCCATTTCGTACTACAAGCGAAGTGGCGCGAAGGGCTACAAACGCGCGCTGAACAAGCTCAAACAGTTCAAAGAGCAAAGTATGGAGGTGCAGTACTGACACGATCACGACTATATACACTTTATGACCTAATAAGCTATTCCCTTTTATGATCTAATTTAATAACAGCTATCCCTGCTTTTTGCAACCAGAAATAGTGTGGCTGCCAAAGTGTGTGCGGGTCACGAAGCTACAATTTTTTCTCTGCGGTGATTTATTTGTTCAATTTGCTTTATTATCAAAGATTGATCTAAAGGGAAACCGTTTCAAAAGAGAGCTTCCAATTAAATTAATTAGTTTGGTGCAGAGCTATACTATTCGATACAATTGCGCATAACAAACAAACAACCTAGTTATCATCATCTATCCGAAATGTCTGAAGCTAAAACCTGTTGTGGCGGTGCCTGTGTGAGCAAGTCTGGCTATGATTTGCTGACTTGGAAAGACCCATCGGTCTCCGGCAAAGTGTTTGGATCGTTAGTGGGATCCCTGCTTTTGCTAAAATCGGTCAATCTGCTCAGTATTGTCTTCTATATTTCCGCTTTTGTTCTGGCAGGTAAGTGGGATGCTGGCTAGTTTGGAAATCTCCAAACAAAGTCACACGATCAATAATACTAACTCAACTTTTAGTTTCTGCACTGGGCGAGTATGCCGGTAAGCTGGCCACAGGACAAGGTTTTGTCACCAGATTCAGGCCAGAATACAAGAACGTGATTGGCCAGTACGCTGAGGAATATGCCAGCCATGCAGCCAACCTCATCAAGAATGCCGAGCTCAAACTGCAGGAGATCGTCTATTCGAAAGACATTGACTCCACCCTGAAGGTGGCCGGTGTTGCCTACATCCTTTACAAGCTGACCTCCTGGTTCACCCTCTGGACTCTGCTCTTCACGGCTACTCTGACCGCATTCTCTGTTCCTCCTGTCTACTTGAAGAACCAAAGACAGATCGACGATGCTATCGTCACCTACACAAAGGTTGCCAAGGACAAGCTGGCCGAGTTGCTTCAATTGATCAAGGAGAAGACTGGTCCAGCTTTGGAGAACGCCGAGAAGAAGTTGGGCCCGGTCGGCAGCTTTATCAGATCCAAGGTTCCGGTCAGAACCGCTGGCTCTACTGTTGGGGACATTCCAGCTGCAAACAGCACGGCCTCGACAGCCCAATCTGCTCCGTCCGTTCCTTCTGCTGCTCCTTCCGCCTCCACCGAGACCGGTGACGACGCCATCACCAACCCATTGGCCGACGTGAAGAAACAGGCAGAGGCTGCTTTGTAAGAGAAATGAGCCAGCTGTCTACAGTTATTTGCAAATTGTCTATGCACTCGTTGAGGATTTGCTTTTGTAATTGAATCACCTCTCATTAAAAATGTCAATTTTTTAATTATCATACTTTTACTTGATACACCTCACATGATAGTACAGCAGCCCCCAGAACCATTCTTTTTGTGCTTCGACTCACCACCAGTGCCAGCACCGGAGACATGAGAAGAGTCATTAGCTCCGGTTGCCTTGACGGTGGACCCATTGGCTCCAGTTCCCGTGCCTGTGGCAGGGTTTTCCAAAGTCGTCGAGCGAGCCTCTTTCTTGCCTTTTCTATTACCTATGGTATGTTTCTGTCTCTCCTTGGCTTCCTCCGCAGGGTCGGGAAATGTGGTGCCAACCAGGCCAGCGTGCTTGTAGCCGTTATTTATGATAATTTTGACCAGATTATGGAATGCTTCTGTCACATTCAAACCCGTCTTGGCCGAGGTCTCAATGTAAGCACAGCCCATCCTCGAGGCAAGCGTGACTGCCTCGTCCTTGGACACCTGTCTCTCGTCCACGAGGTCGGATTTGTTTCCTACCAGAATCAAGGGAGGAAAAGCGACCTGCTCGCCCTTGACTCTCATTATTTGGTTGTAGAACGAGCTGATTTCCTCGAAAGTCTTGCGGTCCGTCAAACTAAACACCAAAAGAAACCCCTCGCCCGTTTTCATGTACAAGTCTCTCATGGAAGAGTACTCTTCCTGCCCTGCGGTGTCCAGGATATCCAGAGAAGAAGGCACGCCGTTGATCTCGCAGTAGTGTCTGTAGGAGTCCTCAATGGTAGGGTCGTATTCGTTTGCAAACTCCGATTGCGTCAACCTTATCGTCAATGCAGACTTTCCCACCACCGGTGGGCCGACCACAACAAGCCTGTATTCTTTGGACTGGATCGTTAGTGACGAAAATGGCAAAACGCTAGCCCCTTATACTTACTGCTGGTGTCATTTACTTGATGATGCTTTGCGAGGACAAAATAGCAAAACAGTTTGGCACTCGAATATTCTGCTTGGCAGTAATAATCAGCCTTTTTTTTCCAGGGATCGAGGAGGACCAAAATGGAATATGTATAAAGTAGCCTGCTGACTTCTGAATGGCGCCAAAAGACCTTGCTAGCCACTGCTCAGATCTTATTTATGCTAATTGATAGGCTATTTTAGCTCGCTTCGATCCTTGCTCTCGGCTTCCTGTATTCTTGCTTCCAGCTTCTATGGGCCCGTGAGCTGCATGGAAATTTGTTTTCTGCACGCTGCCCACATCTTTGCACCGATCTAGCTTCAACATAATTATTTGCGTCTTGTTTGTCCTTCGTTATGCTGAAATCGTTTCTCAACCAGAATTTCACCTCGATTGACGATCTGGCGTCTGTTGATCAGGTTATAAAACACATAGAGGATGGCAGGCTACGGTTGAAAGAGCAGACAAACCCCGAAGGCGGGCAAAGCAGATGGGCCCTAGCCGGGTCACTGATCCAACAACTTGAATCTATTGTTGACCAAGACGACATCGCGGCTATTGACGTTCTTATTCAGAAATACGGGAAAATCGAGCTGTTGACGAGTGCCAAACAAGAATTGAGCAAAAAGCTAGTTCTAAAAAATATAAAGACGCTCTACGATAGGTATCTTGATCTCACCGATAAATTGAACGACTTTGAGCTTTTGGAGCTACCAAAGCTGGAAGTGGACGACGCAATTGGCCGTCTGGAGAAACTGCGCATGGAAGTGAAAGCTTACGAGGAGACAGAGACTGACGGTCCGAGCGTGGCCGCAAGTCACACCGAGTATATCGATCTTCTCCGCGCAAAGTTTCAGTCTGTTGTTGGAGGCGAGTTGAGAGAAAGGCTGGCATCTGAGTTTGAGGCTCTCATACGCGACTGGGATAACGAACAGAAGACAAAGACAAACGACATTGCTTCCATGAGGAAGACTTTTGGACAGCTTGCTCGCTTGCAGTCCATCTGCAATTTGAGAGACCAGACGGACGCTTTCTGGGCACTCGATTGTTTGGCTTCCAACTTCAAGGTGAAGTTTGTGTACCATTTTGAAGGCTCGAGTGAAACCAATAGGCTTAACAAGCCGGAATATGCCCTGAATTACCTACAAGCTTATTTGAAGAGGAGTGTACCAGCGGTGGAGAAACTTTTCGGTAGCACGTTCAGACGATATTTCCCCAACAAGAGCATAAAGAAGAACTTTATCATCTCCCTGCTTAAGCCAGTGAAGGAAAAGTTTGATCGGGAAATGGGCGCAGTCAGTAAGCATGAAGGTCTACTCAGTCACTTGATTTTGGAGTTACAAAAATTCGACCAGAACCTGAGTAAAACATACAACTTCACGCCTGCAGAACCAGAATATACGCGTTTGCTGACCTCATCCCTCATTCTATCAAATGAAGATGTGTTCAATCTGTGGCTCAACAACGAGAAGAACTTTGTGAATCACAGATACGAGGAGATTATCAGCAAAAAGGACGCGTTTACAATTGATAAGGATTTCGTGGAGAACGGCAAGACGAAGCCTACTAGGTCGGCAATCAATCTGAAAAGCTTGCTGGAGGGCATTAGCAATAACTATGCGATGCTACCGACGAAGTTCCAGGTGAAGTTTTTGAGCGAAGTGCAGCTGAGATTGCTGAATCTCTACTTTGCCAATTTGAAGCAAGGATTCAACGCTTTGGACACCATAATCCACGGCAAAATCAACGACGAAGTGTCTGTTCTGGAGCGCATCTGCAGAATCTGGTGCTCGTCCAAGTACATCATCGAGACAATGGCCACTTGGGGAGAATCAATTGTTTTTCTTGAGCTGTGGAGCTCAATCAATGGCAACTCTCGACTCGAAACAACGTTTTTTGACTCTGTTATCAAGGGGTACAACAAGGAACTGATGATGCAGCTTCCGCGCAAGATCCACGCCTACTTCGAGCGGGAGCTGAACAAGACGATGAAGTCGTACTTCATAAGCCACAGTTCGTGGGCCACGATGTCCGAGAACGAGCCAGGGCCTTCTCGCGAGCTCGATGTGGCTCTTGCTGCCCTAAAGAACGACTTGACATATCTGCGCACAGTGGTGTCCTACAGCGATTTTCTCAAGATCCAGCTTATTCTCTCGGACGCAATAACGAGCTACTTTGAGAGAAACGTCATCTATTGCAACAAGTTCAGTGTGGGTGGTGCTTTGCAGCTGGAAGCAGACTACAACGAGTTCTACCAATCACTTGGACTGCTACGCGACAATGCGCATTTTGGCAAAACTCAGGAGATCATCTCCGTCCTCAAGTGCAACAGCGTATCTGAAGCCTATTCGTTGCCCTTCAGCTGGCTCAAGCAGTACCAGGTCAATGAGCTAGTGTCGCGCAAAAACCTATAATTAATTGCATTATACACTACTAAATAATTTCGCAGATCGAAACACAGGCCTAATCAAAGAATTTATTTTAGTTTTTGACGAGCTTTTAGTAGCCGTATCTAGTTGTTGTCAAAGAAAGTCCCAATGGCACTGCTAGGGCTTGAACTTGACCGCTCACCAGTACGGAGAGAGGACACTCCGCCAACCTCGTCGGCAACTTCCCCTCCAGAAACGGCTGGGGAAATCGTTAAGCAGACGGCAGTTGTCAGTGGCTGCGGACAGGAATTGTGTTCTAAGGCTGCCGTCAAAAGAAAGACAGGTGTGTCTCGCGTGAGAGAAAAGAGCACTGAAAGCTATGCGAACTACTATAAGGGGAACACTCTTCAGCAATTGCTAAATGCTACGGAGTACTTTGTTGGGGGTATTGGCGACCGCAGACGAAGGAGGGAGTTGGGGAAGAAGGAAGCGCCAGAAGAGCCATCCCCGCGCAAACGCAAACAGACCGCTAAGTCAGTAACAAGCGCAAAAAAGACATCCGATAAAAAGTGCACCGAGCGAGAAAAGCAGGGTGAGCCCAAACAGCAGATCAAAAGCGAGGAGCAAAACGTGGAGCGGAGCGCAGAGGAGACGGTTTGTAGTCCCTGGTTTCTGAACCACGAGACGTCCAACAACGTGAATATCACGTGGAGCTTCTTTGACCCAGAAGCAAGTAACAAGCCCAAAGACCTCGAGCTCACCAGCGCCTACACGTTGGTGAATGATCGGCTGGACCGATACGTGACCAAAAATCCTCAGCTCTCGCCCCGGGAAGTGCATCTTTTGTATCCGCTTTTTGACTATGAAGAAAAATATCTGCTCGCAGAATGCAAGCTCAACGCGTGGTTCAACCCCATTGCAGATATTGCTCGAGTGATGGAATTGACCGCCACGGTGTACATGCCGGAAAAGGCCAGGAAAAAAGTGATAGATCTCGATAACCCCGCAAATTGTCTAATCAAGCGGTGGGACGATGCTGTGAACCGGCACGACGGCGGCCAGCTAGTCCGACTTGTTGAGGAGTATAACTCGCTGGTGACGAAGCTCAGGAAAAACGGCCAGATGATCCAGCACATACGACAGCGCAAAACGTTCCCGCAACTGCTTGTGCACGAGATCATGAACCAGTGCTACTTGCGAGGAGTTCTTCCCGACTACAGAAAGCTCAGGAGTTACAAGGCGTTTTCCAACTACGTGTACGGCGAATTGATGCCGTCGTTTCTGAGCAGAGCGTTCAACCAGTGCAAATTGTCGCACACCAAGGTTTTCATTGATTTGGGCTCCGGAGTCGGTAACTGCACCATCCAGGCGGCATTGGAGTACGGATGCGAGAGCTACGGCGTCGAGATCATGGACCATGCGTCGTGGTTGTGCAAGCTTCAGACCGAGGAGTTTGAGAAAAGATGCGCCATCTGGGGCGTGAAGCACGGGGCAATGAAGTTCTTCCTGGGTGAGTCGTTTGTGGACAATGCGCCCGTTCAGCAGGTTATCGACCGCAGCGACGTGATTTTGGTGAATAACTATCTTTTCGACTCGGAGCTGTCAAAGAAGGTGATTGATCTGTTTTCGAACCTCAAAACAGGCACGCGAATCATCAGTCTCAAGCCGATTGTGCCTCCAGGGTACACGATATCGTGGGGCCATCCGGAGTCGATTTTGAGCCGGATGAAGTGCACTCGATACACGTACGGGGAGAACGACGTGAGTTGGACTTCGAAAGGCGGATTCTACTACATCACGGAGGTTCTGCCGCACATCAATGAGGAGTATCTCACGGCGCTGCCTGCGAGGTCACAGCGGACGCGCGGGAACAAGTTAGCGCTGAACGCGTTCACCAACAACGTTTAGAAGTGTAATATAAAAGTTAATTTTATTTTTTTCAGTTATCACGAATATGGTCCCGTATAAATAAGTTATGGGTTTTGCTTGACAAAATTGACTCCCTTCTCGATGTTCTTGACCAGGGTCTCCTTGGCCGTGTTGATCATCTCCTGCTCGGCGTTGGTGAGCTCGCCAAGACCGTGGATCTGCTTGATACCGTCAACGCCCAGAGTGACCTTGGACGAGAAGAAGTCGACACCCTCGTCCTTGAACAGTGGAGAGTCGACAAAGGCAGGCTCGACGACGTCTTTCTCGCCGGCAAGACCGTCCAGCACGGCAGAGGCGAATCTAGCACCGGCCTGGGCCATAGACAAGGTGGCAGAACCAGCACCACCCTTGGCCTGGACGACTTCGTCACCGCCGAACTGGATTCTGTGGACCAGCGCGTCGTATGTCTCCTTTGGCAGGTTCTTGTGGTTGGTCTGGGAGATCAGCGGAACAATGGTGATTCCGGAGTGGCCGCCAACAACGGTGACGTGCTCGTGGACAGGGTTGGTTCCGGCGACTTCGGACAAGAATCTAGAGGCTCTCAGCACGTCCAGAGTGGTGACACCAAACAGCTTTTTTGGGTTGTAGACGTTCTTGGACTTGAGCACCTCGGCGACAATAGGAACGGTCGAGTTGACAGGGTTCGAGATCACACAGAGCGCAGCGTTAGGACAGTGGTCAGCACAGGCCTTGGCAAGGTCTCTGACAATGGAGGCGTTGGTGTTGAACAGGTCGTCTCTGGTCATGCCCGGCTTTCTAGGAACTCCGGCTGGGATCAGAACCACATCGGCGCCCTGCAAGGCCTTCGACAGCCCGTCGTCCTCTGGACCGTATCCCGTGACCACGGAGTTGGTTGGGATGTGGGAAATATCAGTGGCCACACCGGCACCCAGTCTCAGGTCGTACAAAGAGAGCTTGGTGACCTTGTGGTTGAGTTTCATCAGCAGAGACAATGGCTGTCCAATACCACCGGCGGCACCCAGAATGGACACCTTGTAAGCGGAAGAGGCAGTGGAGGAGAACTGTCTAGTAGCGAATTTAGTAAACATGATTCACCAGGAAGAAGAGGAAGAAAAGACAAGAGTAAAATATTCGTGGACAAGTAGAAATTCGGGTGTGGGGTGCGATTCAGGCCGGTTATTATTGGCCGTGGTGGAAAAAATAATGACTCCAGCAGGACGCCCGGAGTCGAGGTCGGACGAGGGCTGTCGGGTTGTGCGGATGCAGCACGGCGCCAGAGTGTGAGACGCCCACAGCACGAGCAATTGAGCAGTTAGCTGGTCCACGGAGGACCCGAGGCCTACGTGAGCATCTTGCCATGCTTCCGCCCACCCTTGTGGCTACCTCCGCGTTTTCACGGGGGAGAAAAGCGGATTTTTGGCCGGGGAGCTGAGGCCGGGTAACACGCGGGAAAAAAAACAAAGTTTCTGGTGCACGGGTGGATGCCTTGGCCAGCCCCGTGGCGGAGCTATGGCTGGTGACGCGTGAGCCATGCAAGACGTAAACAGATCGAGCCAACGACGCGAAACTGACATTTTACCCAATGGGGTAAAACGTCCAAGCCGATAAACTAGGACCAAGACCCGCTGGAAGCGGCGCTGCGAGCGCCGTCTTCGTGGAAACACTAGTCGGGCCAGTAGCACGCACACTAGACACAACACACACGGACAGCCACAGCCAGCGCGCGCCGCTCGTTCGGGGCGCCTCGCTGGTGTACGGGTGTGGGTTATTTCAGGAAGCACGAGATGGGCACACACTGCGAGGCCGCGCGGCCGTGCAGACGTGCTTGGCCGCGCGGCGAGCAAAGACCGCACACCACGCTCGGGCTGTGCGCATTTTATGTAAGGACGCCATTTCCGTAAAAACTCCACCCTCTGCAACTGAGATTTGAGAATTTTGCAAAAAAACAGAGGTACCGCACTTAACTAAATCGGGTTAATTATTCAAGAAAAACCTGTTTCCCTTTTTACTTCTTGTTCCGGCCATCCAGAGGCAACAAGAACTGCACCAGCGACCTGTCCAGCCCTTTCTCACAAACACAGTCTGTTTTCCGGCCGTTTTGCGAGCATTCTTCCCAGGTTAGTCTTTGTCCCACTTTTTCGTGCTTGGCCAGCGAGATTGCTGTGAAATAGAATGATGTCCTCATCTCCGCCGCCAGCCAACCAGACCCCTTTCAAAGAACACAACGTGACGGTCTCGTCGTCGCCGCTGCTGGGCGAGACGCTGACTTTACAGAGCGTCCACGAGTACAACTTTATGCATCGGCCACACATGGGCTCAGACGAGGATTTTGGCTCCGAGCAGCCTGCGCCCGCGTCTGCGCCGTCCACCGTGCACGAGGACCTGCTGGACTTTGTGCCGATCTCCAGCCAGGAGGACCCGGCGCTGCAGTACCCGTCGTACATGCACCCGTTGACAGAGTCGTACTCGAGCTCGACGGTGTCCAGCGTGCACACGGAGAACCCGATTCCGTCGAGCGTGAGCAACGGGTCGCTGTCGAACGTGCACCGCACGCCGATCAGACGGTCGAACTCGCTGATCACGCCGCGACGCGCGGCGACCGCGGGCAGAGCCACGGACAAGTCGCCCGGCACGGGCAACCCGTTCTACACGCCGCCGGCGTTCCTGTCGCCCAAGATCACCAAACACAGGAAACAGCGGTCGCTCACGACGTCTGTTTCGCTGTCGCACCTGGACACAGACCTCCAGCTGCAGATGCAGCACAACCAGCACGGCTCGCCGTTGCACACGCCATTGCGCACTCCCGGGCGGCCAGCGGTGGACGAGAACGAGGAGGACGACGGCGAGGAGCCGCACGACAGCACCAACGAGTCGGGCGAGTCGTACTTTGTGTCGCCGTCCGTGCTGATGAAGAAGAAGTTTGGCGGCAAGCTGTCGGAGCTGCACACGCTCAGACACGAGACGCAGGAGGTGTACCACATGGACCAGCTGGCCGCGTCGAACGACTTCATCAACCCGGAGTTTCTGCAGAAAGTGCAGGACATCCCGCTGCTGATCGACGACGACAACGTCGAGGCACTCGACCAGCAGAAACTCATGCATCCGCCGCTGCTGCGCGCCACGACGCTGCCTCCACCGCAGCCCAAGCCGAGCCGGCTCACGCGGTCGCGCTCGACCATGAACCTGAGCGAGATCGCGTCGTACAAGGAGGCCAAAACGGCGGCCCTGCGCTCTGCCAGCTCGTTCATGGACGATCTGAACTTCTCCATCTCCGAGGTGCCCGAGCCGGAACAGGCGCCGGCGTCGGCTCCAGCATCGGCGCCAGCGTCGGCGCCCTACCACTACGACATTCCCTACTCACATACCCAGGCCAGACAGTATTCACGGTTCCAATACCTAACTCCGCCAAACTCGTCGTCGTCAGCCACCCCCGGCGTCAGCTCGTTTCTGGGAGCAGACAACAAGGCCGACGAGTACAAAAAGAAGCTTGCGCTCGGGTCCGGGCTTAAGGAGCCCGAGCGGCTGGACCGGCCGCTGCAGTCGTCGCGGTCCAAGTCCCGCTCCAAGAACTCCGAGCAGGAGAAGAAAAAAACCCACGAGTGCCCGTTGTGCCACTCGCGGTTCCAGCGGCCCGAGCACGTCAAGCGGCACATGCGGTCGCACTCGTCCGAAAAGCCGTTTGTGTGTCCGCAGGAGAAGTGCGGCAAGCGTTTCAATAGAAATGACAATCTCAAACAGCATCTGCGCAAGATCCATCATCTGGCCATCTGAAATAGAATGTATAGGACAATATACGCGAAAGCGAGCGACCATCCAGGTACATCACAACGCCTGTCTGATCTGCGCGTCGATCGGCATCTCGCTCACGTCGACGCTGGCCACCACGTTGGACTTGTGGAAGTCCTGTTTCATCACGCCGGCCACCGCGTAGCAGATCGCCGCGATCGTCATGAGCACCGCCAGCGCGATCAGCGACGTCGACTGGCACGTGATGCTCAGCCACTGGATCACCGCCATCACCACGTAAAACAGCACTCTGTACATGTTCTGGTCCAGCGTCTGCACGCCGCGGATGAACCAATCAGGCACTCTAAAAATCTTGAGCAGGAAGGGCACCTCCACGAAGGCCAGAATGATGCCTTGGACAATGGCCAGGATGGCAAACACGATCACAATGCTGAAGTGGAAGATGTTGGCGATGCCCAGGGCAATCGACAGAAATATCAGCACAATGCCTATCCATTGGCCGTAGAGACTGCTGTTAGGTATCGGGCGGCGGCACTTACCTGAAGTTCATGGACTTCATGTCCTGGGCGAATCCGCTAATCTTGATGTAGTCTGTAAAAGCCATGTTGATAATAAACAGCTAATAAGTTTTTATTATTTTTTTTCCGTGCGCTGGCTGTGCACACTGTCAAATAAAATAGACAAATAATTAAATAATCAGACAAAGAACCAGACAACTTGCTCTAAATGGGTCTACGCTCAGAGCAGACTAGCAGTCCTCCGCCGGACTCCGACTCCCAGTCCGACTCGGACTCCATCACCGAGACGCTCGAGCAGGTCGGCAGGCTTGCGTTCCCCACGTTCTCGATCACCCCCCATTTGCCAACGTTGCCCAAGCTGGCAGCCCTCAAACGAGACTACAACACCACGTCGCTCGGGCGCAAGCTGGCAGAGCTCAACGTGAAAAAAGACGAGCTCGCGCGAATATACACCCAGCTGAGCGAGTCGCTCACCGACGTGGTCAACTCCAACCTGGACTACCCCGTGGAGGACCTCCACGACCCGGGGGGAGTGGAGGTTTTGCAGGAGCCCGAGACGACGGTGTCGCTTGTGAAGGACCGGCTCGCCAGCTACGACCATCTCACGTACCTGACGTTCGAGCAGTTCAACGACCAGGCGTTTTTGCGGCGGCGCATCAAGGAGATCCTGAGCCTGGACCTGCTGCCGCTGGACCAGCGGTTTTTGATCCAGAAACTGATGTCGCGCTCGTACTTGGAGAAACAGCGGTACGAGCGCGCCGAGACCGACGATACCGACCACGAGGCCGGCAGAGACGAGGTGGTGCTTGGGCCGCGCGACCTCGAGCCAACGTACTACAACGCCGAGGAAAACATGCTCGGGTGCGCCCACTACCAGCGCAACTGCAAGGTGGAGTGTCCGACGTGCCGCAGGTGGTACACCTGTCGCTTCTGCCACGACCAGGAGGTGCAGTCGCACCAGTTGCAACGGAGCCGGATCAAACACGTGCTGTGCATGTTCTGCAACACGCCGCAGCTGGCACAGCACTACTGCGTCAACTGCAGCCGCAAGCTGAGCGAGTACTACTGCGACACGTGCAAACTGTTCGACAACGACCAGCTGAAAAACATCTACCACTGCGACGACTGCGGGATCTGTCGTCTCGGGCTCGGCATCAACCAGGACTACTTCCATTGCAAAAACTGCAACACGTGCATCTCGATCGAGCTGCAAGAAAACCACAAATGCATCGAGAACTCGACACACTCCAACTGCCCGATCTGCGACGAGTACATGTTCAGCTCGACCAAGAAGGTGGTGTTCATGCTGTGCGGCCATCCGATCCACCAGAGCTGCTACGACGAGTTCACAAAGCACTCGTACAAGTGTCCGATCTGCTCGCGCACGATCGTCAACATGGAGCTGCAGTTCCGCGTGCTGGACAAGGAGATCGGCGCGACAAAGATGCCCGACGGCATGGCCGCGTGGACGAGCGTGGTCAAGTGCGTCGACTGCGGTGGCAAGTCGCGCGTGCCGTACCACTATCTGGGGCTGAAGTGCGACCACTGCCAGAGCTACAACACGATGCAGCTGCAGCTGCTCAAATCGGACAAGGACGAGACGGACGACGGCGCCGACACCGCCGCAGACGAGAAACAGCTCATCACACACTCGCTCGACGACAACTTCCAGTTCGACGACAGACTCGAGTTGCCCGGCGCGCAGCTGACGGGCAGCGCCAACATCGAGGACTCGGACTCGGAGGACGACTACGTGGACAACTTTGTGCGCGTGATCAACAACTTCGAGAGCTACTCGACCATCAGCGACGCGTTCAAGGACTGGATCAATGCGTCGAAACGCAAGGTCAATGCTATGTAGTGCTAATTTTTTCTCGAACGTAAACTTGCGATCGGGATCGACAGGATGCGCGACCGTTTCTGGGCGTGGTCTGCGGCGGGCTCTGTTTTCGAGCGCATCACGCGCGGGACGGCGGGCTCGCTCGCGGCCTCCTCCGCCAAGCTCTCCTGCGAGCGCATCATGCTGTCGAGCTTCATCCCGAGCTTGAGACGGTTCTCGTTCTGGAGCCGGAAACTGCTCAGTTTCGACGCGGCGTCGTCCGCGTCGATCGACGTTGGCGTCGGCACGCGCTGGTTCTCGGGCACCACGGGCGCGCTCTGCGCGTGCGGGCGCGAGAACAGCCGGCCCTGCAGCTTCATCGGCGACGACTCCGACGTCTGCGAGTTCGACCGGAAGTTGCGCATGCTCATCGAGGAGCGTTTCGAGCCGGGCGACTGCGTGCTGAGCGACGACGTGCCCGACGCGGGCGGCGGGTTGGAGAGTTTCCGCGGCGGCGTCGACGACCCGCTCGCCCCGCCCAGCACCGGCGGCGCCTTGCGCGCGAGTCCTGCGCCGTGCTCGTGCACGCTCGCGAGGCTGTTCGAGCTCGACGCCCCCTGGACCGCGCCGCACACGGGCGACGGGTCTCTGGTGATTCTGAGCGACGACGACGTCGACACAGAGTTGCTGTCGCCCGCGTACGGCTCGTCCGTGTCGCTGTCGGACGACGTGTGCGACGAGAGCGAGAACTTGCGGTGCTGGATCGACGGCAGCGAGACCTTGGCGCTGAGCGGGCCCGGCGCGCCGCTGGGCTGGCTCGCGAGCGCGGGCAAGTGCGCAACCGCGGGCGGGTGCGTCTGCATGGCCCTGTACCGGGACTGCACCTCAAAGTCGTACGCCAGGTCCTCCGGTTTCCAGCCCGCGTCGTTCACGAGCTGGCCGTCCGCCTTGTACGCGACAAGCAGGTCGACGCAGTCGAGCGCGCCGTACTGCAGCGCCAGGTGCAGCGGGCTGTTGCCGTCGTCGTCCTGGATGTTGGGGTATGCGCCGTTCTCCAGCAGCACGCTCAGACAGAGCGGGAAGTTCGCCACGCAGCACACGTGCGACGCGGTGTAGCCGTGGTGGCCGCGCTGGTCGACGCACACGCTGAAGTACTCCAGCAGCAGCTCGAGGCTGCGGTGGGCGTTGTTGGAGCAGGCGGTGTGGATCACGGTGTCGTGCTGGAACGTGAGCTTTATCTCGTCCTCGCTGGTGATCTGGGCGTACGAGCGCGGCGGCGGCGTGTGCCGCGCGGCCTTGTACACGCCCGCGGTGGGCCCGCGCGCGCGGTCCGCGATCCGGCGCAGCAGCAGCCCGCAGATCTCGAGCCGGTCGTGGTACGCGGCGTAGTGGAGGTTCGACCACCCGTTGGCCGGGTCGATGTTGTCGAGCAGCTCCGGGTACCGGTTGAGCAGGCGCGCGACAATCGCGGGCTGGCCGTCGACGATGGCGTTGCGCAGTCGCACACTCGGGTCGATCATGAAAAAGAGGGAAAGTATTTTTGCAAACTGAAATTCGCGGGCTGTGGGTGGGTTTTTCTCTGCGCCGGCTTTCGTTATTCATTATCTACATCCTATCTAGAGCCCGTACAGGCCGGCGTCCCGGTCGCCCGGCACCATCATGATTGCAAAGTTGCGCCGCAGACACTTGAACCCGGCCTTGGTGGTGTTGAGGTGGCTTTTCAGCTGGTCCTTACGGTAGAACCGCTTGCCGCACCCCCACGCGGTGCCGTCCGGGTTCACGCCGCCACACACAAACGGCTTGACGATCGCCGAGTGCTGCTCCTTCGTGTGGCGCGAGAGGTCTGACGAGCGGCTGAATTTCACCTGGCACTCTGTGCAGCCGAACAGCTTCTCCTTCTCGTGCACGCTCAGTTTGTGGGAGATCAGGTTGTGTTTTCTTGTGTACGATTTGTGGCACTGGTCGCATTTGAAACGGCTGTCCCGCGAAACGGACTTGCGCCTCGTGGGGGAGAGCACCGAGTCCTGCGACTCGGACGGGCTCATGGCCACGGCCGCCGGCACAACGGGCTGCGGCAGCGGGAACACGGCCGGCGCCGTGTACACGACAGGCTGCGAGGGAGGCGATGCGTACGGCGCGAGAAACACGGCGGGCACGCGCGGGGTGTGGACGTAGTGCTGGGCGGGGTGGAACACGGGGTCCACCGGCTGTTCCGGGCGCGGGAACAGCTTGTTGATGCTGGGCAGCCTGATTTTCTGGGAGTGGTCGTCGGGGGTCTTGGCCAGGGCAGGCTGGAGCTCGTAGGCCACCAGGGTCGTGCTGAGCGCGTTGGGCGGGGTATTGTTGGCGGACATCGTCAACATCGTGCCGTGTGCGGGTCGGGGCAGAGGGGCAACGAGGTCTCGATGGGTGGTGGTTCAGAGGTTGGGAAAAATATACGATTTATAACTTGTCCGTGTTTCCATGCATATCGTAGTGCTTCGCTTTCTCTGCAATGCACGACGCGCACATACTATTGTCCGCTTCCGCCCGCGAACAACTGCGCAGGCTTTTCCCCCGCATCAATACAACACTAATCACCTCCAGTGAAGTTTCAGGAAATTTCTTGTGCATATTCCAAAGTTCCATCCTCGTTTCTTTTGCGGCCAAACCCAGGGCCAAATCACAATGCATTGCCGATTCCAGGCACCCGCCACAGCCTTGCCAATGATGTAATTGGCGGAGCTTTAGCCTTCCACACATAGGGGCTCGGCTATTTCATGTCCAAACACCGTGCATATCTTTGGCACCAGCACAACTTTTGCTAAAAAACTCCAGTCCGCCAACGTGCACGGATTTAGCCTAATCTCCTCCACCCCTAAGGTCGTGCGCAACTCAAAATAGCTGGAGTTAGCTCCAGCAAGCACTCACCACGAGAGAACCCGCAGCGGACCTCAGCTGACAACCCACGGCCTTGCTCAAACCCTCAGAACGCCCACGCCCTATAAATACCCCCCCACAATGCCCCCCATCCGTTAATGTCTGCCTTCCCCATTTCTGGCCCCACCGGCTACGGCCTTATGTCTCTGACCGCTCGCCCAGAGCCTGTTCCACGTGACCAGGCGTTTGCTGCTATCAACAACGCCATCAAGGACGGCGTCACGCTGCTCAACGGCGGCGAGTTCTACGGCCCAAACTTCTTCAACCCGGACCCAACAGTGGAAAAACGGCCGCTCGAAAACCTCAAGCTGCTGCAGGCGTATTTCGCCAAGTACCCAGAAAACCGGTCCAAAGTGTCTGTTTGTATCAAAGGATGCCTCGGCCCCAACGGCCCCGACTGCTCGCCCGAAGGTGTCAAGAGATCCATCGAAAACATTGCCTCGTATTTCCCTGGCAACAAGTTCGAGCTGTTTGAAACCGCACGCATGGACCCCAAGACACCAGTCGAGGATTTCGTCAAGGCGTGCATCCCGTTCATCGAAAAAGGCGTCATCAAGGGCATCAGTCTGTCTGAGGTCAATGCAAACACCATCAGACGCGCTGCTGCCGTCTATCCTATTTCCTGTGTCGAGATAGAATTTTCTCTGTGGAGCACAGATATTTTCAGAAATGGAATCATGGACACCTGCAAGGAGCTGAACATCCCGATCGTGGCATACTCGCCGCTGGGAAGAGGCTACTTGACCGGCACGATCAACTCCATCGACGATCTTCCACCAAACGACCTGCGCCGTCTGTTGGACAGATTTGCTTCGCAGGAAGCCATCGACGCCAACAAACACCTTTTGGAGCGGATCGGCAAGCTGGCCCAGAAGAAAGGGTGCACAATGGCGCAGATCGCGCTCTCGTGGGTCAGGACGTTCAACGAGTACCCGGAAAAATACGCCACGGTGATTCCTATTCCTTCAGCCTCGACGCCAGAGAGAAACCACGAGAACAACACTCACATCAAGCTGACTGAACAAGAGTTCGAGGAACTCAACAAGGCGGTGCAGGAGTGCGAGATCTACGGCGAGAGATACAACGCTCATCTGGCAGGTCAACTGAATGGCTGAATACTTTGGGATCGTTTCAAATACAACCTAACAAAAACACACCCGTAGAGCTTTCCAGAAAAAGAACCGCCCGCCGCTCACAGCGAGCCGTTCAGCGGCTCGGTCACCGTGTCGACGATGCCGTTGGTGTGCGAAGACGGGCCGCCAATGATGCGGTCGACGGCCGGTTTCAGAGTCGCATCGTAGGTAGGCTTGATCGCGTTCACATACGCCTCGTTCGAGAGCCTTCTGGACGTCTTGGCAATGGCAGCAGGAGCCGACGACGAGGCCTTCTCGCTGTTGTACACCTCGGTCACGTACTGCGGCAGGCCAGACACCTGGTGGACGTAGGGAAGAGCCCTTTCGTACGTCGACCTGAGCAGCTTTCTGGACCGCGTGAGCTCGCTCTGCGCAATGTCGGTCACCTCCTGGCCCTTGGCCTCAGCCTGGTTCTTCAGCGGCAGCAGCCTGTCCACGGCAGACTCGTAGTAGTCGTTGAACGTCTTCACCACGGCACTCAGCCGCGAGCGCACAGAGCTGGTGGTGTTTGCAAACGTCGTTCTGGCGTTCTTCACCACGCCGCGGGCCCATCTGTCGTAGTAGCCGTTCAACGATTTGGAGATGGTCTCTGTGGAGACGGTGGTCAAGAAGGGGAAAGTGCGGTCCAGGTACGATAGTGTGGCATCTGTGGTTTGATCGATGGCGTTAAGGAGCGAGACAAGAATGGACACGCTAGAAAGCACAGAGAGCGCTCTGCTGACCAATGAGTGCGCATAAGACTCGACAATCCTCACGGTGGACGACCTCTCTACCAAAGCGCTGGCCTCCGCCACTAGTGGGTACTTGAACACATGGGAGTAGGTGTTGGTGGTGATTTTGCTATTTTTGGCTGTATCGGTAGAGCTCATGGCCGGAATAAGAGATTGCTGAATATATTAGACACAAATAGCACAGTGGTGAGCAAAAAACCTAGTGGGCCTATAAAGAGAACGTGTAATAAGCAGGTGCACAAAAGAGAGCCCTTTTATAGGGACAAATAATTTTCTGTCAAATTTAGATAAGGGCGGTAGCTAGAGGTGTGAAGCCGGCACGATCAGAGTGTTCCTCGGCTCAGGTGATGCATGCCTAACACGGCTATGAGGCGATGCTGGTCAGCAGATACGTGTTGCTGCTTCTTATTGTGGCCGTCGACTCAAACGCCTGTGTTGCGGGCTATATTGCTAAGGTTGCTACCATCATCTTACGTGAGATCTATACTTGCATGTGAAAAAGCAGCCGGGGGGCGGGTAAGACGAACTTGACCACTGCCGGGTAACCGCCGGGCGTCAAAAATAATAATACATTTTTTAATCGAAAAACTTCTTGTCATGTCGAAGAGATACACAGGGGTGTTGGAGAGGCTCCCGCAGCATTTCCGGGACTTCTTCATGAGAAGAGCCGACCAATCGCAGATCCCGGCGTTCCGCTCGCAGGGAAAATACATTCCCGAGGAAAAAAGATACAGCAGGCCCGAGCAGTGGAAAGTGCTTGAAGGAGACCGGGTGATGTTTGTGAAAGGCCCCAACAAGGGAAAAATCGGTAAAGTGCTAGGATTGCAACCGTTCACCAACAGCATATACACGGACATTGCCGAGACAGAGCCGCTTGCTGTTCCTAGACAGCTCTGGCAGGAGGATCAGAACGAGTATCTTATCGACTACCCCAAGACGGTTTCTCCGGACGATGTCAGAGTGGTGGCGACGCTTGTGAGAGAGGACGGCACCGAGTACGATATAGCGGCCGAGGACGTCATTTTCAAGGGCAAGTATTTCGACGAGGACTACAAGAAAATGATGCCCATTCGGAGAGTGAAATACCATGAACACATAATCATTCCATGGCCCAGACCCGATCCTGCAGAAGACTGTGTCTTTTCGACTCCACCAGAGGTGGCTGAAGAGAGATCACATGTTGAAAACTCGATTCTCCAGTTCGAACAACCGGCAGACTTCACCATCCAGTCGCTCAGAGACCCTATTATGAAGAGACCGTACAAATGGGACAAGCAGGTGTTGAAGAAGGGAGACATCACCAAGCTGACAGCTCCTGGAATCCCATACAGCGAGACCAAGAAGGCCATGTTCGAGGAGAGAAGACAGATCAGAGAGTCTCAGATCACCGAGATGTCTGCGGAAGTGATGGAGTTCATTGGTTCGAGAGTTGCTGAGCATCTCAACAATGTGACCGATCCTAACTTCAAACAGTACGTCGACAAAGTGTCGGGACAATACAGAAAGCAGAAACTGGCAAGAAGAGAGAAGGAGAAGCAGCTCCTTGACTTGCAGATAAAAGAGGCCGAAAAACGCAACAAACGAGTTACAAGAGCCAGCGCTCAATAGCAAGATGTATATATAAACGATTAACATTTATCATTTCCTATAACTTCTCATACTCGAGCTTGCCTTCCAGCTTCTTGTTGTCGACCATCTTTCTCACAGCCTTTATCAGGTCGCTTTGAATGATGTAGTCTCTATCCTCTCTGATGGCAAAGAACCCGGCCTCGGTGACAACGTTACGGATATCTGCACCGTTGAAGCCGTCACTCATCTTGACCAACGCCTCGAAATCGAACTCGCCCTGCTTCTTGATCTTCGAGGTGTGGATCTTGAAAATCTCCAGTCTTCCGCTCTCGTTCGGCAACGGAATCTCGATTTTCCTGTCCAGTCTTCCGGCTCTGAGCAACGCAGGATCTAAAGTGTCGGGTCTGTTGGTGGCCATGATCACCTTTGTCTGTCCAAGGTAGTCGAAACCGTCCATCTGATTGAGCAGCTCCATCAGCGTTCTCTGGATCTCTCTGTCTGCGGACGTTCCCTCGGAAAATCTGCGGCCTCCAATGGCGTCGATCTCGTCCATGAAAATGATACATGGCTCGTGTTCCTTTGCGTAGCTGAACATCTCTCTCACCAATCTGGCCGACTCTCCGATGTACTTGTCGACGATGGCCGAGGCAGGCGAGAAAATGAAGTTGGCGCCGATCGTCGCTGCCACAGCCTTGGCCAGCAGCGTTTTCCCCGTTCCTGGCGGACCGTACAACAGCACACCTTTAGGGGGCTTGATACCGACTCTGATAAATAGCTCAGGGTTCTTCAGCGGCAATTCGATCACCTCTCTCAATTCCCGAACCTGTTCGGTCAGACCTCCGATTCCGCTGAACGAGATTTCGCCCGGCTCGAACGTCGTCATATTGTACACCAATGGGTCCACCTCTCGTGGCAGGATGCGCATGATGGTCAATGTGGTCATGTCCAGCGCCACCCGCACTCCCTTCTTCAGTTTTTCCCGCTTGATGGTCGACCGGCAACCCACTATGTACCGTGGTCCTGAAGAAGCCTTCACTATGAATCTTTCCTCGTCCAGCTGTTTGAGCACTTCCCCAATGATCTGGCCGATCGATTGCAATGCCTTGATGTCATCCTCTGTCTTGGTGAACTTTTTCTCGAGGTCTCGTATTCCCAAGCGGGCCTCTTTCAGGCGACTCTCCCATTGACTGTGTTCTATCAGTTTGTTTTTCAGCCCAGTGAGCGCCGATTTGCGCATCGACTCTTCTGACGACTCCTGCGGCTGCGAGGCCGCCTCGCCTCCGGAGTTGGCGCCCTGGCCGTCCTCATTCAGCGCCGCGAGCAGGGGATCGTGTTCTTGGCTCATTGCTGTAAATAAACCAGTGGCAAAAAGTTCAAGAGAAAAAAAGCCGGGTAAAGGAGAAAATGAAAAATAAATATTTAATTCGAATTAATTCAGTGTAATGGAGTTTCACGCCGTCATATTTTGCGGAAAGGGTTCTGGCCTGTCCCCGATCTCTGCCGTAAAGGAAACAGGCCTGCCGAAGGCGCTCCTGCCCGTGGCGAACCGGCCAATGATCCAGTACGTGCTCGAATGGTGCGACAGGGCTCCCTTCCGTCAAATCACCATCTTCACAGAAACCAGCACATTGGGCAAAATCTCCAAGTTTGTCGACACGTACAAGGAGTCGCGGGACCCCGACTTGGCCAGAACGAGCCCCATCGAGTGCATTGGCGCCGACGCGTCCACGACGGGCCTCATCCTGTCGCAGCACAAGGACCATATCCTGAAAAACACCCCGAACTTTGTGCTTCTGCCGTGCGACTTCATCACCGACGTGCCGCCGCAGGTGCTTGTCGAAGTGTACCGCGGCCAGGAAAATGACAATATCGGTCTGTCTGTGTGCTACAACAACAGTTTCGAGAACATTGACACCAACAAGGTGCTCAAGGGTAACTACACGATGTACTCGGCTCAGAACGGGCATTCGGTGCTCTTGGACCTATATTCGAAGAGTTCCGTTGCGTTGTCCAAATTCCTGAAAATCAGAACTCATCTGCTCTGGCGATACCCAAACACCCAGGTCTCGACCAACCTGCTAGACTCGTTTATTTTTTTCGGCGACGCTCGATTATTCAAAATGCTAGACGAACATACAGACGGACTCACTGCAAACAAGGCGGCCATCAAACTCAAACGGGACCTGGCAAGACGGTCCTGGCGACATTCCGAGGATAAAGAGACAGTGGGGCTGTTTATTCTGCCTGCCAATTCCACATTTGCCCGCTGCAACAACCTGCCCGTCTACATGGAGGCCAACCGGTACATTTTAAAGTTGCAGGCGAGAGACAACACGTCTGTGCAGCGTCCAAAGGCGGAAAAGCCGAAAAATACAGCCACCGTGGGCGCCGACTCGAAAGTGGGCGAGGAGACCGTGCTGGGCGAGAGAACCAGCGTCAAACGGTCTGTGATCGGGAACAGATGCAAAATCGGCAACAAGTGTCGCATCACGGCCTGCGTGCTGCTGGACGGCGTGGTGCTGGAGGACGATATCCAGCTGGAGAACTGCATTATTGGCACCAACACCCAGATCGGGACAGGAACCAGGCTGGTCAATTGTAACGTGGAAGGGTCGTATGCGGTTGGACACAAGGTGAGTCTGAAAGGAGAGACGCTGACGAATCTGCAGCTGGACCTTGAGGACGAGGAGAGCTCGTACGGCGCGATCGAGGAGACGTCGTCGGAGGACGACTCGGACGGTAGCGGCGGAAGCAACTACGACGACGAGAGCTTTGAGGAGGAGGAGTACGATGAGGATATCTTTGACAGGACGTAGCTGACGGTGGCGTGGCATGATCTGGGAGATCAGGTAAATAGCTTAGCTGCGTCAAAGCTTAATTTCGAGATGGCTGGTTTGAAAATAGCGAGACTAAAACTACTGCGGCTGTGCGGCGTGAAAAAAAAAATCAAGATCAGATCTGAGAACCAGACGGTGGCTGATCTGAGGGACAGCGGACGCCCCACAGGCGAAATGCGGCAGACAGCCGGTAGCAAGTAGCCCCCAGCAGGCCCCCATCGCAGTGCACGCCGTCTGGGCCAGCTAAAAGGCGCCAGCGACAGAACCCGTCCCGTCGACCCAGGGTCGTGCACCGCCCAACCAAGTCTCGAAAGCGCCTCACATCGAGCTGATACGTAAACCAGCCATCCAAATTTAAGCATGATAGCAGCTGGGCTCGTCCGTAACAATGGACATTGATTTGCCTGGATCGACATATAAATACCCACCATGCCCCAAGCGTTTCCCACACCCGCATTCAGCCTCTTTTATTGATGAGACCAGATCGCACGCTGCTAGCCTCCCTGGCGGCCTCTCTGTGGGCCTCCCAGGCCTCTGCCTACGACAACTTCCTCAAGATCCAGCCGAGGTACTGGAACTCGTCCATCGAGGCCGCCGCGCCAAGCACCGTGTCGTCCTGCTCCACAGACTCCACCATCACCCAGACTAGCGTGATCACGCTGAGCAGCGGAGCAGACTCCGACGACTTCTTGGACGCGACGCTCACGCCGACGGTCACCGACACAAACAGCGTCGGCGTCACGGAAAACAAGTACATCACCATCACAACCACCTACACCGACTGCAACTACCGCGGCCAGTGCTCCACGCTGACGGCCACAGAGCTCGTGAGCTCGTACACCACCACCATCTCGGGGCACGTGACCGTCGTCACGGGATACGAGATCCTGTCGGGCTCGTCCACGGCGTCGCCCGTGACCAGCACCTCCGCCGGCGACCCGCACACCGTGCTGACGCGCACCTCGTGCTCCGCCGGCGGGTGCTCGACCTGGACCACCGAGGAAATCTTGTCCAGCTACACCACCACCATCTCCGGCCACGAGACCGTCGTGACCGAGCTGTACCCGCTTACCGGCGCATCGTCGTCGTCGGCGCCGGTGACCACGCCAGTCGCCGCTCAGGCAACGACGCCCGCAGCCACCGCCGTGGCCGTTGTCTCGTGCTCGGCCGGCAAGTGTTCGACGTGGACGACCGACGAAATTGTGTCGTCGTACACGACCACAATCTCGGGCCACGAGACGGTAGTGACGACGCTGATCCCGCTCTCGGGGGCTTCCGGCTCGGGCGACGCCAATGCTGAAACCGTCACCGGCACCACAACGTCGTGCTCGGCAGGAAAGTGCTCAACATGGACAACAGAGGAGATCGTCTCGAGCTACACGACGACCGTCTCTGGTCACGTGACCGTGATAACGACGACGTGTCCGCTGTCTGCTGCTGCTGCCACGCCGACGACCGCCGCGACCGTCACCGAGACCGTCACGTCCTGCTCGGCGGGCAAGTGTTCCACGTGGACCACCAAGGACGTTGTTTCGTCGTACACCACCACCGTCTCCGGTCACGTGACCGTCGTGACGACGCACAGCCCTGTCTCGTCGGAGGCGGTCGTGAGCTCCAAGGGCGGCGGTGTTGCGTTTGAGCTGACGTCGTACACGACGACGGTCCACAGCACGCCGACGGTCGTGACGACAATCTGTCCGCTGAGCTCGGCAAAGTCCGGCGCCGTTTCTAGCACCGTTTCCAGCGCCGTTTCGAGCACCGCCTCTAGCACCGCCTCCTCCAGCGACTCTGGCACCGTCACCACCGTCACCACCGTCGTCGGCGGCGTCACCACCGTGCTGACGACGTACTGTCCCGACAGCAGTGCCGCAGCCCTGAGCAGTGCGAGCGCCTCAAGCAGCGTTTCTGCCTCGAGCAGCGCGACTGTCCTGAGCAGCTCCTCGAGCACAGCCACAAGCTCTACATCGACCGGCTCCGTGCCAGAGGCCACCGTCGAGCTCGCCGAGCCGTCGACGGTCTCCGTGCCCGTCGAGACAGAGCCGTCCGTGTCGCCGGTCGTCTACACGTCGACCATCTCGAGCGTCCCGGTCGAGCTCACCACGTACTCGACAGCCACCGAGAGCACCCTGCTCACGTCCAGCACGGCCGGCTCGGCCAGCTACAGCTCGACACCGGCAGCCTCCATTTTCGAGGGCGCCGCCGGCAAAATCAACATTGGAGTCGGCCTGATTTCAATGGTTTACGGACTGATTTGTGTACTATAGGATTGGAAATAATATATAATTGTCGCAGACACTTAGTAGCCCGCCTCGCATCGCGCGCAAGACAGTTTATGAGATGTTTCCGCGTTGATCTGGCAACCTTTTCCCCTCCACTCGTCCACGCTGGACGGTGCAGTGAATAGGCTGCGTTCGTATCGAGGTTCAAAAATTTTCACCACGCGGGTTTATATAGCGGTGCTTATGTCAGACACCGGAAGAAAAATAAATAAATATGAAATATATAAATTAAATAAAACTCGTGATGGGCCGCCTGTACGACGCAGACCACGAGCCCAAACGCACGCCCAAAACAGCGCCAAAAATCGCAAAATCGCACAAGGCCGCCGCCGGCGCGCTCCGCCGACGCGGCGCCATCCGCAGGAAGCACGGATCCCGGTCGCTGTATTTGTTGCTGCAAAACCCGCAGTTTGTCGTTTCTGGCACTGGCGCCGCGCACACGCAGCAAACGGCCCAGATCCAGCACCAGACTCAATCGCCGGCGGGCCCGGGCCCAGCCGACTCACGATAGCGCGTGGAGATAGCCGCAGCGCGGGGCAAACTCGCAGGTCTGGCACAGGCTCTTGTACGCAGGCCCGAGCGGTGCTCTTTTGGCGAGCCAGAGGTCCATGCCCGTCGCGATCGAGTGGTCGGCGAACTCCCTATTGTACGGCCTGGCTGTGCTGGAAAAGATGTCGCCCTGGTGCGAGTAGTCAACGGCCGTTTGCGCAATGTTGAACTGGCGCAGCGTGCCGAGCAGCTGCGCTGTCCGCGCGGCCAGCAGCTCGAACGTGGGCACGCGCGTCCACTGTTCGAGCGCCAGCTGCGAAGGCACACTTTCCTGCAGCGTTTTCAGGCGTGGATCGGCAGTATTGCTGCGGAACACCGGCTCCAAACAGCCCAAGGTGTAGTTTTCCGCCGGTCTGTTCGCGACCGCAGCGTCAAACGGCGCAAACCCGATGTCCTGGCCCTGTTGCAGCCGATGCAGGTCGGCAATTAGATAGTTGTTGTTTAGCAGCAAATATACCACCAACGAGGGGTCCAGCACCGTGGCTGGGTCGATGTTGCGTTTGCGTAAATTCAGCAGCAGCATCCGGTATGTTTCTGCCGGGTCCTGCGCCAGCACCTCCAGAAACCGCGCGTACATGGCCACCTGGACAAAGTTGAGCTGCTGCGTGGCGGGCGGGGGCAGTTTTCTGTAGGACCTGGTTTTCAGGTCGGCAACGTGCAGCTCGAGCAGGTCCGACCACGAGGCCGCCGTGGCGCTGACGCCGGCAACGAGCTGCGCGAGGTCCAGCGGGTTGTCCAGCTGCGCCTCGAGCTCGCGCTGGTACAGCGAAAATGCCGTTTCGTCGCCTGCCAAAGAGAGCAGGTCGATCACCCCGCTGATGAGCACCAGATCCGGACGCACGTCATCTTGTACCCCCACTTCTGGTTCGCCCCCCACGTAAAGCTGCTGTCGCCGCTGGCCGTAGTAGGCGTGGACGAGGATCTCGCGCGCAGAGCCGAACGCCACCAGTTGCGCGAGCCGCGACACGTTGCGCGACCACTGGTGCGCGACCGACTTCTCAAAACTCTCGTCCACAAAGAGTCTGTATATCTGCGCCAGCTCGTCCGGCAACGGCGCCGTCACGGGCACGTCCGCCGCGACAGACGGTTTCAGCCGCACTGTCTGGTCGACCCTGACAGTCTTGTTGTCCACGCGCACTTCCGCCACCGGATGCGTCTTTAGCTCGATCTGCTCGTGCTCCTGCGACCCGCGCAGCATCTCCCGCGTCTGCGGCACCTCCGTCACGCCCATGTACAGCTGGTACATTTTCTGTAGCTCGCAGTACGCTCCAGTGAGTATTTTCGTCACTGACAGCCGGATCTGGCCCGGTTTGCCCGCGCTGAGCGACTCCAGCTGCTGCAGCGGCGTGCCCGGCGCGAAATGGTTGCGCGGCAGGTACTGAGCGTCGTACTTGCCCGCCAGTTTCGCCATAAGCTGGTCCTGCTTGCTGCTGGGAAGCACCGCCTTGGAGTCGTAGACGACCGGCACCGGCTCGACAGCGTGGCTGTCGCCCAGAAACCAGTCCACCGTGTCCCACGTCTCCTGGCCCGGGCCGCTGTCCACGCCACCGGCGGCCGGCTCGTCTGGTGCCCCCGGCAGAGGCTCGTCCCCGGGCTCATACTCAGGAATGCGCAGCACAAGCGTCCGTGTGTTGACCACTTTCGTGGCCGTTGACTGAAACCTGGCTGTCCGCCGGAACGCGCCTCTGCGCCCGGCGCTCCTCACTAAAAAATACATTGCTCTATATTCTGGAGGTATCCCTCATGCGTATTTATATTTTTTTTTTGGGCCCGCGACGATGAAAAATATTACACGTCGATCGTCTGTGTCACACTGCTCAGCGTCTCTTCTTCTTAGGTGCAGACGCGTGTCCCGTAGCGTTGATGTGCTGGAACAGTTTGTTGCGGCTTAGGAAGGTTTCTTTGCACACGGTGCATTTCTCGCCAGTCGGGGTTGCTGGCTGCGAGGCAGGCTTTGAAGACTTGGAGCGCGTCTTCTTCTTCTTGCCCTTTTTGCGCGTCGACCAGTCGTCGTCGCTGTCCTCGCCGTTCAGAACCCGTCCCAGCTCGGCCAGTCGCTCGTCCTCGTCCAGCACGTCATCCACTTCGGGAGAAGCAGAGCCCCGCTGGGCCGAATGTATGGAAGCCGTCTGCGAATCCGGAGACGGAACAGGCTGAGGTTCTGCACGCTCAGGTTGGGGCTGGATTTCTTCGGTCTCAAGTTCAGTAGGCTGGGGTTCAGGCTGCTCAGGCTCGAAGTCCTCCACCGCGCTCTCATACTCGTCCTCGCTGCGCACATAACCCCCCTCATCAATCCCCAGTTCTATCCCCTCCTTGCGCATCTGCCATTTCAGCCGCTTCAACAGCTTGAGATGCTTCTTGCTCTTCTCGTGCTCTAAAAACTGTTTCTCATGCCTGAAATGCTTGTCGCAAATAATACACTCGTACAGCTCCTCGTCCTCGCTTTCGTCCTGCTCTTCCGTATACAGCTTGTCCAGCTGCTCTTCGATCTCCGCCAGGTCGTCTGGGTCCAGCATTTGCCAGCTCTGCTCGGTGAACTCTGCCTTGTCCCGCTGCCGCTGCTCTTTTTCTCGCTGCGCCTGCTGCTTCACCTCGTCCTGCTGCCTTCTGATCCGCTCCTGCTCGTACTCGCGCTGCGCAGTCGCGTTCACGCGCGGGTCGCGCTTCTTCAAAAACGAAATTAGCCGGCGCACGGCCTCGTTGTACTCTTTGCGCGCAGAGTCTCTGATTTTTTTATTTTCCTTCTCCATCAGCCGTCGGGTGCGTCTGTCCGGCGCGCTCGAGTACCGGTACTCATCTAGCCAGCTGAAACTCTTCACAGAAGCGAAATTGCCCCACACCTTGTAGAAAATCCGCACGACTTCGCCGTAGTCAGACCGCGACTTGCCGAACCTCGGGTAGAGCAGCTCTTTAGGGTCGCACGCATTGGCAATCGGCGTGTCGTCTTTGTAGCTCTCAAAACCAGGCAGTTTCTGTTTCTTGCCCGCAGAAACCTCCTCGCTCGCAATGCGGTCGAGAACAACCCCAGCAACAGCATAGAACCCGCTGATCGAGTCGTCCATCCTAATGTACAGATCTGGATTCAGATATTGCGTAATGTCGTCCACAGACAGGCCGGCGTAGTACACCTCGGCGGAATTGTCGTCACCAAGTTCCCGATCGCCGTCTTCCATCAAAATCTGGAACTTGTGGGAATCGTACCACGCCCGTTCCTGGGGATCGCTGAGGGTATCGTATGCTACCTTGACCTCATTGAACTTGCGACTTGCGCCCTCGACATCGTCTGGGTTCTTGTCCGGATGAAGCTGGAGCGCCTTTTTCCGGTAAGCCTTCTTGATCTCCAGATCAGACGCCTCCACGCTCACCCCCAACAGCTCATAGTAGTCGGTCTTCATTTAACAAGGGCATTTATTCAATTTAAATCTAAATAATTTTTTTGGCACCACGGTGCACAGGTGGGTTGGGAGCCCCGAGTCTCTAGATCGTAAATTTGGACACATAGTCAAATTGAATTAACAAAAACAATTAGTTCTAATGGTGGTCCTAGCAGCTTCGATCTGTACAAGAGGCGGAAAAGCCATTATTTCCAGACAATTCAGAGACCTGTCGAAGGACAGAGTCACCTCGTTGCTGGCTGCCTTTCCGACGCTGCTGCCGGACACGACAAAAACCCAGCACACCACGGTCCAAGGTGAAAATGTCAGATACGTTTACCAGCCATTGGAGGAATTTTACGTGGTGTTGATCACCAACAAGCACTCTAATATTCTGCAGGACATCGACACGTTGCATTTGTTCACACAGACCATCACGTCGATTCTCAGAACGGTCGACGAGAGAGAAATCTTTGACAACTGTTTCGAGATCCTCAACGCGTTCGACGAGATCATCAACCTGGGGTACAAGGAGAACCTTTCGCTGTCGCAGATCATCACGTTCCTGGAAATGGAGTCCCACGAAGAAAAGATCCAGGAGATCATCGAGCGGAACAAGGAGCTGGAGGCCGCCGAGGAGAGAAAGAGAAAGGCCAAGGAAATACAGAGAAGAGAGATGATGAAGAAAAACATGGAGTCCTACGAGTTTCAGCAGTCCCAGAACTTTGTCCAGCCGTCGTACCAGCCTCCAGCACAGCCCGAACACCAATTCACACAGCCATCGTACACGGCGCCGGAGAAACAGTTCACCAAGGCTCCTCCAAGAAAGGGCGGCCTGCAGCTGGGCAAGAAGACGACGAGTCTGGGTGGCGAGGCCCAGCCTCTTCTCATCTCGACTCCTACTCCGCAGCCGTCGACCCAATCGACGCCATCCTACGAGCCTCCCGCCAAAGAGCGGATCCCCAACAACGGCATTCTAATTCTCGTCAACGAGAAGTTCACCGGCCAGATCACAAGAGAGGGCTCGATCTCGACTGCGGAGGTGCAAGGAGACTTGCAACTCAGAATAAACGATCCGTCGCTAGCATACGCTCTTGTGAATCTCAAACTCGGTTCCACGCAAGAGCGCAACACTCAATACAAGACGCATCCGAAGGTGGACAAAAACCTGTTCAATTCTGAATCTGTCATCGGCATGAAGGACCAGTCCAAGCCGTTTGCCTCGAACGACCAGCCATTGGGCGTGCTCAGATGGAGGTCTGTGTCAAAGACGTCCGTTTCGGGCGAGTCCAGCTCCTTGTTGCCTCTGGTGTTGACCACCTGGGTGAGCAACAACGAGGACGGCACCGTGAACCTCACGTTTGAGTACGAGGCGCATCCAGAGAAGAAGCTCGACGAGGCCAGCTTGCTGATACCGACTGGCGATGCTACCATTGAGTCGAGCGACCACAACAACGTGGCGCTGCAATACATTGAGGAAGGTCTGCTGGTGAAACTGTCGGACTTAGTGGAGCATCCGTCAGGCTCGTTTGAAATTCTCTGTCGCGGAATCGATGACGAAGAAGCCTTATTCCCGATGGAGGTCGTTTTTTCTGTTTCGCAGCGGGTGGAAGCCGGCGAGCAGGTTGGCGACGTGACTGTTGTTTCTGTGGTGAGCGCCGAGTCGAAGGAAGAGCTGCCGTTCGACGTGCACTACAACGCCTCGAACGAGGGCTACTACATAATCTAGAAAATGCAATGAAAGGCATGGACTGTAACAGCACAGCTTTATTTATTTCGTTCGATTCCGGAATCGGACACCGGGGCGAGTTTTGGGATTTCCCCGGGTCGAAAAATTAAATTAAATATAATTCGAGTGCTTCTTACAGGCTGTAGCAAGACTTATTGTTGTTGCCAAAAGAAAACATGCTAAGTGCGAAACTGAGTGCTAAGAGAATCGGATCAAGAGCTTTTTCGGCCACCACCAGAGCCATGAGAACGGAGAAGGATGCGTTTGGAGACATCGAGGTCGCCGACAACAAGTACTGGGGAGCCCAGACTCAAAGATCGTTGCAGAACTTCAAGATTGGCGGGGCCAGAGAAAGAATGCCGGAGCCGATCGTGCACGCGTTTGGTGTCCTGAAGAAGGCCGCTGCCACGGTCAATGCGGAGCTCGGCATTCTGGACCCGAAGCTCGCCGATGCCATCAAACAGGCGGCCACCGAGGTCGCGGAAGGGAAACTCGTCGACCACTTCCCATTGGTGGTTTTCCAGACGGGTTCGGGAACCCAGTCGAACATGAACGCCAACGAGGTGATTAGCAACAGGGCCATTGAGATCCTCGGCGGAAGACTGGGCTCCAAGAAACCCGTGCATCCAAACGACCACGTCAACATGTCGCAGTCGTCCAACGACACGTTCCCGACTGTGATGCACATTGCTGCCGTCACAGAGATCACCAACCACCTGCTGCCAGAAATGAGGGCTCTGAGAGACTCTCTTGACAAGAAGGCCAAGGAGTTTGCCGACATCATCAAGATCGGCAGAACTCACTTGCAGGACGCCACTCCGCTGACTCTCGGGCAGGAGTTCAGCGGCTATGTGCAGCAGTTGACCAACGGCATCGCCAGAGTCGAGCACAGCCTCGAGAGCCTGAGATATCTGGCCCAAGGTGGCACTGCCGTTGGCACTGGTTTGAACACGAAAAAAGGCTTTGCCGAGAAGGTGGCAAGCGAGGTTTCGAAACTGACCGGTCTGCAGTTCCACACTGCGCCTAACAAGTTCGAGGCTCTTGCTGCGCACGACGCCGTTGTCGAGGCCTCTGGCGCGCTGAACACGGTGGCTGTCTCGCTGTACAAGATCGCCAACGACATCAGATACCTTGGTTCTGGCCCTAGATGCGGCTACGGCGAGCTCTCTTTGCCTGAGAACGAGCCGGGCTCGTCCATCATGCCGGGAAAGGTCAATCCTACCCAGAACGAGGCCATGACCATGGTGTGCACGCAGGTGTTTGGAAACCACTCGTGTATCACGTTTGCCGGCGCCTCGGGCCAGTTCGAGCTGAACGTGTTCAAGCCGGTCATGATCTCGAACCTGCTGTCCTCGGTCAGACTTCTTGGCGACGCGTGCTACTCGTTCAGAGTGCACTGTGTTGACGGCATTGTGGCCAACAGAGACAAGATCGAGAAGACTCTGCACGAGTCGCTGATGCTTGTCACTGCTCTGAACCCAAAGATCGGCTACGACAACGCCTCCAAGACGGCCAAGAACGCACACAAGAAGGGCCTCACTCTGAAGGAGAGCGCTCTGGAGCTGGGCATGCTGAGCGAAAAGGAGTTCGACGAGTGGGTCAGACCAGAGAAGATGATTGGGCCAAAGGACTAAACGTGTCTGCAACCCGTATTCTAGCTATATATTCGTGATATTTATCAGCTACCAAAAATTCGTCCGTCGATCGACCGTGCACAGTGGCAAAAGAAAAAGTATCGGACCTGAATAATTCATCCATGTTTTCTTGCTCAAGACGAGTTTTCAGAGGCCGTCTTGTGCGCAGCGCGTGCACCCGGCTGGCGAGCACGGTCCACCACCAGTATGCTAAACCATTGCTAGGCAAAGAGGCTGCGCTCTGGGTCAACGCGGACGGGATAGACTTCATACCTGCTTCTGTGAGCCCGCCCTGTGTGGCTGGCGGGACGATGTTTGACCTGAAGTCGAAGAAGAACGAGCCCGACCCGAAGGACGAGTCCAAGAAGAAGGACAAGGACAAGAAGGACGACGAAAAGGACAAGCCAGACAACAAGACGCCCAGAACTTCGAAACCACGGACGCTTGCCCCCTCTGCCGGCTCCGGCGTCGCTGCAGGCGCCAATGGCTCCAGCGGGTCGGCAGGAGCCCCAGGCAATCCTGGTTCGGGCGACGACCCTGCAGACGAGGAGTCGTCGGTCAACAGTCCGGCCACAGTCGAGCTGCCAGAGATCTATCCGCCAATTATTGGTCTGCCGATTTCCAGAAGACCGCTGTTCCCTGGTTTCTACAGATCCGTGATCATCACCGACGTGAACGTGATCAAGGCCGTCAAGGAGGCCACGTCCACCCAGTATCCATTCATCGGCTGTTTCCTGTTCAAAGACGAGAACATGGAGGGAGACGTCATCAACTCGAAGGACGAGGTGTACAGCACCGGTGTGCTGGCGCAAATCACGTCTAACGTGTATACCAGAGACACAGAGACCGGCGTGGAGACTTTGACGACCGTGCTGTTTCCTCACAAGCGGATCAAAATCGACGAGCTGTTTGTTCCTAATGTTTCCAAGAGCAAACACAGCTTTGTGAAAGTTTCCACCACAGATGTGGACGAGTCGGCAGGCAAGCAGATCATCGAGGGAATAACCGGCGAGAAGGAGGGCGACGAGCCAAAGTCTCCGTCGGAAGTCATCAAGTCCAGCGACGAGGACGTTGTCATTGACGAGGACGACGAGTACAATCCTACCGCGTTCCTCAAGAAATACCCAATTAGCTTGGTCAACGTGTCCAATGTCGAGGACGAGCCGTATCCGGACAGAGACCCAAGAGTGAACTCATTGACTGCCATTACCCTTGAGACGCTGAGAGAGATCACCAAGCTCAACAAACCGTTCAGTGACCAGTTGCTTTACTTTATCAGCTCCCTGAAGGGCGACGTGTACCACCATCCTGAAAGACTGGCAGATTATGCTGCCGCTGTTGCTGCTGCCACTCCACAGGAGCTGCAGGACGTGATGGACTGCACAAACATTCCAGACAGACTGGATAAGGCCTTGAATTTGCTAAGGAAGGAACTGATGAACAAGGAGCTGCAGAAACAGATCGAGCGGGACCTCGAGGAGAGAATGGCCAAGAGACACCGCGAGTTCAACCTTCAGGAGCAGCTCAAGTGGATCAAGAAAGAGCTTGGAATTGACGACGGCAGAGACAAGCTGATCGCCAAGTACAACGAGCGGGCGTCCAAGCTGAAGTTCCCCGAAGAGGTGCAGAAGGTTTTCCAGGAGGAAATCAACAAGCTGCAGACCTTGGAGCCGCTGATGGCCGAGTACGCTGTGACCAGAAACTACCTGGACTGGCTGACCCAGTTGCCATGGGGACTGCAGTCGAAAGACAGATACGATCTCAAGATTGCCAAGCAGATTCTGGACGAGGACCACTACGGTCTGAAGGAGGTCAAGGACCGGATTCTGGAGTTCATTGCTGTCGGCAAGCTCCTCAACAAGATCAACGGTAAGATCGTCTGTTTTGTTGGTCCGCCCGGTGTTGGTAAGACGTCTATTGGCAAGTCCATTGCCAGAGCACTGAACAGGAAATTCTACAGGTTTTCAGTCGGTGGACTGACCGACGTTGCAGAAATCAAGGGCCACAGGAGAACCTATGTCGGTGCCATTCCTGGTCGCATGGTGCAGGCTCTGAAGAACACAGAAACCGAGAACCCGCTCGTTCTGATCGACGAGATCGACAAGATCTCGCACACCCACCACGGCAGCGGCGGCGACCCTTCCGCTGCGCTGCTGGAGCTGCTTGATCCCGAACAGAACGGAACGTTCATGGACTACTACATGGACGTTCCTATCAACCTCTCGCGCGTGCTATTTGTGTGCACAGCCAACACTCTCAGCACGATTCCTGCGCCATTGCTGGATCGTATGGAGGTGATTGAGATTGCCGGGTATGTTGAGGACGAGAAGATCAAGATTGCCGAAAACTACCTTGCTCCGTCTGCTAAGGACACCTCTGGCCTGACTGATGTGGACATCTCTCTAAGAGAGGACACTCTGCAGCAGCTGATCAGAGGCTACTGTCGCGAGAGCGGAGTGAGAAACCTCAAGAAGCAGATTGAAAAGATTTTTAGAAAGGCGGCATTGCGGGTGGTGAAGGACGTTGATGGCGTGGATTTCGACACAAACGAAAAGGTCGAGCAGAACGAGCAGGCCAGGGAGGCCGCGAAGACCACAGAGTCCGAGAAATCCCCGGCAGAGGCCTCCGAGACATCAGGCTCTGAGAAAAACGAAGACAAAGAAGAGCCCAAGGAGGAGGCCAAGGAAGAGGAGGAGCCTCCAAAGGTGGTCGTTCCTGAAGGCTACAAGATCGAGGTGACCCCAGACAACCTCAAGGACTACGTGGGGTCCCCCGTCTACACCGCAGACCGACTATACGAGAAAACACCACCGGGCGTGGTCATGGGTCTGGCATGGACCCAGACGGGAGGGTCTGCTCTGTACATCGAGTCGATCATTGAGCACGCCATCAACAAGGACTCGACGCCAAAGCTAGAGCGCACGGGCCAGCTCGGAGACGTGATGAAGGAGTCTGTGCGGATCGCGTACTCGTTCTCCAAGATGTATCTGGCCAAGAAGTTCACCGAGAACCGGTTCTTTGACCGTGCGCAGATCCATCTGCATTGTCCTGAGGGCGCCACGCCAAAGGACGGACCGTCTGCCGGTGTTGCGATCACGTCGTCGTTCCTTTCCCTTGCTCTGAACAAGCCTCTGAGACCCGACATTGCCATGACGGGAGAGCTCACCTTGACAGGCCGTGTGCTGCGTATTGGCGGCCTCAAGGAGAAGACGCTCGCTGCGAGAAGGTCTGGCGTCAACACGGTGATTTTCCCGAAGGACAACCTTGCCGACTGGAACGAGCTGCAGGACAACGTCAAGGAGGGCATCACGCCCGTGCCTGTTGAGTGGTACGACGAGGTGTTTGCGACGCTGTTTGGCGACGTGACTGCTGATGAGGGCAACGGGGTCTGGAGGAAGGAGTTTGAGCTGATCGACCAAGCCGAGAAGGACAAGAAATGATGTTAGAGATGCTGCATAGTGTTCATGTACATACGGCTGTGTTAGGAGAAAAAATATAATTTAATTTTATTATTTTATTTTATGGCCAAGAAGAAAGCACAGTCGCCCCCCGAGGAGACGATCGACGAGCAGAAGACGCTCGAGATATACAAGCAGGCGCTCACGTTCAACGTGATAGCGAAATACGACCCGCTGATCGACCAGCTCGTGCATCTGACCTCGTACTGTGTGGTATACCGCTTTGACTCCGAGCAGAACGACTGGGTGAAGCTCGACTTCCAGGGCCCGCTGGCGATCTATTCGCGCAAGAGCGAGGTGGCAGGGCCCACGCCAGCGCCGCAGATTGTCCAGAACGACCAGCTGTACACGTTTGGGCTCATTGTGCTCAATAGAATCAAGCCGGAGAATTTCAGCATCGGGCTCATAAGCAACAAGCAGCTGACCGACCCGGACGACGGGATCATTGTCGAAAACACAGACAAGCTCATCATTGTGCGCGACCTGAGCCAGCAGACGTACGGCCTGTGGATCTTCGACGCCGCCGACAGAGACTATATTTGCGAGATCTTGAAATACTGTATAGAAGGAGAAGAGAACTAAATTACGAAGGGGTGCCGCTATCTGGCTGCTGTTTGTAGGGCATGCGTCTTTTGCGCGCCGGCTCGTCCATCGGCGAGTACGCTCCCGGGATCTGCTGGTACAGGGACGGACTGGGCGACGAGACGGGGCCGGCGGTGGCCTGTCTTTTTGCCGGCTTGCGTATCTTTTTGGCTCCCTTTTTATCTCTTGCGGGCGTCATCTCTGCCCCCGCCGACGCAGAGCCGGGCATCGAGCCGGGTATCGAGTGCGGCACCGGCGTGGACACTCCGCGCGCCATGAAGCTGCCGTTCATGTTGGGCACCGGCGTCGAGCCCTGTCTGGAGTCTGCTGGCTTCACGGCGTGCGGATGCCCTGCGGCGGCCACGGCCGAGGCCATCTGCTCTTTCTGCCGCTGGTTGAGCATCCGCTCCTGGTTGATGAGCGCGCGCTGCTGCTGCGTCATGCCTCCCAGCAGCCCGTTCATGCTCGGGTCGCTCGCGTTCGGGTTCATGCCCCCGGAGATCGCCGCCTGCTTGATCAGCTCCACCTTGTGGCGCCACATCTCGACGAACCGCAGCCGCTGGAACTGGCCTGGCTCGTTGGTGTTTGTTTTCGCCGACTCCGACAGACGGTTGTTGTGCGTGTACGACTCGCTCAGAATCGTCATCAGCTGCTCGTACTTGGAGTTTGTGTGCGGCAGGTCCTCGTGCAACGGCTTGTACGGGTAGTTTGTGTACGAGAGCGGGTACAGACTCGTTTTCTGGCCGTCCTGGTCCACTTCCCGCGCGTCGGCCCGGTGCACAAACCTCATCTGATCCGTTTCCGGGTCGTACTCGGGCGCCACCATGTCGTAGGGCCGCAGAGACTTGTCGTAGTGGTACGGGTTCACGATCGGCTGCAGGTTGATGTTTCGATTGGTAGCAGTGAGCACCTCGCTCTCGAACGTCAACGCAAAAGTGTCGTGGAACTGCTGTGTGTCGGCCTGGTACGACAGGTCGTCGTACTGGGCCAGCTGCGTGAACCGCAGCACGGTGCGGTACTCTTTGGGCTTGGCTTTCGTCTCTGGCGCGTCCGGCTTGCCGTCGCCGGGCTCCTGCTTCTCCTGCTTGACGGGGATCAGGTTTCTGTGGTCGTACACTTTCAGAATCAGGCTCCCGTCGTAGAGCTGCACTCCGCCGTCCTTGATCACCTCGACCAGCGGCTCGGGGATCTCGCCCTTCGCCACGTACTCCAGAAACTCCTTCACGGTGGGCGAGCTCTTCGGGATGATGGCGTCCTGGTTGCCGAACCGGTAGTGGTTCTCGTGGATGTGGAACTCGAGCGAGGCCGGATAGTTTTCGAATTTTTTCAGGATCTCCTCGCTGCTCTCGTAGAATCGCTGTGTTTTCGCCCGTCTGCGCAGCTGCTGGATCATGAGCATCTTGCGCTGCTGCGGGTTCAGTTTGGCTAGCTGTTCCTGGGTCAGCCCCAGGAAGTTGCGCTGGCCCGGCTGCTGTTGCTGCTGCTGCGCCAGCTTCTTCTGGACGAGCTGCTGCTGCTGCTGCGGCGTCAATTGGCCCGCGGCCTGCGCAGCCTGCAGCTGGGCCTGCTGTTGTTTGATCATCTGCTGGTGTCGCTTGAGCAGGAGAATGTCCTCGTCCTTGAGCTCGCCGGTCTGGATCATCTGCTCGAGCCGCTGCTGGCGGGTCATCCCGGGCGGCGGCTGGATCGAGTTCAGCAGCCGCATCATGTGCGCCTGGGTGTTGTTGCTCATGGTGGATAAAAAAATATTTCGCGACAACTAAGAAAGCACCGTGCTAGCAAAAGTGCCGGCGGACTTTGGGCGAAGCGTCTGGACGAAGAGTTTGGGCCTCGGTTCGCTGGCAAAGCCGGCCGCGCAACAGCTGAGCGGAACAGTGCAGCGGAGGAGCTGCTTTTGCCCTGCACCAGCGCCGTGGCCGGCCTCCGCTATCCCCTGGATGCCCTGGCTGTACCTGTGTGTACCTGTCCGCTACTTTGTCTGGCGGGCGCCCTCCACTTGTTCAGTTCGCCCCACCCGTCCAGTATCTTTGTCTCCCTCTGCCCCCCCGTAAATAATCTTGCGTTTCTTGCTAACTTTCTTTTTCACCCAATTTCGCCAGACCCGATGATCCATCATGTCCATGGCGTTCCCGCAGTTCCAATACGTCCCCTTTGCTGAAAACAGCCACGACAGCGCCCAGATAGCTTACCCTCCGTCATATCCCAGCAGAACGGTGTACCTGGGCAACATCCCGGCCGACATGGAGCCCCACGAGCTGCTGGACCACGTCCGGTCCGGCACCGTCGAGTCGCTGAAAATCGTGCCGTCCAAGAACTGCGCGTTCGTGTCGTTTCTGGACGAGAACTCCGCCATGCTGTTCCACTCCGACGCCACCCTCAAACACCTCACGATCGGCGGCCACGAGCTCAAGATCGGCTGGGGCAGGCCCACGCCCGTGCAGCCCGTGGTGGCGTCGTGTGTCGCGCGCTACAACGCCACCAGAAACGTGTATCTGGGCAGCCTGGACCCGGGCGTGACCGAGCAGGAGCTGTACGACGACCTCAAACACTACGGAGCCATCGACACGATCAAAATCCTGCCCGAGAAGAAAATCGCGTTTGCGCACTTCACCTCGATCCTCGCGGCCATCAAGTGCATCCAGTCGCTGCCGCTCGTGGACAAGTACCGCGACAAAAAAGTGTTCTACGGCAAGGACAGGTGTGCGTTCGTCACCAAGACACAGCAGCACAACGCGGCACAGTATTTGGGGCTGAACCCAAACTGCGACAACCTCGCCGCGCAGGTCGACAGAGACGCGATTGCCGACACGCTGGTGCGCCAGAGCAACGCCGCAGCCATCATCGCCACGTCGGCAGGCGGCCAGGGCAACCAGGGCAACCGCACAATCTACCTGGGCAACCTGCACCCGGACTCGACCGTCGAGGAGATCTGCAACGTGTGCCGGGGCGGCATCCTGCACCACGTCCGGCTGATCCCTGAGCGGCACGTGTGCTTCATCACGTTCATAGACCCGGTGTCTGCGGCGCAGTTCTACGCCATGTCGTCGCTGCACGGGCTCGTGATCCACAACCGCAAGATCAAGGTCGGCTGGGGCAAGCACTCGGGCCCGCTGCCGAACTCGATCAACCTGGCCGTCGGCAACGGCGCGTCGCGCAACATCTACATCGGCGGGCTCGACAAGATCCCGGAAATCAAGTTCACCAGGGAAAAACTGTACAACGATTTCAAGGTGTTTGGCGAGACAGAGCAGATCAACTTCTACGACGAAAAACACTGCTGTTTCGTCAACTTCACCAACATCTCCAGCGCAATCAAGGCGATCGACGGCATCAGAAACAACCCGGACTACAGAAAGTGCAAGATCAACTTCGGCAAGGACCGCTGCGGCAACGCGCCGCGCAACTTCCAGGGCCCAAACGGCCTGCCGTTCATGTCGGGCCAGGTGGTGAACGACGTCACGGGACAGCAGTTTGGCGACTACAGCGACGACGACGACGAGCCGCCACGGCCGACGGGCGCGTCGCTCGACGCAGAAAACCCAATGGGCATTTTCCGAAAGCAGAACTAACCGTACATATTCTATTTACTGTATCAGTTGATTTAGAGTTTTTTTTCATGTCGCCCCTCCGCTAATAGATATTTGCCCCTCTCCTATCCGATATCGAATCTATTCCCTGCCCTATCCAATATATAAACCTCTGTTGAACCACTCTCTCTCCCAATGCTCCGCACCCTGCAAGCGATCTCGCGCAAAGTCGACTCGCTCGGCGTCGAGTCCAGGGGCATCGAGCGCTGCTTGCCCGACGAACGGTCCACGTCCAAATGGGTGCTCCTGTCCATTGCCGGGCTGTGGAACTCGGGCTGTGGAGGACTCACCTCCATGTCCTCCTTCTTCCTCGGCCCGCTGCTGTTCGGCCTGGGATACAAGGACTCCATGGTCGTTGGGCTGCTAGGAATGCTGCTTGGGTGCCTGCTCCCCGCGTACGCGGCCACTCTGGGCCCCAGGTCCGGCCTCAGACAACTGTGCCTGGTGCGCTATCTGTTTGGCCGTTTGGCCATCAAGGTGGTGTGTCTGATATCGGTGGTCGGGCTTGGCGGGTGGACAGTCACGAACTCTGTGATCGGCGGCCAGATCCTGCTCTCAATGAGCAACGGCAGGGTGCCCATCGAGATCGGGATCCTCATTATCAGTCTGCTCAGCGTCGTGGTGTCCATTTTCGGGATCCGGCTGGTGCTCAAGCTCGAGACCGTCGTCGGCGTCGTCGTGATCATCACGGTCGTCCTGATGTACCCGATGACCCGCCACGACATCACCCAATTCCACGGCACTGTCTCTGTTGGCGACGGACTCACGGTGATCGGCAACCGGCTCTGTTTCTTCACGCTGTGCTACTCTGTGACGGCCACCTGGGCAGGCATCGCGTCGGACTACTACATCCTATTGCCCGAGACGTTCAGCCAGAAAAAAGTGTTCTTCTTCACGCTTTTCTCGATCGCCGTCCCGACCACCGTGGGAGCAGTCATCGGACTGCTTATCGGCAACGCTGCCGTCTCGAAACCGACATGGGCCGCGGCCTACGAAGCGTCCTCGCTCGGCGGCCTGCTGAACCTCGTTTTCGACGCGTGGGGCGGGTTCGGCAAGTTCCTGCTCATTCTGCTGTGGCTCTCGCTCATGACCAACAATATCATCAACCTGTACTCGTCCGCGCTCATCATCCAGATCGTCGATCCGTGGGTGTATCGCAACATCCCGCGCTGGTTCATGGTGCTCGTGGTGTTTGCCGTGACGCTGGTGCTCGCGATGGCCGGCAGAGACAAGCTGAGCACGATCCTGTCGAACTTCCTGCCCATGCTTGGCTACTGGATCACGATCTACTTTGTGATCCTCGTGGAGGAGAACCTGATCTTCCGCTCCACCAGGCTGGTCAATTTGTTCAGATTCGAGTTCGCAGAGGACCATATAGCCGACGACGTCGAGTCGAAGGAAATGGCCTGCGAAGCAACGGTTGCGCCAAAGTATGGCCAGAAACCCTGCTACAACTTCGCAGCTTGGGACTCCCCCAGCTGCCAGACGTACGGGATCGCCGCGTCTGTGGCTTTCTGCGTGGGGGCCGCCGGCGCGGTGCTCGGGATGGACCAGGTGTACTATATCGGGGTGCTGGCACGCCAGATCGGCGACTATGGCGGCGACATCGGCACGTGGCTGATCGTCGCGTTCACGGGGCTCTCGTACCCGCTCCTCAGGTACGCAGAGCTGCGCATTTTCGGCAAATAGAAAAAATATCAATTTATTCGGGGTCACTGGCTATTTGCTCCCTTGTTGGTAAATATCGACACGAGATAGCACTTGAAAAACCACTTGAGCGACTCCAGCAGTCCGGCCATCGACACCAGCCACGAGTAGTAGTTTTTCTTGTGCGACACGTGGTTCGGTTCCGGCGCCGGTTCGTGCTCGTGCTCGTGCTCCTCGTTGGCTGCCTCCTCTGGCTCGTCCTGCTGGTCCCCCACCTCAACCCAGGCAGACGACACTGTGGAGTCCGGCTCCTCCATGGCCTCGGTGATCACAGCAACGTTGTTCTGCGTCCCCAGCTCGTTTGTCTCTGTGGCCTCTTGGTCGTTGCAAACCCACTCCTGCTCGTTGACAACAAATTTATACAGCAATTTGTCCCCCACACGGACATTGCTCAGTTTCAGCCGGGTAGCCCATCTGGTGCCTACAGCGTCGTACTGCAGTGCGTTGGCCGTCTGCGACCAGTCGTTGAACGAGCCCGCCACGTGGACGCTGTTGAAGCTGTGGGCGCTGTCGTCGAGGTGCACTTCCAGCGAATACATAAAGGGGGAGAAAAAAAAGTGAGGGATAAATATTTATCTCAGGAGCCGGGTCGCGGCCGATCTGCCGCGATCTGGAGGTGAGGGACGCTTCAGGCTGCCGCGCTAAGGCGCCCCTTGTTGCTAGCCATGTACAACCCGAAAGTGAGAGTCCATGCTGGCAGGCTCAGGTGATGCATCCACAGACGATCGACCCGTCGAAACATTAGACATATTTTTTATATTTATTTTTGTTTTCCTCGCATGTCGCAGACGACTCCCCTGGGCCCAGAATTGAAGGTCGACCTCACTCCCGTGCAGAGTCACATGACCCACGAACGGCACGAGGTGACAGAAACGCTGCGCAAGGCACAGCTGGGCCAGACGCTCGCTCCCGAGAAACTCAACAACAACTACTCCTATCTCAACAAAGAGGACAATTCGACCCCGCTATCGTTTGCGTCCTCCAACAAAACGCCAGTGTCGATCCTGAAAAATTTCAAGTTCAGTCCCGACCGCAAGTCTGTCAGCGAGGACTTTGTCAACTCTCAGCCCGGCCTCCGCATGTCCAAGACGCAGGACGGCCATTTGAACCCGGTCAAGGGAGCGTACAATGTCTTCGACAAGCGATCGTCGGGGTCGCCGATCAACGTGGTAAACCGCAAAAGAAGACGGCTTTCAAACTCCAGTCTGTGGCAGAATCTGGACAACAAACAGCCCCAGCCAGTCGAGAAAATCCCGCCTAAAGAGTCCAATCTCTCCAAAATCGTCTACAGTCTACTGTCTGACCCGCAGTGCGCGTCTAATCTTACGCTAGTGGTGCAGATCCTGCTCAACACGCTGGTTTTCGCCTGTTTCATGACCGTCGTGCTGTTCTCGTTTCTGGCCGTCAAACGAGACGCAGACCGCAAGATTCAGGGATATTCCAACAAGGTGGTGCACGAAATCAACATGTGCAAGCGCGAATACTTTAGGAACAACTGCTCGCCCGAACTGCGCGTGCCGGCGCTCGAGGAGTCCTGCAACGAGTGGGACAACTGCATGAACAGAGACCCGGAGGCGGTGATCACTACAGTGGCGTATTTCGAGATCCTGGCCGAGTGCATGAACGCGTTCTTCCATAATCTGAGTTTCCGCACGCTCTTTGGCCTTATTTTCCTGACCCTGTTTCTTGTGCTGGTGCCCAACATTCTGTTCAACAAATTTAGGTCCTCGAAAACCACCACAACCAATAATTACTACCATTTCAATCCAGACCAGTCGACCGCCAACGCGTCGCAGATCTCCCAGATATCCAGCATGTCGCCGCTGCGCTCGCCAGCGAGATCGCCACAGCGCATATTGGACTCGTCTGTGTACTTCACTCCTCCGGCAGCGTTGTTGATGAAAGAGGACGGCACCAAGATCCCGGGCTCGAGCGTGCGGTTCGACTCGAACATCAGCTACCACGAGATCCCTGGCCTCGAGGCTAGTCCTCTGGGCAGGTTCGTCAACAAGGATAGATATTGATTACACCAACTAATGACATTGTACATAATTAGACAGCCAGTTTCTTTCCGCCCATCAGCTGACTCAGCAGCTCTGCGCTGTTTGTCGTCTTGATGTTGTCAGCGCTGGCAGCAGGGAAAAGACCGGGAGGCGGAGGTGTGGCTGTGCTAGGCTTGTCCTGGCGCAGCGCTTTCAGCTTCTGCTCCTGGAGTAGCTGTTGTTGTAGAAATTGCTGTGCAGACTGTGTGCTCTGCACGGGCTGCTTGCCGCCCTGGAGTATGTTGTTCGGGTATCTCTGGGGCTGTGGCTGGTAGAACTGGTGCTGTATGGAAGTCTGTGCTGGCTGTGTAGGCTGTGCTGGCTTGGCGGGCTCCTGCAGAGCTGCCGTCTTGTAATTGTAATTCTTGCTGAACGGAGCAAACAGCAGCGAGTCGACGAGCCGCGACATGTGCTGCTTGTTGTCGCCCTCCGACAGCATCGACTTCTGCATTTCTTCGGTGGAAAACAAATGGAACGAGCTCTGGACATTACTTCTTCTCATGCTTGGCTTGATGGCGTAGGACACTTCCTGCTGGTTGTTAAGCAGCTTGATGCAGTCGTCGATCAGCTTGTAGCAATATAGCGAGTCTTCCACCACGCCGGTCTCCTTGCCCCTGTCCTTCTTCTTTGTCTGCACAGAAGGAGTCTTGACTGGTTTTTGCAAAATAGCGTCGCCAAGTGTTGGAAACGCAGATAGCGCTGCAGGGGCCGAGGAGAGGTCGCTGACGGACGACGGACCGAGTCCCAGATTCGACATCTGGGACTGTGTCTGCTGCAACTTGGCCCACGCAGCCGTTGGCGGCAGACCAGGCAGGTTGTTTTCGTCCTCGTGGGCAGACGAGGGAGCAGGAACAGCCGACGAGGGAGCAGGACTGTGGTCCTGGTACGAGCTCGAGTCGGTGTCGTTCTGGCTCGCTGGCGGAGGAATCAGGCCGTTGACCGCGCTTCTCTCCTCGAACTTCTTGTTGATGGCCCGTGTGGACAGGTCTTTTCTGGTGTACGAGTCGGCCTCTTCTCCCGGCTCGTGCAAGAACATGCAGTTAGGGTTCGGACAAGGCTGGCCCCTCAGATACGACGAGCAGTACTTTGTGGTTCCGTGGGCGGCCTTGAGCACGCGGCCGTCGCTGATCGACCCGTCAACAGCAGCAATGCACCGTGCAGCGTCCTCTTTCCTGGCAAACGTCACGTACACCCCGTAGCCAGGGCTGGTGTGGTGGGGGTTGTTTGGGTTCGGGGTTCGCTTGTTGATGACGATTTTCGAGATCTTGCCGTACTGGCCAAAGTACTTGTCGGAACGCAGCACAGACGGCAGCTCGTCTGCGCTGCACGGTGGATTCAGCCCCACGACGTACACGAGGTTCTGCTGTATGACTCTCATTCCCGCGAGATGGTGGCGTTTGGCCTGCTCGGCGTCCTTCTTCTCTTTCTCCACCTGTCTTCTCTCGCGCTTCTGCTTCTCCTTTCTGGCCTGGTTCATCTTCCACTCCTCAGGGCTCACGCTCTTGTGCACGACGTTCTTGTCGTCGTACGGTCTGCGGCACGCAGGACACTTTCCGTTGAGCTCTGGGTTGGTGCGAATGTTGTTGTAGCAGAACTGGCACACCTGGTAGCCGCACGGACACGGCCAGAAGTTTTTGTCGGTGATGTCCATCTCTTCCACACACAGGGGACACAGATCGTCCTCCTCGTCGGGGACGAATGGGTCGTTCTTATCGTTGAATGGGTCGTAGAGCATTTTCTGGCGACAGGGGTTACTATGTTCTGGGCTTGCTGGGCTGTAATCTGTGATGCTTGGTCTTTTGGTTTCTGTTTGCCTTTAATTCAGATGTTTTTTTAGCATTATTTTTTGCCCGTCTTTGCTGGTGGCAGCACAAAAAAAATAATTTATTTCAATTTTATCAAACATTTTCACTCCGGAACCACAACAAGACCCTGCCAGCCATGGAATCCGAGGTCGCCCAGCTGATCTCGCATCAGACAAACCCCGATAATTACGTGCGGGCCCGCGCCGAGCAGGAGTTCGACCAATTGGTGCGCGCCGACCCCAGCCAGGCCCTGTGCACGCTCGTCGTGGTCGGCACCTCTCCTCACCTTGATCTGGCCGTGCGACAGGGCGCGCTGCTGCACGTGAAACGGCTCGTGCCCAAGTTTTGGTCGCCGGCGTTCGATTCGTACGAGGGCCCGTCCACCATCGCCGCCACCGCGAAACAGTTCGTGCGCGACGGCCTGCTCAAGCTTGTGGGCGACGCAGACTCCAAAATCCGCAACAGCGCCAGCTACGCCATCACACAGATCTCTGCGGTGGACTACCCGGACGAGTGGCCCTCCCTGCTCAGCGACCTCTACGCCGCCGCCACCGACAAGGCCAGCACCGCGTACCAGGTGCTTGGCTCGCTAGCCGTGCTTCAGGACCTGTTTGACGACCTCATTCCGGACGAGCAGTTTTTCGAGGGCGGCGTGTCGGTGCGCATTCTGCAGACGTGCGAGATGATCCTGACCTCCGACTCGTACAACTTCCAGATCAAGGCCCAGACGCTCAGGCTGCTCAAGACGGTCGTCGATATCTTCAACAGCGCCGAGGTGAGCGACCACCCGGCCCGCAAACAGTTTGTCGACCAGGTGGTGCCGCGGCTCGTCGACCTGTTTGCCGCGATGGCCGCGCAGCTGGTCGAAAACGAGGCCCTGCTGCGGTCCTTGGTTATCGTTGGTTTGAAGAACGAGCTTTATGGCTGTCTTAGTGCCCTTGCCAACACGTTTCCCAAGCTTGTTGCGCCGCACGCGCCACGGCTGCTCGACACGGCCGTTCGCGAGCTCGCCAGCACGGCTGCCGTGTACGTGCCGCTCCTGGCTGCCCAGGACATCGAGGCGGCCACCAACGCGCAGTTCTCGGACGTGACCGAGTTCCAGAGCGTGCACATCGAGCGCATCGACTCGTCAGAGCTGCTGGCGACCGCCGTTGCCGGCACGATCGCGTTTCTGCAGGCTCTTGCCGACCTGCCGGACACGCTCCTGCCGGAAGCGACGGTGCACGAGCTATGCTCGCTGCTGGTGCAGCTGAACGTGCTGCCGCGCGAGGCACAGGCCGGCTACGAGGCCGACTACAACGAGTTTGTCAGCGTCGAAACAGAGCTCACCATCGAGACCGGCACCGTCGTGCGCGACGCGACGAGAGACCTGCTCGAGACCGCCAACACGGAGCTGAACGGCGCCATGGTGGCCGAGCTCGTGCGGCGGCTCACGGCGCAGGCGCGTGCCGACGCGGCCGACGCGTCGGTCGAGAGCACGGCGTACCTGCTGCTGTGTCTGTTCTCCAACGAGGCCGAGCTGCAGCCGTCGTTCGAGCCGGCGAAGCTGCTCGATTTTTTGCTGCAGCTGGTTCCGGAGCAGTTCCACCGCGCGCAGCTGCTCTCGGCGCGGCTAATCATGCTGGTCCCAAAATTCCTGATGAAGTACGAGCCGTACCTCAAGGAGTACGGCGTGCGCGCGCTGGAGCAGATCCTGAGCCTGCCGCTCGACGCGGACCACGAGCTCGTGGTCGCGGCCGTGCTCATTGCATTCCAGTACTTCAACCACTTCATTCCCTCGGCGCAGTTCACCACAGACATCCAGACGCGGCTGCTCCAGCTGGTCAAGCAGCTCGCGGACTCTGCCGCCGAGGACACCAACATCATGCTCCTCGAGGCGCTCACCATCATCATCAACATAGACAACCGCGCGCTTGCGGCAGACGAGGCCACGCTCATGCTCTGCATGAACCTCGGCTTCCGCGACTGCTCGAACTTCTCGCTCACGGCGTCCGCGCTGGAGTGCATCGAGGACCTGCTCAAGGGCCTCCCGGAACACACGTACGTGGGGCTGTGCTACAAGGCGCTGCCGCCGCTGCTGAAGGTTGTTGGCGACTCCAACGGAGAGTACTCGGCGGAGCTGGACCTGGCACTGCAGGTGCTGGCGGTGTTTCTGAAGGGCCCCGGGAGCGAGGACGCTGCCGTGCCCCAGGACGTCTTCCAGGCGGTGTTTCCGTCCATCTGCGGCCTGATCCTCAAGTGCGACGACGACGAGGTGCTGCAGTCGTCGTCCGAGGTGTTCAACGTGCTGCTGTCCAGAGGCTCGCCGCAGATCCGCGCGTACCGCGACGCCGCGTCCGGCGCAACGGGCAACGAGCTGCTGCTCAAGATCGTGTCGAAGTTCCTGTCGCCGGCGATGAGCGACCGCGCGATCGTGCGGCTCGGCGACCTCATTGTGCTGCTGATCACCAACTTCAGCTCCGAGTCTTCTGTGTGGCAGCACTTCCAGGACATTCTCCGGGCGGCCACCCTGCGCCTGCTGGCCGCAAAGGAGATGATCACGATCGAGAACCTCGTGCTGGTCTTCAACACGCTCACCGTCCTGCAACCACAGCAGACCGTCGACTTCCTCGCCGGCTTTGCGGTCGACGGCGGGTCTGCGCTCGAAAAAGTGCTGCCCGTGTGGCTGCAGGCGTTCGAGGTGATGCGCGGCTACGACCGGATCCTGTCCAACATCCGCGCATTCATCGAGATGTACCGGCTGGACGACGCGCGGCTGAAACGCACGCTGGTCAACGGCGACGTGCTGCCGAACCAGGTGCCGGACGACGTGATCGTGACGCGGTCGATGGCCCGCAAGATGCCGCTCCGGTACGAGCAGGTCGGCGCAGACGTCAAGATCGTGCGTCTGCTGCTCAACGAGTACAAGTTCCAGGTGCGGTCGGCGCAGAAGACAGAGCAGGCCGAGACCGCACAGCCGCCCGACGACGACGACGGCTGGGAAGACCTCGACGACGTGGGCGTGCCGTCGTTCGAGCAGCTGCAGCAGTACGTCCACGAGGACGAGCACACGGGCAGAACGCTCGCAGACAATCACGGCGACGAGATCCGCCAGCTGCTCGCCGCGTTCTTCAAGGAGTGCACGGCCAAGAACCTGTGCGGGTTCCAAGACGTGTACGCGCGGCTCGGCGACGAGGACAAGCGGTTTCTGACCGAGTACGTAGCATTTACCTAGGCATTGCTAATATTTATACACCGCTACAGCTGCAGCTGGACGTCGAAGTCGATCGTCCCGATGACCGCGTCGACGCCGTCTCTCACAAACTTGCACTTGAGCGGCGACTCCTCGCGGTGCTCGGCGTGCTCCGGCACACGCTGCTCCTCGCCGGCCATCTCCTTCTGCGCAGACTGGGCCGACGAGTAGAAGATCTTGGGGTTGGTGCGGAGCCGCGAAAACGGGTCGTTGAAGTTGTTGTTGAGTATCTGTTTCTGGCGGTGCTCCACGTTCAGCTTCTCGGCCCGGCGAATGGCCGTCTCGTTGCTCTTCTTGTTGCGTAGGTTGATCTGGTCCATTCTGCTCAGCTCGCTGTGGCCCGCGTGCACGTACTTGCCCAGCTCGTCGATCTGCTTCGTCAGCGTCTCGACACGCGCCTCGTCCTGCTGCTCCACAGCCACCTGCAGCTCCTCCCGCAGCCGGGCCAGCCGCTTGACCCTGTTGCCCGAGTCCATCGCCGCCACAGAGATGGCCTCCTTTCTTGCCACCATCTTGTTGATGTCCTCGTCCGTCAGCTTTCTCGTCGACATGTCCCGCAGCTCGCGGAACTTCGCGTCCACCTGGCCCACAGACGGCAGCTCCAGCCCCGACTCGTCCAGCCGTCTCCGGTACGCCTCGAACTCCGACGGGCTGAACGGCGAGTCCGAGATGCACGCCATGTCGATCAGCTTCTTCGACTCGCCCTGCGACACCAGCAGGTACACGTCGCACGGCTTGTTCAGCAACCGGTACGGCTTTCCGCCGCGTTTCACCTCCTCGACCCGCGCGACCCTGTACTGCGGCTGGCCCGTCTCCCGCGACACCCCGACGTTCACACGCACATACGTGTTGCGGATGACCTCGTCGAACTCGTCGCGGAACATGAACCGCGACAAAATGGTCCGACTAGCGCGCACCTTGGCGTTCAGGTCCTTCAACGTCGCGTCCTGGTAAAGCTTGTCGTCGTAGTCGCTGGTGGTGTCCTTTTTGCGACGCGTGTCTGTGTCGTCGATCTCGTAGTCCTCCTCGTACGCGTCCTCGTCCTCAGAGCCCTCCTGCTCGTCTGCCAGCTCGTTGGCGTCCATGTCCTCCTCGTCAGAGTCGTACGCTCTGCTCTCCTTCCTGTTCTTCCTTTCTCTCTGCTTTTTCAGCTCAGACAGCTTGCTCGTCCGCAGCGACTTGCCCGTCGTCCGCGACGCCTTGATCGCACTGCTCTCCGCCTTGCTCTGCCGCGCCCTCAGGGCCAAGAACCGTTTCTCCCTGTACTTCTCGCGCTCCTGCTCACGGTCGTAGATGATCTGTTCCCTGGTCACCTCGTCCATCGCCAGCAGCTGCGCCTTGTCGGCGTCGTCCTTGTACTTGCCCTCCAGCGGGTACGGGTCCTGCTCGCCATACTCGTCGTCGTCGTCGTCGTTGTCCTGCTCGCCCTCCGACTCGTCGATCTTGCGCTTGAGACCGCCCGCGCGCTTAGTGGTCTGGATTTCTGGCTCGTAGTCGCTCTCGTCGCCTTCCGAGCCGATTCCGGCAAGCGCCAACAAATCGTCGTCGCTGTCGCTCATGAATAAAACAATATAATATTTTACTATTTATTCAGCTTTACCCGGCCAGTTGGACACAGCCGTGGAAAAATAAATTTAAATAAATCACCCATTGCTAGCCATGGCCTCGCACCGACCTAATTCCGACGCGTCCGATAGAAACGAGGAGCTGCTCAGACCGCAGCGACAGCGCTCGTCCACGGCCAAGAGATCGCCCTCGATCCTCGTCACGGACTCCAGAAAGAGCCAGATAAAGGCGCCTTTTGCCGGCCACAAACAGGAACGAATCAAGAAGTCGGGCCATCCAGAGCGCACAGGCCCGCCGTCGTGGGTCCGGCCGTCCTCGAAGCTGCGCCGCACGCCGTCGGCCTCCAAGTTCAGCGACATCTCTGTCTCCAACATCATCTCCAACATCAGCGACATCCCGTCCTCCAGACAGCGCGAACTGCCCCGGTACATGTCGCCGAACGCGCAGTACATCACCAACCTGTCGCGCTCGGGCCCGCGGATGGTCCCGCAGTACTACAGAACGCTGCCCACGCGAACGTCCAAGACGTCGCAGAAACTCGTGCTGATCCCGGACCACGACCAGGTGCCGTACTCCGTTGACGGCGACGAAGCGTCGCTGCTGCGCGGCCAGGACGTTGGCGAGGAGACCACGACGGACAACATCTTCAACAGCAGCCACGTGCGCACGCGCGCAGAGAAACTGTCCAAGGAGCAAAGAGCCAACGTGTATCCCCGGGTGACGGCGTATCTCATCGCAGAAGGGTTCAATCTCAAGCTCACGAGCAAGTTCCTGTCGAAACACCACATGGTGTCGCCGCGGATGTACGACGAGGCGCTGTATGTGGCGTATTCGCTGCCGCTTCTGCCAGGAGAAAACGGCTACCGCGTGCAGTCCAACAACTCGGCCAAGATGCAGCACGGCAACCAGCTGATGGAGAACTTCATCGACAAGTCTGAGCAGCGCGACCACCACTACGAGTTCTACTCGGGCCAGGACGGCGACCTGGCCAGCGTGAGCTCGCCCAAGATGAGTCCTGCCGGGAGTCTTGTGGACGAGGAGCTGGCTGCGCAGCAGCACAACAGCGAGTTCGACCCATCGGAGCCGCAGTTTTTCGTGAGCACGAGCCCGACAGACAGCATGCTGGAGGAGGAGGAGGTGCGCGAGAGCGACAGCAGCCCAGACGAGCGGAAACAGGAGGACGACGCCGCGGCAGAGGCCAGCTCGGCGATCGACGACACCGAGAGCGAGACCGCGCCGGGCGCCGGCGCGGAGAAAAGACGCTCGTCGTCGGGCTCGCACAAGAAGAAGTCGCACTCGCACTTGCCGGACCTGACCAAACACGCCGAGATGTTCATTTTGGACTACGGCGTGGTGGTGTTCTGGAACTTCTCGGAGATCCACGAGAAAAACATCCTTGCGGACCTGGTCTTCGCCAAGATCCAGCCGGGCGAGTTCGACCTGGACGACGAGGACGAGGACGAGCACGTGTTCACCAATTACCTGGCAGCCAGCACGAGCCGCGAGGAGCCGTCTGCTGCTCCTCCGCAGGCACTCACGTTCATCGTCAAGCCGGTGCCGGAGCACGACATCGAGACGGAAGAGTTCCAGTTCGAGTACATCAGCGACATCCCGACGCCGCGCATCTACAACGACATGATCACGCTCAAGTCCGGCGACCATCTGATCAAGCTGACGATCTCCCACGCAATCGCACAGTCCACCAAACTGTCCATGTTTGAGAGCAAAATGAGCAACATCCTCAACTCGATCTCGCGGCTGCCAAAGGCGCTCGCGCTCACGGGCAAGCTCCAGAACTACACGCGGCAGAAGCTGCTCATCAAGACCGGAAAACTGTTCCAGCTGCGCAACGAGGTCAACCTCTCGTCGAACGTCCTGGACAAACCAGAGTACTTCTGGACGATCGAGCCCGGCCTGGACCCGCTCTACTCGGCCATCCGCGAGTACCTCGAGATCGACCAGCGCGTCGAGGTGATCAACGACCGGTGCAAGGTGTTCCTCGACTTCTTCGACATCGTGGCCGACTCGCTGGCAGAGCGCACCATGACGAAGATCACCATGATTCTGATCATCGCGATCGGCCTCAGCGTGCTGGTGTCCATGATCGAGATCCTCATCCGCTACCTCATCATACATAGGCTGGAGTAGTCATTAATTCTATCTAGGCCTTGGCTCCGTACTTGTTGACGCTCTTGCCGTCCGGGACAGTGAAAAACACGTATTTGCCGTCTGCGTGGGAGTCCAGCCGGAAATAGCCCTTTCTTTCGAACTGGATCACGTCGCCCACCTTCATCTCCTGGACGTTCACGTCCGCAATCGCCCTGGTGTGGAACTCGGTCTGAGGTGTGAGGAAGTCCTCGAAGTTGTCACCCTCGTCCAGCTTGTCCTTGGTGATCAGGTGGTCGAAATCGACCAGGTCGACGTCGACGTGCTTGTCGGCGGCCAGCCACGTCAGCTTCTTGCTAGTCTTGCGGAAGTCGCCGTCCAGGTGCAACGTCGCCTCGATCTCCTTCACCACGCCGTCCTGCCTCACCACCCTGTCGCAGATCACGTTTCCCCAGTCCATGAACGTCACCTCCTCGCCATCTGCAATCGCCTTGGCGTCCTCCTGCTCCAGAAGCAGGTTCGACGAGAAATACACCTTCTTGGTGCCAACAGCAGGGTTCTTCTTGTGCTTTGGTCTGTCCTCGGCGTACTCCTTCTCCGGGCCGTTGGACAGCTTCACAGGAACCAGGTTGTCGGCAGCGAGAGCAGTGTGTCTAGGCGCAATTGGGTCGATCACCTTCTTGTTGGCAGACCAGATGATGTTCCAGTCCAGATTAATGATGTTTCTGGACGGACCCTGCGAGATCACAAAGTTTCTCAGGCCCTCCACGCTCATACCTCTTCTTCTGATACCTCTGACCGTTGGGAACCTTGGGTCGTCCCAGTTGGACACATACTGCTTGTCAACAAACCACTGCAGCTTTCTCTTGGACAACAGCGTTCTGATGAAGTTGACTCTGGCAAAGTCCCAGATGTGCACCTTTCTGAGGTTCAAGGCGCTGAGAATCCACTCGTACTGCGCGTTTCTGTCTCTGTACTCAATCGTTCTCAGAGCATGGGTCACTCCCTCCAACGCGTCCACGACAGGCACACAGAAATCGTACGTAGGGTACATTTTCCATGCGGTGCCGGTCCGGTGGTGAGGAGTCAGGTTGCATCTGTAAATGACCGGGTCTCTCAGCGTCTTGTTCAGCGCCGTGTAGTCGATCTTGGCTCTCAGACAGTTCTTCAGGCCCTCCTCGGTGCCGTTCTTCATCTCCTCGGTGAAAATCTTGAGGTTCTCCTCGACGCTTCTGTCTCTTCTGGCAGACTTCAAACCGTCCATTCTCTCGGCTCTCATCTGCTCCAGCGGAGTGTCATCGCAGTACGCCTTGCCCTCCTTGATCAGCTTGACGGCCAGATCGTACATCTCCTGGAAATAGTCCGAAGAGTACGTGATTCTGTCTCCCTTGATACCCAACAGCTCCAAATCTTCCAGAATCGAGTCCTGAAACTCGACCTTCTCCTTGGTAGGGTTGGTGTCGTCGAAACGGATGATCAGTTTTCCGTGGTAGGCCTCTGCAAAATACTGGTTCAAAATCGCAGCCTTGGCATGGCCAATGTGCAGGTATCCAGATGGCTCTGGAGGGAATCTCGTGACGACCTGGCCGTCCTTGGCGTCGGGCAGATCGATCTCGAAATTCGCCTTGTGGGTCTCCTTCTTGCCGCCCTTAGCAGCCTTTCTGATCTCGGCCAGCGACTTGGCCAAGAAGTCAACCATTCCGCCAAACCTGTTGTCGGCCTCCAGAAATTGGTACCATCTGGTGATGTTGATGTAGACGGAGTTCTTCAGAACAGATCCCATGACGGCGTTCGCACGCAAAGCACCCCAGGCGGCGATGTCGGCGAGCGAGATGTCGTAGCCAACAATGAAAGATCTCAGGTTCAAGTGAGCGTCCAGCTTTTCGAGATCGGCAGACAGTTTCTTGAAGTCTTTCACAGTGAGCTTTTCGTAACTGAACTTGATCCATTCCTGAGACGCCTCCTTGGCCAGAAACAGCTTAGGGTACTCGTCGGCCAAAAAGTTGAGCGCCTCAGGTCCAGAGGTGATGATCTTGTCGCCCTGAGTGAGTCTCAATGGCGAGTTGGCCTCCTTCGAAACGACCTTGTCGTCGACAACGTCAATTTCGATCGATTCCTCGCTGCCGCTGTTAACAAACGCAGCAGCAGTCAACGCTGCGTAGTCGACCAACGGAGCCTTGCCAGCAATTTCCAGTCGAATAGTCATAAGGTGGAAGAAATATTTCTGGGAAATAAAAATTCATGGTGCTTATGTAAATCAAAAAAAGATTGAAAATTAATTAAATCTAGCTTTTCTTCCTATGGAGTTCTCCAAAGTGTATCCGCTGCAGTCGCGCGCCCAGGACGCGTCGGTCAAGCAGCCCAAGGAGCTGGTCAGCTATTCGCGTGACATAGACGGCCAGTACCACGTCGACGACTCGCAGCTGAGCTACTTCTATCTGCCAGATAGCCAGCTGAACGTGCCAGGAGGAATTGATCTGCAGGCAGGTTTCAAGGACTTCCGTGCCAACGGCGAGGACTTTGGCGAGTTCACGGGTTTGCTGGCCGCACTGGAGGCCCATGAGCGCAAAACGGGTGCCAAAACTCCCGCAAACATCATCACCTGGAGAGGTCTCATGAGGAGCCTGATGCTGCTGCCCTTTGTCAACAGAGACAAGATTGTGCTTAACATTGTAGTCTTTGATGGCCAGCTTTTTATCCAGCAGGATTTCCAGAATGCCAGAGAGGCCGCCGAGCTCGAGAAACTGACGCAATCGGACCTCAACAAACGACAAATATATTCCGGATACAAGTTCGAGAAGATCGCGACACTGTCCAAGCCGTGGGCCCAGTGCTCGCGCAAAGAGATCGAGCAGCGCAACAAGTTACCGGTGAACAATATCGAGCAGTACGCAACGGTGGTAAAGACCTCTTTCGGTAAGACAGGACTGGTCATGGGAGCAGAGGTGGACTGTGTTTTCGATTACAAACCAGAGGACGCGGATCCTCTTTCGCACTATGTTGAGCTCAAGACGACGCGTGTGCTGGATTCTCCGCAGGCGGTGTTTTCGTTTGAGAACAAGCTGCTCAAGTTTTGGGCCCAATGTTTCCTCGTTGGCATCCCGAGAATCATATGTGGATTCAGAGACGACAATTTAGTCTTGCGCACTGTCGAAGAGTACAAAACCGAGCAGATCCCGGTGATGATCAAGAACAACCCTTTGCCCAACAGACATCCGTCGAAAAACAAGTTCATGCAGTCTCTGAAGTTCTTTAACGGCCTGATCAACTGGATCAACCAGACGATTCCTCGCGATGAGACAAAAACATACCGTCTGGTTTTTGACCCGGCCGTGAACCCCAACTATTTGAACTTGAGCGAAAACAACGCCACAGTGACGAGCCAGTTGCTGGACCCAGAGACCGGCATGATCTCCAAGGCGTTCAGAGAATGGAGAACCGAGCTTAGGTCAAAATAGAGTGTATATTAATGTAATCATTCATGAGGAGCCGGCTTCTTGCTTCATTTCGTTCAACTTGGCCGTCAGCTCCTCGTTGAGCTCCTTGTTATCGTCCACCACTTTGGTCACGTACCCGGTCAACAGCTCGTTGATCTCGTCTACAACCGCCTCTTCCTGTGTTTTCTCGCCCGAAGGCCCGCTCGATTGGCGTTTGAGCAGGTCAGTCTGTATCAATGCCACCAATCGGCCTTTGTTCTGGGTAAGAATGCCTGGGTCTTTTTCCACTTTGAGGTCGATGAGCTTCTCCAAGAGCTCGTTCAGCTTTGAGTCATCCGAAGCAACAAAATTGTCCAGCAACTGACGCCGCTTCAAATCAAAAAGACCCTCCTTTTTATATTTATTTACCAGTGTCTGGGCATCCATAGGAAAAATAAATAAAAAAAGATAAATAAAATAAAATAATCATAGATATCCTTCCTAATGGCACTCGTATCTGAAGCCCCTCCCAAAAAACGATCCAAGAGACGCGAGGGGCCGCCTTTCAGGTGCGACTACCCCAACTGCACCAAAGAGTTTCTGCGGTCTGAACATCTGTCCCGACACCAGCTCAACCATTACCCTAAAAAGATTTTCCGCTGTCCCCATTGCGACAAGACGTTTGTGCGCAACGACCTGCTTGTACGCCACGAAAAGCGTCATGCTCAGCGTGATGAATTTAAAGAACCCCCACCAAAACAGCTCTCTTCCGTCAACACTATTGTGAGAACGCATAATAGCTCGGCCCCAAGTCCATCTCCGCATATAGGAGAAGATCCCACGCCAAACCTTTTCAGCTGGCTCTTTAGTGAAGATCCTGAGGCCCTTGACCAAGTTAAGCCCAATAATATGGATTCTCTCGAGATGGATCAGATGTTTGCCAATACTGGCCAGGCGTTCTTCCTTCTGGACGGATTTGAGGATATTTCCTCGGACTCTGCTCTTTTCTCCGACCAGCCGATATCTATCGGAAACTCAGAAACACCATACATGAAAAATGAGTACGAGCTCAACGATCTGAAACTAGCCGAGTTCAAAACACTAATTCCCGCCCTGGCCACACACCCAGACTTTTTACAGTTCAAGCTTGAAAAAATGCTACGCACCTACTGGAAATATTTCCACCCCCGGTTCCCCATACTGCACAAGCCCACGTTTGTAGCGTCCCAGACGCCGTCCACGCTGCTGCTGTCGATGTTCATTATCGGAGCGCGACTGTCCAACATTTTTGACGACCTCTACTCGCCAGACCACATAGAGGACCCGCAGTCGTTTGCCGACCTAATAGCCAACCCCTTGAGGTGGCACATATTTTCGTCGCCCGACTTTGAGCCTCCCGCAACGATATGGACAATCCAGAGTCTGCTGCTGCTGGAATTCTATGAGAAAAACTGCTCGTCTCGGAAAATGCACGAGAGAGCACATCTGCACCACGGAACCACGATCCAGCTTCTCAGACGGCTCCCCACGCTGGGCGGCACTCCACAGAAGCTTGGACAGCCCGAAGACGTCAACAACTGGCACAGCTGGATCGAGGTGGAGTCGCTCAAACGAGCTACGTACATGTGTTTCTACATGGACACCATCGACGCCATCATGTACGGCCACCAGGTTCTCATTTACGCGCACCAGGTGCAGCTCACCATGCCTGTGGAGGATGAAGTTTGGGACTCTGATCTGCAGAACTTCAAGCAGGTTATCAAGCGGGCCAAGAAACCACAGAAGTTCCTGCTTGTGCTGAAGAATCTGCTCAATGGAGTGTCGACGCGAACCAATGCGTTTGGAAAAAAAGTCCTGGTTTCCGGGCTGAGTGCCGTGATGTTCCAGATCCAGCAGCGGGACCTGCAACTGGCGTTTGGACTAGACAAGTTTGGCGCGAGCGAGACTGCCAAAAACTGGCGTGAGCTGATGACGGCCGCCTACTCGATCTGGAGAAACGACGTTGGCGTATCCTGCTGCTCATCGAAGACAGCAATCGAAAACGTTAAGGCGTCTTCTGGCTTCATGGAGCTGTCGCAAAAAGATACCCGTTGCAAATGCACGGTGTACCACATGGCCCATGTGTGCATGTCGATTCCCCAGTACGACTTCCTAATTTTCGCCGGAGCGCCCTGGAGAATGAACGTCAAGCCGTCCTCGCCGCTGGAAAGGGATGCTATTTGCAAAAGAGTGGTTGAGTGGACAGAAACCAGACACGCGAAAGTGGCCGTTGTGCAGTGCTACCTGCTGCTTTTCGAGATGTTTCTCTCGCCGCAGGGCGCTCCCGAAGAGTACGAGTACGATTATGACGCCGACCGCGACCTGTTCTTCCGCTCCAACCCGATCAGCATTGCTCTGCTGGTGGTCTGGACGTATGTGTTTATAAAATGCGGCCGCGAGACATACAACCCACAGCTGCCGAAGGAGTCCGGGTACCAGTATCTGCGACGGATCCGTTCCCAGTTCACGTCAGCAGCAGGCTGTGTGCTCGACACAACAGACGAGGAATACACAGGCTCGCAGCTTTACGGCAAGGTGATGAAATGGACAGACGTGCTGGACTCGATACCGGACAAACAGAACCTCGTAGGCCTTCTGGGCATGGTGGGGCACAAGATGGTGACAGCAAGGTACTCGATCGTGAAAGAGCTGGGCAAACTCATTGTCTTCTGCGCACAGCGCAGCTCTGGATCGAGCCAGATAATTCTCTACGACATGTATGATTAATGATATGGTTAATATTAGCATACTCACAACTAGCAAAAGTCACATCCCCATCTCGGCCTGGAGCTCTCTCAGCGCCTTCTCATCTTCGTCCTCTGCCTCGTCCTGCACCTTTCCGGTCGGAGCGTCCGGCAATTGCGACTTGACTGGCTGGGCCGGAGGTTTGACGGCCTGCTTGGTGTCTGTCATCCTATTATCGAGCTCTTCCTGCTGCAGAGCAGCGAGCTCTTCGTCGAGCTCGTCCTCGTCCACAAGATCGTTGCCCAGTGGTCGGCTGATGGCATCGGAGATCTCCTCGCTGAGCTCGACCTGCTCTCTGATATCGTCCATTGTCTGGTCGACCTTGTCGACATTGAAGTCGCCGTGCATCTGTTTCATCGCCTTGGCGCCCTGTTTCATCGCCTTCATCGTCTCCAGGTTCAGGTTTGCAGACTCTATCGCGTTGAGCTGCGTCTCCAACGACTCCACCTGGTTCTCAATCTTGAGTATGTCTGCCTCGAGCTTCTTTTTCTTTTTCAGGGCGATTTTCGCCAGGTTCTTGTTCGACGTGACGTTCTTGCGCGCAATAGCATCCTGCTCCTGAAGCTGCGTCTCTAGAAACGCAGACTTCTTGTTTAGCGTCGAAATATGCTCTCTAAGTTCCACAATCGCCTTCTTGGGAAGTTCTTTCTTCTGCTTCGCGTTGCCGCCGAAGAAGTATCCCCACATCTTGTACTAGCTGTTTCTGTCTGTGTGTGCGGTCTCAGGGTCCTATAACACAAGAAGCACTCGTTGGTGTCGCCCCCCTGTTCTAGTCTGTTATCAAAAGCTGCAATAAAAAATAAATACGGTGTACGGGTTACCTATAGATTATTCAGAAGCGTGGCTGCCGGCGAGCTGCTCGACGCCAGCGACGCGAGCAGGTTCGACAGCACCTCCGTGTCGTCGGTGGGGCTATCTTCGCCCGCTCCCCCACCGTGGCTTGTATCGTCGTCCTGCTCCTCAGAATCCGCTCCTCGCAGCTGCTCCATGTCTTCTTTGCTCAGCTGCAACGCCTCACGACAGAAGAACTCAAAGAAGTCGTCTTCGTCAATGTCAACTCCCTCTTGCCTGAAATAGTCCCGTATACGTGAATCTTCGCTTTCGTCTCCCTCATTCTCGTCCCCATCACTCTCAGACCCTGCTCCGGCCCAGTCTGTCTCTCTATTCATGAACTGTTTCACCTTCTCAACCATGTCCTCGTCGTAGCGCTGTTTCTCCTCCTCCACCTGCTCCGGCTGCTCCCACTCAACACGCTTCTCTATCACGTTGTACCGCAAAAGCTCCCGCTGCAACGGGTCGTGCTCTGTGGTCTTGTTGTGCTGCTCCAGAAAGTCTTCAAAGTCTGTTTCGTCTATATTTTCGCCCAGACCCTCCTCCTGGATCGCCCGATCGGTGATCTCGCCCATTCCGGCCGCCGTCTCGCCGTACTTTTGCAGATCCATGTGCACTATCGCGTTGACTCTAACGTTCAGCTTCACCAGTCTGGACGGTCGCTGGCCGGTGAGTCGAAGCCCCAAAACCCGCACAGGCTCCAGAAAATGCGAAATGGCTGCGCCAGCCACGTACGCTGGCCGGCCAACGAGTTTGCGGGCCGTCTGTTCCGAAACCAGCAGCGACTCCATTTTGATGTGTTTCAGAGCTTCCTGCGGATAATTGGCTATTTTCCTGCGCACCAGCTCCTCCGTGACGTCGCCGAGAACCTCCAGACGGTAGCTGGCCGACTGCAGAAACGCAAGGGCCTCTCCAAGGTCCAGATTCCGTCCCTCGCAGTACTCTTTCGGCACGCAGACCACCCGTCGCATGTTGATCCAGACTCTGTTTGACGCGCACTCCGGCTCCAGCCACCCAGGAACCTGCTGCGCAGCCTCGATCAGCAGAAACTCGCGGTCCTGGTCATACAGATGCAAGTAGATATTCTCGCTCCGGGAGGTGAATCTGAACAGTAAACTTGCAACCACCCACAGATCGTCCATGTTTTCACCGTATTCCAGCTCTCCGTACAGAAAACAGTGTTTATCGTCGACCAGCTCGTACTCAACAGGCCGAACATGCCACGGATAGTGGTCTACGTACGGTCTGAGCTCCACGTCCAAATAGTGCTTGAGCTCGGCGAGTTCTGTCCTGATTTCGGCCTCGTTCTTGTAGACACCGACATAGAAAAGAGCAAAACACAGCGTTTCCGGCGCCAGCAGCTCGTCAGACGCATAGGAATATACCTTGTGATAATCCATAAATCAAAGACGTATATTTATTTTTCTATCTAAATTAATTTTCCAGCACTGTATTTCCGTCCACCAGGGCCCAGTCTATTCTCGCGTCCTTGCCGTATTTTTCATCGAGCCACGCGTTGCACTTGGTGAAGTGCTGGCAGTCGAAGAACCCGCGTGCCGCACTGAGCGGAGACGGATGGACAGACTTCAGGAACAGGTTCACACTCCAGTCGATCTTGCCGACGTTGAACACGGTCTTCTGGGCAGGCGACCCCCACGCAACGATGGCCAGGCCCTTGCCGTTCCGGTTTCTGTGCTCTATCAGTTTCTTGATGGCCTGCATGGTGAACTGTTCCCAGCCTCTTCCCGCATGCGAGTTGGCGTTATGGGCGCGCACCGTGAGACACGTATTGAGCATGAGGACTCCGTTCTGGGCCCATTTGGTGAGATCACCCTTCTTGGGGACCTCAAACTTTGGGTACTCCTTTTTCAGACACTTGTAGATGTTTTTTAGCGACGGAGGAGGCGGAGTAGGGTCCTGGACAGAGAACGCGAGTCCGTGGGCCTGGTTGTAGTTGTGGTACGGGTCCTGGCCAAGAACAAGCACCTTGACGTTGTTGACTGGCGTCAGACGCGTCCACGAGTAGACATTCTCCTTGGGAGGGAAGATAGTCTGGGACTTCCATTCAGAAAGCAGGAATCTCTTGAGTCCGAGGAAGTAAGGCTTGGTCAGTTCCTGGTGCAGGAGGGCGAGCCAGGACGACTCCATGCTGGAGATCTCCAGCTCGAGCAGGTCCCTTTGCTCGGGAGTCAGCGAGTTGACCCATTTCTGCTTATCGAAGGAGCTTGTGGTGGTCACCTGGAGAGTGATTTGTTTCTTGACTGAGTCGGTCTTTCCGACCACTTGTGTCTCTGACGCGACGCTCTTCGCCACAGAGTCCGACTTCTGTCTTTTCACGGTGAAAAAGTCCGTGATCGTGCGTTTTTGCGCCATCTTTGGAGACACCTTGTTCATGTTGATAAAATATTCGCGTCGCGATTCTGGCAGTGCCCTGACTTTATTTTATTTTAGATTTACTGGGGGGATTTATTTTTGACACAAGAAAACTCTGTTATTCTTATTCTCTTTGCTTCTGCTCCGCAGCATTGGCGTTCACGACCTGCTGCAGTGATTCTGTTTTGAAGAGCCAACTACAAGACATTCTAAGGCGGCTAAGTGCGCAATCGCCAATGAGTAACGCAGCCAAGGGTAAAAGAGGCACCATAGACCAGCTGCTACGATCGGTGAAGAGCCAGGTGTTTGAGGACGAACAGAACCAGGAGAACGGCAGTAGCGCGGAGCTTGCGGCCGACTCCGCGCCTAGAAGACTGCTAAACTCCTGGACGTTTTCCAAGACCCAGCAACTGCAGGCCCGCTCGACATCGAACGCCTCGCTCAAATCGCTCAAGAGCGAGCCCGTGAGCCCGAAATTGGAGCCCGAATCTGGATCTGTGTGCAAGGATACCGAGAATGAGGAGATCGAGCCGCCCAAGGAAGCCAAGGACCGTGCGCAATCGTGGTCGTTCTGGTCCAGAAATATTAGACCTGTGGAGCAACCGACTCCCATAGAGACAGACGCCACGCTGTCTGAGCCGGTGAGGCAGGAACCCATCGACTCCCCAAAGAAGAAAAAACAGAAACTCGCGTCTGCTCCGAGCAGGCCCAATCTGGTGGTGCCGCAATTCGAGTCACTCCCGTGCGTTACGCCAGGGAACTACCTTTATTCCGCCTTCAATGGTCTCAAGTCGCTGGCCGGGTACGATCCTGCGCCCGTTGGCCATCTTAGCAGAAAGACCCGTGCGTCAAGCTTCCGACGAGTGCTCATCATTGGCGTCCACGGGTTCTTCCCTACCAAGATGATACGTCCGCTTATTGGGGAGCCCACAGGGACGTCTGCGCGGTTTGCGCAGGCAGCGGAAGACGCGATCAGCGCATGGGCCCGAGAGCAGGGAATGAGCATCGAGACACAGAAAATAGCACTTGAGAAGGAGGGCAAGATCTTCGACAGAGTGGAGTTCTTCTTTGAGGCGATGCAAAAATGGCACGAGGAGGTGGAAAAGGCAGACTTCATCTACGTGTGTGCGCATTCGCAGGGCACTCCGGTGGCCATGATGCTGGTCTCCAAGATGATAGAACATGGCCTCATCGCGGACAACAAGCGCATAGCCATCTTGGGAATGGCAGGCATCAACATTGGTCCTTATTACGGGATGGACCAGTCGCTATTTATTAGGGCTTATTCGTCTATTGAGAACGAGTCCATGCTGGAGCTGTTTCAGTTTCAGAATTTCCAGAGCTTGCAGAGCCGCAAGTATCTGGAAAGTGTGCGCAATCTGATTGCTCACAACGTGAAGATCACGCTTGTGGGGTCTGTCAACGACCAGCTGGTTCCTCTCTACTCCTCGATCGGCTACCATATCTCGCACCCCAACATATACAAGGCGGTCTACATAGACGGCAAGTCGAACACTCCAGACTTTGTGGCGCGCATAGTGAAGCTCTCGTGCATGCTACAAAACCTGGGGTACACGGACCACGGAGTCATTGCGGAGATGAGCCACGCCTTGGCAGGTCCGCTTACTGGGGGCGGCCATTCTCGGATCTACAACAGCCCCGACGTATACACGCTTGCACTCAACTTTGCACTGAAAACACTGGATTCTAGCCTCGCAGTGAGACAGCCGGTCCGATTTCACGAGATCGACGTCTCGGACGTGGGCAGCAACCCGTTCACGCTGCCGTGGTGCACAAGAGGCCTGTTTTTTGATGTCAAGAAGCGGCTGGACGACGGCGAGAAGGAGATTGACATGGTTTTCAAGGAATTCGACGACTGGAACCCAGAGTCGAAAGTTCTGAGGGACGTGAAATATCGTCTGAACGGGATCAAGGATAAACTCTGACGGGAAAATGCGATATTTTTTTTGAATTATTTTTTTCCACTTTATCTGGATGTCAGACAAAACAGCGTCTCAAAAAGTGTCCACAGTTGGCGGGTTCATCGCCGGAGGACTTGCGGCCTGCGGAGCTGTGACCGTGACCAACCCGATCGAACTGGTGAAAACCAGAATGCAGCTAGAAGGAGAGCTGTCCAGTGCAACAAACACCCCGAGAGTTTACAAAAATCCGTTCCAGGCTCTGGGGCTTATCTACAAAAATGAGGGTATTAGGGGGTGTCAGAAGGGTCTTTTTTGCGCGTACATCTACCAGCTTGGACTGAACGGATGTCGTCTCGGCCTATACGAGCCGGTCAGAAACTTCATCAACACCGTTATCTTTCCTTCGCGGGACGCACATTCGGTCCAAAGCATTCCGGTCAACGTTGCGGCAGGAGCGCTATCTGGTATAGCCGGAGCCATTGTCGGCTCGCCCTTCTACCTCATCAAGACCCGGATGCAGTCGTTCTCGCCTAGTATCAAGATCGGTGAGCAAACTCATTACACCTCGACGTGGAACGGACTTGTTTCGCAATATAGACAAGGCGGGTTGCGCGGGCTCTTCAAGGGAGTGGACGCAGCCATCATTAGAACCGGTATGGGCTCTTCAGTCCAGCTACCGATCTACAACTTTGCCAAGCACGAGCTGCTGAAGACGGGACTAATCGAAGAAGGCCCGCATCTTCACCTGCTTTCCAGTACAATCTCGGGTCTCGGAGTCGGCGTCGTGATGAACCCAGGAGACGTCATTCTCACCAGAGTCTACAACCAGAAGGGAAACAAGTACTCTGGTCCTATCGACTGTCTGGTCAAGACTGTCAAAAGTGAGGGTATTGGGGCACTTTATAAAGGATTCGGAGCACAGTTGTTCAGAATTGCTCCTCACACCGTCCTCACGCTCACCTTCATGGAGCAGACCATGAAGCTGACGTTCATGGTGGAATCGGGACTGTTTGTCTAACCTAATATATTGATGCTAATAGAGAGACTTCATCGATTTTTTTTCTTATTGCGATTGGATAAGCGCAGAATCCTGGTCCTGGTCGGTCTGGTCTGTCTGCTCGGCTTGTTCTCCCCAGCTCTGTGCACCCGCTTCGGTTCCGGACCCGGTAGTCGTGCTGGTAGACCCGCTAGCAGCATTGCACCAATACTTGTGGTACGTCCAAGCCTTGGACTGACACTCTTTGGAACAGTACTTTGCACGCTTACATCGCCGGCACTTGGCAAACTGGCGAGGCTCGTCTTCCCACTTGCCACAGCCAAAGTATGCGCACTGCCGTCTTCCCCCCTTGCTCTCATCCTTCCTGTTCGAATTCCGCACAATCACAGAGGCCCAGTAGGTAATGTCCTTAGAATGCAAATGCTTGACAGTAAACTTTTCGACAAGCGGAAATATGTTGACCCGTTTGATGGGACGGATGTTTGGGTCGATTGTTTGGGAATTGGGGAACATCAGAGATAGAGGCCCCATTTCGAAATCGTCCCACTCGTCGTAATCCCACGTAGAAGCGTATTTTTCTCTTTTGCGTTTGTAGATCTGGTTATTTCGGAGTCTCAGAATATTGTGTTCGCGGTGTGCGTACCGCGAGATATTCAAAGCAAACTTTTCCAGCTTCGTCGCCTTCTCTATCCGATCCTGCTCGTTTATAAGTGAGTTGTAATCCCGTAACAGATGCGCGTATTTCGATTCGCACTTGCGATCGCTGTATTTTTGTCTTTTGGACCTCGTCGAACTAGAGCCCAGCGATACATTCTCGGGGAACTGCTGGTGCGTCAGGCTCGAGGCCACGCCAAAATTGTTTTCGTTCGGAATCACAAACTCGTTCAGGTCGTTCGCCACGTCTTCGTCCTCCGAACTGTCCTCGTCATCATAAATATCGTTTAGTAAATCGCCCGTTTCGTTCATGTCGCAATCGGTCTCCAATGGAGGCGGTATATTGTAGTTTCTAAGTGACAACCCGTTCACGATGTAGGTATCGGCAAGTTTATATCTCAGGTAAGTGTATTTTGAGATGAATGCCAACACCTGCAACGACCAAATGACGTCGTCCTCTTTCGGAATCAAGATCCCGTTCTCAAAATTGCGTGGAATGGACTGATTAAATTTGTCCTCCGTAGCTCTGAAAAACGGCAGATCCGTCGAAGACATGTTTTCCCTGAGAATGTTCGATATCTCAGGGTTGTTGACTAGCTGGTTCGAGAACACCGCGTTCTTGGTCAGCTCGCTATAACTTGTCATGAGCTCTTGATTGATTTTGGAAATATCGTCGGTAGTGTTGAGTCTATCGAGGAAGTTCAGGAAAGTGAGGGACTTGGATATCTTGGAGTATTCCTCGTCGAGCTGGGCCTCTGCGTCGCCCAGACCTAGATCGCCCAAGGTCTTTTTTTTATGCTGCTCATGCTTGTGGATTTCTGCCTCCGCCTCCATGACCGTCTGGTTTGCCTCCTCCACGAGACGTCTAACATTCTGAAACACCTCGTTGATTTGGTCGTTGTTGAAATCGTCGTACATTTCGTTGCTGCGTTGCTGCTGCTGCGCCTGTTGCGACTCGTCCGTCGCAGCAGTGAACGACGATGCGTTCGTTAGTAGGTCGTCGCCCACTTCGGAGGTGCCCTCTGTGGCTGTGGTGTTCGCGGTGCTGGTGGTTCTGACGTTGAGATAGGTGTCTTTGTTGCTCTGCAAATGCGAATTCCACGCGGTCTTCTTCGAAATAACATAGTTGTCAAGGATCGTGGCGATAATGGGAATCATTCCAGCATCCACCACTTTCTTTCTGATTCTCTCGTTGCCTCTGGTCCCCACCAGAACCAAACACTGGAAGGCAAGCACCCATTTCCATGCACTGATGCACTTTTCCTTCTCGGTCGACGGACTTTGACATTCGTACAAGATATCGACTAGTCTTTCCAGCCCTCCATCCTGTGACAACGCCTCGCGAACTTTCAAGGAAGACGAGGCTAGGAATGTGAGATGGTTCAAGGAGTTTACCAGAGGCTTGTCTTCGGTGCAATCCAGGGCTCGCCGGTCATACAACGTGGACGTTATCGATACTGCTGCCTTGTTGGCCGTTACTGATTTGTTGTTGGAATCTCTCATCTGAAAGAATATTGAACAATGAGTGTGGCTTCTCGTATTCAGGGGAACAGTACAGCACCTTGGGTGGTAGTATTCCGCGTATGTTTAATATATTGGCGAGGGCGATTTAATCCAGCTATTTTGATAAATGTTGAATTCTTTATACTCCTATTTGCCACTGCAAAAAAATAATCCCCCCCCCCCCAGGTGAATGAAAATAAAATAAAATATTCCAATAATACATCTCTACACTAGCTAAACGATACGCTATGATATTAGATTTGCGATCAGACCCACAACTCTTTGCCAGCAGAAGCCATGTATTGGTTCAGATCGCTCACCTTATCACTCCACACGACCAGCTTCTTTTTCATGGCGTCGATCTGGTCCAACGTCATGGTTCTTGGCTGGATCCACGAGATCTCAACCTCGGAGTTGACCTCGTTGATCAGTCCCTTCATTAACTGTAAGCTGAAACATTTGATGAGCAAATGCTCCACCTCGTCGTAGTTCTGTAGGAAAGGCACCTGTGCCATGATGGCGTCGTACTTGAACGTTCTATTCTGCGTTGGGCTGTTGAAGACAAGCTTGGTCAGCGACATGATGCACATTTTCTGTTTGAGAAATCCGACGTTAGAGGCAATCTCTGGGATCTGTTTGATCTCTGGGCTGCCGATCACTTGCTCAAAAGCGGCCAAATCGCCGGAATTGAGCGCAAGAATAAGCTGTTTCAGCCAGGCAATATCCAGATACTGGAAGATGTCGTGCATGATGATCTCTCCGAAGTTGTAGATCTTGTCTCCAAGCAACGCGCTTGCGCAAATATCCTTGACAATCGCATGTTTGTTGGCGAGATTGTCGAGATCGTCGATACATGCCAGAAACAGCAAAGAGTTATAATAGACGGCGGTGTAGTCGCCCTTGAGCTTCAGAAGACTGGCATTGGTAAAGTAGTAGCTGGCATTAATTCTGTTGTCCAAGGACCAATTGATCTTGTCGATTTGCTTCGAGCACTCGTCGATGATGGCGGAGGCCTCGTCCACGAATCCCAGGTTCAGTTTGACGCCTGCAATCTCGATTTCTAGGAACAGCAATGCCTGGATGATGTCTATGTCGGCGATGTCGTCGTCATCAGTCTTCTTGATGTTCTTTCTGTTTTTGATAAGGTCTTTGAGGTCGGTCAAGTATTCGAGGCGCTCTTTCAAGTCGCAATCTTGTAGAGACAGAAGCAGAAATTCGATCAGCTTCAGTTGGTTGATTTTGTCGTTGAATTTCAGCACAAAGTTTTCAAACAGCTTCAATCTGATCGGCTTGCTGTTCTCGTTCTTGTAAACGTTCTGTGACAACACCTCAGACAATTGGAACCACAGTTTCCGCTCGTACAAGTCCTCGAGCTGGTACATAGCACCAACAAGGTCGGAGTCTCCCGAAGGCTCGATTTGCTCTCGAAGCGTAATCAAAACAGTTGAAGCGTCCGCGTCGATTGGAGACATGTTGAATTATTTGCCACTAAGAAAATTGGCTGGGAAAAATAGCTGAAAATATTGTCTAAAATAAAAAATAAAATTAAAAAAAAATATTCAAGCAATGTCTTTTGACCTGGAGTCCTTGGCTCCGTCGCTAATCAATCTGATTCGTTTATCGTCGGCCGTAAATGCCAGGGATATTTCATTTTACAATAGCATAGACTCGGCGGTGAAAAGCGAAAGCGCCGCCCTGAACCAGCATCTTATAGACCTTCTGAACGAGCTGCTTCCCAACGCATTTTCCATCACCAGTGACCAGGACGGCCAGCTCCACGCCGACAAAAAGGACGAAAACTGGAAAGTTGTGAGCAGTGTGCTGGATACACTGTTTGAAAACGCCGAAATAGCGCTCGAGCAGGGCACGAAAAAGGAGCAGACGGGCCAAACAAAGGACGAGTTCACGTACCTGGACGAAACTGACACTTCGGGGACCCGCAAAAGCACTCCGCAGTCGTTGAAAATAGAGAAGCCCCAGCTACTTTTCAAAAAGCCTGTGAACAACTTCGAGACGTCGCCTTTCAAACCGCTTATTAAAACAAAGCCAAATGCTTTGATCCCGCTCCAGGAAAGTATGCAGCTGGTGTTCGCTGCTCCAGATGTGCCCGAGCACTACGAGAATCCCTACTCCTACGAGATCATGAACCAACCGTACCCAGACTGGATTCTTCTGCAACAGGAGCCTTTTGACTCGATTCCATGGAAAGAGAGCGAAGAGCCGACCTGGATCGATAATCCAGCCCAGCTGGACGATCTTCTTGTTGAGCTGAGCAAGTGCAAGGTTATTGCCGTTGATCTGGAACACCACGACTACAGAACGTACCACGGAATCACCTGTTTGATGCAATTGACCACAGACACAAAAAAGGACTACTTAATCGACCCGTTGAACCCCGAGCTCAGACCGCACCTGGTGAACCTGAACGTCATTTTCACAGACCCGAACATCGTCAAGGTATTCCACGGCGCGTTCATGGACATAATCTGGCTCCAGAGGGACCTTGGACTGTATGTTGTTTCGCTATTCGACACTTACCATGCCTCCAGAGAACTGGGTCTTGGCCGCCACTCGCTTGCGCATTTACTGGAAACGTACGTGAAGTTCAAGACGTCCAAGAAATGGCAGCTGGCCGACTGGAGAATGCGGCCGCTGAACTCCGAGATGAAGAACTACGCCAAAGCGGACACGCATTTTCTGATTGAAGTTTTTTACAAAATGCACAGCGAGCTTGTGCAGAATCCAGACAAGCTGAAAAAGGTTTTGTACGAGTCGCGCAAGGTGTCTAACAGACGCTACGAGTACTCGACGTTCAAGCCCAGAAACGTCAAGTCGGCAAACGGGTTTTCCAGCGGCGCAGAAGTCGTTGCTACCAACCAGTCTGTGCCGCAGCTTCCCGAGTTCAAAAACGGGCTCATGTCGGTGCAGAGCGCTACACATCTTCCGTGGAGCAATTTGGCGGACTCGAACTCGATTCCGATGGCCAAGCGGCCTCTGCTGGAGGTGCTTTTTAAATGGCGGGACGAGCAGGCCCGGCGAGAGGACGAGTCGCCGCGCTACATCATGTCTGATTTCATGCTTGTGTCGCTGGTGAACGCATTTAACCAGGACTCGGAGGAGGTCAGCGAGCGGACTGTGCTGGAGGTGATCAACTCGTCGTCGCGGTTTGGCGGGTCGCAGTACGTGCGCACGAAGCTGAAGGAGCTTGTCGTGCTGATCCAGAACTGTCTGGAGGAGCTGAAGCAGATGGACACGGCGCTGTGGGACAGTGTTTACGAGAAAAAGCCTTTGACGCCCAAAGGCGGCTCCAAGGACGTTGAACGGGCGTTTGAGAATGTGCGACAGAGTTTCGAGACGACCAACAGGCCCGTTCACGACGGCGTTGTGTTGGCGAAAGAGGCCGACAACGGGGTGTTTTCGGTGCGGTACACCAAAAATGGGGGTGTGGATTTTATCAGTGCGGGCGTGAGGCAGCACCGGCTGGAAAAGGCGTTGGCGTATTTGGACGCCGAGCGAGAGATTGCCGTTGACGTTTCTGTGGAGTCTGCCGACGAGCAGCCGGAGCAGCCGGAGCAGGAGGCAGAAACAGAGACGCCGGAGCCGGAGAGCGGTCTGACCAGCGCTGCCCCAGACGAGATCATCACGCTGCGCAAGCACCAGCAGAGAAAACGCAAGCAGGACGCGCCGGCCACGGAGAAGCTCGACACGTCGCAAAAGATAATGGTCTCGAAGCCGCAGCAGAAAAAGCGCAAGGTGTTCGAGCCGTACAAAAACGAGGGCGCCGTGACGGCGCCAAAGAAGAAGCGGCCTGTGGTGAGCGGCCGCAACTTAATTTTCAAGAAAAAATAGTATTAGCAATAGAATCTACCTAGACTCTCTGAGAGACTCGGCCTGGCCGCTGAGCAGCGTGAACGTGTCTGCCTGCAGTTTGTCTCTGCCCTTGAGGAAGTCGAGTTCCATCACGAAGCAGAACTCGAGGATATTGGCCTTGCACATCTGGACAAGCCGGCCGGCGCCGTTGGCAGAGCCTCCGGTGGCCAGGATGTCGTCGACGATCACCACGTTGGATCCCTCGGGGATGGATTCGACCTGTATCTCGAAGAAGTCCTCGCCGTACTCCTTGGTGTAGGAGGCTCTGTACAGCTCTCCCGGCAGCTTTCCCTTCTTTCTGATCGGCACAAAGCCGGCGTCGAGGGCCAGGGCGAGCGTCGGGCCGAACAGGAAGCCTCTGGACTCGAGTCCAACGATGTAGTCGATGGTCTGGTTAGGGAACCGGGCCTCCAGGTGCATTTTGAACGCTTTGACGAGCTTGTTGAAGAGGGCCGGGTTTCTGAAAATAGGAAGGAAATCCTCGAACAGGACGCCCTCGGACGGGAAGTTCGGGTACTGGTGGAGCGCCGACTTGAGCTCGGCCGCGATTTCAGCAAGTTCTGTAGACATGTTGATAGGAAAAAAAATTTAAAAAAAATTGGGTCGATGCACTGCCGGCAGTCTGGCGGAGCGTGTGCAGCTGCAGACTTGTGGAGCGAAACGCTACCAAGCAGGGCGCAAGCTGGGCGTTCTGTAGGCCATTGCGACTGTCAACAGCACAGTGACGGGGTCTTGGGGTGGAAACAAGAGATGCGCAGCCCAGATACCCGTCCGCCAGCGTTCCTCATATATTTTGTTCGACGCGACGATTTTTGTTTCTCATGACCATTCTTTTTGTTTCGCTCATCTCGAGAGATGTAAGTACTCGCCGCGCTGCGCTAACCAGAACCGACCCCTGTACATCCAGCCATTTGTGGCGGACGACGCCACGGACGCGCGCACCGCCAACGAGCTGCTCAAGTACAACTTCCTGTCGCACATGTCGCTGGACATCTTTGAGTCGCCGTTTGCACAGCCGGCCCCCGACCCAAACACGAAAAAAACCTATGTTCTGCTGTTTGTGCAGGACGGGGTGTACGTGTTTGGACACCAGACGAGCGCGGGGCTGCGGATCGTCGTGGGGGCTACGCGCGCGGAAAACGAGCTGCCGGACGAGGGCCTGAACGGGCTTTTTGCCGAGATCCAGCGCGCGTACCTCAAGCTGGTGTGCAACCCGTTCAAGAGCATTGAGTCCGAAAACGAGGAGATCGAGAACCCGCGGTTCGACCGCCAGGTCAAGGACGCCGTTGCCAGATGGGAAAACCGTTCATTATCTACTTAAGCACCACGTTGGCACTGCGCAACGCTAAATACTGCTGGTCGACGCCGGGAGCCATGTGTTTGACGATGTCGTAGCACTCCTTGTCGTAGTATCTGAGCTGGTTGTGCGGGGACTTGTAGTGCGTGGGCAGTCCCGTGATGTCGCAGTAGGTCTTTGTGGGTCTGAGCGAGGGTGGCGCAGACAGCGACTGGTAGGTGACGAGGTTTGGGTCGTGGGCGTGCTGCTGCTTGAGCTGGATGCGTTTGGCCTCGTCGTTGAGGATCTGTCTGAGAAACCGGTGTCTGCGCTTGGCCGGCTTGTACGAGGGCGGCTTGAACGGCAGCGGCGCATTGAGCCTGTCTGAGACTTCAACGATATTGGACATGAATAAATAATTTATTTATTTCAGCTTACTCGCTTTTTTACTCAATAACTGCCGTCTCCGACTGTCTGTACATATAAAACTGCGCGAAAATCACAAGGTCCTCCGCAATCGTGCCCAGCGAGCCCAACAGCCAGCTGCTGTTGAGCACGACGTAGTCCCAGTCCGAGCGGTAGAACAGGATCTGCAGGCCGTACGTGACGTTGCCCAGAGTGGAAAACATGAAAAAAAGCAGACTCAGCCCGCGACACGATTTCTTGGTGTAATTCTGGTATATCTGCGGCAGTCTGGCACTCAGATACAGCGCTGCGCTCAAATAGCCGCAGATCTGCGGGCCAATGGCCAGCCCGACGTCGGGCTGCTCCTTGGCTGGCGACGAGCACAAGTAGCCGATGACGCCGGCCACAAACACGGCGAGCAGCGGCAGCACGTACCTGACGAGCACAGAGTGGTTCTGTGGCTGGAGCACAATGTCCTCGATGGTGGACGACTTGCGACGCGGCGTCTCTGCTAGCAGCGGCGTGCGTTCGGGCTGTCTTTTCTTCGGATACACGTAGGTGTAGTAATAGTAGAACGCCAGCGTAAAGGCATCCGCGACGGTGAACCACGCGGCCAGTAGTATCACCTGGGGCAGCAGGCCGGCCCACAGCGCGCCCACGAGGTTCAAAATGTCTCCGAACGTCCAGAACAGAAGGAACAGGGGACTGATGCCTTCTGCCGATTTCAGCCGCCACTGCTCGATCAGCTGCGGCAGAAGCAGCACGAGCCAGCAGGCGAGCGAGATGGAGCCGGCGATGCCCGAAAGCTGGGTGCGCAGCTGGGAGGGCGTCTCTGTGCCGGCGAGAAGAGAAAAGCTGACAAGGTCCATTTAGATAAGTAAAATTGGGTTTGAGGTGTGATGTACACCAAAATGTCGTGGGAAAAATTTTTAGTCAAATAAACGTTATGGTAAGTACGGCTAAAGACGGCGCTGATCTCTGAGATGCGGCCGGATCTTTGTAAACGTACCGAGAGATGGTGCGCATCTTTTTTTATGCTGAGTTTGCTCGACAAACTGTAGAGATTAGTGCTCGATGACCGATTTTCCTAGAGTATTAACCTCGATGACCCAGCCCTCGAAAAAAGTTGCTCCAGCGCCTTTAGCCAAACAGCAGAAAGCTGTCAGGACGTCCGTCTACGACGCGACGCCTAGAAACTACGGGATCGGACAGAACGTCCAGCCAAAGCGGGCGCTGAACCGGTTTGTGAAGTGGCCGCAGTACGTGAGACTGCAGAGACAGAAGAAGGTTCTGACGATGCGACTCAAGGTGCCGCCTGCCGTCGCCCAGTTCGCCAACACTCTGGACAGAAACTCTGCCGTCGAGGTGTTCAAGTTGCTGAACAAGTACAGACCAGAGACCAAGTCCGAGAAAAAGGAGAGACTGGCGAGGGAGGCAGCTGCCATTGCGGAAGGCAACGAGGCGAGCGTTTCCTCCAAGCCGTTTGTTGTCAAGTACGGGCTGAACCACGTTGTTTCGCTGATAGAGAACAAGAAGGCCAAGCTGGTGCTCATTGCCAACGACGTCGATCCCGTCGAGCTGGTGGTGTTTCTGCCTGCTCTGTGCAGAAAGATGGGCGTGCCGTACGCCATAGTCAAGGGCAAGGCAAGACTGGGCGCCTTGGTGCACCAGAAGACCGCTGCTGCCGCCGCATTGGTGGATGTGAGACCCGAAGACGAGACCACGTTGGCCAAGCTTGTTTCTACAGTGGACGCCAACTTCGCCGAGAAGTACGAGCAGGCCAGAAAACGGTGGGGCGGCGGCATCATGGGCGCCAAAACTACCGCCAAACTGGCCAAGAGAAGTAGAGTCCAGGCGGAGTAGCGTGGCTAGATAGAAGTATGTACTTTCGAAAACCTGTGACTGCGAAAAATCCACACCTGCCACCTCCAAGTAGTATATTGCAAGCTTTTAAAAAATATTCGCCAACTTATTATTCACCATGGCTAAGTCGAAGAACCACACCGCCCACAACCAGACCAGAAAGGCCCACAGAAACGGTATCAAGAAGCCAAAGACCCACAGATACCCTTCTTTGAAGGGTGTGGATTCTAAGTTCAGAAGAAACCACAGATACGCTTTGCACGGAACTGCTAAGGCTTTGGCTGCTCAGAAGAAGAACTAGGCAATGATATAGTTAATAAAAAGTGGATTGAACAGTGCGTTGCACGTGTAGCACAGTCGGAGCGCAGGCTCAGAGGCTGTAAGTAGCTTTTCAATACAAGTAGAGACGGCCGCACTAGCTTTAGGCATGAAACACTTATCTGTAGATGATTACTCTGCTATTTCCCAGTACTTAGTCGTCGTTCTTGTCCTTCGAACCTCTCAGCAAACCAGTTCTTCTGGCAGCAATCAAACCGGCCTTTTGACCAGAAACAGCACCTCTCGAGATCGTAGAAGCCTTACCAATGTGTTGATGGTTACCACCACCGTGAGGGTGATCAACAGGGTTCATGGCCACACCTCTGGTCTTTGGCCAGGAGTTTCTCTTGACCTTGTATTTGTGATAAGCTCTACCGGCCTTGAGCAATGGCTTGTCGATTCTTCCTCCACCAGCAATCACACCAATGACACCTCTAGCGTCAGAAGACAGGACCTTCTTGGCTCCAGATGGCAGCTTGACTCTGGTCTTGTTCTCGTCTGGGTTGTGGCCAATGACAATCACGTAGTTTCCAGAGGTTCTTCCAAGAGCACCTCTGTCACCCACCTTCTCCTCAACGTTGGAAACAATGGTACCTTCTGGCAGGGCTCCCAATGGCAGCACGTTACCGATGTTCAAAGAGGCCTTTTGACCGGCATAGATGAACTGTCCGGTGTACACGCCCTCGTTGGCAATGAAGGTCTCCTCTCTGAGCTTGTACTTGTATGGGTCTCTGAAGACAACCTTGGCCAATGGAGCTCCACGGCCAGGATCGTGCAAGATTTGCTTCACAACACCTCTGATGTATCCGTGCTTCTCGGCGTAGTCCAAGGTTCTCAGCTTCGCAGCACCCTTTCTGAGTCTGGTGTGCGAAGTGAAGATGGAGCCGGCACCCTTTCTCTGGTTTCTGATAACTCTACCCATGTTGGTTGAAAATAAAAATTTTCAGACCTGAAAATGTAGAGGTGAGAGAGAAGGAAATTTTGGGGCACGTGATAAAAAGCGAGGGCGCTAGCCCTGCTCTTTCTTGGGGCCCCAACGACGCGACGACCGACGTGCAGTACAACTCGCGCGCACAGGGGCTTATGCCAGACCATTCATTTTCCACTTATTTTCGAAAACAAATTAAGACCCATACGCTGAACAGGTATGTATACAGAAACGGGGTTCAAACGGGTAATGATGGCGCAATTGGCCAACTCAAAGAGTACATCGAGAACGCCTCATCGAACCTTACGTCCGCGCGGCGGATATACTGGAACTCGAAGAAGAAAAAGACGACTATCGACTCAACACCAGCACCACCATTGATCTATAACTCTCGAGCAGCCTTCCCATTGCTGTGCCACAAAACAGACCTTGATACAGATCCCCTCCCTGCACCGACCATTCTGCATCCTCCCAGAACACAATGTTGCCTTCCCCCCACGTAACCCCCCTTTCTATCCCACAATACTAACTCCCCTAGATGTCCGAAATCGCCACCTCCTCCCCATCCACGTCCCTGGTCAACGCCAAGTGGGATGTGGTCATCTCGAACGGAATCGTCAAGTCTGGTCTCGGCTTCGGAGCCGGCGTGCTCGCGTCCGTTCTCTTTTTCAGAAGAAGAGCATTCCCAGTCTGGCTCGGTCTAGGGTTCGGTCTCGGAAGAGCCTACTCAGAGGGAGATTCCATATTCAGAGAAGCCGGTATTAGAGAAGTGAAGGCTTAGATAGATGTACAATACACCCGTACACCATACGATGTTTTTTTTGACTCCTCGGTGCAAGGTGTCTACCCTGTATCGGACCTGTAACTCTCCGCACACCGTCTGACTCTGGCTGCATAAAACAATGCCATCCTGTCACCGCTGCTCCGGCCAAGTCAAATATCCTGCAGACGGCTCTATCTTATCGATATGGAGTGCAGCCAGCATCAAATCGGGCCTAAATGGCCTATATAATCTGACGGACTGACATATATCCAACCTACACCTGCTATTAGTCATAGCCAGGTTGAGGCCCAAGGACGGTCCAATGAACGTCCGTGGAATTTTCTACCCGTCTCGGTCATGCACGACCCACAACACCCGAATTTCGGACCCTGCTAGCGGTCGTTGTAGACACCCCATCGACACGGGGCTACTTCGAGCGCTTTTGCGGCATTTTCTTAGCCCATCCTGAGCCCTCTTTGGGTGCTCCCGCCCGTTCCTGAGCCAGATCTCGCCGACCTTATCGCCAGCCGTTTGAGTTGCACACGACCCTCCCCAAAAAACTTTTCGTGCGTCGGGGCGAGTATATAGGGGCGGGCAGATCGCCTGTTGGTGTAGACATGACTGTTAGCGAAAACTATCCTACACACAACGAGTTCAGATCCGACACGTTCACGGTGCCCACTGCGACGATGCTGCAGTCGGCGGCCATGTGTTCTGTTGGAGACTCAGTCTACAAGGAGGATCAGGATACTCTGGCACTAGAGGCCAAGGTTGCGCAAATGGCGGGCAAGGACGCCGCTCTTTTCTGCTGTTCGGGCACGATGTCGAACCAGATTGGGCTTCGGGCGCATTTGCACCAGCCTCCGCACCGGATACTTTGTGACTACAGGGGCCATGTGTATGCGCACGAGGCTGGTGGGCTGGCGACTCTGTCGCAGGCGATGGTGACCCCGGTTATACCAGCGAACGGGTTATACCTCACTTTGGACGACATTGTGGAAAACTACATTCCGGACGACGGCGATATCCACATGGCCCCCACCAAAGTTATCTCGCTCGAAAACACGTTGCACGGGATAATCATGCCCCTGGACAACATCCGAGAGATTTCGGAGTGGTGTCGCGCGAACGGTGTGAAACTGCATCTGGACGGCGCGCGGTTGTGGAACGCCAGCGTCGCGACCGGCGTCAGCATCGCCGAGTACTGTCAGTACTTCGACTCGGTCTCGCTGTGTCTATCCAAGGGTCTGGGTGCTCCCGTCGGGTCGATTTTGGTTGGCGAGCGCGCGTTCATCGAGAAGGCCAACCATTTCAAGAAACAGAACGGCGGAGGAATCAGACAGGCGGGTATTCTGACGAGAATGGCCAGCATTGCGATCGACGAGAATTTCGCCAAGCTGCAGATCGGCCACCAGTTTGCGCGGGACGTTGCGCAGTTCTGCGCGGCCAACGGCATTGCCTTGGAGTCGCCGGCCGACACGAACTTTGTGTTTCTGGACCCGAAGAGATTCAGGATCGACCCGGACGTGCTCGCGTCGCTATCTGAAAAATACGGCCTCAAAGTTATGGGTTATAGACTGGCCTTCCACTTCCAGAACTCGCGCGAGGCGGTCGACCGGCTCAAGGAGATGCTCAAGGAGGCCCACGAGTACGCTCAGAGACACCCGTACGTGGCCAAGGGCGCCGTGCGCATATATAGAGCGGACAAGCCAAGGCAGCATAATGAACATTAATATAGCTCGATAAAACAAAAATTAAATAAAATAAGATAAAATAAAGAAAATTAAATAAAAAAAAAATACTTCCATGCTTGTCCTTGTCGTGCTTGCGCTTTTGGGTTTTCTGTGGCTCCTGAACCGGCTGCTGGTCCTGCTGTCGGTGCCGCTGGACCGCTCCATCAAGCACCTCAACGTATCGATCCCGCCCGTGCCGCTCATCTCCATCGACAAGGTCACGCACTCCAGCATGGTGCTCCACTGGGACTACCCCGTCGACGACGACGAGCACGACCAGACGCCCGACGGCCCGCCCGTGCTGTCGCATACGTCGCCCAAGAGCATCAGCCACTACCTGCTGTACATCAATGGCATCCAGACGGCCGTGATCGACGGCAATCTGCAGTCGTGCGTCATCAGCGGGCTCAACCCTGAAAGCAACTACCAGGTGGACCTGGTGGCGTTCAACATCGCCAATTTCCGCTCCAAGTCGTCGCCCGTGTACGTCAAGACGGGCAAGAACGACATGGCCGAGCCAGACCATCCTGACGAGCTGCTGAACGTGCTGATCCCCGACGACGAGCGCGAGACCGTCACGAAGAAAAGCACGTTCCGCCAGAAGTCGCCTGCGGGCCGCTCGCGCAGCAACACGCTCGACCAGGAGAACTACAAGGCGCGCATCCACCCGCACCTGATCACAGACATCAACGAGCTCAAGTTTCTGCTGGAGACCGGGCTGGAGGCGGTGCGCAGTCTGACGCGCGCCAGCAAGGAGCTGGAGACGGACTTTGTGGACGAGGAGGCGTCGCTGCTGGCCGCGCGCAACGAGGCCAAGGAGCGGCGCAAGCTCGAGGACCAGAACCGGTCGAGTCTGCGCCAGGAGATCAAGTTTCTCGAGGAGACGCGGATGCGCAGCGAGACGCGGATCGCGTCCGACCAGGCGAAGCTGGCCACGCGGCGGCGCAAGATCGAGGAGAAGCGCCGCCAGATGCAGGAGTGGGAGGCCGTTCTGGCCGAGAAACGGGCCGCCAAGGAGCAGCTGGCGGCAGCCGAGCCTGCCGAGCTCGAGACGCTGAAGCTGCAGGTCGAGCAGCTCAACAAGGACATTTTCCGGCTGCAGACAGAGATCCACGACGTCGAGGAGGACATCAAGTACGAGTCGGCCAACAGAAAGCGGCTGGACGCGCTCAAACAGCATCTGCAGGGGCTTTTCGAGAGTCTGAGGACGTACACCGACGAGCAGACGGGGATCTTGAGGCCCGAGGGCCAGGCGGTGCTGGCCACCATTGTTGGGCTGAAACCCGACTGGGAGCAGGATCTGAAAAACGAGTTCACGCTCGACGAGCATTTTGAGCTGCAATGGCGCGCGCTGCGCCAGAGAGATAAGGAGAAAATCGACCACCTGAGGCGGCAGCTGGACGAGAGACGGTCGCGCCCCAGCTCGCAGTACGAGGGCCTGGGGTCCTACAACGACGGGTCCATCAGCAACATCCTGTCGACCGCGATGAGCAGAATGAACACCACGATGTCGTACAACACGCTGAGCCCGGAGCCGGCGGTGTCGACGAGCCCCAAAGTCTGGAACGCGCCGGCCGGCGGCCAGAGGGACGTGTTTTTCAACCTGCTGGACCAGCCGCAGTCGTCTGAGTCGCCTCCGCCGTCGCACATGTCGAATTTCGACTTTCTGCCGGAGCTCAGCATTCCTGGCGCCCGGATGGGCTACGGCGACAACCTGATGTTCCAGGACTCGTCGTCGTTCGGCATGCAGCCCGCAATGAACGCGGTCGTGCCCAACACGTCGGACGACCAGCTGTTTGCGAGCGGCCTCGACCTCGGTATGTCCACCTCGCCCGGGGTGCGCGACTCGTCCAAGTTTTTTGGGTCGCTCGGCAGCTTCCGCAAGATGAAGTCGAACGGCTCGGTTGCGGACTCGTCGCCGGACGCAGGCATGGATTTCGATCTGAGCAGAGCGCGCAGCACAAGCTTTGGGTCGAGCATCTGGAACAACGGGGGCAGCAATTCCAACTGGGCGTCGATGAATATCCTGGACAGGCGGCTCAGCGACGACATGGTGCCGAAAATATACATCGAGAACGAGGAGAAGCAGGACAAGACGCCGTCGTCGCCGTCGTTTTTCAAAAATAAATTATTCAAGTTCGGAACGAGTCCAACAAAAACGGCCACCAAGTCCAGCGACCGCTCGGAAGACACCAGCGTGGGGGCCGAGGAGGAGGTCTCGTCGGGCTCGATGACGGGCTCGGCCTCGCCGGGACTGCTCAGCAGCAGTTTTGGCTCCAAGTCGTCGCGTTTCTTCAAGCTCAAGAAAAACCAGTCTGACGACCAGCCGCTGGACGCGCGACCAGACTCGCCGTCCGGAAACCTCATTTCCAGACGTCTCAGTTTTGCATTCAAGCGGGGCGACAAGGACAAGGACCCGAAGGCGGACTCCATCATCGAGGAGTCCGAGGAGTGAAATTGTCTGCACCGCCACGAAAAGTACTGTATATTAAATTAATTTTCATCCAAAATTAATATTATTTATTGTTTTTGATGTCCACGATATATTCAGAGCCCGAGGTGGAACGGTTTCTGAACAATTTCAGCGAGCTCCATTCTGCCAGAGAGCAGGAGAACCGCAGCCGGCTGCAGAGCCTGGAGCAGGAGGTGGATCAAAAACGCAGACAGTATGAGCTGTCTCCGAAGAAAAAGCCCCTTGTGCCCAAAAAGGCCGCCAATCTCGACCGCAGGGTCAAGGTGGAGCTGGAGAAGAAGGAGGTCGAGGAGTTTGTGCGCACTGTGGACCTCGAGAAGCCCATTGAGAAAGCGAACGCTCCGAAACCGATCAAATTCGAGGACGTGATGAAACAGCCGATCTTCACTCCGCCGGCCGAAACTAGTACCCCAGCGCCAAAAAAGACTCCCCTCGTCAAGCCCAAACCACAGCCCAAACCACAAGTGATAGACTTCCGGGCCTCTTTGAAACCTGCCAGACAGCCCGCCCCCGAACCCAAACAGAAACTCTCGATCCCTGTGCTCACAAGCACCGCCGCAAAAACAGCAGACAACCCGCCGCCGTTTCTTGGTGTTCAGCTGTCGCCTACGAAAAAGACATTCGCAGCCCCAGAAAGCAAAAAGCCCGAGGCCCTGAGCAAACTGGGCGCTTTGAAACCTGCAGTGCCAGTATCGAAGAAGCCGTCAGAGACCCCCGAAGCACTCGCCAAGCTCTCGTCGCTCGCAAAGGCCAAGCCGGCCCCCAAGCCCACGCCACCTAAGCCGGAGGCCCTGCTTATGCTTTCGAGCCTGAAGAAAGCCAAGGAACCTGTGCCGGTCCAGAAACTGCCACCAAGAGCAAAAACCGAGCCCCAGATGGGCGTCCCGCTGCCAGGGCTTGCGCAGCCGCACGCCTTTATCTCCAGGGCAATGACAGAACCGAAGAAACCCGCGCTGGATACATCAGAATTCGACAAACAGGGACGGCCTCTGGAGCACGTGACCAAGAGCAGAGCCAAGGGTCCCAAGCGGAGGCCTCCCAAGGCCAACAAGTACGGCGATGTGGCTGCCACGCCCAAGAAGACGCCGCCGCCGATCCGCAAATCGTCGCGCCAGGTGTCGAGCAGCGAGCTGTTTATATAGCATGTACCACATTTTAGAGTGTTGTAGTGTTCTCCTCAGGCCGATCGACGCGTCGATCATGCGAGGGAAACAGTTCCCAGGGGTGAGACCAAAAAAAAAGTTAGTGTTTACCGATTTCTATAATTACTGCGACAACAGAGCGGCAGTACGACTTGCACCGGCTACTTTGACGACACGACCGTGAGTTGCGGCCAATTACAGCAGAGTACAGGTGCACAGAACTAGCCGGACACGCACAGACTGAGCATACATCGCACACCCACCGGGGACTTGCAAAACCGTTGTTTCCCTCACACATGGACGATCAACTGGGATCGCCGAAGCTGTTTCGCCAGTCCAGGAAGGCTGTGCGGCAGCGGAGCCGGATGTGCGTCGTTGCGAGCGTTTCGGGTCTTTTGGTGGCGAGTTTCGTGGTATACATAATTATTTCCCTTGTTTCAGCCAGAGACATATTTCGCTACAATCCCTCTTTTGACAGCTCCAGCGCTGCAGACACGCAATTTTACGACCTCAGGGACTACGTGGGGCATGCAGACGGATGGGCCAGGGGCGATCGCGTGCTGTTCTGCGTTCCCCTGCGAGACGCGGCCAGCCATCTGCCCATGTTCTTTGGCCACATGCGCAACATGACGTATCCGCACTACCTGATCGATCTGGCATTTCTGGTGTCGGACTCGTCCGACGACACGATGGGCGTCCTGGAGAAGAACCTTCTGGAGATCCAGTCGGATCCGGACCCTGAGATGCATTTTGGCCAGATCGAGATTTTCGAGAAAGACTTTGGCCAGATCATCGGCCAGGGGTTCAGCGACCGCCACGGGTTTGCCGCGCAGGGCCCGCGGCGCAAGATGATGGCGAGGGCCCGCAATTGGCTCTCGTCGGCGGCCCTCAAGCCGTACCACTCGTGGGTGTACTGGCGAGACGTGGACGTGGAGACGATCTCGCCAACGATCATCGAGGACCTGATGCACCACGACCGCGAGGTGATAGTGCCGAACGTGTGGCGGCCGCTGCCGGAATGGCTCGGGAACCAGCAGCCGTACGACCTGAACTCGTGGCAGGAGAGCGACGGCGGGCTGCAGCTGGCCAACACGCTGGACGAGGACGCGGTCATCGTGGAAGGTTACGTGGAGTACGCTACGTGGCGGCCCCACCTAGCGTATCTGCGCGACCCGTACGGCGACCCGGAGACAGAGATGGTGCTGGACGGGATCGGCGGGGTCTCGATCCTGTCGAAGGCGCGCGTGTTCAAGAGCGGCGCGCACTTCCCAGCGTTCTCGTTCGAGAAGCACGCCGAGACCGAAGGCTTTGGCAAGATGTGCAAGCGGATGGGGTATGCGGTGGTGGGGCTGCCGCACTACGTGATCTGGCACATCTACGAGCCGTCGAACGACGATCTGAAGCACATGGAGTGGATGGCGCAGGAGGAGGTGCGGCAGCAGCGCGAGGAGAGCATGCAGAAGGTGTACCAGCGCGTTTACGGCGCGGGATTTCTGGACGTGGAGGACGAGTGGAAGGAGGAGAAGCCGCTGATTCTGCGCAACACGGACAGCTCGCGGGGCGCGCGCAGGATCCAGGTCGACTGGGACGACGTCGACGCGTTTGGGGACGATCTGGCTGACCGGGACCTCGCCGACTTCGACCCGGCATTGTAGACTAAGCACATAGATATAATTAAATAATCAAGACATAATCAAATATTTCACACCTTGCCACATTATTTCGACATGCTCCATATAGACAAAATAATACACGACGTGCGAAAGTGCAAAATCGTGCCCGAAAACGACATCCAGGAGCTGTGTTTCCTCGCGCAGGAGCTGCTCATCCAGGAGTCCAACATCCAGCTCGTGGACCCCCCCGTGACGGTGTGCGGCGACATCCACGGGCAACTGCACGACCTGTTGCGGCTGTTCAAGATCGCGACAGAGCCGCCGCACACCAAGTACCTGTTTCTCGGCGACTTTGTGGACCGCGGGTTCTACTCGCTCGAGACGTTTCTGCTGCTGCTGTGCTACAAAGTGCGATATCCCGACCGCATCTACCTGATCCGGGGAAACCACGAGTCGCGTCAGATCACCAGCGTGTACGGGTTCTACGACGAGTGCATGCGCAAGTACGGCTCGGCCAACGTGTGGCGCTACTGCTGCGACGTGTTTGACTACCTCGCGCTCGGAGCGTACATTCTGAGCGGCGCGAGCGCGGACGGCGGCGTGCTGTGCGTGCACGGCGGCCTGAGCCCGGCGATCGAGACGATCGACGAGATCCGGCTGATCGACCGCAAGCAGGAGGTCCCGCACGACGGGCTCATGTGCGACCTGCTGTGGTCGGACCCCGAGGAGAACATCCCGGCCTGGGCGGTGTCGCCGCGCGGCGCCGGGTACCTGTTCGGCTACACCGAGACCGAGCGGTTTATGTTCAAGAACAACCTCAGCCTCATCGCGCGCGCCCACCAGCTGGTCATGGAGGGCTACAAGGAGGTCTTTGACGGCGGCCTGGTGACCGTGTGGTCTGCGCCCAACTACTGCTACCGCTGCGGCAACGTCGCCGCCGTGCTCACCCTCGACGACAACCTCAACCGCAGCTACACCGTCTTCGACAGCATGCTGCAGGACTGCTCCGAGATCCCGTCCAAGAAGCCCGTCGCGGACTACTTTCTCTGACCTCGAGGCGGGCGTGCGCGACACAGAAAATTTACAAGCCGTTTCAGATCTCAGGCACAACAACAACATCTTTTCTTTAGCTCCATGACGGACACGAAAAACACGTCGACCCAGGACGTGCTCACGTCGGTCGTGACGAACGGCGTGATCTGCGCCGTGTTCGTGGCGCTGTTTCTGCTGCTCAGACTCAAGTTCAAGCGCATCTACCAGCCAAAGTCCAGCTTCGACATTGTGCCCGACAGCGAGAAGCCCGACCCGCTGCCGCAGGACCCGCTGACCTGGATCTTTGTCCTGCTCAGAAAGCCGCCCTCCTTCGTCATCCAGCAGGCCGGAATCGACGGGTATCTGTTTCTGCGGTACCTGTTTATCGTGGCCTCCATTGCCCTGGGAGGCATCGCCACATGGGCCGTTCTGCTGCCTGTGAACGCCACAAACGGCAAGGGCGAGGACGGCCTCGACCAGCTGGGCATCTCCAACGTCAACTCGGCCAGCAGGTACTACGCCCACGTGTTCATGTCGTGGATCTTCTACTGCGTGGTGCTGTTTGTGATCTACCGCGAGCTGCACTTCTACTCCAGCCTGCGCAACCTCGTGCTCACGACGCCGGCGTACGCGAAAAAGCTCAGCTCCAGAACGGTCATTTTCCAGACCGTAACCGACCAGTATCTCGACGAGGAGGAGTTCTTCAAGCTGTTCGAGGGTGTCAAGCGGGTCTGGGTCGCCAGGAGAAACAGACGGCTGTCCCGCGCGCTCAAGCAGAGAGAGCGGCTGACCAACGCGCTCGAAGCCGCCCTGACAAAGCTGCTCAAGCGCGCCGTCAAGGCGAAACTCAAGGCCGACAAAAAGGGCCGCGTCGTCGAGAACCCGGACGACCTCTCGTCGTACGTGCCGTACAAAAAACGGCCCAAGATGCGCGTCGGCGTGCCCATCTTCGGCAAGAAGGTCGACACCATCGAGTACTGCAAAGAGCAGCTGCCCCGTCTCAACGAGCAGATCGAGGAGTACCAGTCCACGCTCGCCGGCACACGGCCCATGAACTCGATCGCGGTCGAGTTCGAAAACCAGTACTACGCGCAGCTCGCGTTCCAGACCACGATCCACGACCTGCCGTACTTCTTCTCTCCAAAACACACCAACGTCAGCCCAGAGGACATCTACTGGCCCAACATGCGGATCTTCTGGTGGGAACGGCTCATGAGGTTCCATGGCGCGGTGGCCGCGATCGTGGCCCTGGTCGTGCTCTGGGCGATCCCGGTCTCGTTTGTCGGTCTTGTGTCCAACCTCACGTACCTGACCAACAAAATGCACTGGCTCAAGTTCATCTACAGGCTGCCGGACGTGCTGCTGGGCCTGATCACGTCGCTGCTGCCAACGGTCATGCTGGCGGTGCTGATGCTGCTGCTGCCGATCTTCATCAGGAAGATGGGCCAGGTGTCCGGCTGTCTCACGGCCCAGAGCATAGAGTACTTCACCCAGCAGTCCTACTTTGCGTTCCAGGTCATCCAGGTGTTCCTGGTCACCACCATCTCGTCCTCCTTTGCGTCGACTGTGACCCAGATCGCAGATAAACCCACCGAGGCGATGGAGCTGCTCTCGGCCAACCTGCCAAAGTCGTCCAACTTCTACGTCTCCTACATGGTGCTGCAGGGCTTTTCCATCGCCGGCGGTGCGCTGTTCCAGGTGGTGAGTCTGGTCCTGTTCTATCTCTACAGTGCCATGTTCGACAACACCGCCCGAAAGCTCTGGACCAGGTTCAACGACATCGGCGGCTTTGCGTGGGGCACAACGTTTCCGATCTACACCAACCTGGCCGTGATCTTCCTGTCGTACAGCATCATCGCCCCGATCATCATGCTCTTCACCTTTGTCGGCTTTCTGCTGCTCTACATTGCGTTTCTGCACAACGCAACCTACGTCTTTGGAAAGAGCGCCGACGGCCTGGGCAGATACTATCCGCGGGCCCTTTTCCAGACCATGGTGGGCATTTATCTCGGCGAGATCGCTCTGCTCGGTATGTTTGCCGTGTCCAAGACCTGGGGCTGCATCGTGCTGGAGGCCATTCTGCTCGGCTTCACCGTCTTTGTGCATCTTCATCTCAACAAGGCGTACGACCATCTGATGACGGTTGTTCCAAACACGGTGATGAGGCCGCTCGACGGCGTCAGCGAGACTCTGTCGTGGACCGCTCCCCACGCCAACAGACAGTTCAACGAGCACGCTCTGAGCTCGTGCTCCGACTTCAAGGAGCAGATGTTCATGGCCGAGGAGCAGCGAGAGGAGTATAGAGACTCCAAGGTGCAAGACTACAGGGCGTTCCATGTTCCGTTGCTCGTGGAAGGTGACGACTACGATTTCGGCGACACAAAACTGGGCGTGATTGCGCGTTTTCTGAGACCGCACAAAGATTACACATTCAAGAAGCTCAAGGCGTACCTTCCGCCTGCGTTCTACGACTTCCCCGAGGAGGACCCCGAATGGGTCAAGCATGCGTACGATCTGCCAGATAGAAGCGCAGCGTGTCCGACGCTGTGGATTCCACGCGACCCGATGGGCCTGTCGCGCAAGGAGATCAAGAACCTGCACGGCGCAATCAAGGTGAGCGACGAGAACGCTCATTTTGACGAGAAGGGCAAGATCATCTGGACCGGTCCGCCGCCAGAGTAATTAATAGATAATAGCAGTTGGCACATCCATCAAATTCACTGGCTAGTTAGGGCGCAGCTGTTAGTATTGATGGCTCTCTATAGTTGGTTCTGTAGAGCTACTGAACTCATTTGCAGAGTGTATGGTACGAGGTCAACAATTCGGTGAAAAAACCGTGTGTAGCCTTGGATAAAGCAGTTAGAGCAGTATTTGTGAGATAAAACTACGCCAAATATATACTATATCCAGTCGCACTCGAATCAGCTCGGTATGCCCAGACGAGTGCCAAGATCACTTGCATGCTTCAGGGCCAATGAGCCAACTTTGTACGCTCCATCGATGAACTTTATTAGCCAACCGAGCTGGGTCAATAGCAATGAATACGTAGGACGGAAATCGCGCCCCCTCTCCTTGACTCTCTCCCGAGTCAATGTCCACAAAGTCCTAAAACTTGACGAAAAAGAAAATATATGACACTCTTTTCTGTTCAGCTGCAAATGTTAGCCCGGTTTGACGTCCCTGCTACAAAAAATAATTCCCTAAAAATAAATAAATAAACTAATGTTTCCCTACGAGGTCGACCAGACAACCCTCAATTCGCGGCTGAACCAGATTGCCGCCGCGTACCAGCTGCCTGGCGCGCTCAGGGACTCCTCTGCGGTCCTGCAAGCAGACTGCTCGCTCGAGAGCTACAGGAGCCACATGTTCACGTCCTCTGCCAACCTGAGCGACTCGCCCTCGTCAATGGACTTCGCGAACCAACCACACCTGGTGGTCGGCCAGAACATCAACAACAATCTCGGCATTCCGCTCCACTCCATCAACAAGATCCCGTCGTACCAGTGGTCGTCCAAAAACGACGACCCGGAACACCACCCGACAAAGACAAAACACATCCTGAGTGGTCTGGGAGCGGCCGACAGCGTTTCCTCGCTTGGAGCGCACACAATGGGGGCGTCGTCCCTCAACAGCAAGCTCGTCAGATTGCCGCTTTTGAACGAGACCACGGACGGCACCAAATGGTCACTGGCCAACGGACTGCCCTACTACGACAAGGAATATGTCGATAAACAGATCAGATACCTGAACCAGAAAAAGGCCAGGACGATGTCGAACAGATCGCAGTTTTCCGCACAGATGAACGAGACCATCGACGACGTGGAGTATCTGCACGGCACCGTGATCCTCAACCAGTTTCTCAACAACAAACGGCTGGTCCGCAACTACCAATGGCTGATGTACTTTGCAGACAAACAGGGGGGACGCAAACTGAGCGACAAAATCGGCTCCTACGACAATGTAAAGTACAAGTCGGTGCGCAACTTCCAAAAATCGGTTGAGAGAAAGATGGCACGCCAGCAACGCGAGGAAATGGAGCGCAGAAAACGCGAGATGGAAGGATTGCCGCCTATTCCACCTCAAAATAACGCGGAATCGGACGAGGACGAACAGGATGAGGAAGAAGAAGGACCTAGATTCCAAACGCTGGACATTCCTGTCAACCTAACCAAGGAGCTGATTATCGAGAAAGAACTACCGATCGACGACAAGGAGTTGATCGACAACCAGAACAGATTATATGGTATTCAGAACTCTTATCAAATGCTAGAGGAGGCAAGACAAACGGACGGTATCATCCACTCGCGCGTCCTGAGACTACGACGGAAACCCAACCCGAATGCCCTGGGATATTCAAATATCCGATGCAAAAAACCACCGTATGCCTGAGCTCCACAGACATCACAGCACTTTGGCGTGCTTGATGTCGTTTCTCAGCTTATACACCAGCAGTGTCATGATAATGAGTAGAACCAGAACAGGCATCAGGATCAGCCTGACCGCAGACGTGAACTTGTTCAGCTTGGTCTCGAATTCAGACTCGTAGTCTGACGGCCGCGACCCTTTGGCATAGAATTCCTGCAACTGTTTCAGCTTGTCGTTAATGCTTTCGTGGTTTTGTGACTGTCCTTGGAAATAGCTGTTGAATGTGACGAATCTCTCGTCCACCAGCTCCAGCAGCTGGTTTTGTCTAGTGATTAATTGTCTGAGCGCTTCGTACTTGGCATTGAGCTCCTCGGTCTGCTTGAGCAGCATGTCGTAGCTTTTCTCCATTTGCGTGTTGTAAACGGAGTTTTTCTCGTTCATCATCTTGATTGACTTGGTTACATCGAACAGCTGCTTTTGTAGAACCTGTGGAGCCGTCTGCTGTGCAATAATGGTCTTCACTTCGTCCAGTTTGGCAAGAAGGTCATATTCAGCAGACTCCGGCCGCGAACGCACTGGCACACTGTTGCCGTTTTGTTGCTCCCGTGTTCTCTTAAAGTCCTCTGCCAGCTGTGCTCTCTGGGCCTGTCTCTTGTCCACCTGGTGGTGCTTGGCAACGAGCGTCTCTGAAGGCTCTATTTTAAGCGACTCAATCATCTTGTCGAAGAACTTGAACATCAGAATCTCGAATTGTTCGGCCTTTTTGACGTCTTTTGACGACACCGCAGAAATACCCACACGCATGTTTTTCAAGTACGGATCCAGGTTGATGGCATCTGTCTCGAACAGCAGCTTGTTGTCGCACGTGATCTTGAGCTTTTTGTTCTCGTAGCCCAGTTTCAAGGTGGACGGCACCTGCGAGTCCTGGAAACTGTATGTGTACGCTCCAAGATAGTCCTGTGCCAAATTGACTTTCCGCGAACCGTCGTTCACGTACACTCTGAACACAGGACCCAGGTCCTGTTCGTTAGCGTCCAGTAGAATCTGCAGCCCAGAGTATTGCGAGGGTCCGCCGAAATTGGAGATATCGGATCCTGGGTCCTGGTCAAGCAACCACAGCGACAGTCCGGCGCCCGTAAATCCAAACGCACCCACCGATCTGAAGGTGAGCTGCAACGAAAAGCCGTCTGACCAGATCTTGTTTTTGGACCATACAGCGCCGTGTGTTAATTCCTGGGTGGCTTTTAGCGAGATGGATGGTGCAGGAGTGAGTATAACACGTCCCTCGTTGACCTCCACGTTGCCATACAGTTGCCAGTTATTCTGGAGGTCTGACTGAGACTTTACCAAGACGAGGTCTGGAAACGAGAGCTCGGGCACAGCAGTTTGAGTCTCCGCAGAGACTGCCCCGTGGCCACCGTGAGCGTCAGAGAGCCCCCAAAAGGCCAGTAGCCAGAAAATAAAGTTGAAGAACATCAAACAAAAGATTCAATGCAAAACGAGATCACAAAACCAACACAGCCGTATTTTTTCCACCGTGTACGCTGGAAGAAGAGTTTTTACCGACGCTCGTAACCATTGGAAAGTTGCACAAAATTTTTCTGACAGCTTCCGGCGAGCAAAAGGGTGGGAAAAGTTAAATAAAAGACAATTCAAGAAACAACGCTGGTTTTTTGATATTATCATATTAGACTTTCAGGTTTTCGAACAGAGATCTAATTGGTTGATTTCCAACGGTACATACGCATCAACCAATTGGTCGGTATCTAATCGAAATAAATCCGCTATACTCCATTCCAAGTGACATCTAGAGTTTCGCCAGGCTCAAGGGCCAATAATCCAGAGGCATCCACGCCTTCCACCGACCCTCCATCTCTCACCACTGTTCTTCGACAAACGTCTCTAGCGGCAATTGATTCACTTATTGTTCCCGGAAACAGAGAAGAAGTGTTGCCACAGATCAGATCCATCATAGCATCATACCCTGATACCCGTGGTGAGCGACTGATCAAATACTTGCTGGACATTGGTTTCGACGAAACAGACCTCAAAGCTGAATCACGCGAGATTGCTCTACAGATTCTCAAGGAAGAGCTCGGAAAATACACCTCTACGGACGTTTCTCATCTAGAGTCTTTTGCTGGGCCCGTTTGCGAGTTCCTCAAAAGTTCGCCCAGATACTCACTATCGGACATCTACAATAAACTTGGTTTATCCGGGTTCCAGACCGTGTTTGCCACTCTTGATATCGAGAACTGCAAATCTCAACACTGGAAAGAGATCTCTGAACAATTCGCTCCTGTCTACCAACAGAGTCTACCAGGTCTTGTTCAACACCTGAACAATCTAGCAGAGAAGAATAATCTTCCAGAAGAAGAGGCGGTTGCGTACGGAAGATTCCTTAGGTTATTCCTCAAATCCAAAGTTTTCACAGCACCCCACAAACTTTTGATTGTCGAACACCTGGTCAACATTCTAAAGAAGAACGACAATAGCAAACTACATCACTTAGTGCAACAAGAGATCAACAATTACTTTTTTGAGTTAGGCAAGATGGAGTTCAGAGAAGTGCTACAAAATTTCGAGCCATCGAAATTACTTCCTAATAAATTGCTCACAGACTTGCTTGCAGCTCAACCTCAGACACAACTGGACGACGCTATCGCCGTCTTACTGTCAGAGATATTATATCCTGGTTCGCAGAAATTGTGTGGTGCCAACACAGACCCCATCACGGCACTCACTCCATCTAGCGTTCCGGAGGCAACCGCAAGAGGAGCCCAAATGGCGAGCATTATCAATAGATTGAAGACGCAGCCGAACTGGCAAAATGTGTTCAACCTCGTGCTCCAAAACACCACCACAGCTACGACCATGACCACTGCATCGCTATCCGAATTTTTGTCTGCATTAGAAAAGGAAGATACTATCGATTTGTTCCTTTCAACGGCATGTAAATCTGTCAATCCCCAACTGTTGAAAGATTTGCTGATTCAATTGAACTCTCTAGATCCTAGCCAGGGCTCTATCAACCTGTTTGACTACAATTTGGAGCCCATCCTATCATCAGAGGTCAACTCGAGAAATTTGCTTCTGTATTTCAAGTCCATCGTCAAGATCGAGGTGAAGACCATTGCCCTTCTCCAAAACGAAAACATAAATGACACCGTTGTGAGCAACATCTTTGCCAGAGATTACAGAGCTGCTCCAGAGTACATTGTACTGGCATGTCTTCATATTTTGCACGATGAGCCAGAGGCCAAGGAGAACGATGTGATTGTCAACATCATGCAAAACTTTGTTGTTTCGCTACTAGATGTGAGCTCTCCATATTTGAGTGCCATATTCACTAAGTTTGAGGAGTTTAATCCTGTTGAGCTCGGCAAGTTACTGGTCAAATATTACGAGGTCAGGAAATCCACCGATTCGATACACAAGATTGCCAGCCTTACTGCGTCCTTCAAGCGCGACACAGTCATTATGTCGATCTTGTCCAATTCGGTCGATTTTAAAGATGCATTCTCGTTTGCTATCATATTTTCCCAATATGGCTGGAAACGTTTCCAGGAGTTTGTGTTGACTCAGCTTGACAGAAACATCAGCGTTGTTGCGGGCACAATCATCGAATTCATGGAAATTCAAGCCACGCTGGAGTATGAAAGCGCACAACAGGGCCATCGACTAGCCAAATCGCTCAACCTAGAGACAGTTTATTTTTTGATGACTACTTTGGCGAGTAAGCAGTTGCCACCAGAGCTGTTTGAAAAATTCAGGAATTTGCAGGCTCTGTGCTTGCAAGCCTATCCTAGATTGATCAACTTTGGACAAGGGCACGACACCGCCATTCTGATGAACAGCTCCACCAACACGTTTTCCATTGACGTGGAAAAGGAGATGAAAGTGTATTATCAAAAGATGTACAACAAGGAGATTGAGATAAAAGACATTATCAACATGCTTCAAAGACTGAAAGTCAGTGACAATCCCCATGACCAGGATGTTTTTGCTTGCATGATCCACTCCCTTTTGGACGAATATAGATTTTTCCCTGAATACCCCGTGGATGCACTTGCAACGACATCTGTTCTTTTTGGAAGCACCATCCTATTCCGACTTGTTGAAGGGCCTGCCCTTTCCATTGCACTAAGATACATCATTGACTCCGTCAGACAGCCACCTGAAAGCAAGATGTTCAAGTTTGCCGTTCAGGCCTTGTACTCATTCATGAAACGTCTCGGCGAGTTTCCAAAGTTCTGTGCTATGCTTTGCGAAATTCCTGCTTTAAAGAGCCAGCCTCAGCTTTACGAAGCATGCAAAACGGTTGCAGCCGGTGGATCACTACCATCCGTTTCACCACAAGACTCCAACGCCCATCTTGCGACTCCGCACCAGAAGGCCAAGGAGCTCGACCCGTCCGTATATGTTTCCAAATGGGTTTCTATTCAAGTGCCTGGGAAAATTATCGACGATGTCAGACAAGAGAGTCCTGCAGCAGAGACTCTGGATAGGGTGCTATTTATGGTGAACAATCTAACAGATGACAACGCCAACACGCGTTTGATGGAGTTGAAGGAGCTCCTTGACGCAAAGTATTTCGAATGGTTCTCCAATTATCTGGTCAACCAGCGTGCCAAGTTGGAGCCAAATTATCATGCCTTATATGGACGTATTGCCGAGCATTTTGATTCCACGTTGTTTGATGCACATCTAGTCCAAGCCACCTTTCAGCAAATTGTGCTACTACTGAACAAGGCTCGCGAATCTACCGAGCCTGAGGACATTGCGGATGTTTTGACCTCCACTGAAAGATCGCATCTGAAGAATTTGGGTGCATGGCTTGGCCGTTTGACGCTGACTCGCGACAAGCCTATCTTACACAAACACTTATCGTTCAGAGACCTGTTAACGGAGGCTTACGATCACAAGAAATTGGAGATTGTGATTCCGTTTGTCTGCAAAATCATTGACCAGACAAAGTCGTCTAAGGTTTTCGAGTACCCAAACCCGTGGTTATTGGGAATCCTGCAACTTTTGAAGGAACTATATGATGTTGCTAATTTGAAATTGACTCTCAAGTTTGAAATCGAAGTTGTGTGCAACTCTTTGAAGGCCGATCTTAACAAAATCGAGGCCACCACTACAATTAGAAATCACAAGCCAGGGGAACTGGAGCGTTTTGTGGAGTCCCAAAAGGTGATAATCAAGCTTGCAAGAATGTCTTTAGAAGACTCCAAGTCAACTCCACATGCTCTTGCGGGCAACCCAGCCACGCCTCTAGCCAACCTTAACCCTTCTGTGCTGGCTGCTCCTCAGGGTGCTCCGCAAGCTGCCCAGCAACAACTGAATGTTCTCCATCAACTGCAGCAACAACGTCTCATGGCCACTGCACAACAACAACAGCATCTGCAGTCCGAAATCCCTGGTGCCCCAGTTTCCTCGTCGAGCTCACCTGCAGTCAACAGCAACGTGCCAACTTCTGGCCAAGGTGCTGCACAACAGCAAGGTTCTGCATTTGAGAACTTGAATGGAAACTCTGTGTTTGTTACGCATCCAAACCTGAGAAGATTGTTCCAGTTTGCGATTACCAAGGCGGTGCGTGAGATATTGCCTCCTGTGGTGAGCAGAACAAACTCTGTTGCTCTCGTGACCACGAAGTCTTTGGTCTTAAAGGATTTTGCATTTGAGGTGGACGACCTGAAGCTCAGAAAGGCTTACATCAACACAGTGAGACATCTTTCGGAGTCTCTCACTCACGCTTCATGCAGAGATTTGCTGAGGGAGAACATTCAGCTGAATTTGCATCAATACATCAGCTCTCTAGGCCAACAAATTGATACCGCTATATTAGAAGATCTGCCAAGAGCTATTAATGACAACTTGGATTTGGCGTGCTCTATCATCCAGAAGGCTGCAATGGAGAAGTCTGTGCAGGACCTGGACGAAATGATGCTGCCATCTATTGCTTTGAGAAGACAATTCAGAGACTCCAGACCGGATCAGGCCTTCTGTGACACTCAGCACGCTTCGAGATATGCTATGTCTCTTCCTGACCCATTAGGAATCAAACCCAACGGAGTCACTGCCAAACAGTTTTCAATCTATTCTGAATTTGGAAAACCAAAGAACGGCACCACTCTTGCAGGTTTGAGTGCAACGCTTGCTGCTGCGGGTGGCATAGCCCCAGGAATGGCTTCAGAGGCCGTTGCTACACCTCCTTCTGTGAACGCAGGTGTTGACCAAGCCGCCATTGCTCAGAGAATCTTGCAGCTACAAGCACAGGGTCTACCAAGTAGCTCTGCTGTTCGTACAGCAGGTAGCCCCGCGGATGCTGCACACGCGCATTTACCTGGTGAACAACCACAACGTACTTTGGAGCAGTCTTTCATTTACATCCAGCAGCTATTAGAGGCGGTTGTGAAATCAATAGAAGAGACTCCAGAGAAGGAAATTCATTTGAGGGAGATTGCCATCGACCATCCTTTGAGATCCTATCTGACCGAGCTAATCCAACTTCTGGGCAGGTTGAACCACAACGAGTTGCAAATGAAGATTGCACAGGTGGTGATGAACACCCTGTTCAGTGTACAGAATGCTTCGCAGCTGTTTGTGGAGGCTTTCATTTTCCTTCTTGACAAGTCCTGTGAGCTCTCTTCACACGTTGCCAAGTTCGTTACCACCTGGTTGATCAACGCTGAAGACCCTAGGAAGTTCAATAGAAAGGTCATGGCTTCGCTCGTCCAAATAGGAATGATTTCTCTAAGCGATCTGGATTTGAGTATTTCCAAGACGCTTGTCAGCAAGAAGGATGAGGCAGTGCTCAATTTTGCGTCCGGCTTGGTTCTCGACATGGTGTTTGGAGCAACTCCTACGGCCTTGAGATCCGACTTCACCAATATCATTGCTGCTGTGAAGTCTCTGGATAAGGAGATTGTGGATAAGAGTGTCTTGGCTCAAGAACTCATCAAACATTTGGACAACAAGGTTGACTTGCAGACAGAGAAATTCAAGACGTTGATTCACGACCCAACCAAGCTTAAAGACTATTTTGCCTACATTTTTGCCGAGTGGGTCAAGTTGCTCAAATTTGAAAGTTCTTCCAAGGAGATGCAGCTGGATTTCCTCAATCAGCTTTACGATCTTGGTGTGCTGACCAAACCAGACCACTTTGTTCTATTCTTCACCACTGCCATGGAGATGTCTGTCATTTCGTTTGTGAAAGAGAGCGATGCCTCCAAGAAGCTGGTCGTTGAGTCATACACTGCCATTGATGCGTTTGCAGAGCTTGTCATCCAATTGGTTCTCATTCAGGACGACACGGCGGGTTCTCGCGTGAACTTCTTCAAGTCTGCGCTCTCTGTGGTTCTTTTGGTCTTTGCTCATGATCATGAGGCCAACAAGGCCAACTTCAACGAGCGACCATACTTCAGATTTTTCTCTACACTTTTGTGCAACTGGGCAACTTTGACTCATGAGAACTATGACTCTGTTGCAGAGAACGAATCGGACGTCAAGAAGCTCAGCAAGTTCAACGTCAAGTTCTACCACGTTCTATCCGACTTCTTCCTAGCCCTGCAACCAGACGCCTTCCCAGGCTTCACGTTTGCCTGGGTTTGTTTGATATCGCATCGTATGTTCCTTCCAATCATTCTGGAGCTAGAAGAGGACTCGGAAGCCAACCATGCCAAGTTTGCATCGCTTTTGGTGGCCTTGCTCCGTTTCGAGAGCACTTACGTCAGAGAAAGACAGCTTCCCGAGGCTATTTCTGTGGTCTACAAAGGAACACTGCGTGTGTTCCTCGTTCTGTTGCACGATTTCCCACAGTTTTTGGTGGAGTCTGCCAACGTTCTGGTGAGTGCAATGTCCCCGTCGTTTGTCCAACTGCGGAACGTGGTTCTTTCTGCTGCTCCGCCCAAGATGGAGATTCCGGATCCGTTCCAGCCTGGACTTAAGGTAGACAGACTACCAGACATTGTTGTGTCTCCTCCGATTCTGAGTCATCCAGGCCTGATTTTGCAAGAGAAAAACCTCAAGAAGCTGGTGGACTCTTATCTCCGTATGCCTTCGCCAACGACACTAAAGCAAATTGTGACAGCACTGGAGCTATCAGAGCCGGTTGCGGAGGCAGGCATAGGCTTCAAACAAACAAAGTTCAACGCTAAGCTGGTCAATGCCTTGACGCTGTATGTTGGCATCTGTGCCGTGGAGGAGCGTGCAAAGAGCGGCGTGGCCTTCAACCCAAAATCCGTGCATGTTGGAATTCTGAGCTCGCTGATCCAGGAGGGGCCTGTCGAGCTGCAGTATTTGCTGCTACAAGGAATCGTGAACAGCCTGCGGTATCCAAACGCACACACCCACTGGTTCAGCTGTGTGGTGCTGCACTTTTTCGGCTCGACTTCGTTATGGGGAACGAACAAGACCGACATCCAGCAGCTGATCACCCGTGTGCTCCTGGAGCGCATCGTGTGCAACAAGCCGCATCCATGGGGCCTGTTGATCACGTTTACTGAGCTGCTGAAAAACAGCGAGTACGCGTTCTTTGACCTGCCGTTCACCAAGACCAGTCTCGAGTACGAGCGGCTGTTCAATTCATTACTGTTGTACATTAAGAACTCGCCGAACGCGAGCTAATGAATCTCTATTTTTCTGATTATGTAACTAGATTTAACACGGCTTAGGAAAAAAAGTTGGATTCAATATGTTTTCTGCTCTTCGACGTCGACTAGGGCGTCCCTCGGACGACGACGCCGACGATCCGTTCAAAGAGAGCACCTCGACGCTCACCAAGAGCCGGCGGCCGCCCAACACTGCGTTCCGACAACAGCGGCTCAAGGCCTGGCAGCCCATTCTTGTTCCCCGGGTCGTTTTGCCGTTGTTGCTTCTTGTTGCGCTGATCTGCGTGCCCATCGGCATAGGCTTTGTCTTTGCCACATACAGCATTGAGAAACTGGAGATAAACTACGGCAAGTGCGCCGACCTGGCGTCCAGCAGTTTCGCCGACGTGCCATCGAAGTATGTCGATTACCATTTTAGCGGCGGCAAGTCGTCCACCGTGCAGTGGAAAAAGACCATCAACGAGACGGACACCGTGTGCACGATCCAGTTTGATGTTCCGGGCGACATCCACGGGCCATTGTACCTGTATTATAAATTGACCAACTTTTACCAAAATCACAGAAAATACGTGGAGTCCTACGACTGGAAGCAGCTGCGCGGGAACGCTGTTCCGTACGACGACGTGAGCTCCGACTGCTCGCCGATGCGGTACCGGGACGACAAGATCGTGTATCCGTGCGGACTGGTGGCGAATTCGATGTTCAACGACTCGTTTTCGAGTCTCACGTCGTCCTCGGGCAGCGAGTACGAGTTCAGTGCCAAGGGTATCGCCTGGAAGTCGGATCTTTCGCTGTACAAGCGGACGAAATACAACACGTCGGACATTGTGCCGCCGCTGAACTGGATCGAGAAGTATCCGGACGGCTACTCTGACGAGGACCTGGACTCGCTGGCTGAGGACGAGCGATTCATGAACTGGATGAAGACCGCTGCGCTGCCGTCGTTCATGAAACTCTATGGCAAAAGCAGCGACGTGCTGGCGAAGGGCACGTACACGATGGACATTGTCATGAGATACGAGGTGTCGATTTTCGGCGGAACGAAGAGCGTGATCGTGTCCACGTCGAGCGTGCTGGGAGGACGGCATTTCAGTCTGGGCATCTGCTACCTGGTTGTGGGAGGTCTCAGCGTGCTGTTCATGCTGGTATTCCTCATCAAACACGTGTTCACGCGCAAACAGACAGACCACGCCTTTTTGGAAGGGCTGGCCGGCCAGGAGCGAGAGGTGCTCTAGTACGTACACTGGTGAAAAAAAACTACTTCGACGCGACGATTATTTTAGCGTCAACTTATTTATTAAATTCTTGTTCAATGTCCAGGGTGAAGAGAATTGCTAAGGAGCTGGAGGACGTCAAAAAGGACGCGTTGTCGGGCGTGACTCTTTCGCTTGTGTCAGAGGACGATCTGTCGCACTTGAAGGGCACTTTTGTCGGGCCTCCGGGAACACCGTACGAGGGAGGACTGTTTGAGGTTGACATCCAAATTCCCGACGCATACCCGTTCAAGCCGCCAATAATGAAGTTCGACACCAAGATCTACCACCCGAACATCTCGTCGCAGACAGGGGCCATTTGTCTGGACATTTTGAAGGACGCATGGACCCCGATTCTGACCCTCAAGTCGTCGTTGATCTCTCTGCAGTCTCTGTTGCAGAGTCCAGAGCCAACTGATCCGCAGGACGCACAGGTGGCAAAAGTGTACATGAGCGACCCCAAGAAGTTTGCCGAGACGGCCGCCAACTGGACAAAGATCTACGCCCCGAACGACAACTACAAGCCAGAGAAGGGGGGCTCCAACTACGACGAGTTTGTGCAACAGTCCAAGATGCAGGAGCAGGACGAGTGCGCCAAGTACGGCATTGACAGAGCCACCGTCCAGATCTTCGAGGACATGGGTTTCCCCAAGGACAAGATCATTGCTGCCTTGAGAAAGCTCGACCTCAAAAAAATCAGGGTCGACGACGTCCAGACCCAGCAAAGTGTTTTAGATGAAATCCTTCATTAATGATATACACTTGGATATACTCATACAGGTATTGTAGCTATTTACTGGATCCTACTTCCCCACCTTTCTGAACCCGTCCTCGCTGACTCCGCCGTTCTTGCCTCCCTTCCGCTTCTTCTTGGCCACCACGGGAGCCGTGTCTTTTTTTGCCCGTGGCTCCAGTTTGATTTCAACACCCTTGACGTGCGTGGTGCCCGTCTTGATGGCCTTTTTCTGAGAGCTCTGCTCCGTGAAGTTCACCAGAGCGATCATCCGGTCGATCTTACACAGGTCGACGTTGCCGAAATTTTCCTCGAGGTGTTTCTGCAGCTCCTCGTCGGTAATAGCGCCGGTCACACCCTTCACGTAGATCGGATACACAACCTGGCCCTTTTTGTTGACCATCTGGCTCTTATGTTTCCTGAACTCCTCGTCCTCCTTCCTGTCCTTCTTGTCCTCCTTTTTCTCGTCCTCCTTCTTGTCCTCCCGTCTTTCTCTCTTCTCCTCCTTCAGCTCCTTGGCCTCCCTTGTCTTCTTCGCCTCGACCTTCTTGGCTGCCGCAGACGCGATCTGGTCAGCCCAGCTCATCGGCTTCGACGTGGCAGGCCGCTCTGGTTGCCGTTCTGGCTGCCGCTCCGGCTGCTCTGGCTCCTCGTCCTCGCCCTCGCCGGTCTCCGGAGTGGTGTCCTTACTTTGCACGGAAAACACCTCGCCCTTCTCTGCACTGTCCGGCGTCTCCGTCGCAGACTCCGGCTCCGGGTCGTAGTTCGAGTCGACGTCCGGCAGGAAATTCAGCACGTCGTTGTACACGTCGTAGACGCTGCGCTTGACGGTGGGGACGAGCAGAAACGTCTGCACAAACTTGTATGCCACAGACTCTGTGTCGTGGCTGCTCTTAGGAGCCAGCTCGCCAACACAAACGATTAGAATCGAGTCCTGGAACGACTTCGAGGCGTCTATCGACTGGATCATCACTTTCGACCCGGCAAGCTTGGACTTGTCCCAGTGGGCCTTGATCTCTGCTGGACCCTCAGCAGCAACGACATCTGCGCTCAACGGAGCTTTGTAGTCCCCGTGTCTAAGAACGGCGTTCTGCGAGTACAGCTGGTACAGGTTTTCTGTGCCCGAGTGGATGAGATTATAATAATACTCGATAAATGCAATGGCAACCCGGTTTGGGTCCTGGTCGAGATCCGACATTAGGTGAAAAATGGAAAAAAAAAATAATTGAAAAAATGAGCGAAAATGGAAACATTAAGAATTTCTACACTATCTATTTAGATACATCATCTTCTGCTCGGGAGTGAACTGGGTCTTGTCGTCGGCAAACCCCCAGATGTGGTTGGCCAGCTGGCCCACCTCCTTGTCGCCAACGAGCCTGCGCAGCTCCCAGAAACACAGGTGCGTCAGCATCGACTGTCCTCCCACCTGGAGCAGATTATGGTTCACGTTGCGGATGACGCCCAGCTCTTCCGCCAGCGTCTCGAGCGACCGTGTCTTGTGCGTTCCGCCGACACGCGAGACAGATATGTACTTGATGTCGTAAAACGTCGGGAAATACAGGCCCAGCCACTCCTCGAACTCTTCCTCGCTCGTTGGCATGTTTCTGTTGATGAGCAGCGACGTGATGAACCCAAAGTCGTAGCCCGCGTGGTAGCTGATCCAGACGTTGTCCTTCATCAGACACAGCCCGCTGTCCGTCAACACCTGTGCAAACTCAAACACGTCGATGCCAAACTCTTTGAGCCTGCTGAAATTGAGCCCAGTCGTGATCAGCGACTCTATGCTCTCTCTGCTGTACATTTCCTGGTCCAAGTCGAACTTGAAATTAAATTGCCACGTTGACGGAACACCCTCGGGCCGCCGGCCGTCCTTGTCGCTCAATGTAATGCCTATTTGTATCAGATTCAGTAAATCTGCGTTCGATCTCATCGTCTGGTAGTGGTAGTCCTTTGTCGACCGGAACGACCCGATCGGCCGCGCAACTATCCCAGCAAACTCCGTGGACACGCAGATGTGGTTGTAGCGCTCGGCCAGCTCCCGTATGACCATCATCTCGCTCTCCAGGTTGTCCTTCCACACCTCTCTCACCATCGGCTGGGGTTGGAGCGATTGCGGCTGCTGTTTCTGCTGCATCTGCTGCTGGCTGAGTCGCTGGGCCGCCAGCACCGCCTGCTGCTGCTGGACCTGCTGCAAAAGCTGCTGCTGCTGCTGTTGCTGGAGCGTCGCCGCCAGCACTTGCTGTTGAATGCTTCTGTTATGAACTTGCGGAGACATCATCATGCCCACCTTCTGCTGCTGCGGCAGGCTGCCCGACCCGGACCCCTGCTGGAGCAGCTCGGGGTTGTTCAGGAACTGCGACATGAACCGCATATTCATCTGGTTCGTCATGCTTGCCTTGTTCAAAAAATCAAATTATATTCCTATGGACTCCAAAATTACCAAGACCCGCGCATCCTTACACCGGCAATAATAATTACACCTCTACTCGGTTCTCTGCTTCTTTGGCAGCAGGTCGTCCTCCTGCTCGGCCTCGTACTCTGCCTGCTGCTCGGCCTCGGCACGCTCCTCGCGCTCGGCTCGCTTTCTCTTGTACGCCGCCTTTTTGTCCACCCCCGTGCGCTCCTCAGTGTCCTCTGGAGGCGGCACAAACCACGGAATCTTTCCCCTGTTGAAGTCAGCAATCACCTGCTTGGCCACTCCGCTCTCGTCGGGCTCGCCTCCCTTCAGCAGCCTTCCGTGCTTGCGCGCCAGCAGCTCGATAAATTCGCCCGCATTTTTCCACCCCTTGATTTCGTACGTTCTCTCCAGATGTTTGCGTTCGCACTTGGCCAAAAGGTCCGGAATGAACTGTTCTGGGTTCGAAACGTGCTCCACACGCACAACACCGCGGAACAGAATGTCTGCCTCGGTGTCCTTCGTGGATGGAGGCACGATTCCGGGACAGTCGATCAAAAAGATTCTTTTCATCAACGTAATGTACTGCCACACCTTAGTTTCTCCCGGGATAGGAGCCACCGTGCACACCTTCTTGCGTCTCAGCGTGTTGATGATACTGGACTTTCCTGTGTTGGGATACCCAATGAAACCAACGCTGATCTGTTTTCTGTCCTGGTGGAGGACGGAAAACTGACGCAGCAGCTGGATCAGCGATCCTTTGCCGAAAGAGTTGGTGATGCTGGCATGGAACGCCAGAGTAGGGTAGTCTTTGGACAGGTGTTTCACCCACGCAGCCTGAATAGTCAGTAAAACGAAAAGAAAGCACGTTTGAATGTTGGGCCTTTTACTACGAAGAAGCCGGTGACTAAGACTCCTTCAACTCATAAAGGCCCAAAACACCATGTTGCCGGCCCCAAAACGGAGCGCAGCAGGGTGTCGGCCAGCATCAAAACGATACAGACCGACGACTGGCGAACATGATCTCCCAAAGTTGTAACAGATAAGCCATATTGGCAGATGGAATATCCTGACAAAAAACTTTGGTAGCATGGTGCCATTCAAACGTGGAAAAAAAATGGTATACTTACAGCAACCCATGTGGGAACCAAATCGCACTTGTTCAACACAAAGATCAGATGCTTATGAGGACACTCCTTCTTGATGTATTGCTCAACAGACTGGCACCGTGTTCCCAGTGGGTCACGGGCATCCAGCACGTGGATAACCACGTCCGACGAGTCGATCACTTTGTACAGTTCGTTCCAGATTCTCTTGGACTGGCCCTTGGAGAATATGAACTCCTTGGCCTCCGCGCTGAACTCATCGGTGTCGACACCGCCCATAAGTCCGAGCGTGGGCTTGAGCTCCTGTTTCTCCTCGTATTGTGTCTGTTCCGCAGAGGTGAGCTGGGCCAGCTCTTCCAGAGAGGAAACCACCGTGGTGGGCTTCTTGCGCTGGGCCTTAGGACCAAAAGTGTGCTCGAACGACTCCGTTTCCAAGATACGCGCGCTCGGAGACTCGCTCGTGTCCTTCTCGTCCAAAAGCGACATAGGCAGCTTGTTTCTTTTCAGCAGCACGGTGTACGAGTCGTCCTTCTTGTCGCCCATGGCCTCTCTGAAATGGGTCAGAGCGTCCTGCGCAATCACTCTCGTGTTACCGAACCACCGTCTGTTGGGGTCCACTCTGGCCGTTGGGGCCTTTGTGTCCTGCAAGTAGGCAGCCTTGATAATTTCTCCCTTGGCATTTCTCACGGCCTTGCCCTCCTTGTACATGTTCAGATGCTTCACCTTCTTTGCATCTCTGTAAAAGTTCTCTCCCTTGACCCTGAGATTACCGTCCCGCAAGTCGTTCTGGCGCACCCGGCGGGCCTTTTCTGTTTTCCCAGTAGCCATTGTAAATAAGTAGGGATAAAATTTTTTTTAGAAAAAAAATTGAAAAAATATAGTCTGGCTGTGTACGCACAGAGCAGGGAGGTGGTTGGATGTTTTGTGCCAGACATAACATTGAACGACAGCTGTGGACAGTGGGAGCAGTATCTGCGGTGCTGGATTACTAGTCCAGTGGTGGGGGCCATCCCAGCCCAACCCGTGGCACGATCGCGGAAATCGTATCTGCGTGGCATCGTTCATATTGTCTCCAAAGTCAGTTTTTCGGCACTCAGTTAGCTTTCTGAACGCCCAATGAGTTCTATCCACTGTCTTTGACCTTCTCGTGGACTTCAATTAAACAGAGTGAGACTCTGTCCACGACTTGAAAGACGTCGCATGGGGCCCTATAAATCACAGCTAATGGCTTGACATTCGGTTTCATCATCTCTTGGTCTGGCCGCAGCTGTGGTGCAAAAAACAGCTTCTCAATCAATATGAGCCTCCTTGTAGTGATTCAAACGCGATTATGCTCATGTCCCTTTGAACTTGCCCACACTTGTGCATAGTCACAGAAACATGCCTGTAAATTAATATTTCCTGCAACCATAAGATAATGCCTGTAAGAGCCTTGTATTAATAGTGTCACTCTGTACATCTGTATGAAGCCTATAAGACCAGGATAGATTCTACTCAAAATGCCGAAAATTCAAGCTATCCAGCAAGATACAGAGTAGCAGCGGCTTCCGCTGCTAAAAAACACCTAGCTAGCTCTGCCATCAAGCTCTGGCCAAAAGCTGCACCAGAGCTTTTTGCTGAAGCTGATACCCATAATTGCGCCTCACGCAGGCTTCCACAAGGTACGCCCTCCCACATCATCAGGTCGTTGGCCAGGACACTGCTACGCCTTTCTGATCACGTGACAGACAAATTTATTCAGATATTATTTCCCAAACAAATTACCTAATCTAAACCATGGGTCGACCACGGATCCAGTTTTCGCCGTTCAAGTACCCGAGCTCGCGGCGAGCCGAGCACAGCAGTCCCAGATCCGCGCTACACACGCCCGAGACCGGCAACTCGCCCGCCAGCACCGCGTCGTTCGCCGTTTCGAAGGTGCCCTTGAAGACCAAGGGAAACGGGCCCTTGCACGCAGGCACTCCTGTGCGCAAAGAGCCACCTGTGGATCTCGACGACGACGTCCAGCTGGACGGAACTGACAGCGAAGCGGGCAGCTACAACTACAACGACTACAATTCGAGCGTGATGTCTCCTATCAAGCTTCCTGGGAGTCCGTTACACGAAGAGGAGGATCTCAAAGGGTTGGACCGCCAGGAGGCGCCGATTGTGGACATTAGCAGCGAGTTCGAGGACTCTGAGGACGAGCGAGACAAGGAGCAGGGCGAAAGCTTGATGGTGGAGCAGTCTGTGCGGGACGAGGTGGACGCCGAGGCGACGATTCTGCGCGTGGCGGACTTTGTCGAGCGCAGACGCCGCGAGAAGGCCGAGCCGGGGGGGTATGCGTCGAGCGGGGGGCGAACGGAGGCCCAGAAGACCGGACCCGAAAAGACTCCAGAACGCAGTCCAGAACGGAGTCTGGAGCATAGTCCAGATCGTAATTCGCAGCGCACTACAGAGGCCAGTCCTGAGGCTAGTCCACGCAGTCCACGCAGTCCGCGCAGTCAAGACGGCGTTCTGAGACACGCAGAACGCTGGAGCAGAGCGCAATGGACGCATCTCTCGCGGTACCTTCGTCTGTACCGTGCTACAAAAGACAAACGGATGCTCGCTCCCGAGAAGCTGGAACGCGAGTTCCACTGTCCGCCAGAGGAGGTGCTGGCGCGCAGCGAGATCCTCGCGCGGTTCGTCAAGGTACGCAAAATCACGCGCAAGCGACTGTGAATGTACACTAAAAAGGTATTATTGTTATATAGTGGCTTAATTTTGGTCTGTGATGTAGGGAATGTTGACCCTCACTCTGTGGCTGTAAGGAAGCTTTGGGATCACGACGCATAGACAGGCAACAAGATTCACAACAAACAGGTTGAGATCGTAGTACGAGTAGTGCGTGGAGATGAGAAACAGGAAGATCGGAACCCCCATCAAGAACTTCTTGACCGGGGTGTACTGGTCGCCGTTGTCGATCTGCTCCCACATGGTAAGGTTGTCGTACGCTCCGTTGTTGAAGTCAAAAGGCGTTCCCTTGATCTGGTGGAACATGATATACGACCCTATGACATAGGTGACGTTTGTTAGGGTCCAGCTCCACTCGTTGTTGAACATCGGAATCAGGTCGTAAAACAGCTTGAGTAGTATTATTATCACGATGTGGATGATCCAGGCGCCCTTGAAATGAACCCAGTTGGCGTTCATGTTGGATTGAATGTCCTGGTCCTGTTTTGTTTCGAACGTCTCTGGCTCCACCTTCGAGATCAGCGACGACGAGCGTCTGCGACGGTGGTCCTTGGCGGTATGCGACGACGTTGGCGACACGGTCAGTCTTTCTGGCGACGAGGGGGCGGGAAATGGCTCAACGTTCATCTTGGGGCGAAGTGTATATGTTTTTAAGATTTTATTGCGCCTAACGTCGATAAGCACGCCTGCGTCGATCGTCCAGAAAAAAAATATATAACTATCCACTCTTCTTACACCGGCCATACCTACCTATGCGTGTCGCCGCTTTCGGCTGCCGAAATCCACCTCGCCGGGACCCTTGAAATACACGTCTCTGTAGTACTTGAGCTGGTTGATGCTCTCCAGGATGTCGCTCCGCGCGGTGTGCGCGCCCACCTTTTCTGGGCTGTACTCGTTCACCTGCGGGTTGTGTCTCCTGGAAATCTCCATGATCGACGACACGTCGATAATGCGATACGTCAAGTAGTCGGTGATTTTCGGCATCTCCTTGCACAGAAACTGTCTGTCGACGTGCACGCTGTTTCCGGCCAAAATGCCCACGCCCTTCGACATGTACTTGCTCAGATACTCTAGAAGCTGGGTTTCCACGTCTTCGAGCGTGTTGGTCGATTCGATCACTTTTTTCGTCAGCCCAGAGTCGCCGTGGTGCGTCCGACACCACTCGTCCATCTGGTTCATGCGCTCTTCTGGATAATGGATCACGGCCTCAAACCCTTCGTCGTCGATGAGCCGCAGATGCCTGTCGGTGACCAAGGCGCAGATTTCAATGATATGGTCGTTCAGCAGGTCCAGACCGGTCATCTCACAGTCGATCCACACGATCGGGAGCAGGTGGTCGTACTTGCCGTTGACAGGCCTCAGCTCCTCGAGCTCGTCCTTCTGGGTCTCCACCTTTGGCTTGAAAATGTCGCTGATTTTGAACATGCTGGGTCTTTTCCGCGGCAAGTAGGTCCGAACAAAAGGTCTCACAACTGGCCGTGCAAAACAAGTCCGTAACATACAAATATCTGGTGAAAAATATTTCTTGCCCGGAAAAAGCTCTACTCTGCCAATCATAAATACCTGTAGCTATTTGCGCAGAATCAGACGCCCTTGCCCCAGTAAACCCACTGGTCGGGAAGCGGCTTCTCCTCCAGCTCGTCCCAGACCCGCCACTCGGCCATCTTGTGCAACAGCTCGTACTCCTCGTTCGCCTGGATGATCAGCTCCTCCACCAGGCCGCACCCGATCTTCTGCTCGATCTGCTCCACCACGTCGTTGGCCTCCACAATGGCCAGCCTGCTCTTCGTCAGCGACTCAACACTCTTGCGGTACACACTTTCCTCAGGGAACTTCTCCTTCAGCTTCGTCAACGTCGAGTTGTAGAGCTTGATCAGAACCGGCCGTGGATTGGGATGTTGATGGATCCCGGTCAGTCCTGTGGGATTGCCTTTTCCAGAACGAATGAGCACCTCCTGTGCCTGTCTGAGCACTCTAAAATGTCTCATAATTTTGAGGGGTAAATAAATTATTTCGCACAATTGTTTATTTTATGTGCTCTCTGTTTTTTCCATCCGCACAGACGCCTCGCTGATCCCCGTCGACGGCATCGAGTCCAGCTCAATCGCGTTGTTCTGCAGCGAAAGGTTCAGCAGGTTGCTGAACGCGTTCGCAGACGTGTCGGGTATCTGTGCTGCACTGTCGGTGTACGGATGTTGGGCGCTCGAGTCGGAAGTCTGGAGCAGGTACTGGTGGCCGTTTGACGGCGAGAACGCGGGCAGATCCTGCAACTGGCTGCTTGCGTTTCTGAGGCTCAGCACACTCGCAAGGAACCGGCTCGACAGAACTGAGTGCGTGATGGGAGCCATGTACACGCTCGAGCCTATTATGTAGTAGTCGGAGATGGTGACGGTCTCGTTCTCCGAGAGTCTGTTTTGTTTGCGGATGATCCAGAAGTCCGGCTCGCGGACCATCGCAATGACAAACTCGACGCCTTTCATTTTGCGCAGGTCCTGCAGCAGCTGGTCGTATGGTTTGTTGTAGTAGTTTGTATCTGTGAACTGGTTCTGCATCTTGAGGACCTGGTTGTTGGAGGTTCTGTCGAAGAACGGCGACTGCGAAAAATACTCCAGCACGTTGTCTGTGCGGAGCCCAAACGTATTGACCCATTCGGGCGACCGCCATTGCAGTTCATCTAGGTTTTCCAGAGACATGAGACTGTGCACTGAATATTTGGCAGAAAAATCGATTTGGAAAAAAAAAAGTCGAAAAATTCAATATTCAGCATGTTCCGGATAACATCGCTGATTTCCAGCACATCCAGCATCGTCTGGCGATACACGCGCTTTGGAACCTACGCTACAAAAACCATCAGACCTCCGACCCCGGAGCCAACGGAAAAAGTGCCCGACGTGAGCACGTTCCTACAAAAGATTGGCCGTGGTGTGTCTGAATACACAGAGACTTTCGAGAACGACTGGCAGAAATTCTGGGAATTGGGCTCTTCAGGGATGAAAGAACAGGGACTGGAGCCTCGTGCCAGAAAATATATTCTGGACTGGCAGGAAAGATATAGGAAGGGTGCCGAGTTGCACGAGATCCCAAGGGGCGAGAAACTTCACGGAGGAGAGCGCAAAAGAAGAATTTACCTTGCCGAGAAAAGGCTCAAGGAAGCTAGAGAACTTGCTCAGCTGAAGAGGAAGTTCAAGATCCAGAGCAACCAGGAAAAGAGAAAGAGAGAGAGGTTTGAGAGATTGCACCAGATGAGTATGTAAATAGAGCAGCAAGAATCACACGGAATCTGAATGGTAGTCATGTTAATCCAGTATAGACTGCGTCTGCGATGATGAGTGTCTGGATGAGTGAATTTTGGCCTATCCGTCATTGGCAGCGAAGTTCTTATGGCTTCCAGAAGTTCTAGCTACCAAAAGCAACTCCCACTAATCAAGTACGTGGAGTCCAATCTGAATCAATAGTTATTCAGAGGCAGTTGCAAGCTTGCGTTTCCAGCAAAATAGGGCTGAAGTAGCACTCAGTGCTTCTGATGCTATCCAATACTACAGGGAGTCATGGGACCATTGAGAGTTGTGCTTTGCTTTTCCTGGAATCTGGCAGGAGATAATGAAAGAACCATGAGAGGCCGGAATCAAGGACGAGCCATGATAAGTTGAAGCTCTCCTCCGTATTAAGAGGTTGATTGGTAGTAATTTTGCTGGACACCGTACGGCTTCGAGTGTGTGCTATTTTACTTGGTACTGTTCAGCGAGACATCCTCCTTTCAAGTTCGATCGGATATTCTGCACTCCAAAGTGACCAACTCACTCAATCGCGTTTGATCCATGATAAGCTCATTTTCTATGCCGGCCTCAGCATGAACAAAGCGGTGGACAGAATACTCAAGAATACATTCCCTTCCGCATGTTTTGTCTCTTAAACGACGTCAACCACTTGAAAGTGTCACGGACTATAGACCTAGAATCTTCATTGGAGCCGCAAAACCACGGCCTTCTTTCGTTCCCTCACAAGATTTGAGCTCAAAGCACAAAATAGCCCGCCATGGGTTGATAAGCCATATGGAATGGCTAGGAATGGATCTGTTGGTGTATCACTGCTTTTACCAGAGACCACCCTCAGACTGTTCTATCGCAAGAACTCGGAACCGCATTGACGCTGCCAGCTTGAGAGCTGTAACATCTGATTTGCACCTGTCTTGCTAACCTGGTATTCTGCTTTGTGGCTAGTTTTTTTGCCCCCCGGAAGAGGCAAAGACGAGAATCTCTCACTTCGAGATCTCTTCTATTTTCTCCGTAAGGAGAGTTCAACAACTACTGCTCCGCCAAGAAGCCCTAACATTTCAAGTTTTTGAATCACGTACACCAAATCATGTGAAACGGCAGATCGTTGTAATCAGCTTTCAGCACGAAAAATGCACTGTTGTAGAGCTCAGAACTTCGGGGATTGAACGCACCAAGTTGGAAGACCATAGGACCAAAACCCATGGAGCTATGAATTTTCAAGCTTCCAGGAAAAGTCGCCTGAGACTTTTGGAGATTGTGCCGAAAATGCCCCCGTGAAAGTCTCATTGAACTGCTGCCGATCGAGTGGCGCACACAAGGCAAGCATCCATTTCTTTTTCAGCTGTTCCAGAAGCTGACATCAACTAGAAGCAGCTGCAACCACACCAGGTATATGTTGCTACCGCCTCAGAACTACCAGCTAATTTGCGACCGCCACAGACGCAGCCCATGGGGCCGGGCTTGCCACCCTGCCAGAGCTTGGTTCTGGGCTTTTTTGCAATTAGTCAGTGTCAAACCAGCTCGTAAGATTTCACTATTGTTTGCTACTGCAGGGTACATTATGTAACGAACTATTACAGGAAAAAAGAACTCCGTCAAGATCGCTACATATATGCCCTGTAAGATGATACATGCATGTCCCGCGACGTGAGATCATGCTTTCGACGCCGCGGATTTAATTGCCGTTGGTTGCATTTGCAGCGATTCGCAGCGATTCGACGCCATGCGATGGTAGCATGCACCCCGATAGCAATAATCGTACGACATTTCGACCACGTCACGGGCGGACCAGGGCTCTCCAATTCGCTGCTGGATCTCTTGCTGGGTTCTGCATCTATGCATTCTGCAGTCCTACGGCATTCCGCTCGGGAATGAAGGAATTTGGGTTGCATACATTTAATGGAAATAAATGAGTTGGAAATACAAATTAATGGAAATAAAATAAGCTGGAATTACGATATCTGTTCAGTGTAACACATTATATTTTTCGTGCTAGCATTTGTTTTCTGTCCACGTGGTGCACTTCTCCTTGCGCCTCTCCCTCGCCGCTGTAGCGCTCATTTTATTCTCTGGTTCCCGTTCCGCCTCTCTCTTGGGTCTCTGTCCCTTCCGTTTCTCTGCTGTCTCTTCTGCATAGGCCGCTGTCTATTCTGGCCTCTGTTCTGCTCCTTGAACTTGTCGATGATGTCGTTGCTCATGCGCACGTACTTGATCTGGTTCCCACGCACATACACTTCGGGCACCTTCTCGAACCGTTTGCCGTGCAAGTCCACCGTGACGGCATCGTTAAGTGTCAGGTTCATCCAGGAGTCGCAGTTCTCCAGTAGCCCATTCACGGTCTCTCCAGACTTCAATTCCACCAGAATAGGCTGTGTCTTCACCGACGTGAGGAGATATAGTGGCAGCATGTTGTTGAACAAAATAATAAATTTACAATTTTATTTCCAGCCAGGGTCGTTCGCGAACGGATTTCTTCCCCATACTTACTTATTTAAAAACTTAATCACCCTCAGCTCCCCATGCCGCCCTTAGACTCGTCTGCCAGCAAGTGCTACTGGGTGGAAATGCCCAATGCGCACGACGAGGACCCTGCCAACCGGCTGGACGTGCGCTCAGGGGCGTCGACGGACATCTATCGCTCCAGAATCCTTGTTTACAGTGGGTCGGTGCTGCCCTTGTCATTGAAGGCAGGCTTCTCGCTGCAGGACGTGGAGTCGGAGTTCAAGGCTGCCGTGGCGCGCGAAACAGACCCGCCCAGCGACTACAACGAGTATCTGTCGCCCGAAGTTTTCTCGCTCAATCTGCTAAACCGCAAGTGGATCCATTTGCATGCAAAACACAAGTTCGAAAGGCCCAGACCCAGAATGTTCCATTCTATGATAGTCCACGATAACTACCTGTACATATACGGCGGGCTGTGTTTTGACCGGCGCAACAGGATCAAGACGCTCAATGACGTTTGGAGATTCGACCGCTTCGACAAGTCGTGGAAATGTCTCCTTCCAGACGGCAACAACGTGGTTCTGAAGCGGTTCGACCACATGTCGATGTTTCTCCCTGAACTGCACGTTGTGGGGAGGCCGACGCACCAGGGTATTATTCTTTTTGGCGGAACATCCGACGAGAAACAGGAGATTCTCGTGTCGCACATATACGACGTCGTTTCCGAGCAATGGTTTCCGAATCTGGTTTTTAGGATACAGGACGATGAGAGCAGCGGGAAGATCAAGTACAGCGCCATGGACGGGCCGGAGGTGGAGGTGCCTGGTCTACGAAGCTTGGGGCTGCGAAGCTCTTTGAACTCTGCCATCCCGGCTCAGGCACTCGACTCGACGCAGCAGGTGCCGCCCATATACCTCTACCACAAACAGCCGGACCAGAAACACGAGCCGTTCATCACGTTCCCGATCGGCGAAGGCGTGGCCGGGACAGTGATGTCGCTGATGTCGACCAACTCGACCAAAGTTGTGCCGTTCGAGCTGGACTACCCGACGCTGGGCTATTTCGGAGAAAACCTCATTGTCACAGGGTTCCGGCCCGGCGAGCATTCGATCTCGCTGTACATATTCAACAGGATCTCGCGCACCTGGATGCGGTTGCAAATATCGTGCACTCATTCTGCGCGGTCGCACCGTTTTTTCAAAGGGTTCGTGTGGAACTCGCACCACAAGGTGGTTTTTCTCGGGAACACCAAATCCTTAATGACGCTGCCCAGCGTGCAACATTTCTCGCATTTCAACACCGTGTCGCTGCCATTCACCAACACGTACGGCATAGAGATGGAAAAAGCGTTCAGCAACGTGCCGGAGACCGTTCCGCAGCACGTGCCGTCGTCCATGGGGCTCGACAAGTCGGAGAACACCAGTTTTGCCGCGTACTCGCACTACGTCGCGCCGCAGATCATGACCAACTCGATCCGCTCGGTTTTTCCTCCGTACGCCGTTGCTCTGGGCAAGAACGCGTTTGAACGGTCCACCTCGATTTCCGACTTTGAGTTCATCTGCTCCGACGGCACGTCGATCTCGATGCCGCTCAATCTGTGCCGCAAACGGTGGGGAAGCCGTTTCGACAAGCTGCTTGCCGACGCGTACGCCAGGGCTTTTGCAGACCGCCACGCATTGCCCGAATTTACAGAGTCCAGCTCGATCGAGAGCTCGCCGGCGGAAACAGAGTTCTCCGGGTCGTTGAGGTCCTCCAAAACGCCCGAATCGCGCGCCCCGTTGTTCAGACACCCATTCCCGGAGTCTGGAAAATCGTCGCCGCTGTCTGGCACGTCCCGGTTCGGCTCTCTGCCGGCCTCCAGACGCAGCTCGCTTGCTGCCTCCAGAAGAGACTCGGGGTGTTCGCGACGGAACTCTATGCTCGGGTACGAGAAATTATCAATGTCTGTGAAAAACTCGAATCTGCGCCGGAGCTCTGGGATCTCGAGCTCGTCGTCGTCGTCGGCATTCTCCAATCCCAACATAGACGTCTCTGAGGCCTCTGGTTATCTGCTGGGCTCGCCGCTCATACTTGACGAGCTGCCTCCGCAGCCACCAATGCCAGAACTGCCGCAGGACCCGAACGAGTCCACCACGTCGTTTGATTTCCGTGCCCCGTCGTTTGGTCCCAAAGACGCCTCCACAAGCCGGCTCACACAGGCTCTGTCGGGCATGGAGGACGTGGACCCTCTGTCAAACGCCAGTCTGTCGGACCGTCCAAGAGAGGAGAGCGTCGATTTCCCAGACGCGACAGAGGCCAAGATGGACGCGCGTTTCCTGCCCCGGACGCTGTGTCTGCCGTTCTCCAAGCCAACAGTGCGTGCGTTCTCTGAATTTCTGTACACGGGACAGCTGGGCAGCAACTGGAAAGTCGTGCCGACGTGTGTGGAACTGCTGATGATTGCCAATCTGTACGAGGTGCCGCTGTTGTACGACCTGATCTCAGAAGCCCTGTTTGTGGTGATCGCGCGCAAAGAGGCCGCGTTGGTGGTGCAGGCGAAGAGCTGCCACGCTGTTGACGGCGGAGAGACGGGGATCCCTGCGATCGACAAATTCACCGAGCAGCTGGCCGCGCTGGACGATAATCTGATGGACCTGACGCTGCTGAAACGGGCGTCCAAAGCCATCGGCCGGTACTCCAGCTCGGGCAGCCTCGAAAACTCCGAGATCCACTTCCGGGACTCGTTCCCCACAGCCAGCAAAGTCCGATCGCACGAAATGGCCACCGAGGACAGCCAGAGCAGTAGCAGCAGCAGCAGCAGCAGCGACTCGGTCAGAGAAACGTTCGGACTGCTCAACGAGCAGCACTACAGAGACTTCGAGTCCTACATCGAGAAACAGCCTACAGAGACCAAAGAATGGCCAACGCTCAAGAGCCTGATGAACCCGGACGCGCCCGCGTGCTCTGATCTGATCATCGACATCCTTGTGGAGTCCGGCACGCTGGCCAGCGATATCAAGTTAATGCTACGGGCGATCAACACGCGCGAAATGATCGCCCAGCTGAAGGAGCACAGACGCGGCTCCCACGACCTCAGAGAGCTGTCCGAGCGTCTCAAGGCCGCGTCCGTGCGGCCGCCAAAACCGCACGCCGGGTCCACGAGCTCGCTGCCGGAAACAGCAGTGTACAAGACGAAGAGCGAGAGCGAGCTGGCGTCGGCGGCGGCGGCGGGCGGCACCGCGGAGCGGCCGCGGATCCCGCACGTGCTGACGTTCACGAACCTGGAGCGCGCGATGACCAGCACGTCCGAGGAGACGAGCTCGCCGCGCCGCAAACGCGGGTTTGGCCTGTTCAAGAAAAACGCTGCAAAATACTAAATAATTTCTGGTCGCTCCGGTCTGAGGCGTGGTCTGAGGCGTGGCTCGGACAGACGTTTGCGACGTGAGGTGATCAGGAAGACATCGACCCATTATATTATATAAGGGCGAAATCGTGAAAGATAACTGTATGTCGCTTGTTTCGTCGTTTAACTTTAGCTCGTTCGTGACCACCAGGACACAGGACTATGTTGCGCTGATCCAATTCTTCAAGTCGTTCGGGCTGTCTGTCGTGAAGACGTTCTCCAAGGACGCCAACACCGCGGGCGCCGAACTGGTGGGGGTTTCCAACGACTCCCGCAAGGAGTGCTGGTTCAGCTGTTTTCCTGCGGCCGAGCCGACGGGTCACGGCGCGAGCGGAGCATACAGCAAAGGAACAATTATCAAGCTGAGATTAGTGAGCCATGACGTGCACAAGAATATTGAGCTTCCTGGGGAGCTCGTTTTTTACAGCGCGGACCCGTCCAAAGTGAGGGCCGTGTGCGAGGCCAACGGCCACCGGGTCGAGCCGGGCAAGGGCCGTGTGGAGTTCTACGTTCTAGACCCGATCGGCAACCGTTTGGGTTTCAGCAGGCAGCCAGATGAGACGAAAAAAGACGGCGCCGCAAAAGTGGCCCAGAAAGAGCAGGAGCCGGACCCCGGCTTGCAGAGCGTGCTCACGGCCAAGAAACGGATCGCCGTGATGACGTCCGGCGGCGACGCGCCCGGCATGTGTGCCGTGGTGCGTGCTGTTGTGCGGTCCGGCATCTACTACGACTGCGAGGTGTACGGGTGTTACGAGGGGTACTCGGGGCTCGTGCAGGGCGGCGACCTGCTGCGCAAGATGGAGTGGGACGACGTTCGCGGGTGGCTGTCCTTGGGCGGCACGCTGATCGGAACGGCCCGCTGCATGGAGTTCAAGGAGAGATGGGGCCGGCTGAAGGCGGCGAAAAACATGATTCTGCGCGGCATCGACGCCTTGGTGGTGTGCGGCGGCGACGGGTCGTTGACGGGCGCGGACCTGTTCCGAAGCGAGTGGCCGTCGCTGGTGGACGAGCTCGTTGCGACGGGCGAGCTGAGCGCGGAGCAGACGGCGAGATACCGCCATCTGACGATCGTGGGGCTGGTTGGCTCGATCGACAACGACATGGCGTCGACAGACAACACGATCGGCGCGTACTCGTCGCTGGAGCGGATCTGCGAGATGGTGGACTACATCGACTCGACCGCGTCGTCGCACTCGCGCGCGTTTGTCGTGGAGGTGATGGGCCGGCACTGCGGGTGGCTGGGGCTGATGGCGGGCATTTCGTGCGGCGCAGACGCGATCTTCATCCCGGAGCGGCCGCCGAGCGCGTCTGGCTGGCGCGAGGAGCTCAAGAAGGTGTGTTTGCGGCACAGAGAAAAGGGCCGGCGCAAGACGACGGTGATTGTGGCCGAGGGCGCTCTGGACGACGAGCTGCAGCCCATCACGTCGCAGCAGGTCAAGGACTGCCTGGTTGAGATCGGCCTGGACACGAGAATCACCACGCTGGGCCACGTTCAGCGCGGAGGCTCTGCGGTGGCGTTCGACCGGATGCTGGCCACGATGCAAGGCGTGGACGCGGTGCGGGCGGTTCTGGAGAGCACGCCGGACACGCCGTCGCCGATGATCGGCATTCTGGACGGCAAGATTGTGCGGCAGCCGCTGATGGAGGCGGTGAAGCTGACGAAAAGCGTGGCGACGGCGATCGCGGCAAAGAAGTTCGACGAGGCGATGGGCCTGCGCGACTCGACGTTCAAAGAGAGCTACGCCAACTTCCTGGACATCTCGAAGCACGACGACGGGTCGCAGGTGGTGGAGGAGTCGAAGCGGCTGAACATTGCCATCGTGCACGTCGGTGCTCCGACGGCCACGCTGAACCCGGCAACGCGCGCCGCGGCGCTGTATTGTCTGTCGAAAGGCCACACGCCGTACGGAATCCAGAACGGGTGGTCCGGGCTGGTGCGCCACGGGGCGGTGAGAAAGCTGGATTGGCTGGACGTGGAGGAGTGGCACAACCTGGGCGGGTCCGAGATCGGCACGAACAGGACGCTGCCGTCGACAGATATGGGCACGGTGGCCTACTACATGCAGAAGTACGAAATACAGGGCCTTATCATCATCGGCGGGTTTGAGGCATTCCGCTCGCTGCACGAGCTGAAAGTCGCCAAGGAAAACTATCCCATCTTCAATATGCCGATGGTCTGCCTGCCTGCAACTGTCTCGAACAATGTCCCCGGTACAGAATATTCGCTGGGCTCTGACACATGCTTGAACACGCTTGTGAAATATTGCGATGCGGTGAAGCAAAGTGCGTCCGCGTCCCGAAGAAGAGTGTTTGTCGTGGAAGTACAAGGCGGCAATTCGGGCTACGTCGCGTCTTACACGGGGCTTGTTACAGGCGCATTAGCCGTGTACACACCAGAGGAGAAAATCAGCCTGCGTACGCTGCAGGAGGACCTGGAGCTGCTGGCGCAGAACTTCAAGAAGGACGAGGGCGACAACCGGTCGGGCAAGATGTTCATCCGCAACGAGAACGCGTCCGACACGTACAGCACCAGCCTCATTGCCGAGATCATCAGGGAGAGCGGAGGCGGCAAATTCGAGAGCCGCACAGCTATTCCGGGTCACGTGCAGCAAGGTAGAGTTCCGTCCGCGATGGATCGGTGTCTTGCTGCACGGTTTGCAATTAAGGCATGCCAGTACATTGAGGAAACAAATTTTGCCGCGCAGCGTGCGATCAGCCGGCTGTGGAACGAAGGCTTTGGCTCGAACCTGACGTTCAAGGGCCACTCTGAGACGGACCTGAAGTTTGTGTACAAGCACGGCAAGAAGCACCTGATTGTGAGCGACAACGCCAAAGTGGTGGGGATCCACGGCACAAACGTGATTTTCGAGGAGGTGGACAAGCTCTGGGAGAATTACACGGACGTGGCGCTCAGAAAGGGCAAGGACATGCACTGGACCGACATGATTACAGTAAACAACATTCTGAGTGGCAGGAGCGTGCTGCGGAAGATGCAGCACAATACAGTGTGATAGTGGATTAAATAGTGACAATAGACAAAGAGCCGGTGGTATGAGCACCAAACTAAAAAAATGCAGCCGTTGGGAGGCAGTGCACAGGTTGCGCAGATCGCAACTGCGCTTAGCGAAGGGCGATGGCTGCTAGGTCATTACCAAAGCATGATGCATTAATGGATCTTGCATCATCTGGGCAGAGAAAACGCCCTATTGGTCTACAGGTTGCTGATCATGGCGTTATTTGTATAATCGCCATTGTATGCAGTATACGAATAAAGACTGGAATAGTTTTCATATCGGCAAATTAGGTTGCAAAAGAAACGAAAAAATAGACCAGGTCTAAAATAAAAAAAAGTTAAAACTTGCAAGATACTTTTGTCAAAACACAAAGATTCCCGCCTGTCCTCTGGATGTGCAGATTGTATGGGTAGTGAAATATCTGTTCGTTTTTGCATTCTGCTGCCTTCACTTCTTTGAAACGGCCCGTTCCCAACAATGTCTCAGAATTCCCACGGGCATCCTCCAATACTGCCGCCTTTTATGGCCCAGTCGGACAGGAAACCCTCCTTGGGCCAACACCAGGAGCCCACACCGCCCCCCAAGGTCTCGGCGTTTGTCCAGAAACTCTACGCCATGCTCAACGACCCGCAACTCGCCCATCTGATCTGGTGGAGCCGGACGTATCAAAACGACTTTACCACGTTTGCGTTACTGCCCGGAGCAGAGTTTGCGAACGCCCTCACGGGCTATTTCAAGCACGGCAACGTCGCGTCCTTTGTGAGACAGCTCCACATGTACGGCTTCCACAAAGTGTGCGACAACAACCCTCCTCCCGTTCCTCCTTCCAGGCCGAACGAGGGCTTGTCGGAGGAGGAGCTGAAAAATATGCAGGTGTGGGAGTTCCGCCACTCCACGGGGAGATTCCGCAAGGGCGACGAAGGGTCGCTCTGCTACATCAAAAGACGCTCGTCGGGCACCCAGAAAGCTACGGCCCAGCAGGCGACAGAGTTTGTCGCTGCGCAGTACTATCCGCCCCAACAGCCGCAGTATGACCACTTCTACCAGCCCGTGGAGTACCAGCCCACGGTGTACATCCCGTACCACGACGTTCCGCCGCCGCCGCCACCGCCGCATCAGCAAGTACCATACGAGTACAACAGCCACATAATTTTGCCTTCCATGCCGGACGTGGAACACAAGTCCCGAAATGCGACGCTTAATACACACATCAGCGACAACACTGAGGTTTCCTTCCAGTCCTCCTCCCGAAACAGATATCCGTCGGTGTTTTTGGACCCTTTAGCCCCAGCGCCGCACATAGCACCTCTCCCCCCGCAGAACCCTGTACCATTACAATATTACCCCCACTCCGACCAGCAGTACCCTTCCCTGCCAGCGCCGTCCCATGTCGCGACCCAGAGACGTACCGGGTCGTATCCCAAGATGTCTGCGCCGCTGATGCAGCACGAGATGCGCCTGCCGCGGTCCATTCCGAACGAGTACTTCCCCCAGTCGCCTGCTCCACAGTCGCCGGCTCTGCCTCCCCATCGCTTTAACTCCCCCGTCTCCAAACCTGCGCACTCGCAGCCGCTCACCCCACGCAGGAACACGCCGCCCCCACAACCTCCTTCCCACCAGCGCATCATGCAAATGAGACCCTCTGTATACGATGTCCAACACAACTTAAACTCGGTCTCCTCCATTTCGACCGGCGGCTCCAACTCCATCTTCAGCAGGACCTCTGTGGGGTCCTCCATCGCGGGGCCAACATCTTCTTCCATGGTGCCGCTCATTACCGTTACCAACCCACAATCTTCCAGTGGGGGCAGGAACTCCTCCATCTCGGACCTCCTCAACTCCGAGTCCCAGTCGCACCTCCAGTCCATCGAGCCTGCCGCTCAGAAGGACACAAAGCGCTCGTTCGACTCCGACTCCGAGCCCGAGGAAGATCTGATGGCCAAAAAGAAAATCAAACTCAGCTCGCTCGTCGAAGATTAATTTGTACTATTTTTCTAGTGTATTAGATTGTTTCTATTTGTTTTGAATGCGAGATCACTGTTCGATGCTAAAATGGCCGCTTGCTCACCTTCTTGGCGGTGGGACCGCTTTTCTTCCGTCGCACCACCTCGTCCTCGTCCGAGTCGTCCTCAGACTGTGCACTCCCGCCGGGGGCCTGCTTTGAGGCCTCCCGCTTCGTTTTCTCCACTCTCGCGCGTGCCTTGTCTCTGCTGGCGTTCCGCAGCTTGTTCTGCAACGCCTGGAGCGACCGCGACTGCGGTCGTTGCGGGTTTTTCATTTTTTTTACCGTCTTCCCTGACGTGAAATCGCCTATTCTGGCCGTATCCGAGGACAGGTCAAGACCGGCGCCGGGCTTGATCACGGGCAGGTCCTCAAATGCGTTCCGTTCCGGCGCCCCGCCGCTCTCGCCGCCCAGCCAGCCGGCTATTCGCATGTTTGCCTGGCTCAGCTTCTGCTGGATTTCTGTCTGCAGAAGGTTCGACATGAAATCTAGAAAAAATTAATTAAAAAAATAATTTAATTAATTATTTTAGATAAGGAATTAATCAAAGTTCCACTCTTCTTCATGGACCCATTGCGGCTTTCGCAGATAGACGAGGCGTCGCTGTCGTCGCTCGACTCAGACCCACTATCGACTGCCCAGCACGTCCAGTCGTACCGCCCTCCAGACCAGCCCAAATCCAGGCAGAACTCCACTGCGTCTGTGCCAGAGCCCTGGGCTGCAGACAACTCGAAATCGCCAGATCCGCACCCGCGCCGCAACTCTGGGTTTCGCAGACGCAGATCGACGCTGACCTCGTGGCTCAAGCGCGCAGTTTCCGAGGAGGCGCTGCAGGAGCCTTCCAGCCGACGACTCACGAGACAGTTCACGCAGCAGACGGCGCCTGGAACGTCGCCATTCTACGTGGACGGCCTGATTCCCAGCTCTGCCAACGACGCCAACGAGGAGGTCATTTCTGCGGTGCTGAACAGCGACGCATCGGACTCAGAAAGCGACCACGACGACGCGAGCCAGACGGCGTCTTTGGCCCGAGAACCCACCATCACAAAGCTCACCAGCATCCGCCGTCAGGTCACCAACGAGGTCAAGGACAAGCTCACGAAAATCGGCTTTTTCGACCCCAAGTTCAACAAAATCAAAACCGTGCTCCATTTCGTCAAGGGCTACGCTTTCATCACGGGCGTAATCATGGCCATCTACAGTCTGTACTGGGGAGCCATGTACCACCGCAACTCGCGGCTGAGAAGCTTCCATTTCTGGGTCGTTGTCGATGAAGACGACCTGCTTTCGCAGTACGTCGTCGAAGCTACCAAAATGATGCCTTTGATCGGCACGTGGCTTGCCAAGCCGTACCAAACGATTTCCAACGACACAAGTCAGCTGCACTCGATTCTCGCCCACAAGGTGTACAGACAGCAGATCTGGGGAGCCGTGCTAGTGCAGCCGGGCGCCGGGTCGCGGTATCTGGAGGCGTTGCAGAACGGCACGAGCTTCAACACGTCGGACGTGGTGGAGGTGATCTACGAAACAGGCCGCGACTACGTGGCGGAGTCGTCGTACTTCACGCGCGGCTTCGCGCAGCTGCAAACATTCTTCACCGAAATACAGCCCAACATGACCGCACGGCTTCTGGAAGAGCTATCGGACGAGCAGAAACTGGATAGTCTGCAGCAACTGTTGAAGCCCATCATTTTCAAAACGACCGACCTCACCCCCGCACACCTTCTGGACCCGATCGTGGCTGGTCCGCAGCAGTTCGGTCTCGTGTACCTGCATCTGCTGTCGCTGCTACAATTTGCGTTTTTCCAGCCGTACCACAACAAAATCGCATCGCAGCTCAAAGACAGCTCTTTTTTGGCGTTCCGGCTGATCTCGTCGCAGGTAACCTTCCTGGTGCTCGGGCTCGGGTACACGCTGGTGCAGGTTTTCTTCCAGATCGACATATACACGGCGTACCCACACAAGGTGGGGTTCCTCATCTTCTGGCTCGTGTCGTACCTGGTCCTGTCGTCGCTCGGCGGTGTCAACGAGAACATAAGCATCTTTCTGCAGGCCGCCAAACCGAACCTGATTCCTATGTGGATGTTTTTCTGGATGGTGTCGAACATCGCCCCCACATACTACCCACTCAACTTGAGTCCGAAATTTTATCGTTATGGATACATGATGCCTATAAAGAACGGCTACGACCTGTACAAAACGCTGCTGTTCAACACGTACAAGCACGCCAACATGCCGCGCAACGTGTGCGTCCTGATAGGCTGGGTCGTGGCCACCAACTGCCTGCTGCCGTTCACAATGAAGTTCTATACCAGGGTCAAAGAGCAGGAGAGCAAGAAGAAGTTGCGACTGCTCAAGAAGATCAAACGGCTGCGTAAGAGGAAGCTCCATGTGGGCAAACAGATCGAGGAGTACGACGGCTAGCGCAGCAGGGTCTCCATGCGGTCCAGCAGCGCGCTCTTGTCCACGTTCATCCGCTCGTCCCAGACCATCTCGATCAGACGCGACGCCAGTCTCTCCAGCTCCTCCACAGACATCCCGGCCGACTTGTCCAGCAACAGACGCTGCAATTTAATTAGTTTGTCCTCCGAATAGACCAGCTGCTCTTTTGGCGGCTCCGGATACTCCTCGTCCGACGACTCGGACTCGGGCTGCTCTTTCTGCTCCTCCTCAACCTCCTTCTGTAGCTCCTCCTTGACCGGCTGCTCGGCCGGCTCCACCGGCGCCACCTCCACGCTGGTTGCACCTGCGGCCTCCGAGGTCACGTGACCCTGCGTGGGTCCCCCATTGGGGAGCTGTGCCTGCTGCACCTGCTGCACTGTGCCGGCCGGCTCCTGCTCCGCCTGTTCGGCCTGCTCGCGCTCCCGTTCCTCTTTCTCCCGCACCTTGCGCAGGTACTCAGCCTCGCGCCGCTTCTCGCGCTGTCTGGCGGCCTTCCACTCGGCAGCCAGCTGAGGGAACGCAGCCTCCATCTCCTCGATGCCGACCTGCGCGTTCGCGTACATCTCGTTGGCCTTGAGCACGCGGTCGCGCTCGCCAGACGTCTTGGCGTCCTTGAGGATCATCTCGATGTCGTTGAGGAACTGGCGGGGCTCCGAATAGTAGCCGTTCCAGAGCCGTTCCTCGATCACGTCGAGGTCGATGTTGTAGTAGAGCCTGCCGGTGGCCACCTCCAGAATGCGGTCTCCCTGGCGCTGGTACGGCGCGTCGGGGTCCGGCTCTGGTTCGAACAGGTGCACGAGAAACGCGTCGTCGACGACGGGTTTTTTGAAGCGTTTGTAGCGCGCCTTGAACAGGTCCATCAGGCCAGACAGTTTGACCTTGAGCGTGTTTTTCAGGCGCATGTCGCTCTTGGCGAGCTCTGCGTCGCTGGTGGCTGTGTTTTCTGCGGCCCGCGGCTGCTCCTCGACCTCCACTTTGGGCAATTCCTTGAGTTTACGTTTTGGCCGCAGGCTCAGCTCGTTGTAGTCGAGTGGGGCCATGTGGAAACACGTCCAGACGCTTTCGAAGAAGCGCTCGCGCTGGCGCTCGTCGGGCCGGGCAAGCTGCACCACATCCGAGCGCGCAAACCCAAACACGGCGGCCAGCTCGTCGTAGTACCGGTCGTCGAGCAGCTGCTGCTCCTCGATCATCCCAAAAATGAGCACGCGCTCGTTCGCGCCGAGCGTGCGCACGAGCGTGCTGATGGTGGACCGCAGCGGCGGCGTGATCTCGTCGAGAAATCCCAGCACGTACGGCACGTACAGAATGCTGGGCTTGTGCCGCTTGAGCTCCTGGAACAGCTGGATCACCAGGTTTTCCGGGGCGATCGACGCGTCGGAGTGCAGCTTGGCAAAGTCGAGCGTCTGCACGTTGAAGCCTTCGAAGCTGTGCAGCACGGCGTTGGCGACGTACTCCTGGCCGTCGCCTCTGCTGCCCGCGAGCAGCAGCCGCGGCTTGAACACGCGCTGCTGGTTGAGCCGGGCGAGCAGCTGCTGGTGGCGGAACCCGCCGTCTGGCTTCGACGCGGTCAGATCGACGTACTGGCTTTCTTCGAGCAGAGAGAGCGGCTTTTCGCTCGGAATCACGCGGCGGGCGCGCGCAAGCACGGCGTCGAGCTGCGGCTGCAGCAGCGGCGCAACGGTTTCGGGCAACGGGCTCGAGCTGAGCGAGGTTGCGCGCGCGCTCGACGGCACGATGCGCTCCAGCGTGCGCGTGAAATCGCTCGCCACCACGCGCACCTTGTTGATGTTGATGCGCAGCTTGTCGTTGGAGCGGTAGATCTGCGGGTACGCGCGCTGGATCGCGTTCAGCGCGCTTTCCGTGCACAGCGCCTTGAGGTCTGCTCCGCCGTAGCCCTTGGTGAGCCGTGCGAGCTCGCGCACAAACGCGTCGTCCAGCTGGTGGTCCCACTTGCGCATGTGGATCTTGAGGATCTCCTCGCGCGCCTTCACGTCCGGCAGCGGGAAGTAGAACTCTCTGTCGAACCTGCCGGGCCGCCGCAACGCCGGGTCGATCGAGTCGGGTCTGTTGGTGGCGCCGATCACAATCACCTGGCCGCGGTTGTCCATGCCGTCCATCAGCGCCAGCAGCGTCGACACGATCGACGCGTGGATCTGCTCCTGTTTGGACGAGCGCACCGGCGCGAGGCCGTCGATCTCGTCGAAGAAAATGATCGACGGCTGCTGCTGCTTGGCCTCCTCGAAAAGGAGCCGCAGGTGCCGCTCGGCCTCGCCGACCCATTTCGACAGACAGTCGGCGCCCTTGCGCATGAAAAAGGTCACCTTGCGGTGCTGCGACGAGCACGACGCGGCCAACGCGCGCGCCATCAGCGTCTTGCCCGTGCCCGGCGGGCCGTGGAACAGCACGCCGCGCGGCGGCGTGATGTGAAACTTGGAGTAGATCTCCGGGTACAGCAGCGGCAGCGTGATCATCTCCTTGAGCTGGTCAATGTAGGTGTCGAGCCCGCCCACCACAGAGAAGTCGATGTTGGTGTCGATGCCGAGCGGGTCTGTGTCGGCGAGGGTGTTTTTCTTCTTGCCCGACGCGCCGCTGTCGACCGTCACGATGCTCAGCTTGTTCGGGTCCGTCGGCTTGAACAGCTCGTTGTCGTCCTCGGAGTCGCTGCTCTCGACGTTGCCGATCGCCGTGAGCGTGTCTGCGGCGCCGCCGTTCTGGAACAGCGCGTGCACGTCGCCGCCGCCGAACGGGCCCACCGTCGGGAACAGCCGGCGGATCTGCGTGCTGGCGGGCACCGCCGTGCCCGTGCCGCCAAACCGCCCGCCCGCGCGTCCCCTGCGCGGACTGTCGGCCCCGTCAAACCGTTCAGGCTCAGCCTGCAACATCGGCGGCGGCAGCTGGTAGTTCACGTTCTTGCGCTCGCGCAGGTTGCGCTGCACCGGCGAGTTCAGCGGCGAGTCGTCCTGCAGCGCTTTCAGCTCGTCCGCGATCGTCAGCGACTCCTCCTCCTCGCTCTCGTCGTCGTCGAGCTCCTCGACTGGCTCTTTGCGCGGCCGGCCGCGTCCGCGGCGCTTTGGCCGCCCGTTGCGGCGAGTTCTCTCTGCCCGCACGTCGTACTCCTCGTCCGACGCCACGTCCTCGTCGTCCTTCACAATGAACCCGGGCTGGCGCCGTCTGCGCGGCCGCAGCGAGTCGTCCGAGTCGAACGAGCCGTCGTCGTCTTCGAAATCGTTCGAGTCGCTCGCCACCGCGTCGTCGGCGTCGAACTCGTCGTCGTCGGCGGGCCGCGAGCGCGTGCGTCGCCGCTTGCGCCCGACACCGTGCTCTGGATCGCCCGCGTCGCCAATCTCGTCGTCCAGCGCGGCCAGCAGCGCGTCCTCGTTGTAATTGACCGAGCGACGGCCCCGCGTGCGGTGCGGCCGCACCAGGTCCGAGTCAGAGTCCTCGTCGAGGGGCACAGACCGCTTGCGCCGCGACCGGGCGTCGTCGTCCACAGAGGCGTTGCCCGCGTCCGAGTCGTCGCTGAAAAACCCAGTATTCCGTCTTGTGCGCGTCATCGCAAAGATCAAGTTGCTCGGTTTTCGTCTGCGCCAATTGCCTGTCTTGCTAACGTCTGACAGAGTTATTTGTTAAAGCAAAATCACACGAAAAAAATGCACTATACACTGCCATAGAATTATGTGTCAGTAAGGGGGGCCCGTCTAGAACCCAAACTCGCGCGCCAGCTCCAGCTCCTCCGCGGACGGGCCGCTGTGCTCGCCGGCGTGGCCGGGCAACTGCCCCCCAGCCTGCCCGATCGGCGTGTACAGCTCGTCGTCCGACACAAACAGCTCGCCGCCGGGCAGAGGATCCTGCTCCGGCTCCTGATCCTGATCCCGATCCTGATTCTGCTCCTGCTGGGCGTGCCCCGTCTCCCCCCTCATCAGCTGCCGCTTGTAGTTGCGCACCTCCGTGCTGCCCATGGCGCGGCTCAGCACCGGGATGAAGTCCCTGAACTTGTACTGCGGGTAGATGTCGTGGCCCCAGGACTGGTAGATGTGCAGCAGACGCGTGAGGTTGTCGAAATGGTGCGATCTCGTGTACTCGTCGCGTCGTCTGTCTGCGGCGCGTTTGTGGTGGAACCTGTACTTTTTGAGCGATCTGTGCAGCGCAGGCAGGCCGCGCGGCCCCAGAAGCAGCTCGTCGGTCAGCTTGTGCACCGTGCGCCGTTTTTTCGGCAGCTCGGGCTCGTCCTGGTGGTGCAATCCCAGTAACTCTTCGTTTGTGAGGGACATGAGACTCGAAAAATAAAAATACAATAAATGCTAAATAATTGTAAATAAATGGTAACTAAATGTATATCCCCGTACACAGGGCCTGTGCTCCGGCCCGTGGCGACGTTGGTGGGGCAGCTGGCCGGCGTCTTCCCCAAGTAGCAGCCTCGATACACCGGACTGTCGGCGGCTGGGTCCCCGACACGCTCGGCCCAGCTGCTGCGTGTGTCACCGTTGGCAGGCCGTTTTGCGTCGAGCGACGTGGGTGCTGTAGAAATAGACGAAAAATAATAACTTGAAATTTGCGTCGAAAAACTGTCGTTATATGAACCTCAAAACACTAATTGTTCTGGCATTGGCGGCCGCCGCTAACGCGGAGCTCCAAATAGGCATCACCCACAGAGTGCCACCGGAAGAGTGCACACAGAAAACCACCTCTGGCGACATTGTCAAGATGCATTACACGGGGAGACTGTACGACACACAGGAGGTGTTCGACTCGTCCGTTGAGCGCGGCCAGCCACTGAGGTTTATGCTCGGCGTGGGGCACGTGATCAAGGGCTGGGACCAGGGACTCATGGACATGTGTGTGGGCGAGAAGCGGCGGCTCACCATTCCTCCAGAGCTGGCGTATGGCAAGCGCGGGGCCGGAGCCGTAATTCCTCCCGATGCCACTTTGGTTTTTGACACGGAGCTTCTGGAGATTGTGTCGTCGCACGACGAGTTATGAGGGCTGCTGCGGCTGGCTTTTCTTTAAGTAGGAATGTAAAGGATCGACTCGTGCTCGTTTGGACAGGCCCACGCGGTACCGTGGTTGCGCCGGAATGGCGATGGGTTTGGCCAGATGGGGGAGTGTTTTTTTAAATGAGTTGGGTGGGTGGACTTGTGTGGATTGTGGAACAGCCGTGGGGATGGGCGACGGCGCGCGCGCGACGGGCGGGTTTGAGGGCTCGGTAGAGGGCTCGAAAGAGGACTGCGAGTCCACTGTGATGTGCGGGTTGTCTTGTGCGGCAGAGGGTTCGAGAGACTGTGCGTAGTGGGTCCCGTTTTGTGACTCTTGAGCCTGACTGCGTCTGGCGGCCTCGAGCCCGATGTTGTCCTCGCTGAGCTCGTTCTCGCTGTCTGTGGAGTTTGTGACCTCGAGCTCGTCGTCGAAGCTCTGGCCCTCGGAGCTGACAAGCGAGATGACCTCCGTGCAAGGGCGAAGCCGTTTGCGTGGGCGCACGCTCGCGGCGAGGGCCAAGAGACCGGATTCATGGGCGACTTCCATGACGCGTAGAAATCGACGCGACGGCAGGGAAAAGAAAAAACGGATAGGAAATTACAGACGTACAGCAGGCTAAGCTTCAGTATTAATTAAAATTAATCCGGCTACACACCTACCAACTTGATATTCTTCCAAGCATAAATAAATTAATACAAAACGGACTATCAGAAGTAGAACAGTCCAGTTCCACCTGGCACGGGATTATATAATGAGTCTAGCAAATGGAAGCGCATATTGTACCGAGTAGTTGACAAAACTTTGTGCTTAGAAGAGAGCCAAAGCAGCAGCAAGACCGGCTCCGAGAGCAACGGAACCGTAGGTGTTCACTGCAGCACCGGCAGTGGAGACCGATGAGGACTCGGAAGAGTTGTTAGCAGCTTGAACGGAAGCGACAGCAGCGAGAGCGACAATAACCTTAGAGAATTGCATTTCGATTAATTAATATGATGAGAATCCACAAGTGGGAATTGGCTCTATTTATATCTCGCCACCTCATATAGGGGATCATCCAGAAAATTTTTCATACACGATACCGAATTCGAGGACTTTCTACTTTCGGAAATTACATGAAGCAGAAATTTCTAGCAAACAATAGCCCAACACGGTGAACAATTCCTGCGCTTATAACTCTATGCTTGCTGCTATTATTGTGGAGCTTGCGATAACAACCGCACAGTCGTGTCAAGGAGTTGCTCATTTCAGTTTTGCCCGCTGCTAAAAATAGCCAAGCCTCCGAACAGAGCCTTCTTCACTTCCCCTTTCGGGGTAGTTGCAATTTTGCAGCACGCCATTCCTTCCTTTCTGGGATTTAAACCCAGATTCTAGATCCACACTGGCCAGTGAAGCCTCCTTTCGCACCGTGTTCAGGCACCCTTTTTTGCCTGCAGATCGTGGGGCGCGTTTGTGTCCTGAAGATCATTTCACCACCAACACGCACTGCCACGCTCGTGATGGCAAGTACTTGCGCAGTGTTTCACCTGCAAGCCGTTGGCCGAACGGTGCAATTTCGTACAAGAGCTTCCCAGCTGGAAGCACGTGATGTGCACCCTAAGACCCTGTGCAGTGCCTTTGGCTTGCCCCCAATTTGCACCTCGCATGCGCTAAAACAGCGCACGCCACCGCAAAAGAGCGTTTCTTGCCGGGCGCCGAGCCTCGTCTAATTGCCAACGTGCTGCTTATGTAAGAAATTGAAAAAAATAAAAAATAAAAAATCATTTTAGTCACCATGTCCAAAGCTATTGCACAGCAGGCCCATTTGGCCTCCACCGTGCTCAAAACGCTCTCGGACGAGCAGCGCTCGCTCGCGCTGTACCAGATCAAGCAGGGGCTCGAGGCCGCCAAGGAGGATATCCTGGCCGCCAACAGAAAGGACATGGAGCTCGCCGAGACAAACAAGCTGTCGGCGTCGTTGATTAAGCGGCTCGACCTGTCCAAGAACGGCAAGTTCGACTCAATGTGCGATGGCGTGCTGGACGTTTCCAATCTGGAAGACCCGCTCAACAGGGTCACTCTCGCGACAGAGCTCGACGACGGGCTCACGTTGACCCGGCTGACCTGTCCCGTGGGCGTTCTGCTGATCATTTTCGAGAGCCGGCCGGAGGTGATTGCGAATATCACCGCGCTGGCCATCAAGTCGGGCAATGCGGCGATCTTGAAGGGCGGCAAGGAGTCTCTGCACACGTTCCAGGCGATGGCCAAGGTGATCAATAAGGTTCTGGAGGACACTGCTGTTCCACAGAATGCGATCCAGCTGATCAGCACGCGCGAGGAGGTTGGCGACCTGCTCAAACAAGACAAATATATCGACTTGGTGATTCCACGCGGCTCGAACGAGCTGGTGAGAAACATCAAAGAAAACACCAAGATTCCTGTGCTGGGCCACGCGGACGGGATCTGCTCGATCTACGTGGACAAGGCTGCAGATCTTGCGAAGGCGTGCCGGATCATTGTGGACGCGAAAACGAACTATCCTGCGGGCTGCAATGCCGTGGAGACGGTGCTCTTCCATTCGCAGCTCGTGCAAGATGGTAGCCACGAAAAAGTGTTGCAGGCGCTGCGCGAGGCTGGCGTGACGTGCCATTTATCGTCGGAGCTGTTCAAGGATCAGCCGCAGAGCGTGCTGGCGCAGGAGTCTGATTTTTCGCGCGAGTTCCTGTCGCTGGACGTGGCCGTCAAGAGCGTTGCAACCGTCGAGGAGGCCATTTTGCACATCAACGAGCACTCTTCGAAACACACGGACTGTATTGTGACGGAGGACAAGGCGACGGCCGAGAAGTTTCTTGCTGGGATTGACTCGGCAGGCGTGTACTGGAACTGCTCGACCCGGTTTGCTGACGGGTTCCGGTACGGGTTCGGCACAGAGGTTGGCATTTCGACCAACAAGATCCACGCGCGCGGCCCTGTCGGGCTCGAGGGGCTTGTGTGCTACTACTACCAGCTGCGCGGCAACGGCCAGGTGGCCGGCGACTACAAGGGCGCGGGCGGCACGCGTGTGTTCAAGCACAAGAAATTAAATATATAATTGTATTTTACTTTATTTAATTTTATTTTCGACCCGTCGGTGCAGGAAGGCAATCAAAAAATAAATCCTGTCATTTCATAACAGTTTATTTCTTATGGAAGGCGACTACGACGTTATTGTGCTCGGCACGGGCCTGACAGAGTGCATTCTGTCTGGTCTGCTCTCAATTGACGGCAAGAAAGTGCTCCACATCGACAAGCAGGACTACTACGGCGGCGAGAGCGCCTCGCTGAACCTGACCCAGCTGTACTCCAAGTTCAAGCCCAGCAAGCCGTACAGCGACCAGTTCGGCAAGGACCGCGACTGGTGCGTGGACCTGATCCCGAAGTTCCTCATGTCCAACGGCGAGCTCACCAACATCCTCGTCCACACCGATGTCACCCGGTACATGGAATTCAAGCAAATTTCGGGCTCGTACGTGTACAGAGGCGGCCGGATCGCAAAGGTGCCTTCGAACCAGACGGAGGCGATTTCGTCGCCGCTGATGGGCTTTTTCGAGAAGAGAAGAATGAAGAACTTCCTCGAGTTTATCATCAAGTACAAGGAAGACGAGGTTTCGACGCACGGCGGCGTCGATCTGGACAAAATCACCATGGACGAGCTGTACAACAAGTACGGGCTTGAGCGGGGGACTAAGGACTTCATTGGCCACGCCATGGCGCTGTGGTCGAACGACGACTACCTGTTTCAGCCGGCCAGAGAGACGTACGACAGAATCGTCCTGTATCTGGGCTCTGTTGCCAGATACGGCAAGTCGCCATACATCTACCCGCTGTACGGGCTCGGCGAGCTGCCGCAGGGCTTTGCCAGACTCTCGGCGATCTACGGCGGCACGTTCATGCTGGACACGCCGATCGAGGAGGTGTTGTACGAGGACGGCAAGTTTGCCGGTGTCAAGACCAAAGAGGGCGTGGCCAAGGCGCCGGTGGTGATCGCCGACCCCACGTACTTCCCTGAAAAAGTCAGGAGCACCGGCCAGAAGGTGATCAGGGCCATGTGCATTCTGGACCACCCTATCCCCAACACGTCGGACGCAGACTCGGCGCAGATCATCATCCCGCAAAACCAGGTGGGCAGGAAAAACGACATCTACATCGCGACCATCTCGTCGGCCCACAACATCTGCGCCAGGGGCTACTATCTGGCCATCATCTCGACGATCATCGAGACCGATAAACCCCACTTGGAGCTGGAGCCCGCCTTCAAGGTGATCGGCGCCACCAAGGACGTGCTCATGGGCATTGCCGAGCTGTACGAGCCCATCGATGACGGCTCCAAGGACCACATCTACATCTCCAGGTCGTACGATCCGTCGTCCCATTTCGAGTCCACGACAGACGACGTCAAGGACATATACAAGCGGGTCACGGGCCACGATCTGGTGCTAAAAAAACGCGCCACCGTCGAGGAGGAGGCCGAGCTTGCGGGACTGAGCTAGCAGGTAGAATTAAAATATTTTTTTTCCTTATCATGTCGCTGTACTCGTTCTCCACCCCCACGTTGCAGACACTGCGCAAGTTCCGCATTTCGAGCGCGCGCAGCAACACAATGCAGGCACAGGTGTACATGATCGACCCGCAGTCGTACGAGGTGCTGTACGAGGAGCCGGACGACAAGATCGAGTCGATCGACGCGCTGCTCGAGGAGCTGCCCGACAACTCGCCGCGGTTCGTGGTGCTCAGCTACTCCAAGACGCTGGACGACGGCCGGCTGAGCAACCCGCTCGTGCTCGTGTACCACCGGCCGCTGACAGCAAAGCAGGACGCCAAGATGCTGTACGCGGGGTGTCTGGAGCAGTTCAAGGGCGAGGTGAGCGCGAACCGGTTTGTGGAGGTGGCTGACGAGGAGGACTGGGACGAGCTGAGGGCGGAGGTGGAGTAGTCGCGCGCCGCCACAGGCCGACCGACGGACGGCCAAAGAGAGCGTCCTGCAACCAACGTCTGCCAGGGCTCCAGCCCTGGCTCTGTGTCACGTGCGCGCGGGTAGATAATTTTCAGCACCAAAAAATTTTTACTCAAACTATTCTATCAACATGGGTCGTATGCACAGCAAAGTGGGTAGCCGTTTGCCCAATACACGCCTTTGATTCGGGCTGCAGCGGTGCAAGCTGCGCAGCACCAATCCTATGCCATGTATTGGATAAGTATCGAATACTAACCGTCCAGGGAAAAGGAATTTCTTCCTCCGCCATTCCATACTCGAGAAACGTTCCATCCTGGTTCAAGCTCTCGTCCGAGGATGTTGTTGAGCAGATCATCAAGTACGCCAGAAAGGGTCTGACTCCTTCTCAGATCGGTGTCATTCTGAGAGACGCCCACGGAGTCAACCAGGCCAAGGTGATCACCGGTAACAAGATCCTGAGAATTCTCAAGTCCAACGGTCTTGCTCCAGAGATCCCAGAGGACCTGTACTACCTGATCAAGAAGGCTGTTTCCGTGAGAAAGCACTTGGAGAGAAACAGAAAGGACAAGGACTCCAAGTTCAGACTGATTCTGATCGAGTCCAGAATCCACAGACTCGCCAGATACTACAGAACCGTTGCTGTGCTGCCACCAACCTGGAAATACGAGTCTGCCACTGCTTCTGCCCTGGTCAACTAGGCAGTGTTTAGTAATAAAGTCACTTATTAGAGTATGCGTAGTTATTCCTGCGGTTGTGCCACGCTGAACTGCTCGTGCCCCCACGCAAACGCCACCGCGAGCCCGTCCTGCAGCTCCAGCTCGTCCACCTCCCGCGTCAGGTCGTCCAGCAACGCAATCCGCAACCCCTCAGCGGTGACTTTCTCTCTGCCCGCTTCGGCCTCGCCGCTCTCGGCCGTCTCCTCGGCCTCCTCGAACGATGGCACCGGCACGTCTGCATCCGTCTGCGACAGCTCGACGGGCTCGCTGTGCAGCAGCAGCCCGCCCGCGCTGTTCAGCATCTCCGCCAGCCGCAGTTTGAGCTCCCCCACCCCGGCGCCAGCCGGCACGCTCACAAACACCGTCAGGCCCTGTCTTTTCGCCTTCACCGTGATCATGTGCAAAATCGCTGGCTAGCTTTTTTTAGTAAATTAACTTTTTTTTTCCCTCTTGTTTTAGGCCAAATTAATGAGTTCGACCTCGGATGCTCCTTCCGCCACCTCTTCGGCCGCCAACGTGGCCGGAAACTTCATAGGAAGCAAGCCGTCCACGGTGCTGTTCTTCATAGCGCTGTGCGTGGGCGTGATCATCGCCGTTCTGTTCATATTCTTCACCTTCCGATACCTTGTGCGGTCCCGCTTTGGGCTGTACAGCTCGGCGCCGCAGTTTGCGCGCAACCCGTTCTACATGGGCCCCACGGGACGCGCGTCCATGAACGGCCTCCAGCCGTACTTTGAGCACGACATCGCCCTCAACCTCGCGGGCCACCGCCATCTGCACGGGTACCGTCCCCGTCGCCGCGAGGGGTACTCGCGCAAGCGCAAGCTCACGCAGGAGGAGGTGGACGACCTGTTCCCGCTGAAGACGTACGCCAAGTGGCTCAACGGCGGCCAGGAGGACGTCATCAACAGGAACGAGGGCGTTCTGGTGTACGAGGAGGACGCGGGCCATGGGGACACCGCGCAGGAGCAGGACGACTTCCACGACGCAATGTCGTCGCCGCCGGAGGAGGTCGATCTCGCCGACCAGAGCAAAACAGACAACATCGAGCTCAGCGAGACCGTTCCTGCTACAGCCTCGTCCGCCGACGCCGCACAGGACCTCCACTTCACCTCCGGCATGTGCGCGATCTGTCTCGACAACCTGCTGGACGACGACGAGGTCCGCGGGCTGATCTGCGGTCACGTGTTCCACGCCGACTGCGTCGACCCCTGGCTCGTGAACCGGCGCGGCTGCTGTCCGATGTGCAAGCGCGACTTCTTCATGCGCGACCAGACCCGCTCGCGCCACACCGCCGAGGCCCAGGGCGACCGCAGTCTCGACAGCATCTTCAACGACGCGGAGTCCGTGAGCGACCTGTTCTTCCCGCGTTCCACCAAGTTCAAGGCACAGACGCTGCTGGCGTCGCTGCAGCTCGTGCGCAACGGCGAGTACGCGAGCGAGGGCCCGACGTCGGCCGCCACGGCGCCGCCCACCGGCCCGGTCGAGGAGGCGACCCCAATGCACAACAGCGACTTCGACCGGCCGCCCATGCCGGAGCTGCGCTCGCTGCAGTCGTCCATCATGGAGATCGTCAACGAGAGACCGTTCCACCCGGACGACCTGCGCGACATCGACACGCTCGCGTTCCAGACGGTCAACGACAAGTTCACGCTGCTGTCGGCGGTCTTCTGGCGCATCATGGGCATCCGCAAAGAGGATCTGTACTACCACTACGTGCTGGTGTTCTACGAGCGCAACCGCAGCGCACGGCTCAGCTCGCGGCCCGGTGGCGAGCCCGAGCAGATGGTGTGACTACGATTCTCTATTCATTTCTGTTCCATCATCTAATTAAACGTGCGATCACTCATTCACCGACAATTTTTCAGCTCCGGCCACCAGCTCGTCCTCGTCATCTTCCACTGGCAGCACGTTGAACGACGACTGTTTCGGACCGTCTGTCTTGGCCTTCTGCTTGGTGTCTGGCTCCTTCGACTCGCGCGGCTTGCGCTCCTTGTTCAGCGCAGACCCACGCAGGTTCTCCCAGTCCACGTCCGGCTCCGGCTTCTTTGGCTTGCTGCGCAGAACGCCCTCGCTCCTCTTGCGAATGCCCTCCGCCACGCTGTCTCTGGCAACACCCCAGTCCGGCTCCGGCCCACGCTCTCTTCTAGGCGCCCGCTCCGCACGCTCCACGCGCACGGGCTCGCCGCTCCTGATGGCGCCCCAATCTGGCTCCGGCCCACGGGCCCGTGGCTCTCTGCGAGGTCCCAGCCGCTCGCGCCGAGGCTCGGGAACAGCAGCGCCCTCTCTAACGGCGGTCCAGTCCGGCTCCGGTGCCGGCTCTCTGCGAGACGGCAGCCGTTCTCTTCTGCCCTCACGCACCACAGGCGTGTTTCTGACGGCCCCCCAGTCCGGCTCCGGCGCCCGCTCGCGCATCCTGTCGCCTCTGAAGTCTCCGCCGCGCTGCTCGCGCTGCTCGCTGCGTGGGCCGTCCCGCATCGTGCCCCAGTCGACGTCTCCACGCAACTGGCGGCCTCCACGGCCCCCAAACGGCTCCTTTGTGGGAGCAGCCACGCTGACGTACGCAACACGGCCGCCCAGGTTCTGTCCCGATAGCTTTAATGCCTCTTCCAAAGTCCTCCTGTTCTTGAACGTAATGAACGCAAATCCTCTGAGCGCCCCCGTGTGCTGGTCCTTTGGAGCGTAGAAATCGACAATCTCGTCAAACGGGTCCTCAATGCGCAAGTTGTCGGCGAAAAACGCCTGGATCTCGTCCTCCTGCGCGTCTCTCGGCAGGTTGCTCACTCTGGCGGTGTATGGCGCGCGGTCCGGGATCGGATACTCGGCTCTCTCGTAGTCCCTGTCGCTTCCTCCGCCCCTGCTTCCCGACGGCTTGCCGCTGACGGGCACCTCCAGCGTGTTCATGTCGAACTCCTCGTCCGCCCACGAGCCGCCAAAGCTCTCGTCCGCCAGGAACGAGCCCAGGTCCATCTTAACTTTGTTCTTAGGAGGCATGCTATACTGATTGAATATTGGAAAGTATAAAAAATTTTCATGATTTTTTCCACTGCACACGTCTATCGGCGCGTCGCCCCGGTCTTTTTCCCCAGAAAGCAACCTTGGCTACACGTCTTGCCAAATGAACTGTTGTGTCGTTCTGGCTCTTGTGCTTCTGCCGTGGCCTGTGCTGGGCGTGCTGCTGGGCGTGCGCGTGTCTGTCCGCGGCATTGGCCTGTCACCGGCCCCGTTCTCCCTGCTGCTACCACTAGCAATATACGGGCTCAGTGTGCGCGTACGGGGCCTGAGCGTCGCTGTCGGCCACATTGCGCTTGCATGCGGCTGTTCGCGGCCATTTTTCAAAATATACCTCGGCTCCTTGGCGGTCAATCGAGCACAAACAACCACCAAAAAGTCACCACCGTCCCGAGACAAGGCCACAGGCCTGTCGTTTTGGCAGATCGCGCTAGATCTCGTGCTCTGGTGGGTCCCAGAGACACTGCTAAGCATCGACGAGTTCTCCATAGATCAAATGCACGTTGCTTCGGCCTGCGTACGATTTTCAAGGGGGCGTGTCTACAGACTGTCGATGGTAATTTCGAACATGGAATACGCCGACTCAAGATTTAACGTGGGGGTGTCGGACATTGACTTCAGTGGGGTCATGCATATAGAACAGGGCAAGTTGCATGCCAGCGGTAATCTCGTCGCAGGAGCCGTCACATTCTCGCCAAACGCGCCGGTGCCAGTTGTCGCCGTCTCTGCGGTCAAGGTGCTCGTTCAGGGGAAGTCGTGGCATGCATCCGCGCACGGTCTCCACGCAAAGGACGTTCTCGATATTCCCCACCTTACTTACTCGCACAGCCCAGCGGACGGCACGCGGCTCGAAATGCCCGCAATCGACGCCGACATCTCCCTGCCGCTCGTGTTTGCGCTGCTCTCTCTGTTTGTGCCGCCTAAATCTTCCTCCCCGAGTTCTTCCTCCAGCCAGGGGGCCTGGCCCTCAGTCACCGTCGCCAACAGCACTATTGTGCTCCATCTGGCCAGTTTCGACCTTCGCGTGCACAGCCAAGATCTTTCTTTTTCTGCCACCGCTGCTACCGTCGGCGACGTGCGGCTGGAGATTGTGCGGCATGGGCGGTGGACGCGGCTGCTGAGCGTCCAGAATGTGGCAGCGGACGGCGGCATAGATGTCCGCGTCGCGTTTGCCAAGCTTTCTCTGCCCCACGGGTTCCTCATCTACGAGCTGTTTGATAGCGCCTCCAATACGGCCAAAAGCCTCCAGCAGCACGTGCATACGCTGCGCACAGGCAGCGACGAGCTGGTCATTGCACCCCGCGCACGACCGCCGGTGCATTTGAGCGACATACGTGTCCGCGCCGGGCTCGTGGCGGTGTGTTTTGAGAACGACCCGTTTGAAACCGAGCTCGGCATGATATACCAGCTCGGCAGGGTCGAGCAGCGGTCACGGCTGCAGAAGTGGGGGCTGCTGGAGGGCGGCGAGTTTTTGGATGCGCTCAACGAGCACATTTCCTCGTCGTGGATCCGGCTCGTGCGCGAGTACCGTACAAAACTCGCAGCTACCGTCGAGCGCAACGGGCAATTTCTAGAAGGCCGCCGCCAGCCCGCCGCCACGGGCGCGCCCGTCATGTCCCTGTACTTGGAGGAGGTGGATATAAACGTCGGCCCCCCACACATGGACGAGTCGCTTCCTGCCTACATCGAGCGCGTGGGCAAGGGCATGCCGCGTGACACGCAGTACACGACGCTGCTGCCGGCGTATGTGGACCTTTCCGTGGGGCAGGTGCGCGCACACCTGCTGGAACTGCCGCTGCCGTTGGCGTGGGTACCGTGGGGCAAGAATACGGCAGGTCTGCGTGTATGTGGCAACGTGGTGCTGCTGGAACAACTGGGCGGCGACTGGCGGTGGTGCGACGTGGAGGTGGAGGCAGACAAGTCTGTGCGTGTTCCGCGCACCATGGCCGCCATGAAAACGCTTGCAGAGCTCACAGCCACCGTGCTGACCGACCACCCCGTGATGCTTACGTGGGGGGCCTCGATCCAGCCGGTCCTGCGCCAGCTGTCGCTCTGTTTCGACAGTTTCAGCAAGCCCAGGGTCGACCCGAGCCCGAAACTCGGCATCTGGGACAAGCTGCGCCTCATTGCACACGGCCATGTCGACCTCGTGTGGGCCACCGACGCCGGGCTGCAAATCAACATCAAAGGCTCGATGGACCCGTACGAGCTGCACGGGGCCGCGGCTGGGTTCTCGTTTGTGTTCCGCAAGAACGTGCGGCTGGAGCTGAACGACCCACGCAACGCACCGGACGACTTTGCCGTTGTGCGGGCGAGCGAAACAATGTTTGGAGTGCCTGACCATTTGACTACCCTGCCTTGTTGGTGTAGTGCAGACCCGGTGTATCTTGGCCACAAACTGGAAAAGTCCCTCTCCACCTCCACTTTCGGCTACTACCTCAACGAACGCCTTTTTTCGCCACTGCCCCCACGCACATCGTTCAAGCAGGCTGTTTCTCTCGGCGGCGAGGTCGAGTTCAAGCTGTCGTTCAAGTTCGAGCGCTCCCAAAATAAAGCCACCCCACATTATGCCGTCCACATGGCGCTGCCCCCACGCTCTCCCAACCACGACTCCTACGCAGGCTTCCGCACAAACACAATTCACATGGGCATCCACCTGACAACAAGATCGTCCGCCAACTCTGTGCACGTGACCCCGGTCACGTTCTCCTATTTCACGAAGTGGTTCACGCTCTTCAGCAGCGGCGTGTCGCTGCCCATCCGCAACGGCCCGCTTTTTGGCACCGCTCTGGAGTCGGTCAAGTTCGCGTCGCATCTTGCGTCCTTTTCGTACAACTTCGCCGTCCACCCGCTGTACATTTTCCACGGCTACCGTCTCGACCTGGACGATCCAGAAAACAGGTGTGCTATTGGCTTCAAAGCCAAGATGGAGGATCTGCGCTTGCAGCTGCACCAGCGCAAAAAGCCGATGGTGCTCAAGAACGAAAATCTCAACAAGCAGGTGAAGTTGATGCAGATGAGGTTCGACACTGGCGAGGTTCGATTTTGCAACGTGGACGTGCGCGTGGTGGCTGCTGAGGAGCAGAAGGCGGGCAGCGACGAGTTCACTCCCGCTGCCGAGCCGTGGTTCGACCGCCAGGACTTCGAGGAGCACGGCATGGAGTCTCTGGGGGCCGTTTCCGTAGAGTATTTGCATTTATTCCACTGCGAGGAAATGGCATATTTTCTGGACCACGACTCGGCCAAGTTCCGCAACATTGTCGAGGCATCGCGTCCGCTGGCAAAGTGGAACTGCGCCGTGCGCAACCGCGTGTTTCAGTACCTACAGCGGCTCGAATTCCGGCACTCGTACTCGTACTACCGCAGCTACCAGGCGTACCGCACCGCGCGGGCGTCGCAGGCGCAGGGGCGGGCCAAAACGGCTGTGCACGACGACGTGAGCTTTGCAGACCGCAGCCTGCGCATCGACACCTTTGAGAGTGATTTGCGCGCCGTGGAACATTCGGCGCGGAGGCTGGTCACGTGCGACGACTTTGCGGTGAAAATCAGCGAGCCGCAGATCCAGCTCATCGAAAACGACGCGGCGGACTATTTTGTGCTTTTGAGCACGCCGCAGATCGACGTGAGCGTCGTCAGCGTGAACGACGGCAGCAAGCTGGACGACGTGGGCTCGCGGCCGCTGGCGACGCGGTTCGGGTCGGTTTTGAAGGATACAGATATCTTCCTGATCGATCGGTCTGTCGACCCCAAAGGTGCGATAGTCTACGGCGCCAGTCCGCACTGGCCGCTGTTCCTGGCCGACCCGCCCGCAAAGTACAAGGTCCTGGCGCGGACGGCGATGGTGCTGCGGTTCGACCGCACGAGCAGTCTCGGCGGCGACGATCGACGCAACGTGCTGATGTTCAACATGGCCCGGCTAGAGACGCGGCTCGACTCGGCGCAGGCGCGCGCCCTGTACTCGCTCGTCGCGACGCTGCTGCTGTACTCCGAGCCGCGGTCCAAGGAGCTGAACGCCGCGGTCCAGGAATTGGCCATGGTGGCCGACTCCAGCGACCTGGACGCCGTGTTCGCGCAAGTTGCCGACGTGTCGCGCAAGCTGGCGTACTTGCCCGAGCCGTCGCCGCTGCGCAGCCGGCTGCTGGTCGAGCTGTACACGCGGATGCGTTTTCTGGTGAACGGCGGCGGGCTGCGGGACGACGAGCTGGAGTGGGTTCTACAGGTGGGGAGGATCAAGATGGACATGGTGGAGGCAAGCCGGCCGTTTCTGCAGCTGGAGATCGCGCAAGGCACGTTCAACAGGATCGAGCTGGCCAACGGGGCCACGACAAACAGGGTGCTGGTCGGCACGCTACGGGCAAGAAACATGGCCGGGGCCTATTTCCCGCAGCTACTCTCGGGCGTCGAATCGACGCACATGTTTGAGATTTCGTGGACTATGGACCGCCCGGTGGGGGGCATTCGCGTGGTGAAGCGGGTGGATATAAAAAGCTCTCCAATCAAACTGGGGCTGGAGGAGACCGTCGGACAGCGGGTTTTGGAGTACTTTGTGGGGGAGCAGCAGGACGGGCAGCAGCAGCAGGAAGAGCACGTTGACGCGTCCTCCTCGAAGCTCATGATCAGCCGCGCCGGCCGGTATTACTGGTTCCAGTCGATCCACATGGAGCCGGTCGCGCTGGTCGTTTCTGTGCGCGGGAAGGGTCTGAGAAAGCTGCTGAATGTGACGGACTTTGAGCTGCTGTTGCCCGCCCTGGACATCGTCAACAGGCTGTGGGGAATCGGCGACCTGGCGAATTATCTGAAAAAATACATTTTGCAGACATTAATGGTGCATTTTGGCAAGATAATAAGACACAAGATGAAAAAGCACTAGCCGAAATGCACCTGGACATGGCGTTTTTTCTGGTCGGGCTCGCTCGGCGTCGTGGGCGTGCCCTTTCTCTTGCGCTCTTTCTTGGCCGACGAGTCGAAACTGTCGATGGCGAGCTTGCTGGAGTCGAAGCCGGGCACGCCGTTGATCGAGCTCTTCTCGAACGAAAGAAGCGGCTTCAGCTGCTCCAGCGGATACTGCTTGAGCTGGACGTCGCCGAGGTCCGGGTTGTCTGGCCGGAAGACGATCGGCGAGAGCGTTCGCTCGGTGGGGATGGCGCGTTTGCCCGGCAGGTCGGCGACGTGGTTTTTGTACGACTTGCGCAGCTTGACGCCTTTGGAGCCGTCCGGGTTGACCCTGGCGAGCGACTGCGCGATGGGACGAAGCCCGTACAGCCGGATGACGTCTGTGTCGAAGGAGGGCCGCACGGGCTCGTACGTTGTGTCCTGGTCGATAAAATAATGCATGGCGACGATCGACGAGAGCGGCCGCACTCGAGGTCTATCTCCTTTGGGGGGCGGCCACGTGACCCGCCCTAGGGCTAGAAAATTTTTCAAAGTAAAATAAAATACTCTCTACGATAATCTTTTCACCAACCATGGCTGCATCGCTCCCACACCCAAAGATCGTCAAGAAGCACACCAAGAAGTTCAAGAGACACCACTCGGACAGATACCACAGAGTGGCCGAGAACTGGAGAAAACAGAAGGGTATCGACTCCTGTGTCAGAAGAAGATTCAGAGGCACCATCAGAGAGCCAAAGATCGGTTATGGATCCAACAAGAAGACCAGACACATGATGCCTTCGGGCCACAAGGCTTTCCTGGTGAAGAACGTCAAGGACCTGGAGTGTCTGATCATGCACACCAAGACCTACGCTGCTGAAATTGCCCACAACGTGTCTGCTAAGAACAGAGTCGAGATCCTGGCTCGTGCCAAGGCCATCGGCGTGAAGGTGACCAACCCTAAGGGCCGTCTGAGTCTTGAGGCATAGGTAGAGTAATACACGAGAAGAGATTTAGTAGAGCTGGCGTTGCCATTTTTTTTGGAGCCCGTATTATTTTTTTAATTCATAAATATTTTCCCATGTCTCACGGGGATCCCAACACGTTTGGCGCGGCCAATTACCGCGCCAGCAACGACCTTGTCGACCTTGTCGACCTGGACAGCGTGGACGACCCGTTCCGCGACCCTGCGCCAGAGCCTGCCAGCTCTGCCGCCGCGTTTGCCAACGTGGCAAACGACTACGACGCGGCCGGGCCCCTGCACGACAACCCGTTCGACTCGGACGTTCTGAGCGACTACGAGAGCGACAACTACGGGCCCGCAGGCTCCAGCGGCGGCCTGCGCTCTGTGGTCGGCCAGATACGCACCAAAATGGGCAGAACCGCGTACGACAACGTGGACGACTCGCACGAGCCGTCGCGCAGCACGCCGCCGCCGGAACCAGCCACCGACACGGCCAACGTGTTCGACATCCGCCGGTACTTCCGCAAGCACAACAACACCGACGACACGAGCCCGCGCACGATCTACATCAACGACCCGCAGACAAACGCACGGCTCGGCTACTACGACAACCACATCAGCACCACCAAGTACAACTTCGTCACGTTTGTGCCCAAGTTCCTGTTCGAGCAGTTCTCCAAGTACGCGAACCTGTTTTTCCTGTTCACGTCGGTGATCCAGCAGGTCCCGTCCGTGTCTCCGACCAACAGGTACACCACGATCGGCACGCTGATGGTGGTGCTGCTTGTTTCGGCCGTCAAGGAGATCACCGAGGACATCAAGCGCAACTCGTCCGACAACGAGCTGAACCGGTCCAAAATCGAGGTTCTGGACCTCCGAACGGGCCAGTACGTGATGAAAAAATGGATCAACGTCAAAGTCGGCGACATCGTCAAGGTGAACAGCGAGGAGCCGTTTCCCGCGGACCTGATCCTGCTGAGCTCGTCCGAGCCGGAAGGGCTGTGCTACATCGAGACGGCGAACCTGGACGGCGAAACGAACCTGAAAATCAAGCAGTCTCGCGAGGAGACCGCCGGGCTGATGTCGCCGCAGCAGCTGGTCCAATGCCAGGGCAAAATCCTCAGCGAGCGGCCCAACAGCAGTCTGTACACGTACGAGGGTACGCTGTACCTGAACGGGCGCGAGATCCCGCTGAGCCCGGACCAGCTGCTTCTGCGCGGCGCCAGTCTGCGCAACACGGTCTGGATCCAGGGAATCGTGGTGTTCACGGGCCACGAGACGAAGCTGATGCGCAACGCGACGGCGGCGCCGATCAAGAAGACCGACGTCGAGCGGATCATCAATCTGCAGGTGATTGCGCTGTTTGGCATTCTGCTGGTGTTGTCGGTGGTCTCGTCGCTCGGCGACATTCTCAACATCGCCTTCATGAAAAACCATCTGGGCTACCTCTATCTGGAAGGAACGAGCAAGGTGAAGCTGTTTTTCGCCGACATCCTGACGTACTGGGTGCTTTTCTCGAACCTCGTGCCGATCTCGCTGTTTGTCACCGTTGAGATCATCAAGTACTACCAGGCGTATCTGATTGCCTCGGACCTGGACATGTACTACGAGCCGACGGACTCGCCGACGGTGGTGCGCACGTCGTCGCTCGTCGAGGAGCTCGGCCAGATCGAGTACATTTTCAGCGACAAAACAGGCACGTTGACCAGAAACATCATGGAGTTCAAGACGTGTTCCATTGGCGGCCGCTGCTACATCGGCCAGATCCCGGAGGACGCCCAGGCCAGCGTCCAGGGCGGCATCGAAATCGGCTACCACACTTTTGAGCAGCTGCAGGTCGACCGCAAACAGCACAGAAACAGAAAAGTGATCGACGAGTTCCTCACGCTGCTGGCTGCGTGCCACACGGTGATCCCAGAAATCAAGGGCGACAGCATCAAGTACCAGGCCGCATCGCCCGACGAGGGAGCCCTGGTCGAGGGCGCGGCGATGCTGGGCTACAAGTTCACCGTGCGCAGGCCGTCGAGCATCAGCATGGAGGTCGACGGCCAGGTGCTCACGTACGAGCTGCTCAACATCTGCGAGTTCAACTCCTCGAGGAAGAGAATGAGCGCCATTTTCCGGTGTCCCGACGGCAAGATCAGACTGTATGTGAAGGGCGCCGACACGGTGATTTTCGCGCGGCTTGCGGACAACAACGAGTTTCTCGAGGCCACCACAAAACACCTGGAGGAATTTGCCGTGGAAGGTCTGCGGACGCTCTGTATTGCCGCGAGAGTGGTTCCGGAGCAGGAGTACCAGGAATGGAGCCAGATCTACAACAAGGCGTCGACGAGTCTGGAGAACCGGTCTGAGAAGCTGGACAGTGCTGCGGAATTGATAGAAAAGGATCTGTTTCTGCTGGGCGCAACGGCGATCGAGGACAAGCTGCAGGACGGCGTTCCCGAGACGATCCAGGTCTTGCAGGAGGCCGGCATCAAGGTGTGGGTGTTGACAGGCGACCGGCAGGAGACGGCGATCAACATTGGCATGAGCTGCAAGCTGCTGAGCGAGGACATGAACCTGCTGATAGTGAACGAGGAGAGCAAGCGCGACACGAAGCAGAATCTACTGGACAAGGTGGAGATCCTGCGCAGCAACCAGCTGTCGCAGGACGACATCAACTCGCTGGCGCTGGTGATCGACGGCAAGTCGCTGGGCTTTGCTCTGGAGGCCGATCTCGAGGATCTGCTGCTGGAAATCGCTGTTCTGTGCAAGGCGGTGATCTGCTGCCGTGTGTCGCCGTTGCAGAAGGCGCTGGTGGTGCGGCTCGTGAAGCGCAAGAAGCGCGCGCTGCTGCTGGCGGTCGGCGACGGCGCCAACGACGTGTCGATGATCCAGGCCGCGCACGTCGGCGTCGGCATCAGCGGCATGGAAGGCATGCAGGCCGCACGCAGCGCAGACTTTGCGATCGGCCAGTTCAAGTACCTCAAGAAGCTGCTGCTCGTGCACGGCTCGTGGTCGTACCAGCGGCTGTCGCTGGCGATTCTGTACTCGTTCTACAAGAACATCGTGTTCTACATGACGCAGTTCTGGTACGTCTTCAGCAACGGGTTCAGCGGCCAGTCGATGGTGGAGTCGTGGACGCTGACGCTGTACAACGTGATTTTCCTTGTGCTTCCGCCGCTCGTGATCGGCATCTTCGACCAGTACATCACGGCCAACATGTTGAACCAGTATCCACAGCTATACAAAATCGGCCAGGCGGGCCACTTCTTCAACGTGGAGATTTTCTGGTCGTGGGCCGTCAACGGCTTCTACCACAGTGCCATCATCTACATCGCGCTCATCAACATCTTCAAGTACGGCAACCAGCTCGCCGACGGCACGACGATGGACCACTGGGGGTTCGGCATTGCGATCTACACCGCGTGTCTGGTGACCGCTCTGGGCAAAGCGGCCCTTATTTCGTCTCAATGGACCAAGTTCACGCTGGTGGCCATTCCCGGCTCGCTCGCGCTCCTGTTTGTGGTTCTGCCCGTGTACGCCAGCGTCGCGCCCCACGTCGGCGTCTCCAAGGAGTACTGGGGCGTTGTGCCAAAGATCTTCGGCTCGCTCGTCTATTGGATGACTATCATAATCGTGCCTGTGCTGTGTCTGCTCCGCGATCTGCTGTGGAAATACTACAAGCGCACATGGAACCCGGAGTTCTACCACAAGGTGCAGAAAATCCAAAAGTACCAGATCCAGGACCACAAGCCGCGGTTCTCCTCGTTCCAGAAAACCATCCGCAAGGTCAGACAGGTGCACCGCATGCGCAAGCAGCGCGGGTTTGCGTTTTCGCAGGACGAGGGCCAGGAAAACATCATCCGCAAGTACGACACCACGAAACGGCGCGGCACGTACGGCGAGCTCGACTAGACGGACAGGTTGCGCTGTTTGCACAGCTCCTGTGCCTCTCTTAGCTGTGCGCTCTGTTTCGTCTTGGCGGTGACCGTGTCGAGCGACTTGATCGCCGCAACCAGCGCTGTCGTGTCGAGCGGCTGCCGACGGCCCGTGCGCGGCACGTGAACCGTCCCGGCGTCCACGGCGTACCCGAGCCGCCGCAGAAGCAGAGCCACGTCCTCGCGCTCGTCGATCGTCCGCACGGTGGCCAGGTCGACCGTTTTGTACGGCTCGAGACTCAGTTGCAAGATCCGCGTCCGCATCTGTGTCTCGAGGTCGCGGAACACCTCCGGCGCCAGCTCGTGCGTCTCCTTGGCGAGTTTGGCCACCGTCTGGGAAAAACTCGTCGGCTGGCAGGTCTGGTAGCTCTGGATCAGCTGGCAGCACGCGGGACTCACAAAGCCGCCGTATTTTAGCAGATTGGCGTCCTTTTTCAGCCCGACAAGCACCAGGTTGACCGTGTACGCTGCGACGAGGCTCTGGATGGCCGGCAGTGTTCTGCACACCGGCAGCTTGAACAGAATCTGGAACTGTCTGTGTGCTTCCTGGTACCTGCCCATGTTCATGAGCGACATGGCGAGCGCGTGGTACGCGTCGAACACGTCGTCTCTGCGCAGCTTGAGCGGGTCGATCGCCATGTGCCGCGCAAACAGCGGCTCCAGACTTGCTATTTCGCGGTAGCACCGGCGAGAGTACAGGTGCTCGAGGGTGATATGATGTAAATAATAAAATGTTGCATTCAGAGATGCTGTGTCGCCCACGCGGCGCACAACCTCCACAAGAACGGTGCCGGCCTCTGGCGCCGTCTTGGTGTATCCTTCAAGCAAGGCGTAGAAGGCGGTCAGAACGGGTCTGTTGCCGAATACGACCAGCAGATCCAGTTCACGCAGCAGCTGAGCGATCGCCGCAACAACCTGTCCCCGGTGCGGCCGCCACGTCTCGTCCTGCTCGGCCAGCACGCCGCTCTGCAGCATCGCGGCCAGCAGCGCAGTCTTCTGCAACGCTGAGTGGGCCGTGTGTATGCGCTCCAGCACGGCGGCCGGCTCGTTCTCAACCACGTACTCCTGTGCAAGCCTGTACGTGCGTCTCCACAGCTCGTCGACGTTGACGGCGGGGTCGTTTTCGTGCGGCAGCGAATCAAGGGTGCCTGTGTACATGACTGGAGAATTCGATAATTTGATTATTTAATTATTCAATTTGATTATTTAATTATTTAATTATCTGATATTTAATTATCTGATTTAATTTATATTTTTTTATTTTGATCTTTCATGCTGCTTCTGGACGGCGCGCTAGGAACAGAACTTGAAAAGCGCGGAGTCGACGTCTCGGGCGGGCTGTGGTCCGGCCGCGCCGTGCTCGACTCCGCAGACACCGTCAAGGAGATCCATCTCGACTACATGCGCAGCGGCGCCAACATCGTACTGACGGCAACGTACCAGCTATGCGACGCCAACATCAAGCAAAACCACCAGGACCCGGCCGCCGTGTATGCCCGGGCCGTGGGACTCTGTGCGCAGGCACGCCGTGAGTACGACGTTGGCGCCGGCGTGAAGATCGCCGGCTCCATAGGGCCCTACGGAGCATATCTTGCCGACGGGTCTGAGTACACGGGGAACTACGGCTCTGTGACGGACGCACAGCTGCGCGCGTTCCACGAGGGCCGGTTCCGTTTTCTCGCCCAGTCCCCGGACGTGGACGTTCTAGCATTCGAAACCATCCCGTCGTTCCAGGAAATAAGGGTTCTGGCAGAGCTGGCCAGCACACAGGATAAACCGTGGTATCTGAGTCTCAGCGTGCGCGAGACGGCCCTCGTCGACGGCACGCCGCTCGCGCAGATCGTCGGCTGGCTCGACAGCCACTACGATCGCAACCTCCTCGCCGTCGGCGCCAACTGCTGTGGTGTAAGGGTGGCTCTGCCAGTGGTGGAAGAGCTCGATCGGCGGCTCTCGGACTCCCAGAACCTGCGGAACGCACGCATCGTGCTGTATCCGAACTCCGGCGAGGTGTACGACGGCGCGACGAAGACGTGGTCGGGCGAGCCGGGCCATTTTGTCGACGCCGTGAGACAGTGTCTGCAGTACAAGCGCGTGGGCATTGTGGGCGGGTGCTGTCGCACGGGGCCAGCAGATATCCGCCAGCTGCGGACGCTCATTGACGAGTCGCGGTCGCACTGAATGCATTTGTGTCTAACGAACTTGAAATTGACGTCTCTTAAATTTTATATACTCAGAGCTCGTCTCTTAGGCCCCCGGTCTGCGGCAGCTCGTCCGGGTAGATTTTGCAGTCGAAGTCCCAGTTGAGCATCTTGGCCGCCTCGCAGGCCGACTTGGTCCACGCGAAGCCGTACACAATTGGCGATCTCTTCACAAACATATGGGCCGCACCTGCAAAGACAGCAAGGAACAGCACAATAGCCACGGATCTTCTCTTTTTCAGAACGGCTGAGTAGATCACCTCAAACGACTGGCCCAGCGTCAGAATGCCAAAGTAGAGCGCAGGCAGGTAGTGGTGCAGAAACAGCTGTCTGTCCATCAGGAAAGAAGGATAGTAGTGAATGAACCAGCCAAGAAGAAATTGCAATGTGTTGAGAGAGTAGTTGAAAACAACAGGGCTTTCCGGAAGCGGGTAGCCCAGCTGCCATCTCACAACGTGGAAGACGACGAAAAGGCCGAACGGAACAAACAAGAACGACGACAGCCACCACACAATAGGGTTTCCAAGCAGGTACACCTGTCTGTCGCCCTGTTTCCAGTACGAGATGCCGCGCTGCAGAAGCGGCCACGACTCCGGTCTCGACTCGAACGCGTGCGGCGCCTTGAGGCCCCTGTTGATCTTCCACATTCTGCTGTGCAGCTCGGCCATTTTTTGCAGGAAAGAGAGCTCCTTGTACGAGACCTTCTCTGCGGTGTCGGGGTCCAGGAACCGGTTCTCGTTCTGCTCAATGTACCAGTACGACAGCGGCCTGATGCCCTGGCCCGCGCACGTGACCTCCTGCTGCTCGAAGCCCCATTTGGGCAGCTTGGTCTCGTGCGAGAACAGGTAGCAGCCGGTCATGGCGTGTCTGAGTCTGAATATGGTGTCAATGGCCTTGACGGTCTCCTGTGCTTTCCCGGCAACAGACTCGTCTTTCACGATCTCGACGATGAAGTCGTCGTTCGGGTCGCCTTCAAAGCCCTCGTAGCCGTAGCAGGAGGCCTCGTTCTGCCAGTCGATCTCAGAGACAGACGGACGGATATCGTGCGAGTGCAGTCTTCTGTGTGTCAGCACGTGCTTCAGTCTGATCTTGGTTCCGTCGATGAGCGGCTCGAACGCAGTTGGCTCCTCGGTGGCATTGTACAGCTCGACAAGCCACTTGTTGTTGTCGTCCAGGTGCGGATACAGCGTGATCTGCTGTTGGCCCGAGCCTCCCTCGTACAGATGGTTGTGGGAGTGCAGGTATCCGCCGTTGGTGTTCACGTGTCTCAGGGTGACGACAGAGCCGATACCAACGTCTGCGAGGGTGGTTTTAGGGACAGTGGTGTCTTTGAACGAGGTTCTGAACGCAGACGACAGGAACGCGGCGCCGTCGCCCTCGTAGGGCAGCAACGAGAGATGGACGGCAAACGCGGCCAGGTAGATGATGGCTGGGAGGCCAAGCAGCACCACCAGCTTGGTGACTGTCTGAGAGGCGATGTTTTTGGCCGACAGCGTGAGGTCTCCGACGGTGAACCAGAACTTGATGGCGCAGCAGACGCCCACCCACGCAACGGTGAAGAAGCCGACCCACTTGGAGGACGAGGCGAGGCCCAGACTGACGCCGGCCAGCACCAGGGATTTCCACCAGTTGAGAGTGAACGGAGTCTCGATGTTGAGCTTGGAGCTGGCGTAGACGGCGGCGGCAATGAAGAAGAGCAGCGGCGAGTCGAGCAGAACAAACCGCGAGATGGTGGCATTGGCGCTCTCGAGCACCAACAACGAAGACGTCAGGAACGACACGAGCGGCTTGCAGCCGGTGGTTCTGAGAGTCAAGTACATGAGGACCACGGTGCCGACGCTCAGAAAGGCGCTCAGCTGTCTCATGAGGACGTACGGCACGTCGTCGGGGAACTTGTCGCCGATTTCGGCGAACTCGAACTTGCCATTAAATCCCCCAAGCGCACCCACTGCCGCAAATAACAGCTTGGCCAGAGGAGGATGGACGTCCATGAAAAAGCGGCCCAGAATGTATTTTCTCGCGAATCCGCCGAAATGCACCTCGTCAAACACCACCGAGTCGGGGAAGTCGAGGCTGCGGAGCCGGATCACGGCGCTGAACAAGGCCAACAGCACAACGAGCCCCGTCTCCTTGCCCGAGGAAACACGACGATTAGCCATTGTCTGTGGCGCCAGCGTCGTCGATAAGTATCTGCGGACAGGGCCCGGTTGCAAAGGGAGTTCTGTGGTGGAATCCGCCGTAGACGGAGCCAACTTGACGGATTTCTTTGCCATGATGAAAACAAGACACGAAAAAAAATAGCGAGCTTAGAGAAAAATATTCATTTTTTAGTTGTTTTTTTTTTTATTTTTTTGACATCTAATAGTATGCGGTATTGGCGAGCTACGTTTTTCTTCTCTTCCCGACCCCCTTCAACACATCCACCTTCTTGCCTCTCTTCTTGCCGCGGCCCTTCCTCACCTTGTTGAAGGGCACAAACCCAACCTTCTTCTCCTCGGGCCGGGCGCCCTCTGGAAGCAGGTACGAAGGCACTCTTTTCAGATGCGCGTCCGCACGCACGCTGGCCAGGTCTTTGTCGTGGCGCAAAGTGACCAGGTCCTGCGGGTTCTCCTCAAAGTGGCGTTTCAGCTTCTCAGAGGCCATCAGCTCCTGTTTGATCTCACGGAGTCGCGCGTCTCGCACCGCCGCACGGGTCACAGACCGGAACGAGTCCTCCATCCGGTACCGGAACGCCTCCACCTGTTTCATATTAAATTGGTACGGCTTGAGCTCGTACCCGAGCTTGCTCTGCGACCGCTCGATTCTGGCCAAGACCTTCTCGTCCTTCTTCGCACTGGCCAGACTCGAGGCCTTGTGTTTTCCCCATTCCTTGGCTGCCACCACAAACGACAGAGCCATGCCGCTCTTGCCGCCTCTGGCCGTCCGTCCAATTCTGTGCACATACGTCTTGGACGAGACAGGCAGGTCGAAGTTCAGCACACACGCCACGTTCCTGAAATCCACACCACGCGACACACCAAAGTCGTTTGATTGGCCCTCCTGGTTGGACTCGTCCGTGGCAATTAGTAAATTGTAGACGTTTTTGTTGAACTCCTCCACAATGTGCAGCCGCGAGTTCACGGGAAGCTCAGAGTTGAGCAGACACGATTTGATGCCAAAGTTTTGCAGAAAAAGCTTGAGCTTGTATCCCCGGTCCAGCTCGTTCACAAAGAGCAGGATTTTTCCTTTGATTAGGCCCAGCTTCAAAATCACGTAGATCAGCAGGAACTTGTCGAGCTCGCTGGTTTTGATGTAGTACTGGACAAGCTTCTTCTTGTCGCTGTCAACGTCCTCAAGCTTCAGAACAGCAGGTTTGTTGCAGAACTTCGTCTTCAGCTCCGTCACCTCCTCGTTCAGCGTGGCACTCATAAGAAAAGTCTGTGTGTTTGTCTTCATGCTTAGATACTCTCCCAGTTTATCCAGATCGTCCTTGTACCCATAGCTGACTATCAGATCAACCTCGTCTATCACCAAAAACCGCAAATTCGTCAGCTGTACGCTCTTATTTTTCTCCAAAACTGATATTAATTTCGCAGGAGTGCTCACATATATTTCTCTGCCCTCGGTGAGCAGCTGTAACTGCACCTGGTCACTCACGTTGTCGTTCAGATTCAGCACGCGTGCATACCTGCCGCAAAACACCGTCAATTGGCCCAGAAACTCAGCCACCTGCTTGCTCAATTCCTTGGTCGGGACCAAAACTAGCGCCTTCACGCCTTCTGAGTCGCTGCCAGACGCCAAAATGGACTGCACAATCGGTATGCAGTATGCTGCCGTTTTTCCAGAGCCCGTAGATGCCCTGGCTATGATATCCTTGCGTTCCTCGAGAGACAGTTTGATGGTCTGTGTTTGGATCAGCGTCGGGTGCTCAAACCCAAGCTTGTTGATGGCCTGAATTAGACGCGCGTCTAAATCAAAGGAATCAAAACTGACGCCCTCATCGACGTAGTCTTGCGCAACAGAGACAGACATGTGCAGGATCGACTATTTGAAAATATTTCAAGAAAATTAATTTTTTTATTAAAAAATTTGTTGATTACTTAATCTTTCGCAGAATCTTCCTTCAGAGTGACGATTCTGTTGAAAATTAGATTGTCACCAGAATCCTTGTCGAGACAGAAGTAACCAACTCTGAGAGCCTGGAATCTCACAGTCTCCTTGCCTGGCTCTTCCTTGATGCTAAATTCAGGGTTGGTGAATGGCATGTTTAGCGGCGACCTGGCCTCTATTTCGTAGAAGCTTGGCTCGATGATGGCATCCTTCAGAATCTCCTCCGAGTTTGGATTGATGTCGGCCAAATAGCCATCAGGATGAGCAGACGGATTCTCAGAGTTGAACAGTCTGTTGTGGATTCTGACTTCATCAATTCTAACAGGAGACTTGTATTTCCTAGACTCTGGCACCCAATGAATGTATGTCTTTGGTTTCTTGTGCTGGGCAGGATCGTTGAGGTACTCGGCGTGAATCAAGGTCGGAGCACCGGACTCGTCCCTCTCCACGCTCTTGACGCGAATATTAAACGGAACCCTCATCAGACCAACAGGCTGGTCCGGAGCCAGTCTGAAGTAGTCTTTGGTGATGGTGTCTCTGTAGTCCGACTTGTCGATGTAGACAGTCTTGGTGAACGGCACTTTCCTGGAACCAAACTCAGGCGAGCCGGGTTTGTATGGAATTTCCACCAGCTCCTCGTAGTCATCGTCCAGGTTGTCTATAACCACCTTCAACGGATGTTCAATCATCATTAGTCTTGGAGTTGTGTGGTCAAGATAATTTCTCACGGCGCTCTCAAACCTGGTGGCCTGGATGTTTGTGGTAGCTGTGGTAACACCCAAGGTGTTGATGAAACTCAAAATGGCTCCTGGAGGAACACCTCTTCTTCTAAGAGACTCCAAAGTGTACAGTCTTGGGTCGTCCCATCCGCGCACATAGCCCTCGTTCACGAGCTTGGCAATCTTTCTCTTGGACATTATGGTTCCGGTCAAGTTCAAACGGCCGTATTCTCTCTGGGCAGGTCTGTAGACATGTAGCACGTCGCAGAGCCACTCGTAGCTCTCTCTGCTCAAGTAGAACTCAGTGGTGCACAAAGAGTGACTAATATTCTCGAAAGAATCGACCAAACAGTGAGTGAAGTCGTAGGTCGGATAGATCTTCCACTTGTCTCCCGTTCTCTCGTGTTTAGCATTCAACACTCTGTAAGCAATTAGGTCCCACATTTGCGGAGACGGAGAGTAAATGTCCTGTTTCATTCTCAAGATAGCCTTTCCTGGCTCGTAGTAGCCGTCTCTCATTTTTCTAAACTCGGCCAAGGACTCCTCAATTGGTCTGTCTCTCCATGGGGAAGGAAATCTTTCTCCTCCAGGAGTACCATCTGGCCTCACACCTCTCTGCGCCTTGATCTCTTCTGGCGTCGAATGATCCACATAAGCATATCCTGTTGTGATGAGTTTTTCAGCGAGCTCGTAAAGCCGGTCGAAATAGTCTGAAGAATAGGTGATCTTCCAAGGTTCGTATCCAAGCCACTTGACACAGCGCAAAATGGAATCAAAGTAGACCTGCTCCTCGGCCTCGGGGTTTGTGTCGTCATAACGCAGATAGCAAACTCCGCCGTGGTATTTGGCGTAGCCAAAGTTTACCATAATGGCTTTAGAGTGTCCTATGTGCAAGAATCCGTTTGGTTCTGGAGGAAACCTGGTAAACACCTTGCCCTTGGTCACCTTCAGGTGCTCCTCCATGAGCTCCGGCCATTTCTGCGGGTTCTCACCAGGCTTGTGGAGATCTCCCAGGAATCCCTCTGTGAACATGTTTCTTTCAGGCTCCGTCTTGGTCTCTGGCTTGGTTCCCTTGGCCTGCTCCTTCTTCTTTTTCTCCTTCTTCACCACATCTCTTTCGTCTTTAGGACCAAGATATTCCAGTGCTAGCCGGTCGACAGTAGGCTTGAACAGGGCAGGCGAGGCCCATTTCAGCTCAGGAAGGCTTCGCACACTGCCAAGGACATTAGGAACCATTTTATACCTTTTCTCCAGAAATTCGGCCTTGATAGACTCGATATACTTTCTAATCGCGTTCTCAACATCCTCTTCGGTAACCTTTATGCCAACACCAGAGCTTTCCTCCATCTCTTTTTCGCTAAAATTGTCGCCAGCAGATTTAACATACTTGTATGCCTCGGTGACCTGCAAAGTCGAAACTAGCCGGCCGTCAATGATGGCATCCAGAATGTCCTTCCCATGTGGAAGATCCTCGCCTTTCAATAGTGTAGCCAAATGATGGAGAAGAGTACTTTTCGTCTTGTCCCACGAAACATTGTCGCCCGCAAGCTGAATCAGATGAGCCAACGAAGACGCAACCTTCTGGTTCTTTAGGATCTCACGCGCTTTGGATTCTTGGAACCCAATTTGAGAAAAGAGATTGACTAGGTCGTCTGTCATTGATTATTTGAAGACAAGAGAACGATTTCAATTATTTTATCTACGGTTGAGAGGCCGGGTAAAAATAGGAGCTATAATTTATATTGTTGTAAACCTTTAAGTATTAACCTATGTACTGCGCATTGTTATATCTTACAATTCAGTAGCAAAGATGAGCAAATAGCCAATGATTTCCCAAAAACATGATGATTGACTAGTACAGCGAGCGACAAGCCATAAACACAATGGATCTGCCTTAACTTAAGCAAAACGAGTCTGCGTAGTCGGGAACTTGGTCATGTCCTTTGAATTGATGCGAAGAAGAGCCAAAGAAACAATAGTTTTCAATGATCTTATGGTAAACAGGATCGGAAGAAGCTGCCAAGCTCTTAGGTGTAGTGTATGCAGAAGAAGGCGAGTAGTTCGACTTCAGTGTAGTAGGAGGCAACGAACAGGATGTTGGCGTGATGGAGTTTAATGTCGGGATGGATGACTCAGAGTTGATCTTGCGTAATAAATAATGCTTTGAGTTTCTTGGCTCAAAGCTGCGCTGCCTGTGAGTGGCAAAAGGCAACGAAAACGAATCGTTGAAATTCAAGTTTGTCTTCAATCTGAACTGGATGTCGTCCAAGTCGGTATCGAAAGACTTGCGCCGTTGGATACCTCTCTTTGTGTTCTTTTTTAATATGACAGTATAGTTCTTCATGCCATTATTGTCCCAGTATTCCGCCTCGTTGACCTGGTACTTGATACAGAACTTGAGGTTCATCTGTGACTTGTAGTTTCCCAGGTTGCGTAGCTTGATGATGAATGAGAATTTATCGTACGAAACGCCGTCCTCCATGTAGCGGAAAATATGGTTGGAGGAGATGTAATTGGCGTTATCGATCTCGATGAAGCTGTTCCAATCGTCAAAGGTCAGCTTAATAAGGATCTTTTTTTCGTATCCCAAATTGCGAACATAAACAAACCCTATAAGAGAGTCTTTTGTGGAGTTTAGTTTTAAACTCTCTAGAATGATCGGCTTATCGGAGTTGAACTTGCTGAAGTTCACAACGTTCGAAGTGTGCGGAACATCGTTGTGTAGGATTTCCCAGTACTCGCTGAGGTAATCCGTCGTGTTGTCAAGGTCTTCCTCATCAGAAGAGGAGAAATCCCACGAAGGGCGCAAAGAGGGAGATGACACTGGAGAGCCCACCGGAGACGCCTCCGCGGAAACCGCCGTTGGTTTCTCAAGCTTGTCGAAAAATTTGATGTCCTCTAGTCTGTTGGCAAACCTCACGGATTTGGCGTTCGGCATCGAGCTGGATCGTTTAAGCGACGGCAGCTTCAGAGAGGACTTGACCAGCTCCCCGGACTTCTTCCGCAGTAAGCTAGGCTTTAGTTCTGTGATGGTTGAGATGGAAGAGCTTGAGGCGTCTTCATGCTGAAATACAACTGTCTGATTATCGTCATTGTCCAACTCGCCTTCGTGACCGGCAGAAGACGGTATTATGTCTGTGACAGAACTTGTGCTAGAAACTGTGGAAAGAGGGGTTGAGATGGAAAGTGTCTCTTCCGGTGAGGTGGTTATGCTGGAACTTCTGGAGACAGTCGAAGACCGGTGGGTTTCAGCCAGCTTGTCATTCAGGTAGGCAAGGTTATTAGTGGTGAGAGGGGCTGTATCAAAGGATCTAGGGCCCAAATATGGCATATGAGAAGCACAGGTGTCGACGGAGTATAACCTTGATAGCGATAGTCCTTTGGATGAGGCACAGGGGAAAAATGGGAGTATTTAAATCAGTGGCGAAGTGATGCAGCGTGCGATTTATTGGCAAATGTAGCGTTATAAAATGATTAAGAGCATCAAAGTGCATATCAGCTGCAGGCAAAGCAAACAATCTCCTCTTTTGTTTCTTTTAAGTCTCTCAAATCGGGACGCGCTATTATATTATCCCCAACAGACAGCAATGGTGGCGAAAAAATATTGAGCTGGGGAGAAGAGCCATCACCATGAGTTCCTTTTGGGGCTGTGAAATCCGGATCCTGATTTATTTTAAAAGGAGTGCAGACGCGCATAGCAGAAACGGGGGCTTCGGTGGTTGTGACACTTCACACGCGATACCCGATCTGATACAAAAAAAATTTCAGGTTGCTTTGCAGCAGACACGCTGAGGATCGACAATCGAAAGGGGCAAGGCGCTTTTGGCATATGAACTGAAACTGACATACAAAGGCTTGAGATGACATTCCGCTGTTTGCAAATTAATCAGTACACATGTCGCCTTTGTACCCCGGTCGTGGGGGCATTATTCGCTCACCTCGATCACCAGGTGGTTTGATCCTGATGTGAAAGGTAGCGCAGAGGTATTTTCGGTAAGATTTTTTTTTTTTTGCTGTGCCGAACTGTGGAAAGATCGGATGAGAATTCGCCCCACTTGTCCCTCACGATAGTTTTTTGCGCTCGAGGCATATACCCAACGCAGGATCCGATGATCACACACTGTGCGCCGAGGCCAGTTTTGGACCCACAAGACGAGGTGTGGTCGAACAAATGAGCGTGGGGTACATGCCTGACTCCACACCAAAGGTTCTGGGCACCCAACAAAATGCTCCCTCTGCAGCTGGTGCAAATGTTGCCAGTGTTGGGACTCCGATCGGAATTTTAGATCGGGCAGCCGAACAGCCTGACACAGCCGAGCACAGCCTCAAACTTGATAGCGGAGATAGGAACTAAGAATTAGTAAGAGCCGAGAGCCGGGTAACATTTTAAAGTTTTAGTGAGGGCGCGCTAAAAACCCCAAGTGCGCATGGAAACCCTTGCACCGCTCCCCTATCGGGCAAAAATGGTGCTAGCCACCCTGCTACAAAATTAAGTTTTATTATTTCGTTCCTCATTGGGAATAGCCCATTTCCCTACTTGCACTAGCTCTGCCGAAGACGGCAAGCCAGAGCTAGCCACCCAAGCTATAAATATGGCTGGTTGCAGCCTTCTGACACAGTTCGCTCAAATTATACTAACTACAGTCACTCCTTATGCTGTTGAACACCCCTGCTTTGTATTTGTTGCTAGTCTCAGCTATGGGACTCCCGGTATTTTTCAAGCGTCAGCCGGGAACTTTGGAAAGCACGATCACCACCACTATCGACGGAAAGGCCGTCACCATGCTGCAAAAGGTTTACACCAGCACGGACCAGCCTGCGCAGACCAGTGTGGTGATGACGACCCTGAAGACCTCGTACGAGGTCCCTATTTCTGCCACGGAGACCAGTGATACCAGCGTTACTTCCTCTTCCACTTCTTCTTCTTCGTCTACCTCAACTTCCACTTCCAAGTCTTCTTCTTCCTCCACTTCTTCTACCACTTCCTCTTCCTCTTCCACTGCTACCACTTCCAGTGCTGAATCTGACGACGACAGCTCTGCAAGCACCGCGGATCTCGTTCTGTCTGCCAACGTGGAGAAGACCAGCAGCTCTACGACGTCCAGCTCGGCCACCACCAGCCCCTCCAGCTCCAGCCCCGTCAGTGTTGCCAGTTCGACGGTTTCCGTCTCGTCCAGCACCGTCACCCCCTCGGTCACGACGATGCCCTCGGCCTCGTTCACTTCCTTTACCCCGTACGCCACAGAGACGACCGACGGCACTTGCTATGTGTTCTACGAGAACGGCGATGCGTACGACAGTTTCTCTCCAACCACGACGCAGACGTTGACTGTCACCGTTGCTACCGTGACATTAAGCACTACAGTGTAACGCGAAAAAAAAAAATAATAAATAATAATAAATAAACATGTTTTCCGAACTGGAGCTCGAGTACGATAAATTCAACGGCTCGGTCGCCGATCTCGCCGACCGGGCTGCCGACGAAACAATGGATTCCATGACCTGCGAAACAACCAACGAAACCGAGATCTCGTCCGAAAGCATCCTGGTTGTTCCAAAAAATAGAGACCCGAACGCCTACCCCGTGAGGATCTCGTCGCACTTCACCGCCAGCAAAAGAGTGCCAACGCCGGAGGAGCACCAGCTGGACGATCTGGCCAAGTCCAAGGATGACCTGGCCACCAAGGTGTTCAAGATCGGCAAGGAAATCGCTTTCCTCGAGACCATCATGCCCAAAATGGAGAGAAGCGTCGAGCTCGACAAACTGGAGTATGCCAAGGGCAAGCTCGAGGAGAAGAGAGAAGAGCTGCAAAGACAACAGTACACCCTGAGCATCAAAATCAACAGACTCGAAAAAAAGATCTTTGGCGCACAGGGAAGCAAAGCAGACTACTGGGTCAGAGGAGTCAGCAGCTAGTCGGACAATCTATGTACACTATGTAATATACGAGCAATATACGAGCAATACACGAGCAATACACGAGCATCACACATCATCGCTACCTCCCTTTTTGGCAACACCGCGACCCTCCAGCAGCACCCCGTCGCGGCTATACAGGTCCATGTCCACATGCTGTCTCTTGCCGTTCTCGAAAACATGACACCCGTACACCTCGGCATATGGAGGAGTGTACAAATGCAGACTGATAGCCACCTTATCTGTTCTGTTTGTGATTCTATGGAGCCCGATAGTGTCCTCTATGTGGGCCACGTCGTCCGCGCGGTACGTGCTTGTTTTGATGGGCTCCAAAGACTCGCCGTCAAAGAGCTCCTCGGTGAGTTCGCCACTCAGAATCTTCATCACACAGTGGGCGCCCGCATGGTCATGAATGGCCGACCCGCGGCCTGGATTCCACACCAGCAGCAGCAGGTTGCCGTTGGGACCAAAATTCTCCACGCCGTTCCGGGTGTATGCGATGCTTTTGTCCTCAAAAGCGTATCTGGCCCAGTCGTCGCGATCTGACTTGTAGCGGGCCATCAGGTGCATCAGGGCTTTGTGGTTGACATCCTTCGTCTCCAAGACGGTTCCTGTGTCTAGTTGTTGTCTGAATAGACGCCGTAACCGATCGAAGTCCAGCTCGTTGTCAATAGTCATGATAAGAAAAAAAAACCGATTCTATCGCTATTTGCCCAAAAAAGAATTGCTAACTCTGAGGATCGAACTCAGGACCTTCAGAACTTCAGTCTGACGCTCTCCCAACTGAGCTAAGTCAGCAATATACTAGTTTGTTGGGGAGCGGTTGAATACAGAGAGTAGACAATAGTGTTAGCTCTCACATTGTTCAACGATTGATTGTTTTGTTTTAAAGTCAAAAAAATGCTTAATGCAGATGGATATTGTTCACCAAATTCTTTAACTCCCATATTTAATTTTGAAGAGAAAAAAACTACATAAATTATTTTTCCACCCTTCTTCTGGTAAGTACCCTGATGACAATCTTTGTTGCTTGATTCGTGAGAGCACGATTTCTCAAAGACTACAACGGTATCTGAGTACTAACAAGCAGAAATGTCATGAAGAGAGCTAAAAACTCGCAGCGGTATAGAGACCCTCTTCCCATAGGGGTGACTGCTCTCAGCCCATTAAGTTGGGCTCTTGCAGCAGCGGCGATGGCCTGGCAGTTTTGGACCTACAGGCCCAAGATTGACGAGAAATTCCGTGTTTATGGGCCAGACATGCTTTTTCTTTGGAACCATGGGTTTTTTGGTAAGGGTGTTCTTTCTCGGAGCGAGCCGACCTGGCTGGAGAGAACTCGGCGCCGGGTTCTGGGCCAGGGCAGTCCGTACACAGACGAGGAGATGGTCGCGCAACGCCGTAAGGCCAGAACCCAATTCAAACAAAAACGCAAGCAGCTCGACGAGCTGGAAAATTTTTATAAGCGGAAAAACGACAAGGCTGGGCTGGAGGAAGTGGAAAAAAAAAGACACGAGCTCACTTTAGAGCAGCCCGAGAGAGTCCAGATCGTTCGTCCAGAAGACACAGAGCTCGTTGTAGGCTCCGATATCCAGCAGCTGGAGTACGTGCAGTTGATGCCTGAGGAGGTGTTATTTTTGCAGCTACTCGACTGTGTGCGCACAAAAACAGACTTTGTTTCTCTCTTTCGGTCGCTGGCGTCCAGAGAGTTTTGCTCGCGGTTCCTGGTTTACTACTACTACCGCACTCTGGGGTGGGTGGTGAAATCGGGACTAAAATTCTCGTGCGATTTTATTTTGTACGAACGCGGTCCTGTGTTCCAGCATTCGCAATATGCTGTGAAGATCGCCACTCCGGGCACCTGGCTCGAGACGTGCTCGATGAGCCGTGTGGTTGGCTCGGTGAAGAAGAGACTGATTTTGGTGTTTGTGAGGCCTCCGCCAGACTTTGACCAGCGTGTCAAGTGTCTCACAGACAAGCGGTCTGTTTTTGCGCTTCTCAACGATTTCATGCTTGACGAGGTCTCCTTCACGCGCTGGTCGGCCGGACGCGAGAGGGAATGATGTGTGTATGTATTAATTCATTGTTTCCAGTGTTTTTGGACCCATTTGCAGTCTCTGACTTCTCCCTTGAAGTCCCGCAGCTCCTTCTTATCCATCTTGGCTATGCACACATAGTTCTTCTTGTCAAGCACGCATTTCTCCTGCGAGTCTGGGAACGGACACGGACAGTCAACAGGGCTAGCCACGCAGGCAAAAGTCTCGGGACACAGGTACTGCGAGCAATCTGTGTTCAGCTGCTTGCTCTGGTAGTCGAACTGATCTGTCGCGCGCTGATGGCCAAAGAAGCTCTGGAAGAAATCACCTTTCACCAGCAAGAAGAAGAAGAAATAAGCCAGCACCGTCATGACAAGTAATAATTTATTTTATTGATTTTACTTTTATTTTTCTACATGGATTCTATCACTGCAGAGGAGTATCTCAACAACCAGCTCCAGCTGGAAAAAGAGGCCCGCCAGCTGATGCCGTACGATCCCAAAGTATGCACGTACTCACTGGGGCCAATCAGACAGCAGATATACGCCTGTTTGACGTGCTCGCGTCAGAATGGCCATCCGGTTGGCGTATGCTACGCGTGCTCCATCCAGTGCCACACGTCGCACGATCTTGTGGAGCTATTTGCAAAAAGATCGTTCACGTGCGACTGCGGGACCAAGAGGACAGAGAAGCACGGCGTTTGCTCTCTAAGAACCGCCATTGGCAAGAAGACCACCATCAACAAGGACCACCTGCCTACTGACATTCCCTCGAGCACCAACGTGTACAACCACAATTACGACGGCACGTTCTGCGATTGTCGCAAAAGATACGACCCTACAGACGACAGCAACATGTTCCAGTGTGCTTTTGGGGACGCGTGCGGAGAAGACTGGTTCCACGAGGAATGCATCATGGGAATGCGGCCCGGGGACGTCAATCGGCGCCAGATCAAGGAAGAGGGCACGAACAAGCTGGAATCACTATCTGAGCCGGGGCTGGATGCACAGGAGGACCAAAAACACAGAGAGTTGCCGGAGATTCTACCCCTGCCAGGGTTTCCTGATCTGGACGACTTTGACACCATTATCTGCTGGAAATGCGTCCAGAAATACAGGAAGGAGATGGAGATTTTTGCAAAAGAGCTGGGGTGCGAGACGATTACCAGAAAGCCGAAAACTGAGCCGGAACAGGCCAAACGAGCCAGGACAGAGCCGTCGTTCACTATTTTCCTAAAAGACAACTTCAAAGACCAGTTACAGAAACTAATCACAGAAAACAAACCCGAAATCAAGCCGCTGATCTCCTTCCTCAAGGTGCACACGTACCTGTACCTCGAGGACTCGGTTTACAAGCCGCCGGAGGACGAGGACGACGACTCGTCGATATTCGAGCTGGGGCTGCGCAACCTCAGCAGATTGCCCGTGGAGAGCGCGATTTCGAGCGTGCACGCGTACGAGAAGGTGAAGAGCAAGCTGACGGAGTTTCTGCGGCCGTTTGCAGAGCAGAACAAGGTCGTCACGGAGGAAGAAATACGCTCGTTTTTCAACGGCATGGAGTGAGGAAAGAAAATGCCAGGGCTGTGCACCAGAAATTATTATTTCTTATCTCTAAATCGCCTTTTTCTTGCTACGCAAACATGTTGGGACTCATTGCGGTAGGCATCGTTTTGGTAGATAAAACCACCAAGAAAATCGACGAGACGCGCGCCCAGAAGCGCAAGAACAGGCTCGTCCGGTACTCGGACTCGATGAACGTCTCGCCGCCACCGTACCTGAAGCTGTCCAAGTTTGTGGGCAGCAGGGAGTTCGGGACGCTGATTCAGACTTCTGTTCCGCGCAGTATCCGCTACATTGAGGTGAATTGCAACCGGCACGTGGAAAACATCAAGTTTGTCACCTATTCCGGCGACACGTACATGTTCGGGTTCTGGAAGCCCATCAAGGATACGTACCGAGTGGAACTAGAAAGAGGAGACAAAATCACAAAGATATACATGAAATTCGGGCAGTATCTGGACAAGATCAAGTTCGTGACGAAACTGGGCGGACAGACCAAGTCCATGGGCAAGTGTCTGGGAGGCAAGTACCTGGAAATCCCCATTGACGAGGATCGGCAGCTGGCTGCAATCAAGGGTATGTACTGCCAACACATCAACGGGATCCAGTTTGTGACGTCCATGTGACGCTGGCGGGTTTGGTCACTGGTATGGCGTTGTGCTGCGGCTTGCGCGGATGCGGCCGACGGTTGCTTTTTCCTTGGCGGCGTTGTCGAGAATTTTGATGTATTTTTCCAGAAACTTGTTTTGACTGGCCAGCGACTGTGTGCGTTTTTTGTACACCTCTGTTTCTCTGTCGAGTTTCGTCTGCTGCAGCTTGCGGAAGTCGCCCTTGCTCTCTGTCTGCGCCGCTTCGAGCTTCTTTTTCGTCTCCATCAGTTTCGACGACATTTCCGCAGCAGCAGACGATTTCTGCTGGTACTCTGCTCGGACAGACTCGTTTTCCGCCATTTCTTTCTGATACTCGGCTTCCACCTGTTTCAATTCGTCTTGTAAGGCAGTAATGGTATTCTGCTGCTCCAGCAGCGCCGACTCTGTAGCTCCGTCCCGTACGCGTTTGGTGTACTCTTCCATGCGCTCTTTGAGCCTCTGGTCCGTCTCCTCAACGGTGCGCAGATCCTTTTCGCATTTTGCAACCTGCTTGGCCAGACTTTCCGCCGCAGTCTTGGTCGTCTGCAATTTTCTAAACCGATCTCCCGTGGCCTCCACAACGGCCTCCAGCTGGGCCTGCCGCTGCGAGTCGTCCTCGTGAATATCGGCAAGGTGTTTGCGCTGCGTGTCGACCGTGAAAAGCAGTTCCTGGTAGCGGTCGTAGATCAATCGGCCAAGTCGTAGCTGGTACTGGTGGTACGTCAGGCTCGCCAACGGAGATTCCTCGAGCTTGAGCTTCTTGGGGTCGTCCTTTGGAGCCAGCGACGGGTTGAAAAATTCGTAGCGGTCCAGACGGTACGGCAACTCAAGCTCCAGGCTCGCCAGCGCTTCCAAAGCGTCGTTATCGCTCACCGTCTCTATTTTTTTGCTCTCCGTGTACGGGTAGCTGCCGTGGCCGTCGAGCCAGTTGACGACGTCTTGCAGCCCCGGACTCTCGGTGGCGGCATTCCTGTTCACCAGCACCAGCTTGGCGAGGTGTTTGGCTCGCTCGTCTCCGGAATACGCGCTGTCAAGCACAAGATCGAAGTATTCGATCCCGTTCAGATATACCGGCTTAATGACGGGAATCGCAAGATTCTGGGCCAGCTGCGCGTCCAGCGAGATCACCAGGTCGCTGCGCAGCTCCTCGAACCGTGCCAGACTCTGCAATTGGTTGGACAAAATCAGGTACACGCTCACAACGCGATTTTTCTGCTGCTCGATCTTATGGTGCAGTGGACTGTTCTTGGAGATCCGCGGCGTGTAGTCGTCTGTGCCGTTACTCTTGCCGTTGGCGGCTGCTACCTGCGGCAACGGCATAGCCGGATTGCTCAGTTCTTGCTTGTTGAAGTCGAACGAGCCGTGGTTGTCGTAATAGAGCGAGGAGCCACTGAATCTGTAGTACTGGAGATCCCGCTTGCCTATCAAGATTCCCTCGATCAGGTCCAGCTCGCGCGAGCTTGCGGCAGTCAAAATCACCGTGCGCGGCTGCTTTTGCGCGGCAAGCCGGCTCAGAAAGTCGTCGATACAGACGTACTTTGCAGAGGACCGTTTGAGGTTGTGTTTGGGGTTCATCAACACCATGTTCCTGGACATAAAATGGTCCACAAGCAGACTGGAGTGGTTGGCGACCTGTTTCAGATTGGCCAGGAACAGCTCAAGCATGGCCGAGCTGCTCAGAGAGTCAGAATCCACCTCGTCCATTGCCTGTCCCGTAAATAGCTTCTCTAGGTACGGCCGGTGCAATTTGATGAGCAACTCGGTCAGCTCTTTCTGAATGGGCGTCTGCTGGATGGGAAACAAGAGCGGCGCCGCAAACGCAGGCACGGACGCCACGCCAGGCTGGCGATCGACCAGGGTGCCAAGATCCATTGTATTTACAGACTATGTACAAAAATTAAATTTTGTGGCTCGAGCCGGAACGCGCGCCGATCGACGCGGTGCTACCATTTATTGAACATGTCTCTGTACGACAGCATGCCTGCGCAGCCGGCGAGCTCGTACAGCTTGTCTGCGCGGGGCATCCACTCGCCGATGTTCTGCATTCTGCGCTCGCTCTTTGGGTGCGTGCTCAGCAGCTCCGGGACGATCTGGCCGCTGCGGCGCTCGTACTGCACCATGCGGTTCCAGAACCGCGGCGACTCGTGCGGGTTGTAGCACGCGAGCGACATCAGCATCAGGCCAATGTAGTCGGCCTCGGTCTCCATTGCGCGCGAGTTCGGGCTCTCAAACAGAATGTTGGACAGCACAGAGTTGAACGACGAGGGCCCGAAAACCGTGTTCATCAGCACCGCAGCGGCCGTGTACAGCGGGGCCGCCGAAAGCCGCTCTCTGATGTGGTGCGCAAGCAGATGGCCCAGCTCGTGTGCCAGGACGGTCGCCAGCTCGTCGTCGGTCGGCGTCATCTGCATGATCGACCGGAACACAAACACCTTGCCGTCGCCGATGACAAAGGCGTTTGGCGTCGGCCTGCCGGCAACCCGGTTCACGTCGTCGATCACGTGGATCTTCCACTCGATCGCCGGCAACGTGTGTGTCTTGAGGTCTGCAAACAAGTTCGCCCGCTCGCCCGTGTCAGGGTCGATGTAGTTCTCGGCCGCCTTTATCAAGCGGGCCATGATGGCCTTGACTCTGAGCGTTGCCGGGTGGCTGGCCGGCAGGATGGCCCCGTGGTACTGGTTGATCAGCGCCTTGTAGCTGGAATTTGCAGACCACAGCTCCATCCACGCCGGCGCAATCATCAGTCGCGAGCGGTGGGTCACGGGGGCCTGTTCTATGTGGGTGGCGACAAGCACAGCGAGCCCTGCGCCGGCGATGGTCAGATTGCGACGGCCTGTGGGCGTCAGTTCAAACGTCCATCCCGTTCGCGTTATTCTGTCGCCGAAATGCCGGTAAGTGGCGTAGAACCGAGTGAACCGTTTGAACATGGTTTGTTAAAAATATAGCGACTCCAGATTTTTTCATGTTTGCGGACGATCGTCTGGTAAATAAAAAATAAAAATTAGTATATTTGATCCAGCTTATGTCTGACGTCTCTCCGACGCACCCGCTCGTGCTTCTGTACGGTTTCGGCACCGCGTCGGCCCTCATCACCGGATACACGCTCTACTCGCGCAACCTTCGCCGGATCAACGTCGCCACCGACATCCCGTCGTACATGTTTCGAAGAAGGTATTTGTTTGGCAAGGTCACCTCCGTCGGCGACGGCGACAACTTCCACATGTTTCACCTGCCGGGAGGACGCCTGTGTGGCTGGGGATGGCTCCGGAAAATTCCAGAGATCAACACCTTCCGCAAACTGAAAAATAGAACCATCCACGTTCGTCTTTGCGGCGTGGACGCTCCGGAAAGATCGCATTTCGGCAAGCCTGCGCAGCCGTACAGCGAGGAGGCGTTGCAGTGGCTGCGCAACTACATTCTGGGGCGAAAACTGTATGTCAAACCGCTGAGTCTGGACCAGTACAACCGGGTGGTTGCAAAAGTGATGGTGCTGAAATGGAACGGGTTCCGCGACGTGAGCGAGGAGATGATCAAGAACGGGATCGGCACGGTTTACGAGGCGAAGCAGGGCGTCGAGTTCGACGGCAAGGAGGCGCTCTATCTGGCGTGGGAAAAGTACGCCAAGCGCGAGAAACGGGGCCTCTGGAAGGACAAGAACAAAAAAAGCTTCGTTAGCCCAAGAGAATACAAACGCATGTACAACTAAGCTAGCACTTGACGTCGACGCCGCGGCGTTTTTCCTCCTCGCGCCACTCAAACATCACCTGCACAGCAATCCACAGACACACGCTGCTCAGCACGAAAAACACCCAGCCGTCCACGGTGGTGAACATGTCTTTCAGCAGCAGCGTCAGGCCGTCTTTGCCGAGACAGAAGCCAAACAGATTGGCCAGCATCATCATCCAGATGTTGATGATGGCCCCCACGCCACACAGGTGTCTGAACCACCATTTATTTTCGTACGGTTTGGCTAGCTGGGTGGCCAGCATCTCCGGTAGCAAAAAAAGCACAATCAGCCACCCCCAGATCAGCAGTCGCAGCTCGATATCGTGCCAGATCGCCACAAACGTGAACACCGCAAACGACGCCACGATCCTGCTCTTCGAGCCGCCCAGCGGCACATACACATACCGCACGACCCATTTGTTGTACGAGCGGTGCCATGCCCGCCAGAACTGCATTGTGGAGTAATTGTTGTCGACGCAGCGGATCATGTTCTCTGGCGGGTCGATGCCGTCACAGAGAGCCCAGAACCTGAACGTCCGCCAGGGAATCAGAAGCTTGAGCCATATAATATTCAGGTTGAAAAGCCCAATCATCGAGATCTCGAACGGAGTGTCGCCGTCCCAGGCTTTTGCTTTAGACACAGCAACCACATATATGTAATGCAGAATGAACTCCATCAGCATGATACAGCACACAAGCAGCAGGCCGTACGTCGCGGTCCGTTTCCAGGTGATCGAGCTCAGCGGGCGCCGTGTCTGGTAGATGTAGTCGTTGAAAGTGAGGATGGGGCCTGCGATGAACAACGGGGTGTAGAAAACATAGGCAAAGTAGTGCAGCAGAGAGTAGTCTTTGTCCTCCAGGGGGCAGTTTTGTCTTTGTCTCTCGTCCAGCTCGCCGACGCCCTTGGCTTCCTTGTCTTTTTTCGGCTCTCTCCAGAGATAGTCCAGATTGAAACTCAAAAGCCTGAGCAGTGTGAAGTTGAAAAACACGTCCCATCTAGCAACCAGGCCCTTGAAAGAGTCCATGAACGCCAATGACGGCGACAGCTCGCCGAACTTGATAGTTCTGTACCTGTCGTTGAGGAACAGCGTGGCCAGCCCGTAGGTCCAGAGAAGAGCCATGCTCAGCTTTCTGTTGGGGACACGGCCAAACGCGTACATGACCATGGCATGGAACAGGATCCGCAGACAATTGAAGCCGTGGGCGCCGAACAGGAACAGAAGCCCGAAAACAGCGTCGAACACCACTTTTTCCGTGCCCAGACTCAGAAACAGCCTCTTCAGAACTAGATGGAACACCATCAGCGCCGCGATCATTGGCACGTTGTCTCTGAAAAACCGGTACTGGCTGTCGCTGTTGTCGACTTTTCTGCCAAATAGCCAGCCGTCGCTCAGAATGCGCTCGTAGCGGTAGTAATTGGGGTTCGTCTCGTTGCTGGCCTCCATGGCGGTCTTGACCATCAATGGGACAACCACGAGGAACGCCACGGCGTAGAGCTTGAACTCGAAGCTCTTCCACCGCGAGGGGCCTGCTCGTTTGATGATTTCGGCTTTCTTTTTGGGATTGGCCGGCGCACAAAGCCGCGCGTCCAGCGTTTCCAGCGAGAGAAACTTGTAGATGTAAGAGATCATAAATAAATAAAATAATTTGGGAATTTATTTATTTAACCACCATGGACGATTTCGAAAGACGGCCCAATCCGCCCGGCTGGGTTCCGCCCAAGGCGCCGTACAACCCCTACGACCCGTCGGACCTGCGCCCGGCCAAGGGATACCCCAGCGAGTTCAGCACGCCTGGCAAGCTGAAGGAGAACTCGGGCACCTTGGCTCAAGATGTGGGGGATTTTTCGAAATTGAGGATTGACATGAAAAAGCTGCAGTATTTCCCACGGCCGGCCTCTGAGCTGTATCCCGGAAGGTACAAGGTTCTTCGCCGCGTGAACTACACAAGCAAGTTCGAAAGAGGGGCCAGAATGACAGGAATATCGCTGATGGTGGGGTTTACCGTGCTAGGCGTGTTCTTCTTCAGATGGAACGACTACGACCACGTTCTGGCACCCTTCAGGCGCATGCAGCTCCGTGCAAAGGAGTGGATTTTGGGCGAGCTGGACGATCAGGACTATAGAGACCTGTATCACTACGATAGGGCCAGAACCATCCCCCAGAAACCGCTGCCGTCGATCGTGTACGAGAAAAATCAGGAAAACGAGCTCGTGCATGCGCAGGACGGCAACGAGTTTGTCAAAGACCGGTTCGGAGTCAAACACGTGGTGCAGGCAGAAAAAGTGAGACAGAGTAGAGAAGAGACCTTGATGAGGGCGCTGGACACGGCGCAGGCAGAGCTGGAGACGCGCCAGGAAGGGACAGAACGGAAAAAGTGGTGGAAATGGAGCTGACGCTTTCCTAGCCCCTGCGCTTTTTCAACAATACCTTTCACATTTATTCACCTATTTACAATAGCTTATTTGTTGATGCCTCTCTTCTCGAGGAAGTCCTTCGCCTCGTTGATCTTGGTGGCCAGGAATGGCGACCCTCCTTTATCCGGGTGGTTCAGTAACATAATTCTTCTGTGGTTTTCCTTCAGTTTGGCCTTCGTCAGCGTGCTTTCCTTGAGATCCAGTATCCTCAGAGCCTCCTTGGCGTTCATTTTCGGATCAAAGCCTCCTTTGTAGAATTTGGACGCTCCCGCAGAGCTGAACTTCTTGTACATTCCCGCGGCAACGTAAGCGGCAGCAAACGCACCAACACCAGTTATCACAGGGTGTTCAGACATATATTCGGAGGCGGCATTAAAGTACTGTTCGGTGGTCGAAACGGACGGTTTTGGAGGCTGAAGAGAGATCTGGGACGGAATGTTGTGGCTGTCGGACTCCTCTCCCGGAACCGGAAGCGAGGGTATACTGATGTTTTGTATGTTGGACATGGAGGCTTCGATAATTTTTCCAGAGAAAAAAATGAAGAATGGGCCATCGACACATGATCTGTATCACCTGCCCGTACAGGGAAAATCAAATTTTTTTTTTTGGAATATTTTTTTTTTATCACGACCATGAGAATCTACTCCTGTCACTTCTGTTCATCGCCGGTGTACCCCGGCCACGGGATCATGTTTGTGCGGAACGATGCCAAGGAATTCCGCTTCTGTCGCTCGAAGTGCCACAAGGCGTTCAAACAGAAGAGAAACCCAAGAAAACTCAGGTGGACAAAGGCTTTCAGAAAGGCTGCCGGAAAAGAGCTCGCAGTCGACTCCACGCTCACCTTTGCAAGCAGACGCAATGTTCCGGTGCGCTACAACAGAGATCTTGTTGCTACGACGCTCAAGGCCATGTCGAGAATCGAGGAGATCAGACAGAAGAGAGAGAGAGCGTTCTACAAGAACAGAATGAGAGGAAACAAGGAGAGACAGCTTGCTGCCGACAGAAAGCTCGTGGAGGAGAACCAGGAACTGCTGAGAATGAGAGAAGTCGAGCTCAGAATCAAGGCAGAGAAGGAGGCCGCCAAGGCACAGAGAGAACAGGAGGAAGACGAGATGGACGAGGACGAGGACATGGAGATGGAGAGCGAAGAGAGCGAGGCGGAAGAACAAGCGCAAAAGATCCTGCTCAAGAACAAACGCAAAACCAAGGTCAAATTCTAATCACAATCAAGGCGGTGCTCAGATAAGTATAGGTTGTACGAAAAATAAAATATTTCAGCTATGTCGATATGGGTAAACTGGTTGTGGACATGAGCAAGCTGCGGCTCGTTGTTTTGGAGGATTCCAGACCGGCGTATTTGCGGCTTCTTGGCCAGACGCTTGGCTACGACGAGGAGACCGGGTTTTTGCGCATTGGCAATCTCGTTCCAGCTGACGGGAGCGAAACGTACATTCCGGACCTACAGGTGGATATGAGCAAGATTGTCTCGCGGATGCCGCTGAACAACCCGGCGTTGGAGCCCGGGGCGATCGTGAACGTGGAGGTCGCGTTCAGCGGGCTGCAATCGCCGATTCTGGCGCTCGATCTCTACGAAGTCAAGGACGGCAGTATTGTTAACAATCGCATGGACCTATTAATGCAGATGGACAACGTTCACTGATCGACCCCCGGGTTGGCGAAAAACTGCTCCCAGATGCTCTCTGTGGGCACCTGGAAGATCATCTTGTAGATTTTCTGGCCCTCTTTGGACAGTCTGCGGTCGACGTTCTGGTCGTACGCCATATCTGACGGAGACTTCAGCTGGAGCGGCGACTCGCCCGAGGGGCCCAGACGCGCCGCCTTGGCCGGCGAATGGATGTCGCTGGGCGAGCGGCTGGACGGCATGGACTCCAGCTTGTTCAGTTCCTCGAAGAAAGTCGTCAGCTCCGACTCGTTCGTGGCCGGCTCGTACGGTTTTGACGGCGGAGCCGCAAAATCTGGGCCGCCGCCCAGGCTGCGCATGGTGGCAGGCAGACTGGAGACCAGGTCCTTGAGGTGCTCGTTCACGTGGTTGCCCGGCTGGAACTGTTTGATCTGCTCTGTGGACGGCAGGTTGACGGCTACCGGGTCGACGAAGTTGGCGTAGCGGATGCGGATGACGGCCGCCGTGAGCAGGTCGAAAATGTCCCGGCATTGCACTGCGGCCTCGCACTTGCCAGAGAGCCCCGACAGCACGATACTGCAATACATGGCTGCCGTCTGCAGCTCTTCCACGGAGATGCGCTGTTTGGCCTCTTCGCAGTTGAATATGGCGTACAAGAAGGACGATCCCGCCATGAACAGGTTGTGCGTGGCCGCCCACGTGTAGTTGATCACCTGGCTCTGGTACAGCTCGTAGTACGAATAGATAATATCCTTGGAGGCCTCGAGCACGTTCATGTAATTCTCGAGCGTGAGCGAAAAACTTCGCGGCGACAGACCGTTGAGAATTACCTTGGTGTGGCTGTAGTTGAGGATGAAGAACTCGTGGATGAAGTCGCAGTTCATCTTGCGTGGGCTCTGGGGCGTGTCGGCCTTCCACTGGTCGAGTCTGCGGGAGATGTCTGCGTGCCAGTCTTCGAGACTGGCGAATCGCCGGGGCAGCTCTCGTTTGTCGTACAGAATGCTCTGCACCTCGGACTGCAGCCGTCGGATGCGGAACATCGACAGCGACACAAGCTTGTAGGTGGGCATGGTGGACGTTTTTGCGGAGAAGTCGGCCACGGCGGCGTTTCTGGTGATGAACGCGTCGTCGAGCTCGCTCGGGAATGGCACGGAGCAGCTCTCTTCCGGGATGCCGAACGGGCGGCCGAGATAGAAACACACCTGTCTGTCGAGCGAGTAGCAGCACCAGAACAGTCTGCGACGCAGATCGAGCGTGAATGCGTCGAACTTGTAGTCTCCTTCGAAATGGAGGCCGAGGTCGACACACACACGCAGCGCCGAGCCCAGAATATACCAGATACCAGGGACGGCGGGCCTCATGAGCGAGTACAGCGCAAAACACAGGATGCCCTGGAGCGCCTCGAGCCGGTCGTGGGACCCGTAGACGGAGTCGATGTAGAGCATGGCCGCGTTCTTGAAGTTGTCGGAAATATGGTCCGGGTACTTGAGGAGCGTGACGGACGACGAGATGGCAAACACCATGTTCATGAAGAACAGCGGGACGTGGAACTGTGCAGGCACGTCGATCGAGTTGGCGACCTGGACGAGGTCGGCGTTCTTGTTTTTTTCCACCTCCTGGTCGAGGATCTGCGTGTACTGGTGGTACCAGGTGTCTTCCTCTCTGAGCGGCGCAAAGAACTGCGGGTTGATGGTGGTGTAGGTCGACGCGAACGAGACGTCGAGCGGGACGTCGCCGTAGATGGGCTGGAAATAGCGGGCCAGAAACTCCTCTCTGTGGAAGATCGGGAGCTGCGCGTTCGACTGCGCAAAATACACAGACAGCAGGCTGAGGGCCTGCTGTTTCGGCGGCAACAGCGCGATGTTCGACCCGGCAACCGTCTTCTTCAGCACCGAAGGGTCCATGATCGACTGGTCCGAGGTGTGCACCTTGTGGCTCGAGCTGTCCGGGCCGCGCAGGTTCAGCGCCGTCACCATGAGCTTGGAGAACGGGATGCCCGACGACGCGCCCATGAACGAGGGCGGCGCCTTGGAGCCCGACGCGGCGGTCGAGTTCTGGACGCTGTCGATGTAGGAGTCGGATCTGTTGGAGTAGGCCGAGTCGGACGTTTCTGCGGGCGTGGCGCCTTCGAGGCTGCGCAGCCGGGATTCCAGCTCTTCCACGCGGGACTCGAGACTCACCACGTACGAGCGCGGCACCTCGCGGCGGGTCACCGGGTCGATGGACACACACTCGACGTTGGCCTTGGCGCAGCCGGCGCACTTGGGCAGGTCGCTGGTGCACTTCATTTTCTTCTTGCGGCAGCGCACGCACGCTGCTCTGTACAGGTGGAGCGAGGACTTTTTCTCGTCCGAGGGGCCCAGCAGCTGCTCCAAAGACCGTTTCATGAAAGGGAGAGAAGGGAGAGAAAGAGATGAATAAAATTGGTGCGACAGTTATCGACGCGCCGATCGTCCAGAGAGTCGGCTCTTATCAGGACACGGACAGGGCCCTGTGGAACGGCCCTCGTCGACGTCGCCGCGCGCACAATGGGCTCGCCAAGGGCTCAATTGCGTGGGGGAAGAACGTCGCCGGTAGCGAGCAGTCGCCGGCAGCCGCGGCTGGCGCAAAACTGATCCAGCGGCGCTTGCTCCGGCACATTCGGAAAATTATAGCCAAATTAAGCCCAAATTATTTAGCTTCCTTTTATTTGCAATGGCTTTTGATCTGGACACATACCACACGGCGGCGCGCGAAAAATACGAGTCGCTGGCCGCGTGCGCCGTGCTCTACTACGAGCGCCACTCGCTGCTGGAGCTGGCGCGCGATTTCGTGATCCTGTGGTACCTCACCGGCTGGGCCGCTGGTCTGTTGCGCCTGGTGTATGCGTACGGCCCCGTGCGCAGCACCACGATGCTGTACCGGTTCTGGGCGCGGCGGTTCTACCGCGCGGTGCTGAAGCTGCCCATGATGCGCAGAAAAGTCGACTCGGAGGTGCGCGAGGTGAGGAAACAGCTGGAGCACTCGCTGCTGGTCAAGGCCCCAACCTCCTACAACGAGGTGCCCGAGTACGGTCTCACGGAAAAAGAGGTGGTCGACCAGCTGGACGAGCTGAGCCGCCTCAAGGCGGCCAACTGGAAGGACGGCAAGGTGTCTGGCGCGGTGTACCACGGCGGCGACGAGCTGATCGAGCTGCAGTCGCAGGCGTACCACAAGTTTGCCGTGGCCAACCAGCTGCACCCGGACGCGTTTCCCGGGGTCCGCCAGATGGAGGCCGAGGTGGTGTCGATGGTGCTGAGGCTGTTCAATGCGCCGGAATCGGGCTGCGGCACCACCACGTCCGGAGGCACAGAGTCGCTGCTGCTGGCGTGTCTCGCGGCCAGAGAGAAGGCGCGCGCAGAGCGGGGGCTGACACAGTTCGAGATCATCGCGCCCAAGACGGTCCACGCGGCCGTTTTCAAGGCGTCGCAGTACTTCAACATGAAGCTGCATCTCGTCGACCTGGACGAGAACTACACCGGAAATCTGACGCAGATCAGACGGCTCATCAACAAAAACACGTGTCTGCTGGTCGGCTCTGCGCCGAACTTCCCGCACGGCCTCGTCGACAACATCGCCGGGCTGTCGGAGCTGGCCGTCGAGCACCGCATCCCGCTGCACGTGGACTGCTGTCTGGGCTCGTTTGTGATTGCGTACTACCAAAAGGCGTTCCAAAAGGCGCTGGACCCGTTCGACTTCAGACTCCGCGGCGTCACGTCGATCAGCTGCGACACGCACAAGTACGGCTTTGCGCCAAAGGGCTCGTCCATCATCATGTACCGCTCCAACGAGTACAGGAAGTACCAGTACTTCGTCTCCACGGAGTGGGTGGGGGGACTGTATGGTTCCCCCACGCTAGCAGGATCGCGGCCCGGCGCGCTCACCGTGGGCGCCTGGGCCACCATGGTGTACATGGGCGACGACGGCTACACCAAGGCGTGCCAGGATATCATTCTGACGGCGCGCCGGCTCAGACAGACGATCGAGGACGACATTCCAGAGCTCCAGATCATCGGCAACCCGCAGCTCTCGGTGGTGGCTTTCCGCTCCGACAAGCTCAACGTCCACAAGCTCGGCGACATGCTCGGCAAAAAGGGGTGGCATCTCAACGCGCTGCAGAACCCGCCCGCGCTGCACCTGGCTGTCACAAAGCTCACCGTGCCCGCCATCGACACCCTGCTGCTCGACCTCAAGTCCGCCGTCAAGCAGCTCGCGCTCGAGGAAAACGACGTCGAGTCCGACACCGCGCAGCTGTACGGCGTGGCCAACAGTCTGCAGACCGGCTCGGTCGCCGACCAGCTGATCGGCTGTTTTCTGGACACCCTGTACCAGACAGAGCCGACGTTGTAAATACGAGCTGTACAGATTATTTAACTACTATTCTCTAGCTATTTACAAACATCTTGCGTTGCCGCTTTTCGGCCAGATGCGCCACCTCTCGGAGGTTCTTGTGGATGCTGGCGTAGCCGAGTTTTTCGGCCAGGAGCATCAGCTCCTTTAGATGGTAATATGTCCACGAGAAGCGCCGCTGCGAGCTCAGCACCACCTGGTACGCGTCGACGACGTTGTTGGTCTGTGCGAACACCGAAACAATGCCCCTGGCAAACTTGAAGTCCTGCTGGTCCTGTTTCTGCGGACTCAAGCTCTGGAACTCGGGCGTCTTTCTGTACCTGCCGCGCTCGGTCCATATTTTCTGTGCAAACCGCACGTCCTTGTGCACCCGCGCGGCGTGCAGACACACGTTGTACAGTCTGTCGTTGCGTGGGTATTTCAGCGTGGGGGTACCAGCGGCCGGCTGTTCTTGCACTCTCTCGTCCGGCTCCTCCACCGTCACGCCCTGCCCCCTGAAGAACGTGTGCCTGTTCCACAGCTGCTCAAACTCCACCATCGACTCGCCCCTCCACGCAAACACAAGCAAATACGCCTCCAGCACCTCCACGGAAATCTGCTGCGGAAACTTGGCCAGAAAGTACTGCAACAGCGCACGAGCCTCGCTCAGAGCCTGTTTGTCGTCCACGTGCAGCGTCGGCAGAAACGGCGGCGCGTCCGCGTGGAAGCAGAAGTCGCACAGGTCGAACGTGCGCGCGGCAATGCCCCCCACCTGCGGGTTCAGACGGCTCACAGGCACTCGCTGCGCGTCGTAGAAAGCGTACGCGTTGAACAGGTATTTCAGCGCGACCGGCGACGGCGGCACCAGGCGGCCCTCGGCCTTGGTCAGCGTGTCGAACAGCCCCACAAACAGTGCCCTTGACAGGCTCAGGTCGGAGTCCTTGACCGCGAGAGCCATCATCATCTCTATTACACGGGCGTCCATGGGAAAACCTTTGGAATAGTACTCGATAATAAACAGCCACCCTTTCTCGATCAGCTCCCGCCGAGTGGTGCACCCCTTCACCAGCGCGAGATACGTCTCGGGCTCCAGCGGCAGCTCCTTGGCCACCATCTCCTCGTATAGTGCCAATGCATGCTCGACGTTATTATTCAGCACGTCCATCAGGATCACAGACGAATACGTGCGCGACGACGGCGCCGTCGCGAGAGAAAGAAACTTCATCGTGTTGAACGTCTCCAGAACGTGCTCGTATTTGCCCAGCCGCACGTACATCTGCAAAACAGAAGTGTACACCTCCTTGGTAGCCACCAGACCCTCGCTGGAAATCTGCTGCATAAACTTGCGGACGTTGTCGACGTCGGTCAGCTTGCTGTACAGGTTGACCATCACGCTGTAGGTGATGAGGTTCGGCTTGATGTTTTTCGCCTGCAGCTCAGAATACAGCTTCTCGACGATCGGCCTGGCCTGCGTGGCAGAGGCCATATTGTAGCAGCTCATTATAGTGTTGTAGATATGCACGTTCTCGAGAAGCCCGGCAGACATCGCCATGTCGTGGATCTTGGCTACAACAAGCGGCCGCTGCGGCCGCGGGATCTTCGTCACGAACCGCACAACGTCGATCGGCCTGCTACCGGCGAGCCCCGTGGTCTGGTGCAAACGGTCAACCACGGGCACCCAGTTGGCCCCGGCGGCCACAGCAATGTGCTTGACGGTCTGCGGATCGAGCTTTTCGCGGATCGATGGAGGTAGCGCCGTGTGGGGCTCGGCAGGAGGGAATATTGACATGGACTGCGTGCTGGGGCTGTCCTCCAAGAGAAGCGGGTTTTCAGAGGAGTTCGAGGCCATCAGCGCCTCAAACAGCGCGTCTGCCTCCTCGTCGGCTGGATCGTGTGTGCTGTCATCTATGTGCAAATCCTCTATTGTCTTTTTCTGAGCGCCAAGGTCCTGTTTGGTGTTGACGATGCTTTGTACCTGCTGTGTGAATTTTTCTAGATTTTTTATCTGCTCGCTCAGTGAGGAGTCAATTTTCTTCGGATCTGGACGCTGTGGCTTGCGCTTGCGGTGGAAGACCACTGTGCGGACAAAACGCAGCGGAATCCGTCGCGCTCGGGTGACGAATAGCGCCCGATTCAGCATAGCTAGAAGTGAAAAATTTAAAAAGATAATTTTTTTGGGGCACAGCCTTAGATATTATTACATTTTCTTATAGTAAGAGTAAACTCTGCTCCAAAACAGTTCCTCGTCGTCAATGCATATAACAGGGTCCTGGTTGTGAAGGACAAGGTTCAGATTGTTCCATCCAAAATGGTAGTGGAGGAGAATCGTCGTGATGCATGAGTAGAGTAGCTTGTGGTCTGCGTACACCATAAGCAGCGAGATGATCTTGAAAACGATTGGAAGACTGAAATTGTTAAGAATCTTGATGAAAGCATCAAAATTGACGAGGCTCAAGTCGTCCTTGAAACACTTGAGAGCCGACTTGATGTATGAGTGTGATTGAATAGCATTAAATTTCGTGATAAATTCATTCGTGATGACGTGGGTATTCAGATAATACAGGACGCCCAGGGCCCTCGAAAACGTGAAGTCGTTTACCAGCAGCGCCAAGTTCGCATGGTACGTGTTGAACTGCCAGTCCTGCTGTGCAGATGTGATTTTGAGCAGTTGCTCCAGAGACGCCACCAGTTTCGGGCTTCTGTATATGTCTGGATGCCTGCTGATAAACGAGTCCAGATCGAGCTTTCTCGTCGTCGATGGCAAATTAGGAATGTCCGTGCTTGAATGTCTGTACTCTAGGACTTTGACAAATAAGGTGTATCTGACTGTTGGGTCCACCTGAGACCTCCATATGAGTTTCTTGATCTCGGCCAAATTCGAGCCCGAAATCCTTTCCTTACCCGATAAATAAGTGAGTCGCGCGTCTCCTATCATCCTGTCCCGTTCACGCTGCTCTTTCTTCAAACTTTCTCTTTTGCGGTGAAGCCCTTGCTTCTCCACCAGTTTGGAAAATTCTTTTTCGTGCTTAAGCGACTCGTGTTTATTTTTAGGAGGTAACCAGGATGGCCGCGTTATCGTTAGTGAGTCGGCCTTTTCTGCCGATACGAGCTTCGGGTCGTCGAGCTCGTCCACTTTGCTGCTGTACTTGGATCTTCTGTTCATCTCCTGTTCCACGTAGTTTTGTATCGAGTACTCGTAGAAGTTGCTCAGGTCGCGAGCGTCCGGCGAGAGGTTCGAGTATGAGTGGTGTTTTGTGAGGACCGGGCTCGGCAGGTACGTAGGCTCCGTGCGGCTCTTCTTGGCCAGCGCCCCGGGCAACGGGGAAGGCGCAAGTTTGGACGAATCATGCCACGCTTGCTTTAAGATCTGCGAGCCCGACGTTTTGTTTGAGAACTCAAACAGCGACGCGGTCGAATGCAGGGCCATCGGCACATTGAACATGGCCGGCTCTTGTGATATGTCATCGTCTTCCTCCATTTCCTCGTATAGCTTGTACTTTTCCTGCTGAGACAAGGTCTTGCCCACTCGGCCAGCACGCGGCGGAGGAATCTTGTACCGTATTTTGGTGAGCTCTGAGGACGAGGCACTGGTTATCGACGACACTCGCGACGTGGAACCGTTGGAATCGCCGCTTGATTCGCCCGTGGCGAGGTCTTGGCGGGCGCAGTTCAGGACCGAATCGCTAGGCCGTTTTATGCCGAGTGCTGAGAACGAGGGCATACTGTTGGGGGACCGCTGCAAAGTCTGTGGATGAGCAAGTTTGGGTGTCATAGGCACTTCCAAAAAGTCACACTGCTTAGCCATGTTTTGGGTTGTAGAAGCGAGGGACAAGGGGCACACTGGAGGAACAGTATGTAAACAAAAGAGAGAAAAAACTATTATGGAAAAAAACGAAACAGCAGCATGTATATCCAAGCAAGTATTGTATGCGGTGAATAAATATGCCGTATATGTGTTTTTTTTATTGTGCGCGTCGGTAATGTCTAGAAGTGCAGGGTCCGAGTTGGGTGTTTCAGGCGAGTGTGCGTCGGTCTGCACGTCTTGGCTGTCTGAAATGGCCGCTGGAACGCGAGGCGGAACCTCGTGGCACTGAAGATGGCTAGTGGGGATGCTGTTGAACCCCTTTGAGCAGCCAGAAACATCTGTGTGCAGCTTCGCCTGCTGGTTGCAGGGCCTTGAGAATATGTGTGTGGAGCAACAACTGCGACGCGACGCGCCGATCGACCCCACGTGAAAAATAAATACATTTTGTCGATGTGTTGTTAATTCACAAATTTCTGTAATTATGTCTTCTGCTCCAAAACTGTTCAGAGTCATAGGAGGCGCCCAGAACTACGACTGGGGCAAGCTCGGCTCCACGTCTGCGGTCGCGCGGTTCGCCAAGCTCAACGACCCGGAAAACGTCTCCATCGACGAGGAAAAACCCTACGCCGAGCTCTGGATGGGCACTCACCCCTCTGTTCCCACCGTTTCTGCTCAGGACAGAACTCCGCTGAGGGACCTTGTGCGTGCTGCGCCAGAAGAGATGCTTGGCCAAGACATTATCAACAAATTCGGCTCCAGAGAGGGCATTCCCTTCCTGTTTAAGGTGCTTTCGATCCGCAAGGTGCTCTCTATCCAGGCCCATCCAGACAAGGCGCTGGCCAGACAGCTGCACGCGTCCGACCCGAGACACTACCCAGACGACAACCACAAGCCGGAGATGGCCGTTGCGATCACGGATTTCGAGGCGTTCTGTGGATTCAAGCCGCTTGCAGAGATAGATGCACTGCTGCAAAAAACCCCAGAATTCAGAGAGCTCGTTGGCGACGACGTGGTTGCCGAGTTCCACTCCGGAATCGGCTCTGCCGACGCTGCTGGGAAAAAGAAGCTGCTCCAAAAAGTGTTCAGCCGCGTCATGAACAGCCCGGAGTCCAAGTTCGAGCCTCTGGCGGCCAGGCTTGTGGAGAGAACAAAGTCGGACCCACAGCTCTTCGGCGAGACCCTTGCCGACCTCATACAGCGTCTGGACGCGCAGTTCCCTAACGACATCGGCCTGTTCTGCGGCTGTCTGCTGCTCAACCACTGCATTCTGAAGTCGGGCGAGGCCATGTTCCTGGAAGCCAAGGACCCTCACGCCTACATTTCCGGCGATATCATGGAGTGCATGGCTGCTTCCGACAACGTGATCCGTGCCGGGTTCACGCCAAAGTTCAAGGACGTGGAAGTTCTTGTCGACTGCCTAACTTATTCGTTCAATCCTGTTGAAGAGCAGAAACTGAAGCCTACGCCGTTCCCTAGAGGAGCCGGCGTTGCGGAACTGAAGCTGTACGACCCGCCAATTGACGAGTTCAGTGTCTTGCAGACCACGTTCACGAGCGCCGGGTCCGAGACGTTCGACGGTCTGGACGGCCCTTCGCTGCTGATCGTCACCGAAGGCAAGGGAAAGGTCAAGCTGCAAGGCTCCAGCGAGGCTCTGGACGCGTCGACCGGAAACATCTTTTTTGTGGCTCCAAAGGCTGCCATCGAGCTTGTTTCCGAGTCCAAGGACACTTTCACCTCGTACCGTGCATTCTGCGAGGCCTAATTAACATGCAATTATTTATATAACTAATAGATGAATTATTTCACACCAGCACGCTGCGGCGCTGCACAAACCGTTGCAAGTTGCGCTCTTCGATTTGATCCTGCAAATCGTCGCCGTTCAGCCACTCGCTGATGTCCTCAAAGATGCGCGTGCTGATTTCCAGGTCCAGGCTGCGCTCCTCGGCGCGCAGTCTTGCTTCCAGGTCCTCGCACGCCTCCACCAGAACCGCGATCTTGCGCCGCAGCTGGCGCTTCTTGAACTCGACGATCGGCCGCAGCTGCTGCAGTCCCGTGAGTCTACGGATTTCCAGCACTGCGAGTCGTGGAAATCGGTCCATCATTAAAACGCTAGATATGCCTGCGTCGGTGAGTCGCCAGCAGCTGTTCAGACTGAGTCTTTCGAGCTGGTGGCCTTTCTGGTACGCCAGAGACCACAGGACCGCGTCCGAGACGCCGCAGCCGGCCACGCCGAGCGTTTTCAGATTGCAGTTGGCGACAATGTGCGAGATCGACGCGTCGGTCACGAGACTGCCCTTGGTGTGCCGGCCGCAGTTGAGCGTCTCCAAGTTCGGGCAGTGTGTTCCAATTGCGTACAGCCCGGCGTCCGTGATGTGCTCGCACGCCCGCAGGTCCAGATGGACCAGGTTCGGCATCAGCGGCGCGATCTGTTGCAGATAAACGTCGTCGACTGCTTTGGAGCCCGGGAGCACCAGCTTTTTCAGCTTCGCGGTGTAGAGGTGTAGCGACGGAAGCAGTCGGGGGCAGATGTAGAACTCGAGCCACTCGAGGTTGACGGGGTTGATGTGCAGGCCGGCCAGATGGTGTTGCTGTGTGGACTTGAGTTTGTGCAAAACGAATGATTTGGGGGCGGCGGTGCGCGGCGGAGAGTAGTTCATTAGTTTGTGGTCCGCGTCGAAATACAGGTTCTCCTGCAGGACTTCGAGGGTCAGCGAGTGCCAGAGCTTGTTGACCAGCAGACAGTTGTGCAGATTGCCCGTTGGCGGGGCCGTGCTGGACGAGGAAAGGGTTCGTTGCCAGACTTTCTCGCCGTGGTCGCCGTGGATGAGTCTGGCGTGGTTCAGCGACATGGGCGGTTTCCGGACCGGGGCGTGCTCGGTCGGGACTCTTTCCTTATCGTCGTGGCCAACGTAGTGCAGAATTAGGCTGACAATCTCCGGGATTTCGAAGATCGGATGCGCGTCGTTGTCTATCGAGAGTTTTTCCACGGTCTCCAGCAACCGGGGCGAAACTGGACTGGTATTAGTGCTGTGGAATGGAGAGAAGAACCTGGTCTTGAGTCTGGTGGGGTGTCGCGGGCTGGTCTTGCGCGACATGATCAGCTGTCGTGCCGACGAAGAGAGCGAGCCCAGAGAACTCAGAGAGGTGGTGGAGGTGCAGGAAGTCATGCTGGCGCCGCTGGAGTAGTCGGACGGGGTGTGGACGCGGAACGAGATGCTGCTGGCTCTTTTCAGAGGCCGATGGTCGACCAGGGACGAGCGTCTTTCTCTGGCCCTGGTCTCATGCACAGGCGAAGGCCCTGGGGTCGAGTCTGGGTATTGCTGGGCCAGATCCCACATGAGGATTTACACGCACTGGACTAAGCAAAAACACAGGCTATATATGACATGGGTCAAATGGCTGGGAGGAGAGAAGGGACCAAAAACGGACGGCTACTAAGGAGAAGAAATGAGCCGCACAGCCGCAGACCAGCCACTTGGGCAAAAGACACCTCCTGGCGGGACAATGAGCTGGAACAATGTCGCGGGCACAGAAACTGGCTGGCCCAGGCCCTGGACGCGACGTGTCGAGCGCTCACAGCCATCTGTCTATCTCTCTGGGTTGGCTGGCAGACGGATGCGTTGAGCACAGGCCAGAACCGAAAAACCGTCGCGCCGGGTAAGTCTGGGGCGGTGTTCTTCCCGCTGAGCTAAGCAAGAGGCAAATAAATGCCAACAAGCAACAAAAGATATACAAACATTTTTGTTGTTGAAGGGTTTAAAAGCGTCCGAACATACCGATGAACAACGAATACGACTACCTTTTCAAGCTGCTGCTTATCGGCGACTCCGGCGTGGGCAAGTCCTGTCTTCTGCTGCGGTTTGCAGAAGATACGTACACCCAGGACTACATATCGACCATCGGAGTGGATTTCAAGATCCGGACGATCGAGCTAGACGGCAAGACGATCAAGTTGCAAATCTGGGACACCGCGGGCCAAGAGAGATTCAGAACCATCACCTCATCGTACTACAGAGGAGCGCACGGGATTATCATTGTGTACGACGTGACGGACCAGGAGTCGTTCAACAACGTGAACCAGTGGCTGCAGGAGATCGACCGATACGCCACCAGCGGCGTCATGAAGCTGCTGGTCGGCAACAAGTGCGATCTGACCGACAAGAAGGTGGTTGACTACGCCGTCGCCAAAGAGTTTGCCGACAGCAGGGGAATCAAGTTTTTGGAGACTTCCGCATCGCAGAGCACCAATGTCGAGCAGGCGTTCATTGTCATGTCCAAGCAGATCAAGTCGCAGATGGCCAACTCGCAACCGGCCTCCAACACCGCAGGCAAGCCCAGTGTCAACCTCAGCGGCACCTCTGTGATCAACCAGCAGGGCGGATGTTGTTAGCGCGGTTCGTTTCCAAGATGTAGCTACGATTCATAATACAGGTGCCAGCACGAAGGAGAGCCTACACATGCTGGAGCGGCTGGCCAAAGTCGGGTAATATGTAGTGATAAATAAATTCATTAAATTTATTTACCTCTGATGGCTGGTGCTTCAGACAAAAAGCAGGCCGCGGCCAACTCGTCTATTCTGCGGCAGCTGCATCTGGCCTCTGTCGTGGTGAATGTGCTCGCTTTACTGGCGCTTTTTCTTTTGCACAGGCCCGCCGCCAGAAAGTACTACTTTATCTTTAGTCTCCCAGGCTTGGGCTGTCAGTATGTGCTCGAGAAGGTGGGCAGGCCCAAATACCACACCAATCCCCAGGGCTACAGCGTTCTGTCTTCTGCCGGGCAGGATCTACAACAACAGGGTCTCACAGAGTACATGATCGACATTGTCTATTTGACACTGATAATTGACGTTTTGATGATACTCTTCGGCTCCAACAAAGTCTGGCTGCTTCTTCTGGCTGTGCCTGCCTACGCTGGATACAAACTGAAGGGTTTCATTGCGCCGTTCTTTGCTCGCAAACAGAAAGAGGAGCAGATAGAGACGGAGCCGGTGAAAAGCAAACGGCAGCAGAAGCTGGAGAACAGAAAGACTAAGGTCAGATATAGGTGAGAACGGAAGGAGTTCAAGGCTGGGTGCCAGATCAGCCCAGCAGTAGAGCCACCTACAGTACATACGCTATTTGAAAAGCCAGGTATCACTGCAACTACTGTAGACAATGCGCGCGTGCAGACGAGATCTGGTCGCGGTGTACAGATGTTGTGTGTTATTTTTCCAGACGTCACGTTACGAGCCCGCAAAGCCCCTTCCGGTGGTCGCGAATATTCCAATCAGCAGGCTCCAGCAGATCGCCTCCATCTTGTTGAGTTGTCCTCTCAGTTTTTATAAAAGTTTTTATTTTACCTTGTTTTGTAAATTAGATCTTTCAATTGGTTGGAATCATCTTAATTGAGTTATAGCAAAATGGACGGAGGTAAGTACTGAGGAAATTCGGTTTTGGGCCCGATTGAAACCAGTGGCAAAGGAGCGGGCAATTTTCAAAATTGTTTGGAGGTCAAATGCCGAAGCGCGGACCCCTGCAGCCCAGATAGTCGGTCTGGCATTCTGGTAGCTTGCGCGGCGGCAAGCGGCCGGCAGTGGCACGCTCAGGCAGTTTTGGTGGCAGTGAGTGTTTTTGTCAATGCGTCACAATTCGCCTCAGGCTGAAACAAACTACCAAAGACGTGTTTGATTGCCCTTGCTCGACCGATCCAGCCGCAGAGTGGAGAATGGGACCCAAAAACCGACCGTTTACATGTTTCTAACACCCTTATAGAAGACGTTGCTGCTGTAAGTACCACGCGGTCCAAAAATGAGGGCTGAAAATTTCAGTCCGAATTGGGCACCGTATATGCAAATCCAAAGTTACTAACAATTTAGTTGGTCATTGATAACGGATCCGGAATGTGTAAGGCCGGCTTTGCCGGTGACGACGCTCCAAGAGCCGTGTTTCCTTCGATTGTCGGAAGACCTAGACACCAGGGTATCATGGTCGGTATGGGTCAAAAGGACTCCTATGTTGGAGACGAGGCCCAATCCAAAAGAGGTATCTTGACTCTGAGATACCCAATCGAGCACGGTATCGTCACCAACTGGGACGACATGGAGAAGATCTGGCACCACACTTTCTACAACGAGTTGAGAGTTGCTCCAGAAGAGCACCCAGTCTTGCTGACTGAGGCTCCAATGAACCCTAAGTCCAACAGAGAAAAGATGACCCAGATTTTGTTCGAGACCTTCAACGTGCCAGCCTTCTACGTTTCGATCCAGGCTGTGCTGTCGTTGTACTCTTCCGGTAGAACGACCGGTATTGTCTTGGACTCTGGTGACGGTGTTACCCACGTTGTTCCGATCTATGCTGGTTTCTCTCTCCCACACGCCATTTTGAGAATCGACTTGGCTGGTAGAGACCTGACTGACTACTTGATGAAGATTCTTTCTGAGAGAGGTTACACGTTCTCCACCACTGCCGAGAGAGAAATCGTCAGAGACATCAAGGAGAAGCTCTGTTACGTTGCTCTTGACTTCGACCAAGAGCTGCAGACCTCTTCCCAGTCTTCTGCCATCGAGAAATCCTACGAGTTGCCTGATGGACAGGTGATCACCATCGGTAACGAGAGATTCAGAGCCCCAGAAGTTCTGTTCCACCCAGGCCCACTTGGACTGGAGGCCGCTGGTATTGACCAAACCACCTACAACTCCATCATCAAGTGTGATGTCGACGTTAGAAAGGAGCTGTACGGTAACATTGTCATGTCTGGTGGTACTACCATGTTCCCAGGTATTGCTGAGAGAATGCAAAAGGAGATTACTGCTTTGGCACCATCTTCGATGAAGGTCAAGATCATCGCTCCACCAGAGAGAAAGTACTCTGTCTGGATCGGTGGTTCCATCTTGGCCTCCTTGTCCACTTTCCAACAGATGTGGATTTCCAAGCAAGAATACGACGAGTCCGGACCATCCATTGTCCACCACAAGTGTTTCTGATTTTGTCGGGTCTATTCTTGCGCCTGTTTTTGTATAAGGAGTGCTGCTTCTCCACTTAGTATAGAATCAAAAAAGATTTGATCTGTCTTCTCTTACACCGTTCTGCGTCGATCGTCCCTCGTTTCTCCAGAAAAAAACTTTTTGTGCGACTCGCTTATCTGGTGCTCTCATTGTTTTTTTTCCAGCCAGCCTTACCACAGCTTTTTTCACGGTTTCCACTAATTCCCCATGTCAGACAAGGTTGCCGTCGCTTCTCCTTGGCAGATCGCCTACCGACAGACGTTCCAGCTGGCCAGGACGCCTCAGTTCTACTGGTTTCTGTCCCATCTCGCCTCTCTCACGTGTCTCATCCTGCACACTGTGGCGGCCACTTTTCGGGGCCCGCACTCGCCAGCTGCTCTCAGGTACTACAATTACTCCATCTCCTCCACCATCGTCACATACCTGATCGTGGTGCGGCAAACGTACCGCGCAAAGCCGGTCTCGCTGATCTTCTCGCAGCCATTGACCCTGCTCAGAGACGACAACGTCCAGTACCTGCTGCTGGCGCTCGTGTTCCGGGTGTTTTCCGCGCGCAGCGGAAACTCCTCCACGCTGTATCCGTTCGCCGTGTTTGCGTTCTTCCACTGTCTGGGCTACTTCAACACCAACGTGATCGGCTTTGTGCCGTTCTTCACCAAAGACCAAAAAACCCGCTACAAGGCCGCCATCGGCCACTTTCTGAAAACGTACAACGAGCAGTCGCTTCTCGTCGCGGCACACATGGAGGTGCTGCTCGTCACGGCGTACGTGCTCCCGCTGCTGAAAATGGTGATTTTCTTGCAACTGCTGCGTCCAGCGTACTTTGTGCGAAACCTGCAGACGCTGGCGCTGCTGGCCGTCGTGGTGGTGTTCAACAAGCTCAGATTCGACCAGTCCAAGTACACCCGCGCGCTGGTGACGCAGTACGACGCGCGCATCGTCCAGACGCTCTCGTTGCCGGTGGTGCCGCCTGCGGTGAGAAACACCGCGTTCGCCCTGCGCCAGACGCTCGTCCACCACCTGTCGCAGATCCAGCTGCCGAGAAAGTGAGACGCGGCAGCACGTAGTCCTGTGTACACTAACCACACCTCGCACCAGCACCCTGGGGCCGTAAAGTCGAGCAGATTAAATTCTCTTGTCTCCATGGTATCGTATCTCGACATCCCCTCGAACGAGGACCCGAGCACGTACGTGTCGTTCCCGCCGTGCACGCATCTGTCGCAGGTGCTGGCGTCGGCCGACGGCGAGGCCGTGCTGAGAACATACAACACCGCCATGAAAATCTGTCTTTTAGCAATGCCTGTGCACGAGGACAGATCGTACCTTGCGCAGGACGGCACCAAGGTCCAGCACGGGCAGCTGGTCCGGCTGCGCTCGCGGATCGTGCGGTGTGCGAGCTGCCACGCCGCGTCCAACGTGTTCCTGTGTCTGCACTGCTCGTTTGTCGGGTGCTATAGACACCGCCATGCGAGCGAGCACGCGAGCGCCCACAACCACGCATTTGGCATCAGTCCGCAGTCTGGCGACCTCATTTGCTGGTCGTGCCAGAGCTTTGTGAGCGACCCGTCGCTCGAACGCATCAGAATCAATCAGATCGTCCTCTCGAAAAAGGTTGCAAACTTCCCCGGGATGCCCATCTTCCAGCACGAGCACGACGCGGAGAAACAGCGGCAGATCGTGGCCGGGTCGCGGGCGCCGTGTTTCCGGGCCTCCACGGGGCTCAAGGGCTTTGTCAACATGGGCTCCACCTGTTTCATGAGCTCTGTTCTACAAACGCTGATCCACAACCCGTTCATCAGGGACTACTTTCTGGCCGGCAGCCACAGCGACTGCGGCAAGATGGGCGCCGAGTGTCTCTCGTGCTCTGTGGCCGACATCTTCCAGGACTTCTACTCGTCGCCCAGCGCGGCCGGCTACGGCCCCGTCTCGCTGCTGACGGCTGCCTGGAAGGTGAAACGGTCGCTGGCCGGGTACTCCGAGCAGGACGCGCACGAGTTCTGGCAGTTTCTGCTCCACCAGCTGCATAAGAACGACACCAAGAAATCCTCATCGTATAAAGAGCACACGCCGGTCCCGGGCGACCACCAGTCGCCGGCGCACGGCTCGTGCAACTGCATTATCCACCGCACCTTTGCCGGCGAGCTGCAGTCCTCCATCAGGTGCAAGGACTGCCGGAACACAACCCTCACCGTCGACCCGATGCTCGATCTGTCGCTGGAGATCCAGGAAAAACACGCAGACGGCTCCAAGACCGCCATCCCGAGTCTGGAGGCCTGTCTGGACATGTTCACGAAACCAGAGCAGCTCGACGCCACCTACAGCTGCTCCGCGTGCCAGAAACAGACCAAGGTCACCAAACAGCTCAAAATCAAGAAACTGCCTCGGACTCTCGGCATCCAGCTCAAACGGTTCGAGCATCTCGCAACGTCCACCAAGATAGACACACACGTGCAGATCCCGCTCTTCCTCAACATGTCCGACTACGTGCTGGGCGGCAACAGGCCGCACTACGGCCAGAACCTGTACGAGCTGTTTGCCGTGGTGTGCCACATCGGGTCCGCCAGCACGGGCCACTACATCTGCATGGTGAAGGCGCGCACGGGGGCGTGGTTCATGTTCAACGACGCTACGGTGACCAAGGTGTCTCAGCAGGACGTTCTCAACTCGCGTGCGTATCTGCTCTACTACATAATCCATGAAATGGCCTAGTCGAAGAAGTCGTCGTCCGACGGTTTGGAGGCTCGCAGCGACTTCTTGACAAACCGCGTCTGGCGCGTCTCTTCCAGGTCCTCGTCCAGTGTGTTGATCGAGAGCCGCGAGTCTGCCTCAGCCACGGCGCCGGCGCTGCACAGCCACGATTCCAGGTCGGCAAGTCTGGTCTGGTTGCCGCCGAGCGGGGCGAGCGTGACGGCCTGTTTGACGACGTCGCCCTTGTGGTAGACGAGCAGCGTCGGGCAGTTGGCCTCGGGGTAGTTTTCGACCGCGCGGTCGGCAGGAATGTCGACAAACTTCACGTCCGGCAGCCGGGGCGCGAGCTGGGCGAGCAAGCTGGCCAGCAGCCGGGACTGCAGCGCGCTCTGGAGCGACATGTGGACCACGACAAAGCAGTCCTGCGACGCGTCGGTCACCTGCTGCTTGTACTCTGGCTTTGTGATCGGGTACACCGAGCCGTACTTGGCACGGGCCGCGAGCCTGTTCATCTCGGCGATGCGTTTCTGTTTGTACTGCTGGAGGAACTCCTCGTCCTCGTCGTCCTCGAGCTCGTCGAGCTCGTCGAGAGTCTTGTTCTCGAGCCTGTTCTCGTGCTGTTTCTGCACGGCCTCTGCCAGGGCCTCCTCGAGCTGTTCCGTGGGGTCCTTCTCTTTCTCCGGGATGATGCCGTGGGCGCGCAGAATGTCATTCCACTCGGTATCCTCGTTGGGATCCACCTGCATTTGGATTTTCGGGTCCACTGGCCTGTTCATCGTCTGTGTCCACCGCCAGGAAAATTGGCAAATTGAAAAAAAAAATAAGTAGTAAAAGAAAATTTAAGTTCATAGTGTTATGTCGATTTTGCTGCGAAAAGGATTTGCGGACGAGTCGCTGGAGCGCGTCCTGGAGGACCTGCTGGTGCGGTTTGTGATCAACTGTCCGCCGGAAGACTTGTCGTCAATTGAGAGGGTCTTCTTCCAAATAGAGGAGGCGCACTGGTTCTACCAGGACTTTGCGCGAGTCATCAACGAATTGCTGCCGCCGATGAAGATGAAACAGTTCACGGCCAAGATAATAGCGCAGTGTCCTGTTGTGTGGCGCTGGGGCGACTCGCAGGACGCCCTGGCGCAGTTCGGCAAGTACAAGTCGTCGATTCCCGTTCGCGGGTGTGCTGTGCTCAACCAGAAGCTGGACAAGGTGTTGCTGGTGAAAGGGGTCGAGTCGTCGTCGTGGGGGTTCCCCAGGGGCAAGATCTCCAAGGACGAGACCGACTTGGACTGTGCATTGCGCGAGCTGGAGGAGGAAACTGGGTTCGACGGCAGAGAGTACATTGACGAGGACGAATACATCGAGCGCACCATTCAGGGCAAAAACTACAAGATATACATTCTGGCTGGCGTGCCGGAAAATACCGAGTTCGAGCCGCGTGTTCGCAACGAAATCAGCGCGATCGCGTGGAAGGAAATCAAGTCGTTGTCGAAACAGGGCAAGAATAATCTATTTCTGGTGAGCTCGATGATGAAACAGCTGCAGAATTTCATCAACAAGAGGAAAAACCAGCAGACAGAGGAGGAGCTCAAAAAACAGGCCACCATCCAGCTCAAGAAGATTTTGGGTGTTGGCCAGCCCCAGGAAAAGTCCGACCCCGGAAGAGACCTGCTCAACATGTTGCAGCAGGTTTCTGCTGGAAAACAGCCTCCAAACGTGCAGCCGCCTTCCATGCCGCTGCCGGGCCACCCTGTGCCGCTGCCTATGCCTGTTGCTCCGTTCCCTATGCCGTTCCCGATGCCGTTCATGATGGCTCCGCACATGCTTCCGCGGTTTCCCTTTCCACCGCCGCCTGCCATGTCTGTGCCGCGTAGCGACCAGAAAAACGAGCTGTTTGCTCCGCCACCTTCGTCGCTCGACAAGCCGCAGATGGTGCTGGCAAACAGGCGTTCTGGAGAGAGTAATAGCAAGGAGCTGCTGAGCATTCTGAAACGTCCCGAGAGAAAGGAAGAGACAGAGGACGCCCCGAAGCCGCGCGGGGGCTTTTTGCAGAACTTGTTCGATAGGTACAAGGGCGAAGAGCCTGCGCAGTTCCCGCGGAAGGTGACGATTCTGAAGCGGCCAAAGGAGGAGCGGGAGCCGGAGCAGGAGAGCTCGGAGAAGCCCGGTGCCAGTTTGCTGGGCCTGTTGCAGCGGAAACCAAGTCCTGCGACGAACGGCAGCTCGGAACTGCTGAACATCCTGAAGAAGCCGGAGCCCAAGACGAAGACGGACTCGGAAGGGTCGAAGGAGCTGCTAGGCCTGTTGACTAAAGAGGAAACGCAGCCAAGGGACGACTCGAAACAGCTGCTGGACTTGTTGAAACCAAAGCCGGCGAACCAGAACGGCTCCAGCGGCTCGGCAGAGCTGCTGGACATGCTCAAAAAGCCTGAACAGCCAGCTCCGCCAGCGCAGACTTCTACTGCCCCCTCTGCGTCGGTTCTGCTGGGAATACTGAACAGAAAAGAAGAACCGCGCGACCCTAGCAAGGGACTTTTGGACGCGATAGTCCCGCCAGCACAGGAGACTCCCGCACAGTCCGGCTCTTCAGGCTCGCACGAGCTGCTGAGCCTGCTCAAACCGGGCAGCTCGCCTGCGCCAACGTCTGCTCCGGAGTCGACCAAAGACGTGCCGAAGCCGTCCCAGGAAGCCGACGAGTACGAGGAGTTCGAGGACTTTGAGGACCTAAACGAGGGGTACGAGAACGTGCGCTCGTCCAACCACTTCAAGACGTATGTGAGCGACGAGGACGAGATATATTTGTGAGTGCACAGCCTGGAAGAAATAATAAATTTTCATGAAACGCGACTCGAAACGGCAGCCCAAGAAAGAGGCCGGCCACGGGCCGCCAGTCCCGGGCAAACCGCCTGTTTTCGCGCCCGACACGCACGGCCGGCGGTACTGGCTGGTCAAGAGCGAGCCAATGCCCCGCGTGGACGCCAAGACGGGCAAGACGGTCAAGTTCTCGATCGCCGACCTGGCGGACGTCGAGCGCGAGCCGTGGGACGGCGTGCGCAACTGGGAGGCGCGCAACTATCTCATCCAGATGGCCAAGGACGATATCTGTCTATTCTACCACTCCAATTGCAAGAACCCGGGGATTGTCGGACTGTGCAGGGTGGCCGAGACGGCCAAGCCGGACGAGTCGCAGTTCGACCCGAAATCGCCCTACTACGACGCCAAGGCGACAAGGGACCAGCCCCGGTGGTGGTGTCCCGCCGTGGCCTTTGTGTGCCTGCTCAACAGAAAGCTGAGTCTTCCGGAGCTGCGCACGGCCAAGGGTCTCGAGGACATGTATCTGCTGAAACGGGGCCGTCTGAGCGTGACTCCAGTGAGCGAAAAGCATTTCTGGCGTCTCATGGAGCTGCAGCAGGGCGACGCCGGCGACGACGCGGAGATGGACTGTGAAACCAAAGGTCTGCGTCGCTACGAGAAAAAATTGATCATATAGACGTGCGATAAATTAATTCCAATTGACCCGGCCATCGAGACTCGTTCTCTCGTACAGGTCGAGCTCAATCAGGCCCGAAAGCTCTGTTTTGAGCGCCTCGAGCTGCTTCGTGCCGCGCGCAACGCTGTCGAGGTCGTTCAGCCGCGCCACGTTCACCAGACACCGCACCTGGTATTTGGGATCCAGTAGCTCCTGCTGCTCTTTCCAATGGTACACCCGGAACACCTCGATGATGACGTCGTTGTAGAAAAAGCGCACACCGCGCACCCAGTACTCTGTCTCGGGCATGTACCCGAGCTCGTCCATGTAGCCCAGAATGTCGTCGGCCTGGACGATGGTTGTCTCGTACAGGTTCTGCACCAGGACAGGGCGTTTTCCCGCGGCAGGAATGTCGGCGATCTGCAGCGTCCAGATATAGTTGTTCCAGCGCGGGCTCTGGAGGTCAGACATGAGCTCGCGGTCGTCTGCGCCGCCCTTTCTGGTCATGCGGATGCGGTACGACTCGATCTGGTTGATTTTGCCGGCTTTCTGCTCCGGTCTGAACGGGAATTTGGGCCGCAGAACCACGGTGTGCTGCTCCATTGGCTGCGGCCGCATCCCTGTGAGAGATTCCAGGGTGATCAGCAGCACGTCTGCCGAGCGGGTCGCCGAGTACAAGGACAGCTGCTGGACCATGTATTAATTAATTTTTTCGATTTAAATTATTTTAATTTTCAAATTATTTTACTTTAATTATTTTTGTACGAATTTTCTCATTCACTACATGTACGTAACTGTTCGTAAAGTCTATCTTCGTGATACTCTAGCCTTTCGTGGCCCTATTACAACACAGGCCTATTACAGCACAGGGGTCCTGATCTTGGCTCTCACAGCCTTGACCTGGGTGTAGCTGTCGAAAGCCTCTGTGCCCATCTCTCTGCCAATGCCGCTCTGCTTGTAGCCACCAAATGGCACCGCGGCGTGGAAGTCGTTGTAGGTGTTGATCCACACGGAACCGGCCTCAAGTCTGTCGGAGACGTAGATGGCCTTGTTGATGTCCTCGGTGTGCACACCAGAGCCCAGACCGAACTCGGAGTCGTTGGCCTTCTCGATGACCTCGTCGACGCTCTTGAACGGCAGAACAACGGCCACCGGCCCGAAGATCTCCTCCTGGGTCAGCTGGCTGTCCTGCGGAACGTCGTAGAACACGGTAGGCTCGACAAAGTAGCCCTTGGAGCCGATTCTGTTGCCTCCTGTGAGCAGCTTGAGGCTCGTCTTCTTTCCGATCTCAATGTACTTGAGCACCTCCTCGAACTGGTCGGGGGTGGACTGGGCGCCCTGGAAAACGCCCTTCTCGAACGAGTTGCCCACCTTCAGCTTCTCGACCGCGGCCTTGAACTTTTGCAGGAAGCCGTTGTACCACTCTGGGTTGGTGGCCTGGATATAAATCCGGGAGCCGGCGCAGCAGACCTCTCCGCCGTTGAAGAAAATACCCGTGATGAGGTTCTGGATGGTCTCGTCGACGTTGCAGTCCTCGAAGACGATGTTCGGCGACTTTCCGCCGAGCTCGAGAGTGACCTTCTTGATGGACTTGGCAGCCTCGGCCATGACACCCTGGCCGACAGACGTGGAGCCGGTGAAGGCGACTTTTTTCACGAGAGGGTGGTGCAGGATGGCGTTGCCGCAGCCCCTGCCGCTGCCAGGCACAACGTTGACGACGCCGGCCGGGAACCCGGCCTCCTTGACCAGCTTGCACACATACAGGTTGGACAATGGAGTGGCGCTAGCCGGCTTGAGCACGACAACGTTGCCTGTGGCTAAAGCCGGGCCGATTTTCCACGCAAACATCATGAGCGGGAAGTTCCACGGGGTAATGGCGCCGCACACCCCGAGTGGTTCCCTTTTGGTGTAGCTCATGTGGGTGAGCCCCGTGTCGATGAGCCGGCCGTCCTTCTTGTCGCAGAAGCCGGCGCAGTATCTCAGGGTGCTGATGACGATGCCGAGGTCGAACGTGGAGCACAGTAGCGACTTGCCGTTGTCGAGCGACTCGATCTGGCTCAGCAGCTCTCTGTCGCGCTCGATGAGATCTGCGAGCCTGTTGAGCAGCTGGGCTCTCTCCGACCCCTCGGTCAATTTCCACTGCTTGAACGCCTTGTACGCGGCCTGCACAGCAGCGTCGACGTCCTCGGCCTCGGCCATCTGGACGTCGCACAAATGCTCCTCGTTCAGCGGAGAGCTGACTTGAAAAGTTTTACCGGACTTAGCAGCGACGAACTCGTTGTTGATGAACAGCCCGGTAGGCTGCTCGTACGACTTGTTGATAAGAGGAAAGGTTAGCTTCTGAACGTGGGCCATTGCGTGTAAACGACGAACGAAAGATAGGCCTCTCATGGTGGCACGGGTCGACTTATATACGGAAAACGCCGTTGGTCCAGAATTTTTAGGACGTGCGCATTTGTCGTGTACTGTTGTCGGATTGCAGGGCGCATTAGTAATAATGTTGCCGACCAGCCAATAAGGTCCTCTGCCCCGGGACTAGACCCGTATAGCCACGCCCGATGGGGGAATGCTGCAACCTGCACCCCGGGTGGAAAACAGGCGCTAGCCGCACCCCCGCGGTGGGGTGCAGGTCACCTCCTCGGACTTCACCCCCAGTTTCCTCCCTCTTACGTCACCGAGCAATCTATTCCGCCTACGTATTTGTCCGTGTCCGCACCGGCCAACCGTGCTCACCGCAGCATCTCGTCCACGTTCTCGTCGCCCCGGTACTGGTGGTACGGCAGCTGCTGGTGCTGCTGCAGCAGCGCAATGTCGTACAGCTGTTCCTGGCCCTGTTGACTGCCCGAGTCGGTCTGCGCGGCGCGCGTCGCCAGCTCGACGATCTCGTTTGTGTCCAGCGGCTCCTGCTTCAGCAGCTTGCTCAGCTCGGTCACGTCGCTCTCCTTCGGCTGCAGCTCGTGGTACTTCCGTCTGCCCTGCACGTCGCCCAGCTGGAACTGCAGCTCCTCGGACCCGTCCTTCTTCCAGTTGAGCGGCGCGTGGTGCTTGTGGTTGTAGCTGAGCTGCACGACCCCGGTCACGAGGTCGTAGTTGAGCGTGATCTTGGAGTCGCACTCCTCTGTCTTGAGCTTGTTCACCACCTGCCGCTTGTTCTCGCTCCGGCTCTTCCGCTGCCGGTACTTGTCCTGCGAGCAGATGTACATCCACGTGATCTTCTTGCTCTTGTTCGGGTTTGGGTCGGCCAGGTTCGGCTTGTGGTGGTCGCGGATCGCAAACTTGAACCCGGTGAGCATCTGCAGCGGCGCAATGTAGTGGTTTACCACCAGCTCCGACATCTCCTTGACGATCTCCTCGGTCAGCTCTTCCCGGCGGTACCGCGGGAACAGCTCTTTGTCGGTGTAGTTTCTGTAGTTGTGCTGGTACAGGTCGATTTGCGTGTTCAGAGACACCTTGTGCTGGTACTGCGCCCAGTCGTCCGACAGGTTCGGCAGCTTCGACAGCGACCGCACTTTTTTCTCCTTCACCTTGCGCTTGTTGCGGCAGTTCACACACGTCTGGTACCGGACAAGCATCTCGGGGTCCTCGTTCAGCCGCTTGACCCGGCACCGCGAGCATTTTTTCACCATGTCGGGCGAGCTGGACGTGCGGGCGCGTTTCTGGCCGCTGCCGTCGCGCGGGGTGTCGGCGTCGAGCTGGTTTTCCGGGATGTAGGGGTAATACTGCTGGCCGTAGTACTGCTGCGAGGAGACAGAGGGCAATTGGTGGTGCTGGAGCGAGCGCAGCTGGTCGTCGACGTCGGCCAGAGTTATTGGGTGGCCCTGCTGCTGGGACTCATTCACGAGGGAGGCGATGCGCGCGTCGGTCTGTGTGGACATATTTCCCCAGATCTTATCAGCCTGAAAAGGATAATCTGACAATTAAGAAAGTGCAAAAAATTGCTGGGTGCTGTAAACAAATGGCATAAAGTGCGTGCGAGTTATGCAAAAAATAATTTATTTCACAGATGGCAAAATCGGACTACGAGAGCGACGAGCTGCTGGACAGCGAAGAGGACTACGAGCTCGAGAGCGAGGACGAGTACGAGGAGTACGGCCAGGACGAGGACGAGGACGAGGTGATCCCGAAACGGCGCGGGCGGCCGCTGGTCGAGGAGGCCGTGGTGCAGGACGTGGGCAAAAGGCGCCGGGCCGCGCCGCGCACGTACAAGGAGCCGACCGAGGACGAGCTGCCGTATTCCGAGGACCTGGACGAGTCGGCCGACGGGTCGAGCCCGTCCACGGACCTTGCGCGGATGACAGAGCGGCAGCGGGCGCGATACATGGAGACGGCCGAGGAGGACAGCGAGCGCCAGGGCAGCGGCGAGCTGCTGGAGCTGACGAACGAGCGCAGCAAGAAAAAACAGTTCACCGAGGAGGAGCTGCAGCTGCGGCGGCTCGAGAACGCGCGAAAGCGCAAGAACTTCACGATGAAGCGGCTCGAGATGGAGAAGCAGGACACATTGAACAAGTTATTGCTCAAGCGGGCAGACAAGGTGCGCAATCTCAAGAACCTCGAGGGCAAGGAGTACGGCGACGAGGAGCCGGCGCCGGCAGAGGCCCCGCGGCGGCCTGTGCTTGTGCACCCTGCGCTGTCGCGCTGGGACTGCAGATTCCGCGAGGGCCAGGTGGTGAGCACGTACTCGTACAATGGATAATAACAGAGAGCATAACCCACAAGTAGCTGCTTCCCCCCACATCCTCCGTGTGGGTGTGTAAAAAATATTCCGGGCTGTGGAATTTTTTTATGGCTCGCCAGATTCTTGCCACCTGTGGGGCGACCGTGTGTTTCGACCGGCTCGTCCAGTACGTACTGGACAAGAGGTTTTTCGCGCTCATACTACGGCTGGGCTACGACCGGCTGGTGGTGCAGTACGGAAAGACCGCCGCCGGCAGAGAATTGGTGGAGAAACTGACGTCCGAGTATACCGTGCGCGACAACGTGTTCACGGTGAACAGGCTCGAGGTGCAATTGCTGGCGTTCGACGCGGACATTGTGGACAACTACACCGCGCAGAGCGAGCTGGTGATTTCTCACGGCGGCACCGGGTCCGTGTTGGACACGTTGCGATGCAACAAAAAGCTTGTCGTGCTGATCAATACAGAGCTCGCAGACAACCACCAGCTCGAGATTGCCGAGGCGTTTGAGCGGGAGGGAATGCTGGAGTACGTGCGTGGGGGGTTTGCTGAGTTTTTGGAGGTGGTGGAGCGGGTCAATTGTCGGGAGTTCGACCGCCTGGCCATTCCGAAGGGCAAGGTTGTGGAAAGAATAATCTGGAACTAACGGAATGGTGCTCCGATCCGGAAGACGATCATAAGGTGCCAACTTGGGTACTTGTCGCTATATAGAGCAGGAAAGAGTTCATTTTTGGGCTCGATTCGTGGAGATCGCCGTTGCCGGACCGAGATACGAGGAGGCTGGTTCACGAGGTTGCGCGCGAATAAATGTACAAGCCTTTGATCCCGCCATAAAAAAAAGAACTAAACACATAACTAAATGTGGTATTTTTTCCCAATCTAGTATTTATTAAATTCAATTTATCCAGAAATGAGCCAATTTAGACGAAAAAGGCATAAAAACAAAGCCGGTTATCCCAGAGTGGGAAATAGCCATCATGGCTTTGTAAACAGATCAAGCCACGATGCACCGCGTCCCGTATCCATGATACGCTCAGATCGGTTCCTGGTATGCATTGGCTGTCTAGTTTCTTCCCACAGCTCGGGAGACGAGCCCCTGTCAAGCATCGTCTTGCCGAAAACCTCCCGATTCCGATTTGTTTGCGGGCACATGACGCGCAAAACCCAATTTCTATGCCGAAGCGAGGCTTTTCGTGGAAATCAGGTCGTGCGCCTCTGGCGTCGGATTCACTAAAAAAAAAACTAGAATTACGTGCATGATGATCTCTATTTTTAGCTCTTCGGGGCACTATAAATTCTAATGGATTCCTCTACCCGAAGCCCAGCTTTCAAACATGAAATTCTCTGCTGCTATCTTCGCTGCTGGTGCCATCGCTGCTTACGTTCCATCTGAACCATGGTCCACCCTGACCCCTTCTGCCACCCTCAAGAGTGCAACCACTGACTACACCAAGACCTTTGGTATTGCCATCAACAAGGTTACTACTACTTCTGGCGCAAAGGCTAAGAGAGACGTTGTCACCCAGATCGGTGACGGCCAAATCCAAGCCACCACTGCTACCGCAACCACTGCTGCTGTTGTGACCCAAATTGGCGACGGCCAAATCCAAGCCACCACCGCCACCTCTACCGCTAAGTCCACCTCGAAGACCACCGCTGCTGTGGTTACCCAGATCGGAGACGGCCAGATCCAGGCTACCACTGCCACCCCAACCTCCAAAACCACCGCTGCCGTCGTGACCCAAATCGGTGATGGCCAGATCCAGGCTACTACCGAGACTTCCGAGGCCGCCAAGACCACCGAGAATGTTGTTTCGCAGATCGGTGACGGCCAGATCCAAGCCACTACCGCTACTTCCGCTCACCAGAGCGTCGTTTCACAAATCAGCGACGGCCAGATTCAGGCTACCACCGCCACCTCCTCCGTCGCATCCCAAATCACCGACGGCCAGGTCCAGGCCTCCAGCACTGCTACTGCTGACGACTCGTCCTCGTCCATCGCTACCTCCTGCAAGAGCGACGAGGCCCTTGCCATGGTCCTGAACGGCGGTATCTTGACCGACGCCAAGGGAAGAATCGGATCGATCGTTGCTAACAGACAATTCCAATTCGACGGACCTCCACCACAAGCAGGTGCTATCTACGCTGCTGGCTGGGCTATTTCCCCAGAAGGTTACCTTGCCATCGGTAACACCACCACTTTCTACCAATGCTTGTCGGGCAACTTCTACAACCTGTACGACGAGTCCATTGGAGGCCAGTGTGAGCCTGTTCACCTCAACATCGTTGACTTGGTCACGTGCTAAACTCGTCGACCAGCATTACTTCTTTTGGTTCTCTCGTCCTATTTTTCGGCATAGCATATACTGTATCCATACTAATTAATGATGCAATAAATTCTTAGGCATAAAAAATAAAAAATAATTAATTGAATAATTCCACAACTCTTTTTACCCGGCCCAGCTGTAATATTGGGAATTTACGGCAAAAAGACAAATCATCAACAACCCTTGTTTCTTCACCCATTGCTAGCAATTCTTCAAACTTGATAGGATTAACTTTTGGAGTATGTCGGAAAACCCTCCAATCGATCTTATTGACGTTTGTCAATTGTCCTCTCTGGGCATCTCTCCGCAATCCTTCAACTTCATGGCAACAACTCTCCAGTCGGACCACTATGTTTGCTGCAGAGAAACGTCAGAAGCGGGCAACTCCGTCGCCATCGTCGACCTGAAAAACAACAACCAAGTCACCAGGAAATCCATGAGCGCCGACTCCGTCATCATGCACCCATCCCAGAACGTCATTGCGTTGAGGGCAAACGGTACCACGCTCCAGATTTTCAATCTCTCCACGAAACAGAGACTCAAGTCCAATATCATGAGCGAGCCGGTGATATTCTGGAGCTGGCTCGATGACTCCACCATTGGCCTCGTCACCGCGTCGTCCATCTACACCTGGGCTGTGTTTGACGGCACAGAAAACGGGCCGGTCCAATTGACCGCTAGACACGTCTCCTTGGCCAACTGCCAGCTGACCAACCTGATCGCCAACTACAACCTCTCGTGGTTTGCGCTTTGTGGTATTGCACAGGAAAACGGAAGAATTGTCGGCCACATCCAGCTCTATTCCAAGGCAAGAAACGTCTCGCAGCCAATTGAGGGCCATGTGTGTGCCTTTGCCAAGTTCAAGCTCCAGAACTCCCCGGTCGACACTCAGCTGTTCGCATGTGCCTCCAGAACGGTCGACGGAGGAAATCTCCATGTTTTGGAGATCGACCACCAGGAAGGCGCCCCAGTGTTCACCAAGAAATCGGCCGATATCTTCTTCCCTGCAGAGATTGCAAACGACTTCCCGGTGGCCATACATGTGTCCAACAAGTACGGTATTGTCTATGTGCTGACCAAATTCGGTTTCATCCACCTGTACGATCTGGAATCCGGCAAAAAGATATTCCTTAACAGAATCTCTTCTGACCCTATTTTCACAGCCTCCAAGTTCGATGAAAGCGCCGGAATAATCGCCGTCAATAGAAGCGGTGCCGTTCTTGCCGTGGAAGTGGCCAACGACAGAATTGTCAACTACATTTTGAAAAACCTAGGCGACGTCGAGCTGGCTTTGAATCTGGCCTCCAGAGCAGGACTTCCCGGAGCAGAGTCTCTTTTCTCGCAGCAGTTCAATCAGACGCTTGCCCAAGGTGACTACGCCTCGGCAGTCAAGATCGCAGCGTCCTCTGTGCAATTGAGAACCCCAGACACCATTTCCAGACTAAAGACACTCCCAACGCCTCCCGGCCAACCTGCTCCTATTCTACAATACCTGGTTTATCTCTTGGACAGAGGCTCCCTGAACAAGTATGAAACTCTCGAACTGGTCAGACCTCTGCTGCAACAAAATAGAATTGAGACGTTGGAGAAGTACCTTAAGGAAGAGAAACTTGACTACTCGGAAGAGCTGGGTGACCTCATCAAACCATACAATACGACTCTGGCTCTGGCTGTGTACTATAAGGCAGAGGTTCCAGCTAAGGTCGTGACGTGTCTTGGAGAGCTGGGCCAATTTGATAAGATTCTTCCGTACTGCGAGAGATCCAACTACCATCCGAACTTTACCGTGCTGATTCAAAACATCTTGAGAGTCAACCCAGATAAGGCTGCCGAGTTTGCCACTCAGCTCTACTCTCAACAGCCAGATCTGGATGTCCAGCAAGTTGCCGACATTTTCCTCTCCCAGAACTACATTCAACAAGGAACAGCATTCCTCTTGGACGCTTTGAAAGAGGATAAGCCTTCTGAAGGACACTTGCAAACCAGATTGCTCGAAGTCAACTTACTACATGCTCCTCAAGTTGCAGACGCAATTCTGGGTAACGCTATGTTTTCTCATTACGATAGACCAACCATCGCCGCTTTGTGTGAGAAGGCAGGTCTCTACCAAAGAGCTTTAGAACACTACGAGAACATCAAGGACATCAAGAGAGTGATTGTCCACTCCAACGTGTTGCCTGTTGACTGGTTGGTTGCATACTTTGGTAAGCTCAATGTTGAACAGTCTGTCGCCTGTTTGAGGGAAATGCTGTCTCAAAACATGGCTCAGAACCTGCAAGTTGTAATTCAAGTCGCCACCAAGTACTCTGAGCTTATTGGTCCATCCACCTTGATCAAGATCTTTGAAGACTTCAAGTGCACTGAGGGTGAGTATTACTACTTGGCCTCGATTGTCAACCTTTCCCAGGACCCTGAAGTCGTTCTAAGATACATCCAGTGTGCCGCCAAATTGGGCCAGGTGAAGGAAATTGAAAGGGTTGTTAGAGAGAATAACGTCTACAATGGAGAAAAGGTCAAGAATTTCCTTAAGGAGGCCAAACTTCAAGACCAGCTGCCTTTGATCGTTGTTTGCGATAGATTCAACTATGTTCATGACTTGATTCTCTATCTGTACAAGAACCACTTCTTCAAATTCATCGAAGTGTACGTTCAGCAGGTGAACCCATCCAAGACTGCGCAGGTTGTTGCTGCTCTTCTTGATGTCGACTGTGATGAGAGCGTGATCAAGTCGCTTTTGCAATCCGTTCTTGGACAAGTTCCAATTGCCGAGCTCTGTGAGGAGGTTGAAAAGAGAAACAGGCTCAAGATTCTGCTTCCGTTCCTAGAGGCCACTTTGCAGTCCGGTTCGACCGACAAGGCTGTCTACGATACTCTGGCCAAAATCTACATCGACTCCAACAATAACCCAGAGAAGTTCTTGGTGGAGAACGACCAGTACGACACCTTGGTTGTGGGTAAGTATTGCGAGAAGAGAGATCCATACCTTGCCTACATTGCGTACGACAAGGGACTGAACGACGACGAGTTGATCAGTATCACCAATGAGAACGCCATGTACAAATACCAGGCCAGATACTTGCTCAAAAGATCAGACTTGGCTCTTTGGGGCAAGGTTCTTTCTGAGGACAACATCCACCGCAGACAAGTCGTTGACCAGGTTGTTGGAACAGCCGTTCCAGAGCTGGAGGATCCAGAGCCAATTTCAATTGCCGTCAAGGCATTCATGGAGAACGACCTGCCAGGCGAGCTGACCGAGCTTTTGGAGAAGATTATTTTGGAGCCATCTCCATTTAGCGACAACCCATCGTTGCAGGCTCTTTTGATCCTGACTGCCATCAAGGTGGACAAGTCTAAAGTCAGCTCCTATATCGAGAAGCTCGATGCCTACGACCCAGACGAGGTTGCTCCGCTGTGTATCGAGAATGGTTTGCAAGAGGAGGCGTTTGAGATCTACGACAAGTTTGAGAGATACACCGATGCAATGAGGGTTCTTCTTGAGGACATTATGTCTCTTGACAGGGGTGAGGACTATGCCGAGAAGCTCGAAAAGCCAGAGCTGTGGTCCCAACTGGGTGCTGCTCAATTGAATGGTTTGAGAATCCCAGAAGCGATCAACTCGTACCTCAAGGCCAACGACCCATCCAACTTCGAGCAGGTCATTGACATTGCTGAGCATGCAGGCAAAGAGGAGGAACTTATTCCTTATTTGTTGATGGCCAGACAGACTCTTAGAGAGCCGAAGATTGACGGAGCAATTATCAACGCTTACGCTGCTCTGGACAAGCTGCCTGAGATTGAAAAGTTCCTGCAGTTGACCAACGTTGCTGATATTGAGAGCATCGGAGACAAGCTGTATGCTAACAAGAATTATCAGGCTGCCAAGCTGCTCTATGCCAACATCTCCAACTATTCGAAGCTGGCATCCACCTTGGTTTACCTCAAAGACTACCAATCTGCTGTTGACTGTGCTAGAAAGGCATCCAATGTGTCTGTCTGGAAGCAAGTCAACCAGGCCTGTATCGACAACAAAGAGTTCAAACTAGCGCAAATGTGTGGTCTGAACTTGATTGTCCATGCAGAGGAGTTGGACGAGCTGGTGAAGCAATACGAATACAACGGTTACTTCAAGGAGTTGATCCAATTGTTTGAAAACGGTCTTTCTTTGGAAAGAGCTCACATGGGTATGTTCACCGAGCTGGCTATCCTGTACACCAAATATAGACCACAGGACACGATGGAGCACTTGAAGCTATTCTGGTCGAGACTGAACATTCCAAAGGTGATCAAGGCGTGTGAGAGCGCGCACCTGTGGCCAGAATTGATCTTCCTTTACTGTCATTACGACGAGTGGGATAACGCTGCTCTGGCCATGATGGAGCGTTCGGAGACTGCGTTTGAGCACTCTTCGTTCAAGGAGATCATCGTCAAGGTTGCCAACCTGGAGATCTACTACAAGGCCATCAACTTCTACCTGAACACACACCCTACCCTTTTGACAGACCTATTAACTGTTCTGACTCCAAGACTGGACCTTCCAAGAGTGATTAAAATCTTTGTCAAGTCCGACAACCTGCCACTCATCAAGCCATTTTTGATCTCCGTGCTGGACAAGAACAACTCCATGGTTAACCAGGCGTACCACGATCTGTTGATTGAGGAGGAGGATTACAAGTCGTTGAGGTCTGTGATCGACGCCCACGACAAGTTTGACCATCTTGGCTTGGCCGAGAGACTGGAGAAGCACGATCTCATTTTCTTCAGACAGATTGCTGCCATTATCTACAGGAACAACAAGAAGTGGAACAAGGCGATCGGTCTGCTCAAGGCCGACAAGCTGTGGGCTGACGCCATTGAGACTGCCGCAATGTCGAACACTGTCAAGGTGGCCACTGATCTGCTGACGTACTTTGTCGATACCGGAAACAAGGAGTGCTTTGTTGCCACCTTGTACGCGTGCTACCACCTGATTCCTCACGATGTCGCGCTGGAGCTGGCATGGCTGCACAACCTGGGCGACTACATCAAGCCATACGAAATCTCTGTTGCCAAAGAGAACCAGGACAGGCTGTCTGAGCTGTATGTCGACCTGAAGCAGAGACAAGCCAAGGAGACCAACTCTGAGGAGGAACAGCCTGCTCTTGGCCAGCGGCTCCTGCTGACCAACGGAACGGGCATCCAGGCTCCACCCGCAATCGGATTCCAGCCTACGGGAGCAGGGTTTGGAAACGGATTTTGAATTTGTAAAGTATACAAAATAAGAATAGAATATGAATTATTCGAGATTGAACACCCCGTTTTTTTTCAGAAAATATTTTTTCTCCGTCACGATACAGTCGATATTTTCGTGCGGCGTCACGTCGAACGACGGGTTCCACACGTCTATGCCAGCCGGCGCCATTCTGACTTTCTGTAGCTGGACGCCGTCTTTGCCCTGGACAAAAGAGCCGTCCTTGTCGACCGCTGCTCCCATAATTTCTGTCAGCTCCTTCTTTGGCCGTTGCTCGATCACGATCTCGTCTCCGGTGTTTCTGGTGAAGTCGATCGTCGTGGTAGGGGCCGCTCCAACGAACTTGATCGACGGGTACAGCGACGCAATCAGCGAGAGCTGGAAAGTGCCGATTTTGTTGGCGAGGTCTCCATTCTTCACTATTCTGTCTGCTCCCACGATGATAAATTTAATTGGGGCCAGGCTTGGCAGCGATCGATCGGTTTTTTGGCGTGCCAGCGAGTCCACCAAAAACGACACCATGTTGTCTGTGATGAGAGAGAACGGAATCTTCTCGTACTGCAGCTCGTACGCGGTCAATCTCGAGCCCTGGTTGTACGGTCTGGTTTCGCAGGCGTACACATGGCTCATTTTGGTCGCGTTGGACTGGGCCTCTTTGTGGAGCGCCCGAATAATACCCAGAGCAGTTCCGTAGCCGGACGTGGCCAGCGAGCCCGTGTTGCAGATGGTCATCACGGAAAAGTCGCCCGTAAAGCCCTCTTTCTCCAGCTCCTCGTAGATGTATTTCACCCCGTTTGCTCCTATGGAGAAGTTCGACTCCAGATCGTCTTTGTACAGCTTGACGGTGAAGTCGAACAGGCCAGAGTAAAGCTCCTTGAGGCTGTGTGCGTCCCGGATGATTTTCTTCATCTCGTTGCAGCCATTGAGCAGGTTGACGGCCGTTGGTCTGGATTGCACCAGAAGGTCTATTCTCTGCTCCAGGAGGGTCTTGAACTCCGCCAGATCGCCTGTGTTGTATCCAAAGGGGTTGTCGTTCTTGTTGATCACCCGGTCCAGCTCCACAACGACGGAAAAACACCCCACAAGCATGATGGCCGGCGCTCCTCTGGTGTACATGCCCTTGATGGCCTCGTACCCGGAAAACGACGCGTCGGCGTCGCATGGCGCCATGCTGCCAACCGCCAGGTACTGCGTATCGTACGGGACCAGCAGCTGGTTCAGAATCTCCAGCGTCACCCTCTGCGGGTCGAACTTGATGGCCTCCAACGACATGAATAATTATTAATACCGTACAGCTGAAAATAATTTCGGGTCGTGCAGCCAGCCCAATGAATCAAATATTTTAGTTCCAACTTTATTTCACATCTTTGATGTACTGAGACCTGGCGTGCATAGGCAATTGTAACGGTTGCGCTCGTCCCCTGCCATAGTCATATTTTTCCGGCATTAATAGACCCCAGATATTTGCATTTTTCCACCGATGGAGCCCAAGTCTCTCATTCCATTGCACCCCCTGACAGACACAGTGGCCATTCTGGCCGTCCTCATGGTGCTTCCGAGCTGGATCAGCGTCGCCGTGCTGACGCTGTACGCGACGCTGAACTCGTCGCGCTTCCTCAGGTCGACGCTGTCGCTCGTGTACCGCCACAAGCTCGGCGGGCTCGACCACAACGCAGAGTATTCCGCATCGTCGGGTCTCGGGCGAGGGTCGTATCTGCTGGGGCTTCTGAGCATCGACGTGGCCCTCACGCTCGCGCTGCTGTTCGTCGCGCCAGGGCTGCTTGACTACATGCATCTGCTGGCCAAGGCGTTTGTGGCCTCGAATCTGGCATCAACAAAGCAAAAATACATCTCCAACGCATTTCTCTCGATGCTGGTCGTCCTGCTGGTCGAGAACCTCGCCTCGTTTCTGGTGAAAAACGTGTATCTCGTCTATCTTGACGGGTCTGCCGTCACAGACGCGTTTCTCTACTCGGCCTACGTTCGATATCCCAAGACCTCGCTCAAACACCTACTGTACACCTGGTCGCCTCTCAAGAGCCGCGTGCGCCAGATGCTGATCTTCCGCGTCGACCACCTCGTCGACTTTGTCTACGCGACGCTCTCCATCTACACCATCATGTGCAACGTCCACCCGTGGCTCCGGAAACTGGCGGCCAAGCCCCAGGACTCGTCCGTGGGTAGCAGGCTGCCCAGCAAGCCCGTCGCCAAGCCGTACACCGGCGAGCTCGCCCCAGAAACAAAGACCATCACCGTCTCGTCGCACATCGCCGACAGCACGATCCCCGGCCTCGTGCGCCCGGCCTCGTCGTCGTCTGAGGAGACGGCCGACTCGCACCAGTCCGCCGACTCTGCGCCCGCGTCCTTCCCGCCCGACCACCAGATCCTTAACATGAACGACGTGTCGTCGGCCAGCCTGGTCGTTGCGCAGAATTTCGAGAACTACTGCCGGCTGTTTCTGTTCCCGTCTCTGAATTACTCCAGTCCAGCCACCCAGCCTCCCCAGACCGCCACGCTCGCCGCCAGCAGCTCCAAAGCCAAGCTGACGCCGTACGTGGAGAAACGCATCAAGAGCATGACCGGCCGTGTGCAGCAGCCGATCTGGGCGTTCGTCTCCGCGGCGAAAACCATGTTTGGCAGACCCGACCTCTACTCGGGCGAGTACTACCAGCAGAACGCGCTGGTCACCACCAACAGAGACCCGGACGGCTGGACGCGGTCGCTGGCCGACTCGGCCCAGTGTTTCATCTGGTACACCGGCGAGACTGCCGTCGCGTTCGAGCTGCGCAACGTGTACATAGACCAGCTGCTGGTGATGGTGAACGGCATCATCTGGGAGCAGACGGCGCTGATCGGCCTGGAGGAGCGGGAGCTCGTGATTGTGAGCGGCCTGAGCCCGCTGTCGCAGTACGACGTGGAGTTTGTGAACGTGAACGGCAAGGACGAGCGCGAGCTCCTGGCCGCTGCCACCGTCAGCACGATCCACAAACACCGCATTCTGACCGAGTCCAAGCACTCGTCGCCGCTCGCGACGCTGCAGGAGTCTGTGGTGACGACGCAGGCCGCGATCGAGCGCGAGAAAATCAAGCTCAAGAAGCTCAAGACCGACTGGCGCAAGCGGTCGTCCGCGCTCAAGGCCGAGATCGAGTCGCTCAACAGCCGGTCGTATTTCACGGACGAGACGCGGAACTACAAGAAGGTCGAGTCGCTGCGCCAGGCCGTGGCCAAGAGCGAGTGCGAGATCAGCAAGCTGTCCAAGGAGGCCGAGTGTCTGTACACGCAGCAGTCCGAGGTGGACGAGCGGTACCTGGACACGAAGCGGGCGTACGACTCGGAGATGCGTCTGCTGCAGGCGTTCGAGAGCGCGCATTTCGAGAAGCTCGAGACGGAAAAGGCGCGCGTCGCGGCGCTCGAGGCCGAACGGGCTCCGCTGGTGCAGAAGAAGGAGAAACTGATCCAGAAAAAGGAACGCATCGCCAACGACGTCAGACGGCTCGAGCTCGAGATCGAGCAGCTCAAGACGGCAGAGGTGCGGCTGCGCCAGGAACACAGAAGTATCCGCGCCGGCCAGCGGGCGGAAAAACACCGCGTCATCACGAACGAAATCAGTAAATTCGAAAAACAGCTCCAGCATTAGCAGCTACGACTAGTCTGCACACGAATGAATTTATCAATGCTCCAATTTTCCTCCCACCGCGTGAAACCGTCGGTTGAAGTAGAGTAGCCCGCCCGTCGCGTCGGCGTCGACGGCTCGCTGGACAATCTCCCGCACTCGACACGTCCACAGCTCATGATTATATACACGAAACACCTGGTGCTTTTCGCAGATCAGGATCCGCTCGGCGAGCGAAAGAACAGGTATTTTCAGGTTTTCCGTCGTGAAGTACGACCACTCGTCCTTTCTGAGCTCCTCAAACGGCCTCGTCAAACAGTTCCCCCGCGTCCCTCTCGAGAACGCTCTGGCCAGCCGCACGGACTCCTTCACGGGGGGCAGAATGTGCAGCGCCAGGAACCCGGACTCGTGCAGCGTCTGCGACGTCCTGGACGGCACCTGCAAATTGAACTGGACGACGGGCTCGGGACTGACTGTGAGCGAACTAACCGAGGAAAGTGTCATTCCGTGTAGATCGGACACAGACGACGACAAAGCCGGCGCTGTCAGGATCATGGCTGGCGTTAGACTGCTGGTCTTGAAGCTTACGTACCTTGCGACCCGAATGAGGACATTGCTTGCTTGTACGCCTCGACGGGCGGCGTCTTGGACGAGAAATATCGAAGACGGTTCATTGTGTGATGATTAAAAAATATGAAAAATTAAATGCACGTAATTCCCAAAATTATTATTTATGAAAAATCAAACGCACTTGATGCCCAAAAATATTATTTATGAAATTTAAAGCGTCTCTGATTCACAGACTCAAAAGAAACAAACCGCTCGATAATGTCCCCGAGTCGGTGCCCTGCTCGCCCGCGTTTGAACGACCGGCAAAATGGTCCGGCCGACGCCGCGCGTTTGCTAAACGAATCCAATCGTACGACGACCTCTCTTCCAACGTGTTTGCGCAAATCGCCAGCTCCCCCGGCAGAGCCATCCTCCCGTCTCGTGTGGTCGTCCCCAGGGACTTGTTCGTCAAATTCGTCTGTGTGGAAAACGAGCTGGCCGACTCGCAGTTTCACACAGTGATGGTTCCTGATACCAGGCCCGCAGCGAAAAAAAACGAGCTGATAATGTACCTGCCCAACGACAAGACCTTTCTCGACGGCTTCCAAAAAATCGGAAAAAATCCAGACTTCGCCCTCACGCCGCCGTTCATCACCCCCAAGGAGAAGGGGTATCCAAATGTTGGCTATTTGGCAAAAAACGCACAGGTTATAGAACAGATCACTCTAGACACACTGAAAAAAGAGATAGAACACATCCGCACAAAGTGCCATTTTTCCGACGAAAATGGGATCCATCTGTCTCTAGCCCCATCAAATCACATCGTCACGTTCGATCCACTCACTTTCCACGTCAACATCCCCGATCAGTCCATACTCGAAAGCCTTGCTACGCTCCCTAATCCGCTTCCAGCCAACCCCGACACAGCCAATTTTCTTGCATGGCTCTACAAAACCTTATTGTATTTCGAAAGAAATAAATATGCATCATAACTCATTACGTAACTTGAACGGAAGACCATACAGCACGGGAGCAGCGCCGTTCAGGTACGGAAGAACACACACGTCGCGGCTCTGCGCAATGCTTTGGCCAATATCACAGCCCAGTGGACCTGAAAATCCCCATTTCTCAAACATTTGAAGAGTAAACTTGTCGATGTCCTTGTCGGTCACGTCCCAAAGGTTTGCTACCACCATTGGGCTTCCGCCCATCAGGTAGTTGTAGACAGTTCCGTGTGGCTTGAACACGCCCTGGGTCTTCAGTTTTCCCGAGGAACACCCCAAAAGCAGCGCTGGAGGCAGCTTTGTCATGCTCTTGACGGTTTTCGAGCGAATATACTGTTCCCCCCCGCCGTGGCCCACATAGACATATAGATCTCTCCGAAGACCCTGGGAAATCTGTTCCTCGCTGGGGCGACTGCCAATAATACCTTCCCAGCCGCGACGGCCAGCGAATATATCCGTGAAATTAGTCTCCGTTCTTTTGAGGTCTCCGCCCGGATTGATCACGTAGTAGCCTGTTGCGGCAGAAATGCCAACAGAGAGATCGTCCTTCCGCTCATTAAGGACATCCACAAGCATCTTCATAGATGGCATTCGCGACACAGATCTGTCTCGAAGGAACGGCACAGACTCCCATGGCAGCTTGACACATTCAGGAGACACAACGAGAACAGTATGATCAACCGTGGATATAGGACGTGCCCGGCGGAGCTCTGGCTCAATCTCCAAAAAAAGACGACCGTAATCCGCTTCGTCGGAGATCTGGATATGCTGGAACCAGTCTTCCACGTCCGATGTGGCGGTTTCCGAGTCCAGATCAAGCTGGAGGATCAGTTCTGCCTCAAACGTTCCAAGTTCAACAGAATGACCAATTTTCCCGCTCAAAATTCGTTCAAGAGAGACACGAGTCTCCTCCACCACAGCCTTGTCAAAAACTAAACGGCCAAAGACTCCTTTGAAACAGCCAAACCAGTGACTGTCTATCTCCCATAAGAGCTGTTTCAGTCTCCTGTCCAGCGATTTGCGCTGGGCCCACCAATCAGCACGGTCGGCCCTAGTTTTCACCAGCGAGGTGACCTCAATTCTGGTGGTGCGGTCACTTTCCTGGATTACGGCCTCCAGCTCCTCGACTGCGGACCCAAAGGATGCGTGACGGCCAATGAGATGCCTTTCCAGAGGAAGTTTGATAAACACTGGATCTTCTTTTGGGCCGTACCGTGTGAGTATCAACGACCCGCTGCTCAGTTCAAGATCCAGACACACGGTGACCCAGCCTGACGGAAGAACAGAAGGAAGTTCGTGAGCTTGCGAAGCAGACACTTGGTAACCGGGCTGGCAAACGAGCGGGACCAGTTGTCGCGTGCTTTCGACAGCGAGGCTCAATTTCCTGTCGTACTCAATGGACTCGTAGCGCATCAGCTCGTTTCGCAACAGCACTGTTTCCAAATCAGTGCGTGAACTAACTCCGCTAGCGAGAAGCACAGAAACCGCTCCTTTGGATATATCCTCGCTCACCAATCTGGGCTCGTTCACGAACTTGGCGCATTCCCGGAGACAGGCAGCGTAGCGGTTGTCCATCACGCCTTCTTTCATGACAACCACAGAGTCGCCCGCAAAAATATTCTCGAGGTCCTGGTTGACCGTTTTGAATATCGTTTCCTTGATACTGGTAACGGCAGTTTTCACCAAGCTGGTCTTTTCTTTGCCGTTCAGAGGAAGAAACATGCGGAGGAATGCAATGAGGTCTTTTTGGGTGATCAACGAGCGGCCCAATTGAAGCTCGTACACAACCTGTTGGTAGAACTTGCCGCCGTCAACTTCGTGCTCCGCCAGAAGACGGAAAAACAGATCCACTTTGTCGCGGATCGCGTGGACGTCGTTGCTGTCGGCCATTTGATAAAAGAGCTCGTACGCACTCAGCTTCTCAAATTCCACCAGGAACGACTCAAATTGCATCTGTTGCGTGCATCGAGTGCCTTTTTCCAGTAAATCTTTTGCTCCTGCAAGATCATTCTTGTAGACATGGTATTTGGCCAGCTTGAAGAAGTACCTGGCCTTGAGCAACACGGACGACTGGTGCGTAAGAACCTTCTCAAGCTCTGCCTCGTAGTACTCAAAATCCTTGGCCAGCCCCAGTTCCAGCATCATGGCGGCCAGTGAGCTGTAAGCCTGTAGCATCAACGAGACAAACTGCATTTTAAGCGTGTTCTTGTGACAAAGGTCGATTTCTATCGAGCTCCCGTCGGTGACCAGAAAGTTCTTCATCACTGACTGAAGCACCCTGATGCTCTGCTTGAGATTCAGCACACTCTCGATTTTATTTTTCTCGCGGTGGAACCGAAACATCAGCATCGACACCCTCGCAGCCAACATCAACAGACTGCTGACGTTGAGTTTGCTGGACTGCTTGGACAGCTGGAGCTCCTCGTTCTTGAAGACCGAGAGCAGCTCAGTACATTCTTGCTGGGCTGTATCGTATCTCAATAATAGATGACATTCAGTCTTCAACATTTTGTACCTGACAGCTTCCAGGGCGTTGCTTGGAGCCTCGTCTAGATACTTTAGAGCCTCGTCTGGAAGATTCAGTTGCAATTTCAAGGAGGCAGCCTCTATCCTCAATCCCAAGTCCGAGTCGCCGAAATCCGCATTCTGTCTCGCGACGTCCAACAAATAACTGGAATAATCTGTCAGACCAGAATAATTGAGAACACGGACCACCATTGTCAACACTTCCAGCTCGTAGACCGAAACCCTTGCGCGCTTGGTCTTGGCCCACGACAGCACAGCAGCGAGCGATTTCATGAGCAGCTCCTCGTCCATCTGGGCACAACATTGCAATAAATAGATGTGGCACACAATTATGTCACGGTATCCGCTCATGACCGAGTTTCTTTCAAAGTTGAGGGCCTCAATGGATTTCAAGGCCAGGCCAAACTCGGTAATCATTGAAATGGATGACAGAAAATACAGAAACAGTCCGTTGTCTTGCAACTCATTCTTGACCTGGACTATCAGGGCTGAAATTTGGTCGCGTCTCGAAGGTTTCATGGCAGTTAAGATCTTGATGAGCTCAATCGTAGAGAATGCTCGTGTCTTGTCACACGCGCCAAGAATCTTTACCGGTAGTTTGGAGTCCATGCGAACGATCATCCTGGCAACCAGCTTGAATAAGATGCCAAACGTTCTTGTCAGCTCGTCTTGATACTTTTCGACCTGCCAGCCCAGATGGAGCTGCTCGAATAACTGAAGGACGTGCATGATTATGTCGTATGATTGACTGTATTTTTTGGTCTCGATCAGCATGTTCAGCATACGTTCTGCTTTATTTTTCAGCTGTCCAAACTCGTCAGTGTTCTGCTCAACAAGGATGTCCTCGACATCCAGACACTTGTGCCAGCATCTTAGAGCTTCGGTCTCGTTCTTCGTCAAGAGCTTGCCGCCAAAGTGGAAAAGCAAATTTGAGAAGTTGCGCAGTCTCTTTGGTTGATTTTGGTTCTTCAGCACCTCTGTCATCACAGAAAGAGCCTTGATCTCAAACCCCGAGTGCACCAGTGGATCCAGATCCTTGATCATGATGGTCGTCATATCGTACACGTTTAAGCATGGTGCCAGGTTTTTCGAGAACTGTAATAGTGCAAGAACGAGCTGTTGATCTGGCTTTAAACTGAAGTTGAGTCCTTTGATTACTCGACAGACACTGGCGGCAAAGAACGATTCGTTGGCGACCGATCTTTCAAATTCCAGTGCTTTGTGTAAGATTTGGCGATTGCTGGCGTCGGAGAGGTCGAGCGTGGTCAATAAATACGAAACATGGTCTTCAAGAGCGGACGGCGGAGCTTGCTGACATATCATCGCCTCCCATTGCAGGGTGCAAGATGCCGGTTTTAGCTGTTGGTATCTGTGGATCAGGAACTCCAACGGACGCAAAGATCGCTGGGTTTGAGTCCACAAGGAGCACAGATTGTAGAACATTTCGGCCGTGCTGGAATAAACTGATGCATCACATACCCTTTCAAAATGCACGATTGTGGCCAGTACAAACTCTGCACCGGCGTCTTCTAAGTGCGTAAGAGCGTAGTAGCGCAATTTGAGGGACTCTGCGGTCTGTTCGATGGTGCAAAATTGCGACAGAAGGGCGAGGAACTTGAGTCGCTGTTGTCTGTCAAGTGACGATATCAATGGCGACGTTTTTTCAATGATGGTATCTGGAAAAAGCGTTGAGTTATTGTGCGCTTTCAACGCCACTATCAGCTCGAGGACCACCAAAATGTACTCAGCGTCCAACTTGGGCCCAAACTGTGCAAACTCATAGCCTCCAAGCAGATCCTCCAAAGACGGGCTTTCTTTCCGTCTTTTCAGACAAAAAAGATGTTCCAGCAGAAACCGAGGCTCAGCAAGCATTCCAGACGAAAGAAACACCTTGCAGGCCTCGAGGGTTTTGCCAATGTGTAAAACGGGATCTGTCTTCTCCACGGCCTCGAGACATAGCACTATGGTCCGCAGAGTGGAACTGTCCAGTCCGTGTGCGCCAAAGGAGCGCGTTTCGCCGACAATCTCGTTGACAAACCCAACAGCAAGATCCACGGGGTCCTGCACGACGGGCTGGACGTTTGGCTCGCGGGCTTTCAGGGCGGTCCGCGGAGCAAGAGCCTGCCGCTGCGGTTCTCGGACCTCTGGCGACTTGAGATAGCTTAAAAGAACTTGGTCAAGCTCTTCCAGGTTCAACGACATGAAGTAGCCAGGGAGTGGTCAACAATGGACAAAGAGCGGATAATGTTTATGATTTGGTAAAAATTAGACTTATGTAAATAAAACACAGCCGTTGGAGAAAAATATTATGTGGCGGTGCACTACTGTTCGCCTGGAACTGGATACTGGGACACAAACTCCTGGACGGCGGCGCCGAGCTGCTTGACGGCGTCGCTCTCGCTGGCCAGACGCTTGAAGTCCGCGAGTTTCTCCTTAGGAGAGGCCCCGGTCTCCTTAGCTTTGAGATCGGTAGCGATCTTGATGGCTTCCTCAATGAAGTCTGCAACCTTGGCAAACTCCGGCTTCAGGAAGCCTCTGGTGGTCATGGCCGGGGTGCCGACTCTCAGGCCGGACGGGAACAAAGCCGAGACGTCGCCCGGCACGGTGTTTTTGTTGGCAGCAATGTTGGCTCTCTCGAGAACAGCCTCGACTCTGGCTCCGTCGATACCCTTGGAACGCAGGTCGATCAGGATCAGATGGGTGTCAGTGCCTCCAGAAACGAGATCCAGGCCCTTTTCTTGCAGCGCCTGGGCAAAGTAGGCCGCGTTCGAAACGACATCGGCCTGGTATTGCTTGTACTCTGGCGTCATGGCCTGTTTCAGAGCCACAGACAGAGCAGAAATGGTGTGGTTGTGAGGACCTCCCTGGTGGGCCGGGAACACCGAAAAGTTGATCTTCTTTTCGAGCTCGTACGGGATCTCCTTGCCCTTCTTGGTGACCTTTCTGATGCCCTTTCTGAAGAAGATCATGGCACCTCTTGGTCCTCTGAGAGACTTGTGGGTGGTCGTGGTGACAATGTCGGAGTGGGGGAACGGCGAGTCGGTGACGCCGGCGGCCACGAGACCGGAGATGTGCGCCATGTCGGACATCAGGTAGGCGCCGACCTTGTCGGCGATCTGCCTCATTCTCGCGTAGTCGACGACTCTCGCGTACGCAGACGCACCAGCCACAATCACCTTGGGTCTGAACAGCACGGCCGTCTTCTCGAGCGTGTCGTAGTCGATCAGGCCGGTCTTCTCGTCCAGTCGGTACGGCATCGTCTGGAAGTACTTGGAGATGTACGAGATCTTGGTGGATGCAGTCTGGTAGCCGTGGGACAGGTGGCCTCCATGAGGCAGGTCCAGTCCCATCAGTCTGTCGCCGACCTCGAGGACGGCCGAGTAGGCGTACAGATTGGCTGGGGCGCCGGACAGAGGCTGGACGTTGACGCCCCATTGGGCAGGATCGAGCCCGAACGCCTTGAGAGCCCTTTGTTGGCACAGACTCTCAGCCATGTCGATAAATTCGTTACCTCCGTAGTATCTCTCGCCAGGGTATCCCTCGGAGTACTTGTTCTGCATTTCCGAGCCCAGAATGTCCATCACGGCCCGCGAGGTGAAGTTCTCGGACGGAATCAGCGTGATGGAGTTTTTCTGTCTGGCTTTTTCCTTCTGCAGAATGTCGTACATCTCGGCGTCGACGTCCTCGAGGTTTTTCGAGATGAGGTTCTTGGCCTCAGAGGAGAGCGCGTAGTGCTGGCCGGTTAGTGGCGGGTGCTCTGGGCTATACCTACGCGGACCTGTGTGCACAGTCTTGGCAATTGTCTGAACTGTCTGAGCATGGAAAAGATATTAATATTAATATTAGTCAAGTCAATTTTTTTTTTCGCCATGGTAAGGCTGTGCTAGGTAAAAAAATCTGGAGAAAGTAGATACCATGACAGAACGCGACCACGTGCCGTCACGCGCGGGAAACGACGGGGCCAGCAGCATAAGCATGCTGGTGCAGCGACAGAACGACAGAATCACCAGGCTGTTCCGCCCGATGAAGGTGCACGACCAGTCGCGCGCACAGCTTCTGGCACAGCTGCGTACGCAGCGACGCGAGCGGTGTGCCGAGCTGCGACGAGGCCCCATGGCAGAGTTTGTGCTGCGCCAGGAGGAGCGCCGCGACACGCGGCAGACGGAGCAGCAGGCGCAGAACGCGCACCCGCAGCAGCAAATCGACCTGGACAGGTTGCTGGAGCAGTACGACACCGAGCGAGAATACGACGCCGACTCGGAGGAGGAGGCAGACGAGCAGCCGGAGGGACGAGATATTGCACTGGAGCGCGAACTGGAGCTCATGCTAGCTCTGGAGCAGCAGGAGCTCGAGGAGCTCACGAGGAACTTGAACTTAGACGACGAACGAAAAAAATAGCCGCCCCAGACGCCCCAGAGTCCGCCCTGTGTTCCCACCCTCCTTCGCTCCGTTCGCGCTTGAACGACATTCCACGAAAACGGATTATTTAAAGTTATCTAGGTACCTGGACAATAATTTAAATTAAATCACCGAATTTTGCCATGTCAGACTGGGACGATGACATGTATGACGACGAGGAGGAAGAGCTCTCGTTTGAGGAAGAAGATGTCCAAGAAAGCGTCGACGAGTCCGGCCCCGACATGGAGAGCCGGTATTTCTGGGGCAAGGAGTTGCGGCAGGACGAGAAGCTACAAGAAGCCCTCCAGGTGTTCCAGGAAAACATAGACAAAAACGATAACCCAGAGTACGTGTTCAAGTCGACGAAACAGGCGGTCAAGGTGAGCATCGAGCTGGGAGACTCGGCCAAAATCATGCGGTATTTGGACCTCTTCTTCGAGCAACTACTGCAGATGGGTGCGTCGTACGGGGAGGCGTCGTTTTCGAAAATGCTGCACAGGTTTGACCATCCGATCGCCGGGTGCTCGTCGGAGCTGCAGAAGCAGGTGTACGACAAGTTTTCGGCGTATTTGAGAGCCAGCAACTCCAACAACGAGCGGCTGGTTATAAGAGTCGAGCTGGGGCGCGCAGGCGTGCTGCTGGCGGAACAGAACTACAACGAGGCCCTTTTGCTGCTACAGAAGCTAGAGGCGGCCGTCACAGGCTCATCAGAAGCAATCAAAAGCGCATATTTGCTGGAAGTCATCGCCCTGGAGATGGTGATTGCGAGCCAGGGCGAGATCGACGTCGAGGAGCTCTCGAGACTGACGAAAATGGCCAATAAGCTGGGCTCGAGCATCCCGCAGTCGCGAATCGTGGGCATCATCAAGGAGTGCGCCGGCCTCGTGGCCATGTTCGACGAGGACTTCCAAACAGCCAACCACTGCTTCCAGGAAAGCTTCCGTGGTTTCAACGAGTGCGGCGACGATCGACGCGTCGACGTGCTCATGAAGTACATCATCAGCAACCTGTTGAGCGAGAGCGAGATCGACCCGTTCCAGTCGGGCGACTTCCAGGGATTCGACGACGTTCCGGAGATTGTGAAGCTGATGGAGCTGTACCGGCACGTTCAGGAGACCGACATTGCGAAGTACAACGCACTTTTGCGCGACGACGAGGAGTTCAACAAACTGATGCAGGGCAACCTGCTTGCGCAGTTCATACCGTTCGTCACCGAGTTGGTTCATGTGCGGTTTGTTCTGGAGTACCTGCAGCTATTCAAACGGGTGAGTTTCCGCAAGTTGCAGGAAAAACTCGAAATTCAGGAATCGGAGCTCGAGGTGATGCTGCTGAAGCTTTACGGCGAGGGAAAAATCAACAACTACAAGCTGGACATGGTGGCCAAGACGGTCGAGTCTTGCGGTGGCTGTGTTCTGGACCCGCACATCAGGCCGACAGACGTTCTGGAGCGTCTACAGCTGTTCCAGAAAGACAAACTCAACGTTCCGAGCGACGAGTTCGGCGCAGATTCTCAGGAACGACTACAGGAACTTCTGTCCACGAGATTCCACACGGACCCGGTGCCCAACTCGCCGACAATACACACAGAACTGCCCAGCTCGACGATAATATCGAAAGAAGTGCTGGAGCCACTAATCAGCACCCCTCGCTCCTTCGAGTCGTCCGAGGAGCTGTTCAAGGAGCTTGGAAATTACCTGGAATATATTAAGTCTGCTATTCCGTCCAAAGCGTCGATCAAGTGCTCTATCATCGAGAGGGTCAAAAGAGACAGTCAGAAACAGGAGCGGGAGAAAATCAGCCAGATCGACGAGATCGGCAACACGGACCACGACCATCTGATACCCGAAGTTGTGCAATTCACCATGATGGAAAACCTCGACGTGAGCGACAGCGAACAGCCAGCACAGGAGCTTTCGGAGGAGGAGCTGAAGGACAGAAAATTGACCAGTCTTTATGAGCTCGTTCATGAGCTCTCTGGCTACTACGACAGCGTGAAGCGCAACTTTTCAGAGGGGCTTTGTGCTGATCGCAACTTTGGCAGAGAGGTGAGTGAGTGATTGCAGCTACCAAAACTGGCTGTGCTACAAATTTTCAGGGAAAAAAAAAATTGCAAAAAAATAGAGGTCTCTAAAATGGTTCCAAAGAAGCAGACGAAGGCCGCAAAGCGGCGCAGCACACAGAACCAGAAACGTGAGGTGGAGCCAGAAGTGAGGCAGGACTCGCTGGCTCGCAACATGCTGGCTTCGCAGCCGAAGCTGACGCCAAAGAGCGAGAAGAGAGAAGTGAAGAAGAGCCAGCTCAAGAAAGAGCTTCGAATCGCCAAGCTGTACGGAAAAAAGAAGGAAAAGGTGTACGATGAGAAGGAGCTGGACATTCCTGTGCTAAACAAGGCGATCCAGCCGGGAGTGCTGAAAAAGAGAGGCAAGAAGGGCAAGAAGTTCGTCGCTGACAACGATTCCATCACGCTCAACAGGCTGATTCACCAGATCAACGACGAGAAGGACCTCCAGAACGAGTCGAAGCTCGAGAAGGCCAAGAGACTCGAGGAGATCCGGGAGCTGAGAAGACAGGAGATGGAGCGCAAGGAACAGGAGAAGAAGCTGAAGGTGGAGGACAAGAAAGAGGAGATCAAGCTCAAGGCGGCCACGGCACGGTCTATGAGGCGCAAGAACGCCAAGCTGGCCAAGAAGGAGATTCTGAAGCCGGACAGCAAGAAGAGCGTTTCATTTGCATGATGTACAGTAATATATTTCGCTAATTCCGGGGATAATCCCTCGTCATCAAGTAGTGGTCGTCCAGCCGGTAGCCGTGTAGATTTTCGATGCAATTTTGCGCGTCCTCGCGTTGCTGGAACACTACTTTGGCTTTTTGGGTGTTGTCTGATTTTTCCTGCTGAAGCGAGACAGAAGACAAAGTTCCAAACGAGCCTGCCAGACGCACGATCTGGTCCTCGCTCGTGGCTTGCGAGATGTTTGCTGTGGGGTTAGAATTTCGAGAGCTGAACGTACTGATGTGCACGGTAGACATGGTTTTTTTTCTTACCCTACCGATTTAAGCAGCACAAACGTAGACAAAATAGTTTTAAGAAGACATGAAGGGACTTTTGTTATTTGGACTGTTGGGCACTGTCCGGGCCTTTGAAAACACAGCTCCGCTTGTTGTGGCAGGCACGCGTTTCAATGCCGACTTCGAGTACCTCATTCCCTCGTCCAGACTGGCAGAAGTCAGGGAATTGACAGAGTCCATCTGTACCAGCAGGCCCCAGGATAATATCATATATCTACAGGTGGAAGGGCTTTCGAAGCGGGATCTGAACAGAGACCTGACCTCCAACTTGCCAGAGCCTGCAGTCATCGCTCCACACGTTCTGTATAAGACTGCGGAAGATGTGGCCGTGGCGGTCTCCTCTAAATGCAAGTCAGCCACAGTGGACGTCCGCGACAGCGACTGGTTGGACCAGATCGGCCGTCAGGGCGTGTCTGTGACACGGCTGGATGTCTCTGAGTTACCGATCCTCGAGAAGATCTCGATCGGTGCCAATCCGCACACCGTCATAATACAAGGTGTTCCTCGGTTCCACAGCACCGTCTCTTTCCTGGACCAGGCCAAAAACTACGTCAAGAAAATCTCGCAGTACACAAAGCGCGCGGACGCGGTAGACGAGAGCGACTACGACACGATCCAGGAGGAGCTGAACGAGGCGTTTGACGAGATCAACCAGATGATCGAGGACGAGACGGCCACCATCTACGAGCCGGACCAAGAGAGCGTCAACTACAGCACAGGAAACAGCGCCAGCACGAGCGCCGTTGTGGACGGCTCGCTGTTCGACAAGTACGGGTTTTTCACGCCGGGGCTGGTGATGTGCACGTTTGTGTCGCTGTTTCTCTTCTTCATCTTCTCGATCGCTCTGAAGTGGCTCAATTCTCTCCAGGTGAGCTACAAGGCGTTTGAGAAGCCGGTCACGTTTGGCAAAAAGACACAATGATCGATTCAGTATACATATGGAACTATCTTGTACGGAACCAATTTCTCGTACTCTGTCCAGGATTTGCCGTACTTGGTTCGACATTTATGCTCATCCCGCTTCTGGCGGTGCAGCAGCAAGAAGGCAAAGTATATCACATAGAAGTATGTCAACGGCGTGCCAAACCCTGTTGGAAGACACCAGCTCAATGCAATCAATAAATCTCCAAAATAGTTAATATGCTGCGACAGTCCCCACCATCCTTCGACCAGCAAGCTTGTTCCGCGGTCTGTTTTGATACTCTTCATGTGCGGAAGCAGTCCCTGGCGGAACTTGCTTTTCTGGCTATTGGACGAGTGGAAAATGTAGTATCCAATGGCCATGATGGCCACGACGCTGCTAAAGGCTGCTGGCGACAAATGCACAGGCCTGAGCGAGAGGTATCTTGCTTGCAGGGAGTATGTGAACGGGACCCAGCAGAGATCTCCAAATGCGAGCATGAAACCGAAGCCGTCGGTGGTAATGTCCATCATCGAGAGCACGCCTTCCTCGTTGAGCACTCCGTCGAAAATGTAGAATGACTGCATCACAGCGACGAACAAGAGCGAGTTCGTCACCGTTCCGGTCTCCAAGTACTGTTTCTGGACACATGAGAGGTTTATCAGTAACCAGAGCAGCATTCCTGGCCGTAGCTCGCAGAATAGCTTGATGTCCCAGGGCCCTATTCTCGGGTTGAGTTCTCTGCCAATAAACCAGTCGAACACGACGTTTTTTGAGTTGCCGCCCTCCGCAAGAATGCGCTCGTACGTTCCTGCGCCGTTGGGCCGTCTCAGAGGGAAAAATGAGCAGACGTAGACAAACGTACTGAGAATAAGGGAGAACTCCCAGGAAACGACCATTAGGGGCAGAAAATTGTCGTAAATGAACTGAAGCTCGGGGACATTGCCCTTTGTATACCAGGCTCTCGCTGCCAAAGCTCCACAGAGCAAAAGACTCAGCTCCTTGCCGTTGATCAGATACGTCAAATGCGTTCCGTCACGCAGCGTGGTGCCTTTTTTGTAGTAGCCGGGAACAATCAGATCCAGGAACGCAAGACCAAAAAACCAGACCAGGTACGCTGTCCAGCACTTGGCGTTGATGAAAGTTTCCTTGGTGAGTTGCTCCCCCAGCAAGCTTCTGATCGTGTTGATCTGCAAACTGCACCCCTGGACGACGTACCGCTCATTGCAGGCCGCATAGAGAAAAAGAACCACCAAGGGCAGGCCAAAGGTCAGAATCAAGGCCCCGGAAACCCCAAAGAAGTCTTTGTGGACGGTAATTGGGTTGAGCATAGCAAAGGATAGTTGACAAAAATTCGTATAAAAAGGAAACTCGAGATCGGGTCGATCGACCTACACGAGTCAAATAATTTACCCATCTAAATTAATTAATTATTACACCTATGACTGTGACACAGACCGATCTCGACGGCATTCTGCCCCTTGTTGCGCGGGGAAAGGTCCGGGATATCTATCAAGTCGACGACAACACGCTGCTGTTCGTTGCCACAGACAGAATCTCCGCCTACGACGTGATAATGGAAAACGGGGTCGAGGACAAGGGCAAGATTCTGACCCAATTGTCGGTTTTCTGGTTCAACTTGCTTTCTGACGTGATCCCGAACCACCTTGTTGCCTCCTCGGACGAGGATATTTTTGCCACGCTGCCTCCCCAGCTGTCGGAGCCTAAATACAAGGCCCAACTGGCCGGCCGCTCGCTTCTGGTGAAAAAGCACAGGCTCGTGCCATTGGAGGCCATTGTCAGAGGCTACATCACAGGGAGCGCATGGAAGGAGTACAAGAAGGCCGGCACAGTGCACGGCTTGCCAGTGAAGCCGGGAATGCAAGAGAGCGAGGCATTCGAGAAGCCTATCTTCACGCCGTCGACCAAAGCCGAACAGGGCCAGCATGACGAGAACATTTCCCCAGAACAAGCTGCGCAGCTTGTGGGCGAGCAACTGTGCGCAGAGGTGGCAGAAAAGGCCGTCGCACTGTACTCGAAAGCACGTGACTACGCTCTATCGCGGGGCATCATTCTTGCCGACACCAAGTTTGAGTTTGGCCTGAACGAGAAGAACGAGCTTGTTCTTGTTGACGAGGTGCTGACGCCGGACTCGTCGCGGTTCTGGGACGCCAAGAAGTACGCGCTCGGCCGGTCTCAGGACTCCTTCGACAAGCAGTTCCTCCGCGACTGGCTCACCTCGCACCAGCTGAACGGCAAGGAGGGTGTTTCCATGACCGACGAGATTGTTGCAAAGACTGCGGCCAAATACAAAGAGGCTTACGAGGCTCTCACGGGAAAGACGTGGGCATAGATGTTGAAATAAATTGAATTGTCCCAAATAATTTAATTATTTTCTGTATCTGGAAGTTTGTAAATACAGTATTCGATGGACGATTTCCAGGTGTTGGAGCTCATCGGACGAGGCTCGTTTGGATGTGTGCGCAAAGTGAGACGGATCAGCGACGGGAAGGTGTTTGTACGCAAAGAAATATCGTATGGGGCCATGAATAGCAAGGAGAAACACCAACTGAGCACCGAGTTTAGGATCCTACGAGAACTGAGACATCCCAACATCGTGCAATATCTCCACCATGACCATGTCCAGGACGAGCACCAGGTCCATCTGTATATGGAATACTGCGATGGAGGCGATTTGTCGGTGCTGATCAAGAAGTACAAGGAGAGAAACGAGTTTATACCAGAAACACTCATCTGGCAGATCTTCACCCAGGTGTTGAACGCTCTGTACAAGTGCCACTACGGAACGTCGATAGAGCCCGTCAGAGATCTTTTCCAGTCATCGCCTGAGCTAGAACCGAAACCCGTGGACCACCAGGTGATTATTCATCGCGACATCAAACCAGACAACATCTTCCTTCTGTCGGACGGGTATTCGATCAAGCTGGGCGATTTTGGGCTGGCGAAATGGCTCCAGCACGAGAACGAGTTTGCCAAAACGTATGTGGGCACGCCGTACTACATGTCGCCCGAGGTGCTGATGGACAGACCGTACGATCCCGTGTGCGACGTTTGGTCGCTCGGATGTGTTATGTACGAATTGTGCGCTCTACGTCCGCCTTTCCAGGCCAAAACCCACTTAGCATTGCAGGAAAAAATCAAGGCTGGAACGTTCCAGCCGATCCCCGACCACTACTCGCATAGACTACAAATGGTCATCAACGCATGTCTCATTGTCGACCCCATGGAACGCGCTACCGTCAACCAGCTGCTACAGGACGCCTCGTTCAAACTGTTCAGGAAAGAGTGGGAAATGACACAATGGGAGAACCGATTGCGCGAGCACGAAACAGAGCTGCTCTTCAAAGAACGCAAACTGATCAAGTTCGAGGACGCTCTCAACGAAGAATGCAAAAACATGAATCTCAAATTCGAAGAAATCAGAAACGGCTACAAAAACGAGTTCAATTACATGCTGGGGTTGCAACTCAACAAAGCCCTGGCAGAGCTCTTTGGCAACCAGCTGTCGCCAACAGTCAGACAACAGCTTGCCAACAGAGTAGGTAAGGAAAACTATCAGCAGCCGGCATTCCAAAACCACAAACTCAAGGGCCCACGCGAGCTATACGACAGAGCCCAGAAAAGAGACGAGAAAAGACGATAGATCCGCAGCATTCATTACACAAAAACGATTAAAAGATGTCTTTATAATTTCTCAGCTTTCCTTCTTTGCGAGGCACCCAGTAGTTGTCCTTGTACTTCCAGTACGTCTCGCCCGTCACCGGATGCTTGGCCTGGACGAAAAATGTAGGCTGGTACTTTTCGCCAGACAGCTCGCGCTGTTTCCGCGCCGCCCTCTGTTTGTTTTCCACGCGCGTCTTTTCGGAGCTGGCCAGGTCGTATTCGCCATTCTCCATCGCACGCTGGTCAGGACGCAATCTTGTGTCTGTGCAGGCAATGACGGGCAGAAGATGAGGCTGGGGCGCGTTCAGCGAGGCCGCAAAGTTTGTGAGATGGAACATCATCTCTGTTCTTTCGTTTGCTTCCCAAACCAGGAACTTTGCGGCATCGGGCTTGGTTGCGTCCTTGGCGTATATTTTCGAGTTCCAATGTCCGCCAACCGTGTACTTGAGCTTACCGTCGTTTGTGTAAATCTCGCCCTTGACCTCACCTGCGCTGGAAGCTCTCCAACCTCGTTGCTTGAAATTGAAGCTCATGTAGTCGCCAGTGGTGTGGTTTCTAATTTCCATTTCTCCATAGTTATCAATGGTTGGATTTCCGATGATGATACCTATGACAGAGTTCCTAATCTTTTTCCAGGAATACGTTTCGTGATCCATCCTTTGGCCCTTCTGGTCCACAACACCCTTTCCGGGATACAAATCCACGTACCACGTACCCAAATGTTTGATGTCAAAAGAGCGGCCCAGAAACTTGGTATCCACGTTGGACTCTCCGTAATACGACCACGATGGAGCCTCAGCTATAAGTGCAGAGATCGGAGGGTGATGGCTCACTTGCTCGGCCAGCACCCTGTAACCTTGGTCCGGACGGGCATACTCAAAAGTTTCTCCGAGCAGTGGATTGAACGGCTTAGCAATACGGCCCACCGTGGACACATACTCCGAAGCAGCAAAGGCAGCGACGTAGATCATTCTTGTAGGAGAATCGTCAATCGTGGCAGCCTTGTCTAGAAGCGAGCTGTATTCCAGAACCTCGGCACTTCTTTGCAAGAGCGAGGTCGGTTCGTTGAAAACAACCGGAAGAGTCATCTTGGTCATATCCTTTCCCACCATGGACTTCAGAACGCTCCACAGCGAGATTTTGGGTCTATTATCTTCTTTCTTCAGCGTGGTTCTGATAGGATCCTCGTAGCCCTTGAACGTCTCCTCCCGGTTGATCTTTTCGAGTCGTTCAAGCTGCTTTGGACTTGTCAGCTCGAAACCGTTCACAGCAACATGGCTCTTGCTGTTTTCTTCCGAACTTGCAACCGCGGTTGTCTCAGTCGCAGCAGTGGCCTGCTCGTCAACGTCCTCCTCGGGACCATCGTCCTCAGCATCGAAAAACTCGTCATCTGACTCCTCGTCCTCCGCCAAGAATTGTCTGATCTGTTCTGGGCTCTTGCTTTCGACATTGACAATATTCTCCTTCACCGTGTCGTTAGGCGCAACCTCGGTGACGGCCTGTATGATCCCCGGATTGTTCTTGAGAGACTTCTTGATCACATGAAGCTTATCCTCGAGCTCCACTATCTTCTGCTCGCGCGACAGCATCTCCAGTTCCAAACGTTTGAGGGTGTTCTCCCAAATTTTGGAGATCTCTTGCTGTCTCTCAATAATCTTGCCGAACTTGCTCTCGTACTTCCTCAAGAGATCCGACTGTGTTTCTGAAAGACTCGTCAAACTGGAAAGAATTGTCATAGCCACTTCGATCACTTGTCCCTTGGAAACGGTTTCGTCAGACTCTGCAGCAGTCAAAAACTCGCCGAACGATTTCAGCTCGATCATCATCTGGTTTTTGCTCACTGCAAGCTCTGAGTTGCTCAGGTTTGGAGCAATGATATCCTCACCATCGGCAAAACTGCTATCGCGGGGATTGGTGTGTTCACTGCTATCCTCTTCGTCAAGGTCCGTGTCGCGTTCGTCATCAGCCACAGAAGAGACAGTGATTTTACTACCTGCCTCTCCACTTGACCCAAGCGATACAATCGAAGGCGAGCGATCTTTCTTCGCAGGCAGCTTCAGATCCGCGTTTTCCTTGATTTCAGGAAGTGCAAGCACATCCTTGTTTCTCTTGGTGAGCTTGGAAAGTTTTCGCATTGGTTTCTTGTACGATTTGTTGTCTCTGGAAGACAGAGAGCCAGACCCTTCATCATCTGACGATATGGAGACTGAAGAAGCGTTGGAAAATGTTCTTTGGTGCGCCGTGATTGGCGATGTGGACTGGTCGTTGTACGATCCACGGTTGCCTATGTTTTGTGTGCTGTTCGACCGGGTAGACTCAAAGCTCTCTCTATTTCTTGCAGTTTTTTTGGCCCGTTGCTGTTCTTCTGCAGCAATCGCACGCTGCTGACGCTCCTGGTCTTTAGCGTAGCGGATTGCATTTTGGAGTGCCCAGACCCATCTGTTGGTCTCTATCACATGATTGGCCTTGAGGTGCCATTTGAGAGATGCCTTGTTACCCCTGTTCTTGATGATAATCTCGAACTTGGACTTTTCAGAGCTGTCCATGCGCAACTGAGCGCTTGCTAGATGTATCATACCGCGGCAGGAGTTATAAATATCGTTCGGAGAGGTGTAGTAGGAAAGTCTTCCTTCTGCGTCCAGAATGAACCATCTCAGTTTGTAGCCGCCGGCAAAGTTGGTCCACTTCTTCAAGAATCCCTTGAACGTTGGCGGGCCTGAGTGGAGCTGTCCGCTCTGATTGGTAGGATCGATCATGGTCTGATGGTTGCACGATTCTTTCAGCAGCTTCTTCATCGGGGACGACACAGCAGAGTCAATGGGGAGTTTGCCACTGAGGTTCCGTTTGAACGGGTCTCCTCCGTGCTCCAGAATAAACTTGACCATCTCAATGTCGTCTTTCTTGATGAACTCCAGCAACACAGTGTCTCCTGTGACCGGATCGGTTCCGTTGATGTCCAGCAGGTTCTTGACCCGAGGATTGCTCAACAGCCTATCGAGCACGTCGAATTTGCGTGCCTCAAAAGCGCTTCTCAGCTCGTTCGCCTTGGTTTCCACGAATTTTGTCCGGAGGTCAGAAAGCAGCTGCACCGTTTCCATATTCGAGGAGCACTCGATGGGCTGTTTCATCTGCTTGTTGACAATGCAGTCGTTGATATCCTCCTGGCCCATCAGAAACGTGATTACGTCGTTTCGCGACGACACCGCGGCGTAGTGCAGCGCCGTGTTCCCCTGGTCGTCCTGAGCATTGATATCGTCCACCAGTTTCCGCTGGACGATGTACTCTATTATGGACAAGGGGGCCACCTGCACAGCAAATATGAGGATCTGGTGCAACAGGAGCGCCACCTGCGGGTCAGGCGGGTTCACCGCCTGGCACTCACTAAAAAGCTCCTGTAACTTATCTCTGTCTGAGCTCCTCAGACAGTCCAGTAGTTTGAGCTTGAGCAAGCTGACGTTGGATGCGACGTTCATCTCGGATCAGCTGGAAATGTATCTGGCGTCGGTACAGCACAAGTCACGCTTTCAACAGCACTCAATTGGTCAGATACCGCGATGGTTTGCAAACACAGGTCTCCAGAAGGTTTTTTTCCTGTCGTGGACTCTCCTTGCACAGCCAGAACAAACAGGTTTGCCTCTCGCGCAAAAGCAAGCCTAGCAGAAAATAAAAGAAAAACCCGGCTGGCACGTGACCAGGAGTCACGCCGCGGTGGTTTGTCGATAGGCACCCGATAGCTGTTTTTCCCGTGCCGTTTACAAACAACTCGCCATTTTCGATGTCTCTGACCGCGCCAGCCCTTGTCGCGCTGCTCAACAAGGAGTTCAAGCCGAACATTGAGGACATCCTGGCCGTTTACGGCGACGTCACCATCGACAAGAAGATCAAGAACATCAAGGTCAAAGAGGTCGAGCTCGACCATGTCACACTTGTCTTCAATCACGACGATCTCGAAGTCGAGATGCTCAAGCCGATTCCGTTTAAGGAGCCTCTAGAGAGCTACGAGCAGGTGCAGAGCCATGTTCTTTCGATGGCCCGCGAGGCAGCTTCCAAGAGAAACGTCAGCCATCTCCAGGTGCGGCAGGTCTGGTATCCGCAGACGGCACTTGAGCGCATCCTGGTGGTTCTGGTGTCGGTGATGATGGTGGCCAAGGGGTTCCCGAACTTGGTCTACGATGTGATTTTGAGCCGTGTGCTGCCGGTTCCAAACGAGTGGATCCAGTACGTCAAGCCGTACAACGACTTTATACTGGTCACGACGGTGGCTCTGCACGCGGCCGAAGTGGCGATTTTTCTGGTTCCGCGGTTTTTCAAGTACAGAGTGGCTCCGGACTACCAGATCGAGTGGCTCGTGCTGACCACCGTCGAGGGCTACCCGTCGATCAGACGGTTTGACAGGATTGTCGCCGAGCGGGCGAAGCTCTGGAAACACTACGAGGAGGGTGGGAAGCTCATCCCGGACAGTAATGAGTAGCCCAAGCGAATCCATAATTACTGCTCTAAAATACAATTTGCTAATAAACGTTTGGAAAATATTATTTTGCTATTTATAATGGCGTACGACCTGGTGGTAAGTACTGCTCTATTCTGCCAGTTCTGCTAACGCAGTCCAAATACTCGTCCTACGCGTACTTCCACGAACTGGTGCCCGTGGCCTACCACGCAGTGCTGGCCCTCACCCTGCTGAGCATTGCTGCCGTCAGTGGTCTCTATTGCGTCACGTTCCCCAGCTCAGGCAAGAGAAGCTCGGCATTGTACGTGATTTTTGCGCTTGTCGGGGCTGTTTCCGGCGCGTTTGGAATACTGTTTCTGTCGTCGTACGTTGGCGTGTACACGTGATCAGTTGGTTTTCTTGGTGCTGTCCGTGTTGAGTCTCCAGAATGCTGTCATTTTGTTTTTGTATGTGATATAGAACACTGGCGCATACGCAAACAGGACGCCCTTGACCAGCACCGCCGCGCGGTCGGCCCACACGTCGTAGTCGATGTGGTCTCTGTAGTAGCCGTACTCGGTCTCCATGAGTCTCAGACAGATGAAGAGCATGGCTGCCTCGCTGGCCGCGAGCACGGGGCTCAGCAGACCAAACAGTATGCGTCGCAGGTTCGTGAGCCACCACACAGACCCGCCAAACGTCCGCACCTTGTAGAAGTTGTACAGGTGGCGCGGACAGTCCACCAGCATCGAGGACGAAATCAGAACACTGAAACTGATGTTTTTCGCAGACTTGGGGTAGTTCAGAATGAGCACCGTCACCAACGCCCTCGCACCAATCGATCCCAGCACCCGCCATCCAGACGTGCGCGAGACGCCCTTCTTGGGCACCTTGCGGAAAATCGTCACGTACTCAAACCCGTCCACAAGCACACTTGTCAGGTACACGGTCAGGAAGAAGTCTGCGATGCCGCCGGGCAGGAACCTTGTTCCAATGAGCGGGAACAGGATCGCAAACCGCACCAGCACGCAGAAGGCCAGAAACGCGCGCGAACAGTCCGACAGCAACAGGTATCGTTGGGTGTTGTTATATGCCATGAAAAATAAATACTGTACAACATTTTTTATATTTTTATTATTATTTTCCATGAGACTCTTGTTCTGGCTCGCCATATTTAGTGCGACCGTGTTTGCCGCGTGGTCGGCCGAGGACCTCGAAATCTTTAAATTGCAGCACGAGCTTGTCAAGGATTCCAAGAAAGAAACCAACTTCTACGAGTATCTTGGTGTTTCGAACGGGCCCAAAGCGTCCTACGACGAGATCAACAGGGCCTACAAAAAGATGAGCCGCAAACTGCACCCAGACAAGGTCCGCAGGAAGGACGGGATGTCGCGGAAGGCGTTTGAGCGCAGGAAAAAGGCCGCCGAACAGCGATTCCAACGTCTTTCTCTTATCGGCTCCATTCTCAGGGGAGAACGCAAGGAGCGCTACGACTACTACCTGAAACACGGCTTTCCGGCCTACACGGGCACCGGCTTTGCGCTCAGCAAATTCAGGCCCGGGCCCGTGCTGGCATTGGTCGTGGTCGTCGTTCTTTTCTCGGCTGTTCACTACGTCATGCTCAAGCTGAACACGCAGCAGAAACGTAAACGGGTGGAGACTTTGATCAACGATCTGAAGGCCAAGGCGTTTGGACCGTCAATGCTGCCAGGAACGAACTTCAGCGACCAAAGAGTGGCCCATATGGACAAGCTGTTTGTGGTTAAATTTGATGGCTCTGTGTGGCTCGTGGACAAAGAGCTAAAGGAGGGTGAGGACTTCGTTGTCGACGAGGACGGACGCCAGGTGTTCAGAGTGGAAGCCGAACCGAAAAACAGGAAACAAAGACGGGCAAAGAAGGATAAAGACGAGGTGCTGCTGCCTGTCACGCCCGACGACGTAGAAGAGGTCACGTGGCGAGACACATTGGTGGCCAGGTTTGTGTTCTGGGCAGTCTCGAAGCTCAAACAGAAGCCCAGAACGGGGGAAAAGGCTGACATGGGGACAGTCAGGCGTCTTCCCAATGGTAAGGTCAAGAAAGTGAGAGCTACTGGGGGAAACGGTGAGAGAAATATATAATTTTGGCGCCTACATGGCGTTCATCTCATCGTCGTCATAATGTACATATTATTTCCTTCTGCCCCTGTCGCCTTCCTCCTCTCTCATCGGCCGTAAGTCGCCGCCGTCCATATCCTGTTCCTCGCCCTCAATGACCTCGAGTTCGTTGCGGAAGTCCTCGCTGTCGCCGTTGTCGAGCAATATCACGTTCCGGTCGCTCATCATGGGCGTGGAAGATACATCTTCCTCGTCTTCACCCGTGACGCTATCGCTGAGCTCAGCAGGGTTTCCCAGCACCTTGTTGTACATCGCGTTGATCTCCTTGAGCCGCGTATTGATGAACTCGATCCAGCCATTGAACTGCGTGCTCTCAAAGAGCTTGTCAAACAGCGAGTTGAAAATATAGAACGACGACTTTAGATAGTACGGGTTGGTGATGTCGTTGTCGTCCTTCAGCACGTCGAACGTCTGGTCTTCTCTCGTCATGCCAAAATTCTCGACATAGTTCTGGAACTTGTGTATTTCCTCGGCTATCAGAGTCAGATGGCCCATGTAGCCAAGCTTGAAGTTGTGCTGGCTCTCGTACTCCTCAGAGTAGTTGAAACAGTAGAGAATATAGTTGGGAAGGTTGAAGAAGCCGGGATACTCCTCGTCGCATTCGTACTCGTTAAGATCGAAGGCCTCGTAGTCGCCAAACAGCGACCAGATCAGCACTTTGTTCAGGCTTAAGTTGTCGTCGTACCTGGTTTCCTCTTGGTTGGACGCCCGGTCCTCGTCCCAGTTGGCGAGCCGTCCGTTGAAGATCTGCTGAACCAGATCGAATACCACGTTGTGCATGAAATTGTTCCACGGAAATTTATGCAGCTTGAGAATGATTAGCGGAAGACAGCTCGTTTGCAGAAGCCGTAGCTTGTAGAAATTACCAATCGACATATCCACCGGCAGCTTGACGAATTCCTCGCCCGACGGACTCGATACCGTCGTCGAGGAGTCCTCGAGCGATAGTTTCTCCATCGGCTTGTTGATGTCGTGGTTGATCGCGTCGTTTAACGCATCCATCACCAGCGACTCCGTCTTCTTCACGTCCCTCCATAAATCACGCTTGTACATCAGATAGTCCAGCTTGGAGGACTTGTTCATAAGGATCATGTTGGAACAGTGCAAGAGCTCGGCCACAAGCTCCATGACTTTAAACCGCTCGTACCCCAGAGGCTCTATTTTCTCCCCCAGAGAGCTCTGCAGCTCGTGCACTTTGTTCAGCTTGTAGTATTTTTCGGTGAGATAGTTCTCCTTGATCTCGTCCAAATGGATTGAGAACAGCTTTAGCATCACTCCCAAATAGATAGGATCTCTCGAGTTCGGCAAGTTCCTGGTCATTCTCTCTGCGCCCTCATCCTCCTCTTCCTCGTCGAAAACAACAGCCTCCACAGACTGCATCCAGTCGAACTCGTCGTAATCGGAGTTGTTCTTGCGGATCACCTCAATCACCACAGAAACAACCGTCACCAGTCCATAGTGCCCGTAATTGATCAGCACGTCGAGCATTTCCAGCACGCATTTGCGAGAAACCAGCTGTCTGGTGAGGTCGTTCGGGCCGATATTCGGATTGTTGGCTCGCGCTGCAGACGCCTGTTCCGGGTCCATAGGCTCGCCAAACTCGTTCAGCTGCTGTTGCGTGGAGTCCTCCCAGAACCCGACGTTCGAGCTGATGCCAACTATTCCGTTAAGCAGATTGCACAGATTATCCTGAACATGGTGCTCCAAATAATATATTTTCACGAGTTTCAGCAAATTCAGGATCAAATTCTGATCCATCAAAATGTCAATCAGCCCGTTGGGGTTGTAGGGCTTGTCTGTAGATATAAGCCTAACCAGGAGGTCGCAGATGGTCGGCGAGTGCGGCACAAACTTCAGAAACTGGTCTGTGATCAAGGCGGATTTTTGCTGGAACCGAATAAAATTCATCAGCTCGTTCATGTTGGCGGTGGCAAGGCTGTCTATGAGTTTGAGGAAATTGTTGAACATCGTCACGTTGTGGGTCTGTTTGAACGGCTGGTCCTCCAGACTGGCGCCCTCGCCGGTCGGCTCCTGTTCTGTCTCGCTTTCGTCGTCGCTGTGGACGGCTTTGCAAGGGTGGAAAAAATCCTCCACGTCGCGGTCGAAAAAGCCCGACCACAGCTTCTCCAACATACTCGAGTCCCCAAACAAAATCGGCGAGATGTTGCTACTGAGGAGCAACGTGACCTCGCTCGCTGTCACCGAGCGCTGCAAGGCCCGCTCGTATTTGTCCAGCTCCTTGGGTTGCTCTTCGCTCTCGACCTCGACGTTGTTCTCGCCTTCGAATATGCTGTGGCCCGGATCACACGCCGAGCGGTCCCGCGAGAGGCTAATTGACACGAGAATGTACTCGATCAGCGTCTCCAGCACTTCCGGCTGCGTCACGTAGCTGATCAGTTTCTGGTTTTTAGCAAGGTTGATCTCGTCTAGGAGATTTGGCTGGTCTATGAGTTTGTTGAACAGAGACACGTTGAAGTGCGGGCGGTCAGCTGGCTGGTTGCTGGACTCAAGCATGGACTGCTGCAGATGGTCGTTTTCCTGGATGGTCTGCAGCAACCGCGATGCAGTCAGGTTGGAGGGAGGAGAAGCGGGCTGGTCCACAGACGGGGCATCCTGCGGTTTGGAGCCGAGCTGCTGCTGATCCAGATCTATCTCGGCCAAAATCTTGTTTATAGTGGCATTGGAGAATGAGGAGTTGAAAAAGGGCCAAATCCCGCTCATCACGAGCTAGTTATATGTGTGATGTATAAAAGCTCCGGGAGAGCAAAGGTGGCTATGGCGATGTAGCGGAAAACCAGCGTGTAGATGCGATGGCAATAAATAGAGAGCAACAGTAGGGCTGGGGCTGCTGTGGGATTCTCAGGGGGCCGGTAATGACAAATTGCCTTGATGTTATTGCCCAGTGGTTGAGATGCCAATTATTAACTCGGGAGCTTGTGTGGTGCAGGGGTGGCACCATTGGGGAGAAGAGCCAGAACGGTTACCCGGCCACTCACAGCTGAAATGTTTTTTTCCAACTTTTTTCAGTCTGAAAAATTTATTATCCACTAATTAACCATGGCTTTCACTAAGGCACTCAAGACCTCTGCTTACCACTCCCGCTACCAGACTCCTTTCAGAAGAAGAGCTGAGGGAAAGACCGACTACTACGCCAGAAAGAGACTGGTCACCCAGCACAAGGCCAAGTACAACTCTCCAAAGTACAGATTGGTCGTCAGATTCACCAACAAGGACATCATTTGCCAGATCGTCTCCTCCACCTTGACCGGTGACATTGTCTTGACCGCTGCTTACTCCCACGAGCTCCCAAGATACGGTATCACCCACGGTCTGACCAACTGGGCTGCTGCTTACGCTACCGGTTTGCTCGTTGCCAGAAGAGCCCTGCAAAAGCTCGGCCTGGACGAGACCTACCAGGGTGTGGAGGAAGTCGAGGGTGAGTACGAGCTCACTGAGGCTGTCGAGGACGGACCAAGACCATTCAAGGTCTTCCTGGACGTTGGTCTGCAAAGAACCACCACCGGTGCCAGAGTTTTCGGTGCTCTGAAGGGTGCTTCTGACGGTGGACTGTACATTCCTCACTCCCCATCCAGATTCCCAGGTTGGGATATCGAGTCCGAGGAGCTCGACGCCGAGGTCCTGAGAAAGTACATCTTCGGTGGTCACGTTGCTGAGTACATGGAGGAGCTGATGGACGACGACGAGGAGAAGTACAGAACTCTGTTCCAGGGCTACATTGCCGACGACATCGATGCCGATGCCATTGAGGACCTGTACACCGAGGCCCACGAGAAGATTAGAGAGGACCCATCGTTCAAGCCAACCGAGAAGAAGTTCACCAAGGAGCAATACGCTGCTGAGTCCAAGAAGTACAAGCAGAAGAAGCTCACCAAGGAGGAGAGAAGAGAGAGAGTTGCTGCCAAGATTGCTGCTTTCAAGGCTGCTCAACAGTAAGTTGTGTAATAAATATATCTTCCTGGATAAACTGGTAAAACTACTCACACCTGCCACCCCAAGCGAGAAACATTTTTGTTCCTGCTTATCTGCAAATTACCTCATTGGAATAAGTTTAGCACATTTATTTGACTACAACAGTGGCAACTGCCGGACTTTGACGAGTAGGTTTTTGTCCTTTCCGAAACGCCTCTTTGCTCTTCCAACTCTACACAACTAAGGCTCCCATCGGCAGGTCCACGTGGACGCAAAGCTCCCTTTCTTTCTCATGACACAAGAAAACAAGGAAGGATCCATCCGCGATCTGGTTGGCCAGGATCAGTTCGAGAGCCCCGGTGTGTCCAATGGCGATGTCGACTGGCTGTTTCGCGGCAAGGCGGCAAAGAAGCTCTCCAGGAAAAGCAACAACATCTCCAAAGATGTCCAGAACCAAATACAGCAGGCCCAGTTGCAGGCAGCCCAGCACAACCAGCAGCCTTTGTCGACGGAAAACAGCGAGGGATCTCGTTCGGTGTCGCCGCAGCCGATTCCCCAGCTGAAACCGTCGCTGAAGACCGCAGCCTCCGGGTCCTGTACGCCTTCGGAGTCCACGGCTAAGCCCTCCGAGAGCCATGTTTCGTCTGGGCCTGGTTCGCTGAGCCGGTCAGGCTCGAACCGGTCGCGGTCGGGTTCGCTGTCTAGTCTTGTGCCGCGCGTGCGCTCCATGTCGGACTCGAAGGACAAGTCTCCGGTATCTGCAGGACCCAGAAAGCAGTCGTTATTTTCATCTATCTCGTCCAAGTTCAAGTCACAATCGAGCGACACGGCGTGCAGTGCCGCGCAAGATTTAGGAAAAGAGGCGTGCGAGGAAGATGCCAAACGTGTTTCTGGCAGAAAGCTGAGCGGGTCCTCGTCCAGACGGCCCTCGGTGGTGGATCCACAACGCCCGATCGAATCCGTGGACGTTGCCAAACAGCATCTCGACAATATCCATTTCAAGCGTGTGACGTTCTCGCTGCAGGACCTCCCAGACGATCCACAGCAGCAGATTCCTTCTAGAAGACCAAGACGTGGCAATGTTCTGATTCCTGAGGACCTCAAACTCCCGCCGCCAAAGCTCTCCATAGGTATCACAGATAACCTCAACAACCAGACCAAGGACGAGCCGCCCAAGGTGGACGAAAATCTAATGAAACAGGCTCTGGAAAGACATCAGGCTGCCCTCATTGAGAGCCGAAAGCATGCGCAGGAGGCACACCAAGCCGCTCTGAGAATAGCGAAAGAGGTCAATTCGTACAAAAAGTATTCCAAGCTGGCGAAAGATAAGGACGACGAGGACGACTGGGAGGCCAAGAAATACGACGAACTGAGGAAAGGTCTCGACATCGATACTCCACTGCATCAACACGTCAACTACTTTGGTGAAGACACAGAAGAGCACGTAGATGAACAGCCAGATGAGCATTCGCCCGTTGAAAATATACCCAACGACGAGCTTCCATTGGACCTGCTGTACACTCGTTGCTGCCACTTGCGTGAGATTCTCCCGATCCCGGCTACTCTGAAGCAGCTGAAACAGAAAACAAGGCCGTTGCACGTCCTGAAGATGCTCAATCCAAAACCGACGCTCATCGACGTCTTGTCGTTCTCAGATTTCCTGGCCATCGCACCTATCATGACGGTCATATTTGACAACGTGGCTCTCGACCACCAAATGGTGAAGATCATCCTCGTCAGTTTGTCCAAGTCGACAACTCTGGAAAAGCTGTCGTTTAGAAACGTGGCTTTTGACAAGCAGGGATGGACATGGATCTGTAAATTTCTTACCGTGAACAAGTCTATCTCGAAGCTGGATTTGAGTCAACAGCGAATCAAACCAGAAACTCCAATACAGTTCTACCGGTCTGAAATGGACTGGGACTTGTTCACACAAAGTTTGATCATCAAGGGCGGGATAGAGGAGCTGGTTATCAACGGTTGCAAGCTTTCAACAGCTCAATTTAAAAACCTGGTCAACAACGGCTTACGCCTGAAAACTAGACGACTTGGACTTGCTTCTACCAACTTGGATGTTGACAAGGCCAGTATTCTGGCCGAGTGGATTTCGAGTCCTAACAACACCTGTATCGGCATTGACATTGCCGTCAATGACTTAACGTCTCAGGTCTTGGTTCCGTTTGAAAAGGTGTTTGCAACCAAGATGGACAACGTGAAACTGTTCTTTTTCTCATTGAACCAAACGAATGTTACTGTTGAGGATTGTGCGAAGTTGATTGAGCTTTTGAGCACCTGCAAGACTTTGCGGTTCCTGGATCTCGGAAACAACCCGCAACTGTTCCCTGGAATCTTGCCTACTCTTACTGAGTATCTACCGAAATTCCCCGATCTCCGCCGAATTCACTTTGAGTTCTGCAATCTGAGTGAGGCTGCCATCATTCAGCTCTGTCTGACATTCCAGAAGTGTCCGAAGCTACTTCATGTCTCTTTGCTCGGTAACGAAAACATCAACCAGAGGACTGCTGCGTCGCTCTACATTTCTGTGAAAAACTCCAACATTTACAATCTTGACATTGATTACGATGGTCTCGGCGACGAAGTCTCCTCGAAGATTGCCTTTTACCTCATGAGAAACATGGAGAAGTTTTTGAATAAAGACCTCACCCACAGCAGAGAGGAGGAAGAGGACCTCATTTTCGATGGCTCTCTCCTGACAAAGACCGCCGAAGCGCTACTGGAATCGAACCAGGCAAAGAATGCTGACGAGAACCAGATTATCAGCAACGCCCTTGTTGAAAAGACAGTGAGACTTCGGAGTGAGATCCACAAGACCATGAACCGGCTTTTTGAAGCCAGAGCCAACGGTAAACTGTCGTTGGAAGGTAAAGAGACGCTGTTGCGTTTCTGTCTGCTCGACGACTCGTTGGAGAGTATTATCCATATTTTCTCTGAGCAAGAGCACAAGACAGAAGACTCAGACAAAACTCCCGCCCTGCCCGACGCTCCTGGTGTGCTTTCAAGACCTGAGCTTATTAAGAAACTGTCGAGCCACCGCGCCAGCCAGAAGTTGCCTATGCACCGCTCGTCCTCGGATGTGATTGTGGCCGGTCCAATTGTCTCGCCGAATCAGGTTGCATTTGAGCCCGTGAACGGACCAATTTCTGAAGACGCTGCTCCGCACTCGGTCGTGGTCGACGCCAACTCCCAGCCGATTGACCATCTGACGGGTAAACCAGTCTTGATGAGAAGCGGGTCCCAAACTTCCATCCATGCCAAGGAGCTGGAAGAAGAGGAAGGAGAGTTCCATAAATGGGGATTTTTTGTCCAAAAACATGACTCTGACACCTCGCTACCAATCTCCACCGAGAAAGCTCAGGATAAGCCCCAGTTAAAGGTCAGCAATATTCCCTCGGGCACAGAACTACGGCAGGCCGTAATGAAGGCCAAGGGAATAGAAAGCGTCTCGGACCTGATCAACAAGATCAACATCGACTCGTCTAAGCTTTCCTCGATTTACGAGCCCTCATCAGACACAGAGCAACAGGGAAATCGCACAGATGCCCAAGCCGGTTCTGCCGTGCCCTCAATAGCGGTATCGCCTCAGACCACAGCAATAAACACCCCTGTTGCTGCCGTCAAACCTCGCTCCGAGACCTCTATTTCTGAGCAAGAAGAGCCACAAAGCCCGGTCTCTGTGAACTCAATGGACAACTATTTTGTCCAGGACCACGAGGCCGATGAGGTTTACGAGAAGCTGCTGGACAACGTCGCGAAAGTGCGGTCCAACAGGTCGACTGCTTCTGAAAAATGATTATTTTTCTGTATACACATATTTTAGCCTGCATTAATAAAGTTACATCTCTGCACAGTATATCAAATAAATAATAAATATACTATACTAATGAGCGGTGCCAGGAAATCCCCTGGACGCAAGCGCCGCAGGCTGTTCAAAAGTCTCGAGATCCCTGATAACAAGATCTATGATGGGCTACATGAGGCTGCTGTGCGACGTGCGCAGTCTGCGGGAACCGACACAGACGCACAAGAAATTCGGAGTTTGCGAGCGCGATCTCGATCTGTCGACTATTCTGAGCCGTATGCTGACGACAGCGGCATTGTCGCGGAATCGGGCAAGCCTGGCGAAAAGCTGGTGCTGAAAATCAAATACAACGGAGACGGTGAAGTCATTCAGATGAAAAATCCACAGAAGGGTGTTTACGAGGTAGGAGAAGAGGAGCTTGAGCTGCCTTTTCGCGGACTTTTCTCTTTTGAGGACGCAAACACCTACTACACGCGGCCAACTATGGAATTCAGAGCTCTGTTCGCCAAAATGAAAACCGAGAGCGAAAGTTCCAGACATTTGCATGGAGACTTATCTCTTGTCAAAAAACTCACTAGCGAGGAAAAGCTAGCTCAGCAGGACTACGAGCTGCAAACCTCGACCGTCTCCAAACTGCGCTGTGTGCATTTCCGAAACTATGAGATAGACACATGGTTCAAGTCGCCGTATCCGCAACAGTACTCGTCCAACTACGTGTTGCATCTGTGCGAGTACTGCCTCAAGTATTTTTCGTCCTCCTTTACGCTGCGAAGGCACGAGAAAAAATGTCCTTACTCGCAGCGGCCGCCTGGAACAGAAATCTACCGCACTTCTCGCTTAGCCATGTTTGAGATAGACGGCCGCAAAAACGTGGTATACTGCCAGAATCTGTGTCTGTTTGCCAAACTCTTCCTCAACTCGAAAACGCTCTATTATGACGTAGAGCCGTTTATGTTCTACGTTTTGTGCGAAATCGACGAGGACGGGTATCATTTTGTCGGGTATTTTTCCAAAGAAAAGCTGAACGGAACCAACTACAACCTGAGCTGCATTCTAACCCTACCAATCTATCAGAGAAAAGGGTACGGAAACTTTCTTATAGATTTTAGTTATCTCTTATCTCGCAGAGAGTTTAGGCTTGGCACCCCGGAAAAACCACTTAGCGATCTGGGACTGTTTAGCTACCGGAACTACTGGAAAATATCCGTTGCAAAGGCCCTCAAATTGCTTGTGAAAGCTGAGAAGGCACACCAGGTCTCGGTGGACGATATTTGCAACCTTACAGGAATGATCCACAATGACGTCATAGTCGGGCTCGAGCAGCTCAATGCCCTGGTTAGAGATCCTGAAACGGGGAAGTACGGTATTTGGATAGACATGGGGCTTGTCAACAGGGTCCTCTCTGAGTGGAAAGAGAAGAATTACGTCCAGATCAAGCCGGAGCAACTATTGTGGAAGCCGGTGATTTTGGGCCCGTCTGGAGGAATCAACACCACGTCCACTATGGTCCTTACTAGCGACCGCGAAAACGACGAAAAAACCTCTATGCCTAACATCTCGCTAATCACCAATTTCCTGCGCGACGACCTTGAAGATAATCGCGATTTGGAGATACAGACACTGGATAAGATAAAGTCTGAAAAACTGGAGTTTAATTTTGACAGGTCTGTGGTCTGCTATCCGGGGAGAACCTTTACAAGGTCTGAGCCGGTGAGTCCCGAACAGGCTCCCAAGTCCGAGCCAGCAGACCCAGACCCTTTTGGCATTGACGTCGCGCAAAGCTCGTCCGATGACGAATTTATTGATACCGCAAGTGACTCATCTGTGTGAGCAGAAAAAAAAAAAAAATACGATTTCCCGGCCCATTTACCATGCTCGAAACACACGATACTCAGCTGTTCCGCACAGCCGTTTCGATTCTCACAATCCCCAGAGACAGGTTCTGGCTGTTCAAGAGCGGCGTATTGGAGATTCTGTACAAATTGATCGACAGTTTGGAGGGCCTGAGCGACCCTGACGAAGAGAGTGGGGACGAAAAACATCTGGTTAATTCCGTGCATTCTCTGAACATCCAGAAGGACGACACCAGCGAGCAGGACTCGCTGAACTCCGAGGACGATGGATTGTTCTTCCATCTAGCTTTCACCCCTGAGGAGGTCACCTTCATGTGCAGCACGAGTCTGATCCGGAAATATCTCTCCAAGCCGTTGTCTCTCAACAAGCAGGCCCAATTGGGCGCCACACTAATTGAGGAGGAGTTCTTGGTCTTGCAGGTGTTGACTGACGGCACTATTATTGGCAAAAAAATCCTGGAACTGACAGCCCCTCTTTCGGAGCAGGGAATTCCTATTTTCTTCATTTCCAATTACTTCAGCGACCTCGTGCTGATTCCAGCTGCCCACAGGACGGCGGCTGTTGAGATATTGGAAAAGGCACAGTGCACAGATACTAGCAAACTAGAGCGGGAGACGTTCCAGCTATTTAGATCGAGCTCGGTGAAACCCGTTCTGAACACAGACGTGAAGATTCTGCTCACGGGAGCCCGTCCTGGAGACTCTTCGCTGGTTCTGCGACAGACCGTGGAGGCTCTGTCACGGTACAACACCGAACAGAGCGGAACGAAGCACTCGTTTCTGGCATACTTTGCGCTCACCAGAACTCCTACCGAGGAGATCGGGTTGCTGCTGCCCCTCGCTGATGACGAGATGGCCAAAGTAAATTATTCGCAAGCCACAATTTTGGGATCGTTGCAGGACTTCTACTTCCCGCTATTCATCAATTTGAAAACGCTTCCTTTGGACCTGAAGGGCATTGTTGCCGGTGTTGCTTCGAAATTGTTGAAGCTCGGGCTGACCGAGATGAGCTACGTCAGTCTGGGACGCTCTGCCGTTGTGCTGGTGCCAGACAACTTCCAAGATACGGTTCAAAAAATGCTGGACTCTATGTGATCGACGCGTCAGTCGACCCTGACCGGAGTTTGGAAAGAGTTTCCATCTTCTCCATTCCCCGGCCAAAATTGTGCATTTCCTGAGGACGTTTTTCCCGCTTCTGTCGAGCTGTATATAAGCAGCAATATCTGCTGCTGGATGAAACACAATGCGTCGCTCTAGTCTATGGTCTGTCCAGGACGACCAGCTGCTACTTTTTCTAAAAGACAACCGCAATTTCGGGTGGAAACGAATCTCGACATACTTCAAAGGCCGCACGTCCAACGCGTGCCAGTTTAGATGGCGACGTCTCAAAAGCACTCGCGTGAGGACGTTGGAGTGTCACGAAACCAGCGTGGTTGCCAAACCGTTGAGCCGGATACGGCGTTTGGACACCAACGAGCGGGAGCTTTTGCAAGCCCAAGTCAACGTCAGCATAGTCGGCTCGCGCGAGAGCCGAATTATGAAAATCAGTAGCTTATGCGAATGAACATGCTTTGTTCCATAATTATTTATCGATAAGAATTATTTAAATTTAGGACAATAATTTCAAATCTAATATATTTCATGCTCAAACCCAAACAGATAAGGCCGGGCTACATCCCCCGCTATTTTGACGTGGCTGTCAATCTGTGCGACGACATGTTCAAGGGAAAGTACAGGGACAACGAGCATCACGACCCGGACTCGGACTCTGTTCTAAGAAGAGCACGGTTGTTGAACGTCGACCGTATTCTTCTCACTGGCTCGTCGTACCAGGAATCGCGGTGGTCGATCGACGAGGCTCGTCGCATCAACGCGATCGGCGACCTCTCGCAGTATCCCCAGCTCTATGCCACCGTGGGCGTGCATCCGTGCACGGTTCTTGAGTTTGAGCCAGATCCAGAAAGACACCTCGACAAAATTCGACGCCTGATCAAGGAAAACTTGCACGACGGCACCATCCAGGCGTTTGGAGAGATCGGGCTTGACTACGATAGACTGCACCATACGCCGATGGAGAAACAGAAACAGTACTTCGAGATGCAGCTGAAACTGGCCACCGAATTCAGTCTGCCGCTTTTTCTACACATGAGAAATGCGCTCGACGACTTTCTGAGTATTCTACTTCCTTTCATAGACGGAAGCAGAAAGGACGGTCTGATTTTGAAAAATAAAAATGTGCTGGTACACTCGTTCACCGGGACGGAACAGGACCTGGAGAGGATATTGGAGCACCCGTCGTTTTTTGTCAGTGTAAACGGCTGCTCGCTGAAAACGGCGGAAAATTGTGCGGTGGCAGCCAAAATCCCCTTGGACAGACTGCTGATCGAGACGGACGCTCCGTGGTGTGAGGTCCGGCGCACACACTCGTCCTACGACAATATCACCAAATGTCCAAACGAGTTTTATCCCTTTGAATATAATATTCCTCAGGAGCTCTTGCCGAAGACGACTGCGAAAAAGGGAAAATTGGGCCTTAACGAGTTTCTGCCGATTCCAATGGTCAAGTCCGACAAATTGGCCTCTTTCCTCCAATCAGAGGACAGCAAGAAACTGGTAGAGCCAATGATCAAATCCAGAAACGAGCCGTGTCTCGTGGGCCAGATCGCCGAAATCATGGCGAAACTGAAAAAAACAGAGCCACAAAAATTAATAGACTCTTGCTACCGAAACTCTCTCCGGTGGCTGAACTTATCATAGAGAAGAACTTCATTATTAAATACATCTACCTGAGGCATTTTATTACCAGCAAATCTATGCCATAGAATCATTTTTCTTCCTCCTCGATCTCTACCATTTTATCCTTATCCTCGTCGTCGTCTGCTTCGCCCTCACCGCCCATGACACCCAAAGACTGGAGGATGGACGAGGTGGACGAGTCAAGGTAAATAATGTTGTTGTTGGTCGATATGTTTGATGCGGCAAGAAGTTGCTGGATCAGCATTGGAGACCCGCTAAACTCGCTCTCGAGCCCACCGTCTTCGTCGCCTTCGTCTCTGTTTCTCATGCCAAGGCTGCCTCCACGCGGTTGCTCGTCGTCGCGCGCGTGCTGGAATTTCGATTCGATGTTCACCTTGTACAGATCCATGGACAGGTCGTCTGGAGACATGAGCCTGTCAACGTCTTCCACACGGTCTCCGATCTTGGCATACCACTCCTCCAAAGTCTGGCCGTGCAAAAGAGCAACAATGCACACACTCATGTTGTCGCAGCCGATTCCCGACCCACCGGAGCTAGGAGCCAAACACGTGTCCATCATGGACTCGCAGATTTCCGTTAGCGATTGCTTGAGCTTGATGCCACGTCTGACAAAATCGACCACCTGTTGCGATGTCAGACAGTCCCATATTCCGTCACAGGCAAGAACAATAAACTCGTCGTCTTTCGTAGCTTCATGAACCATAACGTCAGGATAAGCGGTCACCACCTGTTCCTCAGCAGGCAGGTGCGGCGACTGCTTGAATTCGAAATCCCCGATTCCTCTGGACAACGCCAAGTTCCCGTTGACACGCCCCAGATCGACGTATCCGCCGGCAGCAACGATTCTGGCCTTTTCCCCTTCATTAGTTGGCTTGTGGTCAAACGACAGCGGCTTGCATTGGCCGTTGACGCTCATGATAGTTCTGGAGTCTCCAGCATTGCCGCAGTAAATCTTATCTTTGGAAATGATCACGCAAGTTGCTGCACATCCTGAGGGATCTTTGGACAGTTCCTCGTCATCTAGAATGGCCACATCACATGCCAGAAATCCATCTTTGAGACTCTGCGAGTACTCCTTGGTTTGGTAGCTTTTCGTGGCCTTCAAGATGCCAGGTAGCTTCTCGCCCGTAAAAAGCGCCACCTTCTCTCCTCCGTGTCCGTCGTAAACACCAAAGAAGGCAACTTGCTCTTCGTCAGTCTTGCTGTCGTTCATGTTCAAAATGGTGGAATGTGAGTCCTCCATCGAAATCCGCCATCCTTGCATACAAGATAACCCGTAAGCAACAAAGCTGTCCCCGCCCTCTTCGGACGTCTTTTCCGTCACTGGTTGCGATAATATTTGACCCATGTGTGAAGCGTGGCGTTTACTCAAGTGACTGGTGATAGTTCAAGGCTTAATAGTGTATTGCTGAAATACTTTATCTTGCCATTCACTTTTGTTGTTAGTATGTTTCCTCTTTTCGCTAGAGGAAAATTTTTATCAAGCACTCCCTAAACCTTTTCGTCGTCGCGTCGTTTTTTTATTATCTTTAGATGTGGGGTCGAGCAAGAGCGGCTCTCGTCTTGGTACGCCGCGCGTCTTTGAGATGCTATTCGTCTGGGCCGATCGACTCCATCGCCTCGTACAGCGAGCTGGCGGACCTGCATAGGAAATTGGAGACACGATTCTCCGGCATCAAACTCTCTGATCTCCTCCACGGCCATCGGTACCAGCCCCATCTGAAACCCATCAAATTCAATATCAGCACCCAAAGAATAGACGTCGGCTCGTTGGTGGAGTTTAGGATCCGTCGCAGAGCCTACGGGCCTTCCAATAAAGACGAATCCCTGCACACCGTCGACAGCTACAGTCTGGGAATAGTGCTCTCTTCACCAAACCCAAGATTCCTCACCCCAAACCCTCTGGAGGTCCTCTCAGCCCACGGAACAGTGGTCTACGTTGATCCCGAGGACGTGACGTTTCGAATTCACCGCTTCATACAGCCAAAAGCCGTAAACACCGACCCCAATGTCTTGCAATACATCCTCCTGTCCACGGCACGCTACGCGACAACTATCGCCTCGAAACTCAGCAACCATTCGTTGCTGGACACGATTTACCTGCAGACAACTAATTACCACCACCAGAAGGGACTCAACCTGCACCATCTGGCCGCGATTGCGGTCCGTGAAATCCCACAGCTGGTGAAAACCAATATCCTGGACATTCCTGCTCTATTTCTTGCCAGCCACATGTTGATGGTCAACGACCCGGTGCGGTTCCGGTTTGTTCCGCCAGAGACGATCCCCGAAGACTATCTGGAGCCGCTTTCGGTGGCGACGATGTCATACTTTGCGAATCCGCACCATCTCGCGCACACGCTGCGCAAAATATTATCTCTGCCCGCAGAATTATTGAACGCAAACTACGGACATCTTTTTTGCGGCAAGTACCCCTTTGAGCTATTTCAGACTCTGCGTGAGGAAGGTTCGGTGCTGGAGGATCTTGTGAGCGCCATCAAGTACGCCATTGAGTACCCGCATCCGCTTCTGCTTCGACATTTGAGAAAAGTTCTGGGCCGAAGCGTGAGCCCAAGAGAGCTCTATGAAATGCTGGTACAGTCCGAGGTGTGTCCGCCAGGCTGGAACCCAGTGCTTTCCTCAGGCATTTACGGTCTTCCCACCAGTGCAGGCATTGTTTCGGAAGACCAGCTGAAATTGCCCGCAAAAATCAAGTCTGACCGTAGGGTGAAAGATCCAGAGAGAACGAACAGCCAAACCAAATATAGACTGGCAGATCGGCTTCTTTTTTCGTCGCAAGACGACTCGATCAGCAGCACCACGTTCAGTTTTTACCTCCCTGTGGCGTCACAGGACATCAACGACCAGATGTGCGAGTTTCCAATAGCGTTCTCGCAAAATATTAATTATGCTCCGTTCTTCTCCAGGTTCAAAAAATCCATCCGCAACCAAAAGGCTCTGCGGGTGTCTTTCAGATACGACATGTACAAAATAGAAACCGTCGAGAAGCCCGAGATCGAAATCGGCTACGAGTATATCGACGGCTACACGGACATGGCCGCGAACTATCCATCTGCTGCTTTCAGCCTGTTCACCAAGATGGACATGGAAATGAAGGACGCAATCCAGCGGCTTTATTTTCTGCTCAAGCACAAGGAGAAGTTGCGGCTGGAGAACGGCTATCTGAAGACCGAAAAACAAGCCCAAGAGACTAGCGAATGGTACGTGAGAAACTGCATTTTTTTCTGCGAAGAGCTGCTCAGTGAGTACTGTCTGAAAAAAAATATTCCACTCATTGGCCGCGTGAGTCCCAAGCTGGCCACCGAGTCCGAGGACACTCGCTCGTACTCCGGCTTCTTCAATCTGTTTAGCCGCGACGCAAACTCCTACCAATCGTTTGTCGACATCGGCAGGGCCTACAATAAGGGAGTCGTTTCCGCGACGGACCTGGTGTGTGCTCTGCGGTACCTGGACGGGTTCCGGGTGCAAGTTTTGAGCCGGCGTAACTCGGCGTATGCCCCACTGGGTGCTAGAGCGCACGCGTCGTTTTTTTCGCCAGGATATTTGGAGTCGTACATCAACAACGCCCAGTTGATGAACTATCTTCAGGGACGGAGACTTTGGAGCATGGAAAAGCTTCTGTTCCAATTTCTGGGAAATTCCGAGTCGCTGTTGCAAATGCACAGACGACTGCACAGATTCCGCGTCCTCAGCGAGCTGGAAAACCGGCTGGAGGACGACTTTAGCATGTTCCGGTGCATCATCACAGAGCCACAGGTCTCCAGCATCGTCAAGGGCTTTTGCCATGATCTGGAGGTGAATGTGAAGATCCAGGTCGACGCGGACCAGAAACTCATGGTGGGTGACCGAATTCTGTGTTCGCAGATCCTGGAGCTGGACCCTTACAGCGATAGAATTATCATGAAATAGAATAGTCATTAATGCATCTAATATAGCTTTAAGTCGCCTGTGATGAGGTCCAGCACGGGCTTCGGCGCCGGTCCCAGCCCTAACACGGTTGCGGAGCCGGCCTCGACTTGCGTCCGACCGGCGTCGTGAACAATGTACGCATTCACGTTCAGACTCATGGCCTTGGCGAAAAGAGTGTCCATCTCGTCCATGCCGGAGCATTTGAGCGTGATTTTCGCCTGGCCGCGGTTGTTCCAGCGCTGCAGAAGCGGCAGGTTCTGCGCCTCCGAGCCCGGCTCGGACATCAGTCGGTAGCAGGCAACGGCAGCATGCGCGCACTGAGCAGCAATTTTGCCCTTCTGCATGCCCAGATCGGCCCGGATCACCAGGGCCATGCGACACTCGCCGGGGATCTCGTTCAGCGGCCGCGAATCTATGGCCACGCCGTCCTGGTCCTCGTCGTCGCTCAGGCCCTCTGCTGAAGACGGGGTCTCTGAACTGCCAGCCGTGCTGAGCAAACTCTGGAACGGCGACGACACAGGCGACGGCCCGTAGACAGGAGCAATCAGCGCCCCTATGCAGCATCCGGTCACGAGCGAGATGGTCGCGATGGTAAGATACTGGAAGAGATGTGGCATAGGTGAATGATCTCGGAAAATTAAATCTTTTTTTTTTAAAATTATTTTTTTCTCGCCCTTCCTTACACCAGCACGCTCTTCTTCCTCTTCTTCTTGTCGTTCTTGTCAGTGAACTTGCGCCAGTTCGTCACTCTTTCGTCCCGCTTGCTCTCCCACGTGTCCCGAAGCCGCTTCTCCTCCTTGCGCTGCTCCAGTTCGGCGTCTTTTTCCTTCCGCTTCTTCAATTCCTCGTTCTGCTGCTTTTTCAGCTCCACTCGCCGTATGAACTCCTCCTCAATCAGCAACTCGCGCACCTTCGCTCTCCACGACTCCAAGAACTCGGCTGTCGTCAGCCGCTCGTCATCAACGCTCCAGCCGTTCTCTTTGATCAGCACCTTGCGCGCGTCGGTCCACATCTGATCCAGCCGTTTGCGCTCCTTGTCGTCCTGAAGCGCATTCGACGCCTTTTTGAGCAGATCAAACGCCTCCACGGCGCGCGGATGGCTCGTCTTGTCCGGGTGGATCAACAGCGACTTTTTGCGGTACAGCTTGGAGACATCAGCGACGGAGATGCCCGGCTGCACCCCTAGCACGGAGTAGTGATCCAGCTTGCACTGGCGCAAAATGCGGTCTATTTCCTTGTCCTGACGGTTAGTGGCGGCCGGCGACATACTTACTCTTGCGAGCTCGGTTTCCTCGCGCTTGAGCTCGCGCTCGATATCAGTGCTCATTCTTGTGTAAAGATATATTTCTGGCTTTTCCACTTACCCGGCCTCGTCACATGAAAAAACACATGCCGGCCCATGTGCCACCAAATTGTTGGTGTAGTAGCACAATCCAGCCACACTATGCAGGCTGCCTGTCCATTGTGTCTGGCCACTCATCTCCAGCGTCGCTGCGATCTATGAGCAGATTGGCGGAACCACGTACACACCCGTCCACCAGGACCTTCCGAATCGGGAAGGAAAAATTTTTCATTTGTTGGACAATAAGCACCAATATATAAAACCCACATTCCTCGTATAATATCCAACTCATATTAATAGAAAATGGTTGAGTCTAGCGTTTTGGGATTCCCAAGAATCGGAGCTTTCAGAGAGCTCAAGAAGAACACCGAGGCCTACTGGGCAGGCAAGATCGGTGCCGATCAGCTTCTTGCTGTTGGTAAGGAGATCAGAGAAAAGAACTGGAAGTTGCAGAAGGAAGCTGGTGTTGACATCATTCCTTCCAACGATTTCTCTTTCTACGACCAGGTCCTGGACCTGTCTGTCCTGTTCAATGTGATCCCAGAGAGATACACCAAGTTCGATCTTCCTCAATTGGACGTCCTGTTCGCCATGGGTAGAGGTCTGCAAAGAAAGGCCACCGAGACCACCAAAGCCGTCGATGTGACCGCTTTGGAGATGGTCAAGTGGTTCGACTCCAACTACCACTATGTCAGACCGACCTTCTCCCACTCCACCGAGTTCAAGTTGAACGGCCAGAAGCCTGTTGACGAGTACTTGGAGGCCAAGGCCCTTGGCATCGAGACCAGACCTGTTCTTGTTGGTCCTGTTTCCTACCTGTACCTGGGTAAGCCAGACAAAGACTCGCTTGACCTGAAGCCAATCTCCCTGCTTGAGAAGATTCTGCCTGTCTACACCGAGATCTTGAAGAAGCTGGCTGACGCAGGCGCCAAGGAGGTCCAGATCGACGAGCCTACCTTGGTCCTGGACTTGCCAGAAGAGGTCCAGGCCGCTTTCAAGACCGCCTACGAGACTTTGGCCAAGGCTGAGGGTCTCCCAAAGCTGATCTTGACCACCTACTTCGGTGATGTCAGACCAAACCTGTCTGCTATCAAGGGCCTGCCGGTTGCCGGTTTCCACTTCGACTTTGTCAGATGCCCAGAGCAGCTGGACGATGCTCTTGCTCTTGTTTCCGACAAGCAAACTCTGTCCGTTGGTATTGTTGACGGAAGAAACATCTGGAAGAACGACTACGCTCAATCGATCGACTTTGTCAAGAAGGCTATCGAGAAGCTGGGCGCCAACAATGTCGTTGTCTCCACCTCCTCTTCTCTGTTGCACACTCCAGTTGACCTGGAGAACGAGAAGAAGCTCGACGCCGAGATCAAGAACTGGTTCTCGTTCGCTACCCAGAAGCTGGCCGAGGTCGTCACCATCGCCAAGGCTGTTTCTGGTGAAGACGTTTCTGCTGCTTTGGAGGCTAATGCTGCTGCCATTAAGAGCAGAAAGGAGTCCGACCTGACCAACGACGAGGCCGTCAAGGCCAGAATGGCCAAGATCGACAAGTCTCTGTCCACCAGAAAGTCTCCATTCCCAGAGAGACTTGCCAAGCAGAAGGCCAAGTACAACCTGCCTCTGTTCCCAACCACCACTATCGGATCTTTCCCACAGACCAAGGACATTAGAGTTAATAGAAACAAGTTCGTCAAGGGCGAGATCACTGCCGAGCAATACGAGCAGTTCATCAACTCCGAGATCGAGAAGGTCGTCAGATTCCAAGAGGAGGTTGGTCTTGATGTTCTTGTCCACGGTGAGCCAGAGAGAAACGACATGGTTCAGTACTTTGGTGAGCAACTGAAGGGTTACGCTTTCACCACCAACGGTTGGGTGCAATCGTATGGTTCCAGATACGTCAGACCACCTATTATTGTTGGTGATGTGTCTAGACCAAAGGCCATGTCCGTGAAGGAGAGTGTCTACGCTCAATCGTTGACCAAGAAGCCAATGAAGGGTATGTTGACCGGTCCTGTCACCTGTTTGAGATGGTCTTTCCCAAGAAACGACGTCTCGCAAAAGGTGCAATCTCTGCAACTGTCTCTTGCCCTGAGAGACGAGGTCAACGACCTGGAAGCCGCTGGTGTGACCGTCATCCAGGTCGACGAGCCAGCAATCAGAGAGGGACTGCCATTGAGAGCCGGCCAGGAGAGATCCGACTACTTGGAGTGGGCTGCTGAATCTTTCAGAGTCGCCACCTCTGGTGTCAGAGACGACACTCAAATCCACTCTCACTTCTGCTACTCCGACCTTGATCCTAACCACATCAAGGCCTTGGACGCCGACGTTGTCTCGATTGAGTTCTCCAAGAAGGATGACCCTAAGTACATCCAGGAGTTTTCCAACTATCCAAACCACATTGGTCTTGGATTGTTCGACATCCACTCGCCAAGAATTCCATCCAAGGAGGAGTTCGTGGCCAGAATTGGCGAGATCTTGAAGGTGTACCCAGCAGACAAGTTCTGGGTTAACCCAGACTGTGGTTTGAAGACCAGAGGATGGGAGGAGACCAGAGCTTCTTTGACCAACATGGTGGAGGCCGCTAAGGTCTTTAGAGAAAAGTACTAAGTCTGCTGGCTTAGGAGTCTGCTGCTACCGCATACATTTATTCAACATCAATGTCTGATGAGCACCTAATGATTATGACTTCATATCTTTATTTGTACACTGGTTTTAGTTAGTTTGGTATAAATGGGATTTCAACATCGATTGTTTAGAAACGAAAAATCAGTAACAAATAAATATTTTTTGTATTTTTATTTAATTTGTGGCAAAAAATGTCGGAGGGCCAATTCGTGGATAAGTTTAGAGAGCTCACCGGTGCTCCAGAAACTGTTGCCAGACACTTTCTGTCCCAGAACAACAACGATCTAGAGGTAAGTGGGAAGTTTGCTGTTCTAGAGGGCTAACAATCAGGAATCAATCAACCAGTACTATCTCCATGCTACTTCGGAACCAGAGCCCAAACGGGACCCTGGTTCACAAATCAAGTCATTTTCGGATATAAAGACACAAGACGAGGACGACGAGGATACCAATTTGTTTACAGGCGGAGAGAAATCGGGCCTGGAAGTGGAAAACCCTGATAAGAACCCATTGGGTCTTGTGGAGCAATTGATCAAGAAGGCTGAGCGAGAGGGAAGCGAGCCAGACCGCAGGCGTCCAATTGAGCCCAAGAAAAGCAAATTCACCGGAACCGGATACAAACTTGGATCAGTGGATAAGGCCGTGGAGTCACAGGTCATTGAGGATGCCAAACAGAAAGGCTATAAGGTGCCTGAAAAGGTTACGAGAACCATCACTTTCTGGAAGGAAGGATTCCAGGTGGGAGACGGCAAGCTTTACAGATACGATGACCCCGAGAACGCTGATTATTTAAGACAGTTGAATTCTGGACGCGCTCCATTGAGTCTTTTGAACGTGGAAATGTTCCAGGATGTTGACGTCACTGTGATCAAGAAGATGGACGAATCGTACACTCCGTCGAAGCCTAAACAAGGCGGGTTTACTGGCCGCGGCCAGCGTCTGGGTTCTCCTGTTCCTGGCGAGCCGATACCGGAACCAATTGTTGCAGAAACAGCCCAGAAGCCAGAGAAAGCTCCCGCTGAGGATCTTGGATCGGGAGACGCTAAGGTTCAGATCAGAATGGCGGACGGAACACGTTTGATCCACATGTTCGACTCTAACGACAATGTCAGCGCTGTTTTCGACTTTGTGAGGTCTCACACCGACTCGTCGCGGGACTGGAATCTGGCTTTTGCCTTCCCAATGAAGGTCATTGAACAGGATTCAAAAACCATCAAGGAAGCTGGACTGATCAACTCTGTTGTGGTGCAAAGATGGAAGTAGTTGTGATATATACATGTGGCACAGCCCGAAGACGTGGAAAAAATTTGTAAAATTAGTCAAGAGTGAAAAAAAGCCCGGCCTTGCACAATGATCAGCCAGTCTGTTGTCCAGCCGTCTTTTGACGATTTATATGCTATTATAGAGGCTGACAGAGAGCAGTACGCTGCCGATGAGAGGCCGAACATGTACCCAATCCACTCGTATTTTTCGGCCGAATACGTGACTCCTCATCTCGCTTACTTGAAGTTGACTCGTCCTGGAGACAAAAAATCGGAGCGGAGTCCCTCTTTTTTGTTTGAGAGTGCAAAGAACGGTGACCAGATTGACCGCTACTCGTTCATGGGCACCAAGCCTCGCAAGATTATCACCACAGGGCCGTTGCACGGCAAGGAAGCGGATCCACTTATATTTCTGGAGCAGGAACTCAAAAACATTCGCCAGGCGCTGCTTCCTGGTGTGCCGAAGCTTAGCGGAGGAGCGATTGGCTACGTCTCGTACGACTGCATCAAGTATTTCGAGCCCAGAACCAAGCGGGACCTGAAAGATGTCCTGGAGCTTCCGGAGGCCGCGCTGATGCTATTTGACTCGATCGTCGCATTTGACAACGTTTTCCAGCGATTCCAGGTGATCAGCAATGTGACGATCAGCGACAGCGACACCAAGGAAGATATTCAGAGGAAACACGCCCAGGCCGTTGAGCAGATCCAGAAGATCAAGCAGGTGGTCACTGCTCCCGAGGACCCGCTGATCTACCCGGAGCAGCCAAAAATAGTGGAAAACCAAACTTTCACCTCCAACATCGGCCAGAGCGGCTACGAAGGGTTTGTGACAAAGCTGAAGGAGCATATTTTGAAAGGAGACATCATTCAGGCAGTTCCGTCGCAGAGAGTTGCGCGTCCTACGTCTTTGCACCCGTTCAATATCTACAGACACTTGAGAACGGTGAATCCGTCACCGTACATGTTCTACATCGACTATCTCGATTTCCAGATCGTGGGAGCGTCGCCGGAGCTGCTGGTCAAGAGCGACAACAAAGATCGCGTCGTGACACATCCTATTGCGGGAACCATCCGCAGGGGCAAGACCAGACAGGAGGACGACGAGCTGGCACATATCTTGCAGTCGTCGCTCAAAGACCGCGCAGAGCACGTGATGCTGGTCGATCTGGCGAGAAACGACGTGAACAGAGTGTGCCAGCCGCAGTCGACGAAAGTGGACCGTCTGCTGAACGTGGAGAGGTTCTCGCACGTGATGCATCTTGTGTCGCAGGTGAGCGGCACTCTGAGAGGCGACAAGACCAGGTTCGACGCGTTCCGGTCGATTTTCCCGGCCGGCACGGTTTCCGGAGCCCCCAAGGTGCGTGCGATGGAGCTGATTGGCGAACTTGAGCGGGAAAAGCGCGGGGTGTACGCCGGAGCCGTTGGCCACTGGTCGTACGACGGAAAAACCATGGACACGTGCATTGCGCTGCGCACAATGGTGGTGAAGAACGGCGTGGCGTATCTGCAGGCCGGCGGGGGTATCGTGTACGACTCGGACCCCTACGAGGAGTACGTCGAGACGATGAACAAGATGATGGCCAACAACAACACGATAGTGGAGGCAGAGCGGCTGTGGGCCGAAAAAGTGGGGAGCATATAAATGAAACGAGGTGAAATATAAGTGTAGAATAAAATAAAATAAAATAAAATACACTTTTTTTTCTAGTTTTCAATGAGCCTGGAAGAGGTAGGTGTCCAGATCCTGCGCGTACTAACTCCAGATCGACCGAGATCTTGCCGACCTTGAGCTTTTGCGACAGCGGCACGACTTTCTGGCCAGCAAAACGGAGCAGAAGTACCAAAACCAGTTGGAAGTAACCAATTTCAATATTAACGAGCTGGTCGCCAGACTCGCGGCGCAAACAGACAGGATGACCAGCGAGCAGCGACGACGGTTCCACGGGACTACGCAGAACAAGACGGACGAGATCACATATCTACAAGAGTCCAAAGAGCGCGGTTCGTCTTGCTGTATTATAGTGTAATTATATTGGCGACTTGCAACTGAAACTCTGGGCCGAGGTATTCGCAAACACATACACCATGTATCCGATGGACCCCGCAATCCCCATGACGGCAAATACGCTTGCCAGTACGAGAATTGATAGAAAGACGCCCGAGTGGCGCTTATGAGCTCTAATGCCCGCCTTGATGTATTTTTTCAGCTTATGTTCGTACCCTTCCGTTTTCATAGCAGCTGCATCATAGAAAATTATGTTTTCTGCGTTGGTCTTCACACAGAGCGTCCACACGTTGAAGAGGTACGGGAGCATGTATGTGAGTGGGATCATCGTCAGCGCAGACGTGAACGCTGCCACTGCCATCACGTTCGGAACACCTGCACTGATAAGGAATATGACGACCCAGATCAGACACACCGTGGCCGACCAGAGCAGCGTTCCACGGACCGAGTTGAGCCGGAGGTTCCTGAATATGTCCGGGAGGTAGTTTTTGTAGAACACTTTGGCCGACAGATGGCCGTAGAACGTGGCCTGGACGAAACCAGTGATGAATGTGACAAATCCAAAGCCGCGCAGAGCGGCAACGTTGGCGATGCCCAGCGCGGCCGGCGAGTTTGAGAATTGGCCCTGTTTCGCGTACACATAGTTCCCGTACAGCAGATACGTTGCCAGGATGCACACCTGCGCCAGCAGCATGCTTTTCCAGAAGTCCCACGGTCTTCTCATTTCAGCCAGAATTTCCGGGAAAACCAGCAGCCCTGCAAAAACGTACGAGAGACTAGTCACGGAAACCAGTCGCGAGACGAAGTCCTGCGGAGCCACGGCGTAGCTGTGGACGTCGCCGCGGTCCAGGCCCAGAACGGCCTTCGCGTTGTCCCAGTTTGGCTCCTTGAAAAACCCCAGCTGCGCAAACAGGCATATATAATTGATGACAGATATCCAGACGCATAGATTGCCGAGCTGCTTAAGCTGCTTCAAATGGCCAATGACTGCCTGAACGCCGCACAGAAGCACCACGAGCCCGCAGAAACACACGCGCTGGTCCCGCATAATCTCCAGCCCCTCGGCCGCCCCAATGATGATGGTGGCAGAGGTCAAAATCATAGCCACAACCTGTAAAAAAACTATCACGTGTCGCCATGTTTTCCCGCCAAGCAGCTCGGCAATGTCCGCAAAGGTCCGCACGGGGTACTCTGGAGAGTCGAAAAATATGAACAGCCACCAGACCAGTCCGCCTGCCACCAGTGCAAAGCCAAAAAATACAAATAGCATGATGTTTCCTGGAACATAGCCTAGATACGACATGCTCTGGGGAACCAGCATGGCCCCCATAATTTCTGTCGTGAGAAGCCCGGCGCACGCAAGCCAGTGCGAGTTGCGCTCGCCAAGACTGTCGTCCCTCCAGGTTGTGTAGTCACTAGTGGGCTCGAGAGACTGGATCTTGAGAGAGCGGAAGATCCACTGGTTCCAGCACTGCAGATGTGCCTCGTGTTTCACTTCCTCGTACTGCTTTTCTATGAATCTCTGCGCGTAAAATAGCCTCGTGACCAACGGAACAGCCACAGGCTCGACGGCCTGCTCAGAGACGTCAGCTTCTTTTTTCATGAAAATAAATATTCCTGGCTGCAAAGATAAATACAAACCCCGGAATCGTCAGACTTTATTAATACGTGGGCAGCGTTCCAGACGACAACGCAGAGCGTTTGTGCCTGAGACGGTGACGAATAAGATACACAGGCTTCCGATGAAGTGGCGAAGCTGTCAGCTGGTCTGCAGTGGCCCTGGCTGGCACGAGGAGTACCAAGCAGACAGGAGACGCGGTACGAGATAAAGGGTATCACGTGACATACAGTCACGTGCCACAAACGAACAGCGATTTCTGCGTTTCGACGCGCACGGCTAGGCTGCTGAGACGTTGCCGGGACGGTGCTCCTGGTTCTCCTGTGTCCTTGAAATTTACAATGGCCGCTACTGGGGTGTCTCCATAACCAATCCCTTCCGCGATCGTAACTTGCCTAATCTGGGTCCGGCAGCTGTAACGGATTGGCAATGATCGCAATATATTTTTTCGTTCGGGAATCATTCGCGACAGATAAGATCACTGGATCCTTGGTTTGTCTCCTGGAGCCTCTGATGAGCGAGCAGGCTTGCAATCGGGAAGGGTGTGGATAGTGGATAGCTTCGAAGGCTCAAGCCTGGCAACTCTCAGGCGAAGCTGCTACCAAATCAAGCCCAAAATAAATAATATTTGGTCATGTATGCAAGGAGGCCTCTACTGGCCTTATCTGGCAGGGCAACAGTATAAAAGGGCCAAGGGATCCTGGTTGCTTTTCAACATGACTGTTGACAAAAACCACCACTATCTCTTCCAAGCTAAAGTCTCTGACAGACAACTCGAGTGTATTGGCACGGCCAAGGACGGCCAGTGGCTTGTTCTTCAGGACCCCAAGACCGGAGAGAAAAAGGAGATCTACGACGCCGTTTCTGGCGCTGCTGTGTGCTCGCTGAAGCACGGAGACAACGAAATCCTGTCCCAGATGAACGACTTCGCCAAGCAGTCCGCGTACACTTTCTGTGTGGCTTTTTCCAACACGGCTGCCGAGGACCTTGCGGAGTTTATGTGTTCCAAGTCCGAGGGCTGTTTCAGCTCGGCAATGTTTGTTTGTTCGGGATCGGAGGCCAATGAGCAGGCAATGAGGTACGCTGTCCAGTACCATATCGAGAAGGGCGATAAGGAGAGATACAAATTTATTTCCAGAACCAGCGCCTACCACGGCTACCTGGTTGGCGCTCTGTCCATTGGAGACAACCCAATGAAGCCGCTGCTCAAGAAAATGCTGCTTTCCGACGACCAAGTCCCCAAAATCTCGCGGCTCATGCCGTACAGAGACATGAAGCCCGGCATGTCGGAGGAAGAGTACTGCAAGATGTTGCTGGACAACCTGGAGCAGACTTTCGTTGACAACGGGCCGGAGAAGGTGGCCGGCGTGTTTATGGAGACCGTGAGCGGGTCCTCGATTGGCAACAGCGTCCCGCCAAAGGGGTATCTGGACGGAGCCAGGGCTATCTGCGAAAAATACGGAGCTCTGCTAATTTTGGACGAGGTAATGTGCGGCCTGGGCAGATGCGGCTACCCGTTCACTTTCATGGACCCCGAGTACGGGCTCTCCACGGGCGGGCCTGACCTGCTGACGTTCGGAAAGACCGTCGGCGCGGGAATTGTGCCGCTGTCGGGCGTCATGGTTGCGCCCAAAGTCGTCAACGCCATCAAGGAGGGATCCGGCACGGTCATGGGCTACCAAACCTACCACTCGCACTATCTGAACTGTACTGTTGGTCTGGCTGTGCAGAAGAAGATCTACAGAGACAACCTGATCGAAAACGTGAGAGAAGTCGGCGCGTACACCAAGGCGGCGCTCCAGGCGGCGCTCAAGGACTGCAAGGTGGCTGGCGACGTGAGAGGTGCCGGAAACTTCATTTCTGTGGAGCTGGTCAAGGACAGGGCGACCAAGGAGTCGTTCCCGTTCGAGAACAACATGGCCAAGGTGCTGCAGGAAAAGACGTTTGCCCGATCGGCGCACTTTATGTGCATCAACGGGTGCAACGGCTACGAGTACGTCGACGGCAAGCTTGTGCAGCACGGCACCCATATTACGATGGCGCCGGCGTTTGGCTACTCCAGGGAGGACGCCGACTTCATTGTCCAGGTGCTGGCCGACACCCTGTTTGAGATTGAGAGAGAGTATCTATAGTATTAGTAATTGCCACATTTTCGTTTTTGGAAATACCCGTTTCTGCTTATCATATAAATAGGCCCTCGCGACCTGCGAAAAAAAATAAAAATGTCTGTTCTTGTCACCGGAGCCACAGGCTTCATTGCGCTCCACGTTGTCGACAAATTGCTCGCCAGAGGATACACCGTGATCGGCACGGCGAGATCAGAGCAAAGATACGCCCCGTTCCTCGCCGAGTTCCAGAAAAAGTACCCCAACGGCAAGCTCTCGTTCGAGATCGTGCCAGACATCGGCGCGGACGACGCCTTTGATCACGTGCTCCAGGCTCATCCTGAGGTCACCAAGGTGCTCCACACCGCCTCACCTTTTTCGTACGGCCTGAACAAGCCGTTCGAGGAGGCGTACCTGACTCCTGCCGTCAACGGCACGCTCAACATCCTCAGAGCCACCAAGAAGTACGCCCCGCAGGTCACCCACGTTGTGGTCACGTCCTCGTTTGCGGCGGTGAAGAAGGTCGGCGACGAGCTGTACACGCACGTCCACACGAAGGACTCGTGGAACCCCGTGACCTGGGACGACGTCGACAGCGAGAACGTTGCGTACGTTGCGTCCAAGATCTCTGCCGAAAAGGCTGCGAGAAAGTTCCTCGAGGACGAGAAGCCGGGCTTCAGTCTCTCCACGGTCAACCCGCCGCTGGTGCTGGGCCCGCAGCTGTTTGACGTTGCCGTCAGCGAGACGCTCAACACCTCGAACCAGTACATTGTCGACATTGCCAAGTTGACCGACAAGAACGGAAAAGCTGCCAAGATGAGCTCGTTGGCCGTCGACGTGAGGGACGTGGCCGAGTTCCACGTGCTGCCTCTGGAAAAAGAGGCCGTCAGAAGCCAGAGAAACTTCATCGCCTCGTCCAACTTCTATCCTGGCGAGGTGGCTGCCATCATCAGGAAGAACTTCCCGCAGTACGCCGACAAGGTGCTTGACCTGGACGACCTGCCAAAGAAGGAGATCAAGTACGACCTGACCTCGGTTGTCGAGCCGCTGGGAGGCTACGACTTCATCCCTCTGGAGAAGTCTGTCGTCGACACGCTGACCCAGTACTTCAAGAAGTATCCGCTCTAGGTGTGTAGAGGTAAATGGCAACCGTCGGACATTCCACTTGCGGCCTCGGTATGCAGGTGCCAGGTGTGCGCCTTATCGAAGGCGATTTAAAGCAGCTTGCTCGCTGAAAAAGTTTCTCTCATCCAAAATGCAAAAAGTTACGTGGGAAGAAGTTGGAGCTGCTCCAAACGCCATTCTGTCGCCAGCCTACAAGAGCAATGGCCATGTGTTCACCTCCGGGAGCGTCGGGTTCGCTCCGGACGGAACTGTTCCTGTCGACGTCACGGTGCAGACCAAGTACGCCATCGAGGCTCTGGAGAAGGTGCTGAAGAGCTCTGGTTCCTCGCTCGACAAGGTGCTGAAGGTTCTGTTGTTTATTGCCGACCCGCTAGATGCCCCAGCGGTCAATGCCGTGTACAAGGAGTACTTCAAGCACCAGCCGGCCAGATCGTGTGTTGTTGTCCAGTTCCCAGACGCCAGACTGAAGGTCGAGCTGGAGTGTGTTGCTGTGTACGAGTAGAGAGTTATGGAATGAGATGGCGACTTTGCAGGAATGCGAGTCTGTTTGTTGATTTTATTCAGGAATGTAGCCCCGGTGAGGTGCTCCGATCTGGAGTATGGACAGGGTGGAAAAAGTGTAATAGGATGCGTCCTATTCTTTGGCTGATAAACTCTACTGGCGGCCTCGTTCATGTGATATTCAATTTAATAACAGGCCCATCGATTCTGCAAACCTCGCTTTTTTTCCCAAACTCCTACGTCTAAATAGTTGGCAGAATTCTGAGCATCTCCGTCAGCTCCACATTGGCAGAGTCCCTTGAAGTGGCAGGCATTGCAGGTTTCGCGCGGCCATACACAACCTCAAATTACGCAGTCTACACGTTGATAAGAGTACTCTGTTCGTTTGGCTCCCGGTAGCAACATGTTGATATCCTTCTGAACGCACTCCACCTGTCCGTTTGACGTCCAGCCTACACATCCACGCAAGGGCTGGTTGGTCCGTCATTTTCGGTGACTGAAACAATTTACTTCTTAGCAGGCGTGCAAATTGGGTCTCAGTTGCCAGTATCTGCTACCATTTTTTGTAGCAGGAAAATCAGTTCTAGGACACTCCATGAGCGTCCCCATACGCATCCCAAACCACCACCCTTACGCAATCTACCCATACACAATATACCACAGCACCCAATGTCAACAGAATCAAGTCATATTATACATCCGCCAGTAGAATCTATTCACTCTCTTCTTTTGTTAGCCCGTACGTCGGGAACATACTGCTGAGCCTGTAGTCCTCATACATCTTCAAATGCTCCGGATCGTTGATGTAAATCTGCCCAAGGAAGTCCTCACAGACACTCTGGTCCATGCCCACCACCAACAGCATGCCCCCCTTGTCGAGAAACTCCTTGTCCACAGACTCGTAGCCGCCTCTATCCTTGTTCAGCACCAGCTCCACGGCATTGTTCCCGGCCTGACAGCCCTCTCTGTAGGCCCATCCGGCTGTCTTGACCAGCGGCAGGTCCGCCAGGTCGCCAACCGCAAATATATTGCCGATCACCTCGTTCTTGTCGGTCTTGACCTCGTACTGATGCGTGACGAGAATGTCGCCGTTGGGAGCAAACACGTTCGGATGGTTTTTCGCCAAAAAGTCCACGTTGTTCTTCTTGTAGTTGCACCAGAACGTGAGGTCGCTCGTGATGGTTCTGCCGTCCGTGGTCACCAGAACACCGTCTTCCTGCTCCGATTTAATTCTCGTGCCGAGAAGCACCTCGACTCCGAGATTTTCGAGAAATTCAAGCACCTGCTGCTTGAACCTGTCGCAAAGCAGAGACTCTGGTGGCAGCGTGGCGTGCGGATGGACCAAAACCACCTCTTTCTCTGGGAACTGGTGCTTGATCTCGCCGGCAAGCTCAATGCCCAGGGCGCCGCCGCCAATGATGACCGTTTTTCTCGCACTTTTAATCTGCGCCGTCGAATCGGCCATCTCCTTCTTGAGCTCCTCCGCCGTCGACGAGAGCGGGTCCAGCGGCCAGTTTCTCGTCCGGCCGCTCGCAATGATAACGCTGTCGTACGGAATCTCCACCTCCTCCGCCGGCTTCGTCGGCCTGTACCTCTCCGGCAGCCGGCCCTTGTCGAGCTTCCCGATCTGCACCCTGGCAACGCTCTCCAGAAGCTCGGTCACGTGACCCTGCACAAAGTGCAGCTTGAGGTTGGGGTTGTACGTGAGCTCCTCGGCGGCGACGCCGACGTGCGGCTTGTCGCCGTTCTCGCTTCTCAGCACCTTTTTCGTGTCGAACGGCATGTCCTCCTGCAGCCTGATGGTGTCCCAGTACACGTTGGCGCGCTCAAACGAGACGAACGACTCGGCAGCAAACTCGGGATCAAGCACCGCCTTGGGGATGCCGAGAATATTGAGGATTCCGAGCTTGGGCTCGACCAGCGTGACGTCCAGCTGCTGAGTCAGGTTCTGGGCCTTTTTGATGATACTTTTCAGGGCGCCGAGGCCCCCGAAGGACCCTCCGATAATCAGGATACGAGGCATGGAGAGCAGTGAAAATTGCCCTGATTTTTAAATGATTTTCAGGGGCCCCGATATTTCCGCCAACGTTTATCGCCGGCCCTAAAGCCGACGGCTCTAAGACGGCCCAGACGTGGGGCGCCCTTTGTCCAGGAGCGACGGAGTTGGCTTCCTGCCAATATATATCCGCCAGGAGTTCCGCGCCCTCGCGTATATGCATGCCGGCAGTTCGTTTCTAAGCCCATGTATCGTTTCATTTTTCTGTGTGGGGAAGCGCGTCAAATATTTCCTAATGCGTATTTTTCGGTCTCCCCATTTATAGGCCCCCGATCCCCCCATCAAACTGCGCACTCTCCATGACTTACAACGGCATCCCAAACCCGTCCCTCCAGGTCACCAAGGACCACACCCTCGAAATCAAGGAGGCCCCCGTCGAGCGGCCCGGCGCAGGCGAGGCCCTCGTCCACATCAAGGCTACCGGTATCTGTGGCTCGGACGTTCATTTCTGGAAGCACGGCCAAATTGGCGAGCTCAAGGTCCTCGGAAACTGTGTTTTGGGCCACGAAGCTGCCGGCGAGGTGGTCGAGATCGGCGAAGGCGTCACGAACGTGAAAGTCGGCGACAGAGTGGCCATCGAGCCGCAGATGCCGTGCGGCCAATGTTTCCTGTGTCTCCAGGGAGACTACAATCTGTGCGAGGAAGTGGACTTTCTGTCTGTCTATCCGTGCCACGGCACAATGCAGCGGTTCAGAAAGACCAAGGCCACCACGCTCTTCAAGATTCCCGCCAGCATGACGTTTGAGGAAGGCGCTCTGTGCGAGCCGCTCAGCGTGGCCTACCACGGGATCGAGCGCGCAGAGCTCGAGCTGGGCCGTGGAGCCATGATCTGCGGAGCCGGCCCCATCGGTCTTGCCACGCTCGTGCTGGCCAACGCGAGCGGAGCCGCTCCGCTCGCGATCTCCGATCTGTCGGCAGAACGCCTTGCGTTTGCGAAAAAACTCGTTCCAAGAGTCCAAACGTACCAGATCGACCCGAAGCTGAGCCCGCAGCAGAACGCGATTGGCGTCCGGAAACTTTTCGGGCCAACAGAGGAGGACGCGCCGCCAAGAGTGCTCGAGTGCACGGGTGTCGAGAGCAGCATTGTCACCGGAGCCTACATCGTGAGACGGAGCGGCACGCTGATGGTGATTGGCGTGGGCAGAGACATCATCAACAACTTCCCGTTCATGCACTTGTCTCTGGGAGAGGTGGACGTCAAGTTCATCAACAGATACCACCAGTCGTGGCCTGCGGTGATCAGACTGATCAGCGACGGCATAGTTGACGTGCAGCAGTTTGTGACGCACCGGTTTCCGCTTGAGAAGGCGGACGAGGCAATCAAGCTCTCGAGCGACCCGAAAAACGGCAGCATCAAGGTCATCATCGAGGACCAGCTCCGTGTGCTGTAGCGCCAGACGTTTCCGAATGAGGAAGTACTAGCCGCTCTCTGCTCGAAAGTGACTAGCCACACGAAAATCTGTGGCTGGAATAAATATGTTTAAGTATACTAGACTCATGCGTTGTAGTGTTCGGGGAAAGACCGTGCTTGTCACCGGTGCGTCTGCGGGTATCGGTCTTGAGGCAGCGCGGGCATTTGCCGACGAGACAGCGGGCGACGTCAGGCTGGTTCTGGCGGCCAGACGAATCGACAGACTCGAGAAAACGAAAACAAGCCTCGAGGAGCTGTATCCGGCGATAAAGGTGTTTGTCGCGCAGCTGGACATCCAGAAACCGGATCTCGTGCGACAGTTTGTGCTGTCGTTGCCGCAGGAGTTTTCTGAGATCGACATTCTGGTGAACAACGCCGGTGTCGCTCTGGGAAGAGACCCCGTAGGGACGGGCGATCCGGGCGCTGTGCAGACGATGCTGGACACCAACGTGCTGGGTCTGATCACGCTGACGCAGGAGATTGTTCCTGGCATGCGCAGGCGGAACCGCGGCGACATTGTCAACGTTGGCTCGATCGCCGGACGGACGCCGTACCCCGGCGGCGCGGTCTACTGTGCTACCAAGGCCGCGGTGAAGTACTTCACGCGGAGTCTGAGAAAAGAGCTGCTGGACACGAGAATACGAGTTATGGAGGTTGTTCCGGGCGCAGTGGACACAGAACTGCGTTATGTGAGACACGGAGGAGTGCGGTCGGAGCTGGAAGATAAGTTCATGGGCGAGAACCCGCTGGCAGCGGTGGAAATTGCAGACTTCATTGTGTACGCCTGCACGAGACGCGAGAACACCGTTATCGCAGAGGCCGTCATTGTGCCCACGTATCAGTCGCGCTAGGTTTCAGATAATCTATATATTTTCATATTATTTCGTAAATGCTTATCAGATAAAAAAAAAGCTTATCAATTTCCAATATCTCCGTCTATTTCCACATGAGAGTCACCGTGGCCTGTGCTGGATGCCGGCTGAAAAAAATCAAGTGTGTCCACAAGGGCCGCGCGCCGTGCCAGAACTGTCAGACACGCGACGGCAGCGACGAGTGCCGGCTGTTCACCACGCAGGAGTTTCGCAAGTACAAGCGGGCCAACACGGTGCTGCTCAAGATCGACAGCGGCAAGCTGGCTCTGTCGGAGAGTCTGGTGAACACGTGCATTGAGATCACCGTTCAGAACCACCCGGAACTGGTGTTTCTGTACTTTCCGCCAAACATCAACCTGTTCCGGCTACTCGACCCGGTGGTGTGTCTTGGTCTCTGTGCCCTGAGCTCGCCGTATCTGGAGAAATCCCCCGAGAACTCAGAGTTTATCGCCGCGTTCGAGGCCAAGCTGCTCGAGAAGCTCGACGACAAGGCCAGCATGGACTACCTGGTGCTGCTGCAGGCAAGCGTCATCTGGCTGCTGCTCAACTGGCAGACCGGAAAAACCCATAAGGGATACCTGTTTGGCGGGTTTGCCGACCGCGTGTATACGACGCTGACCAACCAGAAGAGCACCAGCGGCTCGCTGATTGAGCAGGAGTTCTACATCCGCAGCATCTGGGCCTACCAGCTGACGTGTCTGTCGCTGCGCGAGGGATACACGGACGGCCGCGCGCGCCTGACAAAATACAGGCTCCCGATGCCGAACAAGGACCTTCTCTTTGGCCACACGGGGCCGTCCAAGTACCTCGGCGATATCAATCTCAGCCAGACGTCGGAGCTGCTCTATTTATTTGTGTACACCACGGATATCTGGACAGACAGCAACACGTGGATTTTTAAGGGGGGCCGCAACCACTACAGGGAGGCGCCGTGGGACCCGGCCAGCAAGTGGCACAGTCTGAACATGCGGATAGAGTCGCTGGAGGCGCAGCTGGGGCCCAAGGAGAAGTTTTCGCTGTCCAACCTCGAGGCCCATTTTTCTCTCGGCGAAGGAACTATTTTCTGCTACCTGCATCTGGGAATACTTATTTCCAAGATCCTGATTCGCCGCAACTACTTCCCGTTTGTGCCGCTCGACCAGACCGGTCCCAAGGGCCCGCAGCCGCTGCCGAAAGAGCTCTGTGGCGCGCCCAAGGGCTGGTGGAAAGAAAACGCACACACAGTCTTCGACTGCAGTCGCATGATAGCCACCATTTTCGACGAGCTGCAAAAACGCAAAAAACTGTTCTGCAACTCGTACTCCGGCTACTGCGGCCTCACGGCGGCGTCCATGCTCATATACGCGCACAACTTCCCGTCCTACGACCCCTCGTTCCACGACGCAGACCTGTACTACCAGTACTGTCTGGATTTTTTGAAATTCTACAAGGCGCACTGGGAGCTGGGCTCGTACTACTACGATTTTCTGCGGCACACGCGGCGGATGCTGGAGGCCGCGGCAAGCAACAGGATCGAGATAGCCAGCATCTCCGCGTTTGAGAACATGAAGGACGAGCTGATCGAGGTGGCCAACGTGGCTGCTCCGCTGCCCAAGACCGACCGGCTGAACATCGAGAGCCTGCTGCGGTCGCCAAAGGTGCCGCACTCGCCCGCAGAGGACGTCGACTGGCTCAGCGCAAACATGGCGTGGGACTTTGGCTGGTCGAACCTGGGAGTCACTTTTACGGACTATACGTGTTAATCAAACTATATTGGCGAGGTGCACGAAAAAGAGGTGGCCGGAGTGGTGGCGAAAATGGCCTTCATGTACTCCACCGAGCCGTAGAGCCCCAGACAGGCAAACGAGAGCGACGCGAGGGTCAGACAAACGTAGAAGACCGTGATGAAGCCGTGCTGCCGGAACCCGTTCTTGACAAACGCCGCGAACGGCCGCTGGTAGCCGGTGGCCTCCATGGTGGCCTCGTTGTAGTCCTCGATGAGCTCGGCGTTGGTCTTCATGAACGCCGCCCAGATGTAGAACCAGAACGGGATCACGTAGGTCAGCGGGATCATCGTCAGGGCAGACGTGAACGCCGAGATGGAGGCCACGTTCGGAACCCCGGTCGCCACGATGTAGATGATCACCCAGACGACGGCCGTGGCCGCGTACCACAGCAGCTGGCCCTTCCTGGTGCGCACATCGAGATCGTGGAAGATCTGCGGCAGGTAGTTCTTGTAGATGATCTTTGTGTTCACGTGACCGTAGAACACGGCCTGGAACACGCCCACGACGAAGGTGACCACCGAGAGGCCCTTGAGGGCCGTCATGTCGGAGAGGCCGAAGACGGACGGCGAGTTGGAGAACTGGCCCTGTTTTGCGTACACGTAGTTGCCGTAGACGAGGTAGATGCACACGATGGCGGTCTGGGCGGCGATCATGGACTTCCAGAAATCCCACGGTCTTTTCATCTCTGAGATGATCTCCGGGAACACCACAGAGCCGGCGAAGACGTACGAGATGTTGGACACCGCCACGAGCTTGTTGACGAGCAGCTGCGGGGCCACCACGTACGTCACGATGGTGTCCTTGTCGAGCCCGAGCAGGTTTTTCGCGTTGGCCCAGTTCGGCTCTCCAAAGTAGCCCATCTGCACGAACAGGTTCACGTAGTTGATTGCCGACACGACGAGGCAGAACTTGCCGACGTTGCTGAACGTCTTCAGGCTTGAGATCACCCCCAGGGCCGCGCACAGAGCGATCAGCAGGCCTGTCCAGCAGTACCTTGCATCCTGCAGAATGACCATCGACTCAAGCGAGCTGATAGCTATGTTGGCTGCCGTGAGCAGCATGGCAATCACCTGGAGAAAGATGACGATCTGCGCCCACGTCTCGCCGCCCAGGATCCGGGCAATCTCGGAAAACGACTTCACAGGGTACTCTGGCGAGTCGAAGAGAAGAAACAGCCACCAGCAAATTCCACCAGCCATCAGAGTCAGGAAGAAACACACCACCAGAATCAGGTTGCCGGGAACATACCCAACCAGCGAGTACGAGTTGGGGATGAGCGTGGCGCCCATGATTTCCGAGGTGAGCAGACCGGCACAGGCCAGCCAGTGCGACGATCGGATCGCCAGCTTCTCGTTCTTCCAGGTCTGGTACGAGTCGGTCTTGGGCTCCAGCGTCTTGATGTAGAGCGTGCTGTGCACCCAGTCGTGCCACCAGCCAAGCGAGGAGTCCTGCCGCACTTCCTGGTACTGTTTCTCGAGAGATCTCTGGGCATAGAATAGCCTGGCTGCAATAGACGGCTCACCCAGAACCGGCTCCACAGAGTGGGTGCTGTGGTACTCGACGTCGACGGTGACTTTGTCTTCCTTCATTGGGTGTAGAACGGATCAATCGCGGAACTTATATTCTTATTTTTTTGCTCCAAGATAAGCAGCCTGCAACCGTTATCAGCTTATCTGGGTTTTTTTTTTTCTCATTTTCGAAATTCGGCTACACATTCGCGGACGCACTAAGCAACCAACCAACCTTGATTGTCTCTTATCAGCTTGCTCGCCGTTCTTTCCCGCACACCAACTGCAACACTGCACCTCTCACTCTCCTCAACCATCACGTTGTCGCCCGAAGTCAATCCTGGCAAAATGGTTGCACTGGTAGCTATCCAGCTGTTGTCGCCCATAATCGCCCTGCAAGAGAAGTCCATGCCGTCGCCTCGGCTTCCTGCGTCCAGCGGGTGGTCCGCAGTCATGATGCGTGTTCGCCCGGTCTGGAAAACGTTCCATCAGCGACATGTCCAGAATCACCGCATTGGCGTTGATGTAGAGATTGTCGTCAGCAATGATCGAAGCCGTGGTCGCCAAAGGGTGGTCTGATGAGTTTCACTGCACCGTCTTAGAGATTTTTGCTATTGCTGTGCGTGCTGTTTTCAGCTCTTAAATCTATAATCGTCCGGGATCGTCTGCTGGAGCCGGGAGCATCTGGCGGGTCAAACCAGGCACTCTAGAGCAGCCCAGCAATCGAGTTGTAAACCCATCATCATTTTGCCATATTCTGGCGTGCTGGAGACGGTTGGTTTTTTGAGTGCCAGATTTGTGAGCTCACGGGTATCTGGGATTGACCATAAATATATTTATCGTCGCTCACCGCCACGCGTAACCCCACTAGCCACTGTACTCATGTAAATTATCCCCCGCCGCGAAAACTATTTCCCCCACCACCGCCGCGTATATAATTCTCGTCAGATCTCCATTGCAGCAAAATGGTTGCCGAAAAAATTAGCTGGGACTCCATCCAAGGCAAGGAACACCCGGTGCTCTCGCCGGGCTTTGTGAGCAACGGCCACGTGTTTACGTCGGGCATCATTGGCTCAAACTACGCCACCGGCGAAACCCCAGAAAAGGTCGAGGACCAGGTCCATCTGGCCATCAAGAACCTCGAGAACGTGCTCAAGGCTGCCGGCTCCTCTCTCGACAAGGTGTTCAAGGTGACCATGTTCATCTCCCACGCAGAGTACTCCAAGGTCGTCAACGAGATCTACGGCCAATACTTCCCGCAAAAACCGGCCAGAAGCTGTGTCGTGGTTGCATTTATGGATGCTGCTATTAAATACGAGCTGGAGGCTGTGGCCACACTGGACTAATAAAATATTTAGTACATCCACCTGTAGTTTGGGTTCGAGGGCCCTTCGGCGAGTAAGTACGTGGGGACGTCTCTGTACGTCCAGGAGACGCCCTGGGCCCTGTTTCTGCGACGGTTGTCCAGTACCATAAACGTCCAGATGCTGGCCACCGCGAGAATGGCAGCACCGCCAAACCCGGCCGTGATTCCCAGGGCAGGCACGTATTTCGGCGCGTCCTTCGCGCGGAAGATGTTGGTCGAGATGAGCCCCGCAGCGTTCGCCAACGGCACGCCGACGGCAGAAATCACCACTCGTCTGTTCTCGTTCGGCGTGTTGTTGTTGTACCACGTGGAGGTGAGCACCGACGACGCCGACGAGCCGGTCGTCATCAGGAAACACGAGAAGTACGCCACGCCGATGTGTGCCTGCGTGTCGATGCAGCCAAACACGACGAACCCGATCAGCGTGGAGGCCACGGCCAAGACAATGAAAACGGACCGCACGCGCAGCAGGTCCGACGCGAAGCACCAAAAAATCAGCGCCACGGCCCCCCACACGTTGGGCGCGACCGTGTACAGGTTGGTCATGACGGTGCCCTTGCCGAGCGACTCGATGATCTGCGGAAACCAGTTGTTGATGGAGTTGAGCGGCACTCCTATGAAGATCTCCTCGAACATCCACGCAATGGCGACGGGGTGTCTGAACACCTTTATGGCGTCCACGAGCGACACTTTCTCGGTGGACAGCGAGGACGAGTCCGTGCGGATCCGCCAGACGGCACACTCGCGTTCTTCCTCGGTGAGAAAGGCCGCTTTTTCGACCGTCCGCGGCAGGTAGAAGAACGCAAACACCGCCACAATCACGGTAGCTCCGCCCTCGACCAGGAACAGAATCTGCCACCCGTGGAGTCTGTCTGTTTTGATCTGGAACAGGCCGAACGCCAGCAGCCCGGAGAACGCGTTGGCGATGTTGGCCGCGGCGTAGAAAATCGACAGCCGTCTGGCCAGCTCGCCACGGCGGTAGAACGTACTCAGGTAATAGATGATGCCGGGAAAAAACGCCGACTCGCACACCCCGAGAAACCATCTCGCCGCCATGAGCGAGCCGTAGTTGAACACCGACACGGCGAGCAGCGTGATGCTGCCAAACGTGAACATCAGGCACGGGATCACGTTGGCGGCGTTGTAGCGTTTGATCAGCAGTGAGAGCGGAAACGCACACAGCACAAACGGGATGTAGAAGATGGACAGCATGTTGTTCCATTGCTGGCCCTCGATGCCCAGATCAACGTCCAGCTTGTCTGTTTTTGCGTTGGAAATATTGCCCTTGTCGAGCGCGTTGAACAGATACATTACCGTGATGAGCGGCAGGATCCTGATATCGAGCTTCCAGCAGATACGACGCTCGAGCTTGTGGTCGAGCACGCGCACCGGCTCGCCGGGGACGTGTTCTTTGTCGTCTGTGACGCGCTGTTCAAGGGACACAACGTCGACAGTGTCGTGCAGTTTTGGCTCCATGGTTGAGTGGTGGAAGCCATGGTGTATCGCTATTTATATCTTACCCCGTATTTGTGAGCTCTTATCGTGTCCCCCACCAGGGCGCGGGGAGATAACGTCGGCAATTGCGAAGCAAGTCCGCAGAGGCAGTTCGGCAGACAACAGCACCCGAGCCTATCTGGGCTTCTCGCAGAACATAGCCAGAGACTTGCGTGGGGGAGGGGGAGGTCCATATCGCCGGCCCGCCACTATTTTTTATTTTTGCCAGTGGTGCACCACCAGATGCAGCAAGCCCCAAGGAAAAGAGGCCCTCGAAAATTGGGGCTCTACGTGTGCGACTTCCCCGGCTGTGGTAAGCAGTTTTCGCGGTCTGACCACGCGAAACGGCACGCGCGCAACCACACTGGCGAGAGCCATTTCCATTGCGAGGTCCCCGGATGCACGGCAGAGTTTACACGGCTCGACATCAAGACAAAACACCAGAACCGGCACTTTCGTCGGCTCGATCGCGAGAGCGAACTGCCAGAAGCCGTCTCCGGCGACGCTGACGGCACACAGCGCAAAAGCTCGTCCCCCGCTGGGCAAACGGGGCCAGATGAAAGGTCAGACACCAGTAAAGATGCGATATCGCAGCCTACACCGCAGACCGGGCCTTTTGCCACCAACGTGGGGGACCCTGCGCTTGTGTCGCCGTCATTCTCGCCGTCCCGCCTGATACGGTGGATGATGCACGATCTAGCAGAGGTGTCGCCCAGCCACGCCGACCACCAGACCTCTCAGGGCCCGTTGTTTGCCGACTACCACCAGCTCGGCGCAGACACCGCCACGATGCTCAACGAGGTGCTCGCAATCACGCCCGAGTTCCCCAACGCCAACTACCAGACCGACGTCGACGAAAACATCCTGCTGCACATGTCGCAGCGGCTTCCAACGCTCGAAGGACACCCGGACTTTGAGGTCTCCAAGGTGCGCTTGTTTCTGAAACTGTACTGGAAAATGTACCATTCGCAGTACCCCATTCTACACAGACCGTCGTTCTCCACGTTCCAGGTTCATCCGCTGCTTCTGCTGGCCATGGTGATGATCGGGGCCTCGTTTGCGAAAAAATGCCCGATTCCAGAAGACGTGCAGCTCAGCGATCCTGACGGCCTGGCGGACCTGGTTGCGTACCCGCTGCGGTGGCTGATTTTCTCGTGCGACGAGGCCAAGCCTGGCTGCAACTCGTGGGTGATCCAGAGCCTGCTGATGCTCGAGACGTACGAGATCACAAAGACGTCGCGCCGGCTGCACGAGCGAGCATGCATTTATAACGGCACCAAGATCCAGCTTTTGCGCAGAAGCCCGATCCTGGGCGGCGACCCACTTAAGGGCGGCAGCGCTGACCCGAGTCACTCGAACAGCCTGTGGACGACGTGGATCGAGAGCGAGTCGATGAAACGCGCTGCGTGGATGTCTTTCTACATCGACACCATCCACGCAGTGGTTTACGGCCACCCGGTCAGCATCTACGACAGCCAAATAAAGCTCTCGCTGCCATGTCCGGACGATTTGTGGGAGTACGACAACTTCGACAGGAATAACGCGCCGGCCTCTGTGATGCAGATGCCGATTTTCACCGACGCTCTCACGCGGCTGCTCCGCAATAAGCCAGTCCAGACAGGGCCGTTTGGCCGCAAAATCCTGCTCGCGGGCCTGCTCAACCTCAACATCCAGATGAGCCAGAAAGAGTCGCAGCTGACGCTGCTGGGCTGGGATTCCAAGCGAGAGAACTGGAAATCCAGCATTGCGTCGGCTTTGGACCACTGGAGAGTGCAGTTGCCGCAGCGAAGCTGCTTCCACGCAGGCTCGTGTCTCTACCACGCAGACAGCGGGCCGGAGCTGTTGCCGCCCTCTTTCAACGCCCACGATACTAGGTGCAAATTTCCCGAGTACCACTCAGCACAGACACATCTCTGGATCACCCACTACGACTACATAGTTTACGCGGGGGCGCCAAAACGGATGAACGTTCCGGTCTTGACGGAGGATTACAACGTGGTGGTGCGGCGGATTGCCAAGTGGGCTCAGTCCAGTGCGGGCGCAATCTGCACCATCAACTCGTACATCCTGCTCTTCGAAATGCTACTCTCGCCAGAAAGTAGCACTGACCAGGTGAATTACGTCTACGACGCAGACAAGGACCCGTTTATCTACCGGCCGAACGTGATTGTGTCGGCGACGTTGTCGTTGTGGGCGTTTACGTTTTTCAACTACGGCCCAGAGTCGCAGTTCATGTCGCCCGAGTCCAGAATCGAGCTAGACGGGGACTTTGCCCCAGCGATGGAGGACGCATACGCTTATTTGCGGCGGATTCGCACAGAGCTTGCCAAGGAAACTGGGATTCCGTTCAGAAAACTCAGCCAGATGGACCCGGACCAGTACAAAAAAGCGGTGGCCGAGTACGCTGCAGCTCTGTCTCGAGTCTCGCACACCAATAACATGGTGGGGCTGCTGCTCGCGCTGGCCGCTGGCTACCGGAATGGCAAGTGGGAAATTGGCCGTGAGTACGCGAAACTTCTCCGCAACTGCGCCCAAAGAAGCATGGGCAGCCCGGTGGTGTTCTGTACGAATATGTACGAAGATAATTAATTGTGCAGCGCCCCCCACAATTTATCTCCTCAGTGGTGGGGGGCATAATTATTGAAAGAAAGACCAAGCTATGAGTTTTGTAGCTCACTATCTTTGCCCATGACTCTAGAAAAGACACTCAAAGACGGTATCTACTCGCCGGTGCCAACATTCTTCAAGACCGACGCTGCCCAGTCTCTCGACACTGCCACGCAGCAGGAACACGCGCGGCTGCTCTATCGCAGCGGCATTTCGGGGATCCTGGTGGGAGGCTCCACGGGCGAGGCAGTCCACTTGCCATTGGAGGAAAGAGCGGCCATTGTGAAGTCGGTTAGAGACGCTGTTCCAAACTCCTCGTTCAAAATCATCGCTGGCGGCGTCGGATCCTGTGTTCCTGAGCTCTGCCACCAGGCTGCCGTCTACAAGGAAAACGGCGCCGATATGATGATTGTGCTTGTTCCCGGCTACTACGGCCCTGCTATCACCACCCAGAGCGGTCTGGAGGCCTGGTTCCACGACCTGGCAGACAATTCGCCGCTGCCTATAGTTGTGTACAACTATCCGGGAGTCCAGAACGGCATTGATCTGACTGGCGAGACATTTACCAGGATCGGAATGCACAAGAACATTGTCGGTTGCAAGCTGACCAACTTCAACTTCCCGTTGTACACGATGCTGGGCCAGAACGAGAGGCTCAAGGCGTCTGACTTTACTCCTCTGTCGGGCGTCGGACAAGTCCTTGTTCCGTCTCTTTCAGTGAACGTCAACGGAGCAATCGACGGGTTCTCCAACGTGTTCCCCAAATGCCTGGTCAGAATCATGGAACTGTACAAGTCGCACAGGTACAAAGAGGCGCTGGAGCTCCAGGACATGATTGCGAGAATCAACGAGTTGACGGCTGCCACCAATCTGGTTGGTCTCAAGTACGCGCTAAAATACAAGTACGGCTTGGGAGAAACCGAGGTTGGGCGCCCCCCACTCAACCACTCCATGGACATGGACGCGTGGAAGAAACACCTGCCGTTATTCGAACAGCTCTCCAAAATTGAGGACTCTTTATAGCTACATACTACCATCCTCTATATGGCACCCAAATGTCCACCACCGTGTTGCCGTCTTCAACAACGTAGTACCATGGATACGACGCTGCCGTGATACAGCTGTGCTGCGGAATAATGCTGACCACGGTGCCTGTAGGAATCAGCTTTGTGTCTTTGTCCTCCACAGGCGTCAGAATCCCGTGCTCCTGGCTGAGCCGTCCCACGGTCCAGTTTTCGTATCCTGGTGGAGACACAACTCTGCCGAACCCTGTCAGCGGGCCAGACTCGCGTGCCAGCGCTATAACGCCGGCATTGATCAGCTGCTCACCGGGAGCCTTGGGGCCTCTTCCGGGGTAGGCAGAAACAACTTCGGCCATAACTTTGCAGGCAACATCGGACACCTCGATACAGCCCGTGGCCAACTGCTGCAGGTCGCAGAACGGGTAGTTTCCCGCGTGCAGCTCCAGATTACCAAACAGCTGGCCCACAGAGCTGAGGTCGAAATGTTCCGCCGCATGGGCCGTCGGAGTGGCGCCAACGGACATCTGGAGCTTCCCCGAGCTGTCGAACCTGAGCGCCTCTTTGCACGCCTCGTTCACGCTCGAGATCTCAGAAATCAAGAAGGATTGTGCCTGCTCAAAGTTCCTGGACGTGTACGAGTGGCCGGCATGGCAGTAGAAGCCGTACAGCGAGACCGTCTGGGTGATATCTGTCTTGAAGATTTTTTCAAGCAGCCCCCCAATCGAGCTGGGCAGGAAACCGGCCCTGTCGGTGCCCATGTTGATTTTGATGAAGACGCTCCATTTTTTCGACAGCGAGTGTTTTTTGCTGTAAGCAGCCAGAATGTCCAGCTGCTCCAGATTGTCCACCATCAAGCGCAGGTTCTCAACCTTGCCGCTGAGGTCGGAAAGCTCTTCGAGCCGGCTGGAAACGACCGGCAGACTGAAAAGAACGTCCTTGATCAGACCCTTGGAGATAAGCGGCAGGAGACCCCAGGCCTCTCTGAGCGTCGACACAACAATCTTGTCGGTCTTGTATTTGCCTGTACCGAGCTGCAGCGCTGTTCCCTCGAGGGTTTTGTGGGTTTTGACGTGGGCACGGAAATCTGCGCCGAGGTTGTGAGCGTTCTCGAGCATTTTGTCCGAGTTTCTCTTGAACGTCGCCCTGTCGACCACAAAGGCCGGCGTAGGCAGGGACTCGACGCTGACGCCTTTGTAGGCCTTGAGCAGCTCGTCTTTGTTGGACATACCAGTGAGTTCAGATGGGTACTTCATGGGTATAGCGCAAAGTGAATAATTTTGTCCGACTTTTATCAGTGCGCGCGCATCTGCGCCCCCACCGCCGCAAATTAACTCCGCACGATAAGCAGAAAGAAAATATATATTAGCTCCATCAGCTCGAATTGCTCAGTCCACCATCATGTCCTCCTACTCTGTCACCCTCAATCCCGACAACTCATGGCCCGAGCCGCTGAGCGAGCTCCCGCTCAGGATCCACCCCTCAATGGCCGGCAAGCTCGACCCGGAGTACGTCAAGTTCTTTGAGGAAGAACTGTGCAACAGGCCAGACATTCTGGAGACACACAAGTTTCCGCTCGAGAAAACCAAGGCGGGTGGAAACGTGATCCCCGGACAGGCTCTGCCAAAAGAGATGGCGCAAATCTACGACATCCAAATCCCTAGAAAACACACCTCGGCCGAAAAACCGGTTCCGGCCAGGGTTTTCGTCCCCCAGGGCACTCCGCCCGCCGCAGGCTGGCCGTGCACCATATGGTACCACGGGGGCGGCTGGGTTCTTGGCGGCATCGACACGGAAAACTCGTACTGCACACATCTGGCCGACAACGCCCGGTGTCTCGTTATCACGGTCGACTACCGACTGGCTCCCGAGTCCCCGTTCCCTGCGTGTGTCGAGGACGCGTTTGAGGCTCTATTGTACGTCATGGACACTAAAGACCTCCCTATAGATAACACGAAAGTCTGTGTTGCCGGATCGTCTGCTGGCGGCAACCTGGCAGCCATAATGACTCACAAATACGCCAGCTCTCGTCTGAGCAAAGAGTACCCGCCACTCAAGTTCCAGATGCTGGTTGTCCCGGTGACGGACAACTCCGCAACGGGCGAGACACAGCCGTCGTGGAGAGAAAATAAGTACACTCCGCAGCTGCCTGCTGCCAAAATGCTGTGGTACCGTCAGTTATATCTGCCTCTTGCGGGAGACACGCTGACGACTCCCGAGTCGAGTCCGCTGTTCTACCCAGACGAGAGCTTCAAGAGCGTTCCGCCGGCGTTCATTGCGGCCGCGGAGTGCGACGTGCTCCGGTCGGAGGCCGAGGCGTACAGCGAGAAGCTGGTCAAGAATGGTGTTGAGAGCAGGATTACCGTCTACAAAGGAGTGCCGCACACGGCCATGGTGATGAATGCGCGGCTGAAACAGGGCGCAGACCTGGTGAGAGACACGACGGGGGCGGTCAGAAACGCTTTTTATGGGGAATGATCGTAGGTGCAGTAATTATTTTTCCTTCAGCTACCTAAATACAAAAAAATAACCGTACCCTGTTGTGAAAATAGTTTTATACATGTAAACACCTTCTGGTCAGAGCTCTGCTGGAGTTTCCCTGTTTGGCACCGGAAACGGCCGTGGCGATGTCCGTTAAGTTGGCGTCGGCGTCAAGGTCGATGAGTGGCGCATAGTACTTGTTTCGCGTGTTGCCGCTCTTGATCTGCGCAATGTACTGCTCCTTGCACCCGTTCGTGGTGCACACCTCGGATGCCGAGGAGCTCTTGGACATGTACTTGCTGTAGAGCTCAAACGCGGTGTTGTTGGTCTCCAACACCTGCAGCACTCTCTCCCAGAACGTTGCGTTAAGCGGACTGGTAGCTGGCCACGACGGATAGTATTCTCTGGCCGAATACTCAAGCTGCCACTTTGGCGGCGTGCTGTTGTCGGTGGCTGCTATGTCCGCGTAGTACGTGAGCGAGTCGACCACCTCGTACGTATTTGGATCCACCTTGTACACCCTGTAGCCGGTGTTGAGGTCTGTGAAGGTGGTGATGGACGGAGCCAGGTACTGCACTCCGACGGCTGTGCCCTGCGAGTCGTAGTTGAGAATGAACTTGTCCTCGTGGCTGTGGCCAAAGAATTGGGCCTTGATGATATCCGAATAGTCCACCACGATGGAGTTGTACAGGTTCGACCACGGCACGATGCAGTCGGCGTCGCCCGGCGCAATGTGCGCCTGGATCCAGACAGACTCGTTCCGCCGCTTGCTGTCGCTCAGCTCGTTCACCAGCCACTGCAGCTGTCCGTTCGGATCAAGGTCGGCACCGCTGTTGTACAGGATGTAAAAGTTGAAGTTGTAGCAGTCGACAGTGTTGAGGTTGATGAGCTTGAGCCCCGGAGCAGGACGCACAGCATACACGCCGTGTGAGTTTTCAAACTGTCGCACGGTGGCCGTCGGCAGCCACTGCTGGAAGTAGCTGCCCAGACTGTCGAGGGCCCATTGGTTGCTGAGATTGCCGATTTCCGCTGGCTCTAGGAGATTCACCGGGGCGGTGTCGTGGTTGCCCATAGTGCCGTACAGCGGCGACTTTATGTACTTTGCCAGCGTGCTGTAGATCTGAAACGCCTCCGTCACGGTCGTTGCGTTGTCGTACCAGACGTTATGTGGGGGAACGTCCCCCGTGAAGAGCGCAAAGTCCGGTGCCCCGCCAATGGTGGCCTCCAGGTTCTCGCCAAAGCTCTGCACCAGATCCAACGGAACGTCGCATTGGTACGCTCCAAACCTGGTCGCCGGGGTCTTGGCGGTGCTGGACTCCTGCGTGCGCGCCTCGCAGCACAGCGGATAGTCGCAGTCGGCCTCCGAGCCCACTAGATAGTCCGGGTCGTAGTGGATGTCGGAGATGTGCAAAACTGTCAGCACGTTTTTGGAGGTCGCATTGGAAGCGTAGTTGGTGACGGCACCGGAGACGGCAGACGGAGCAAAGTCCATGGTGTGCGGCTCAAAGTCCGGACACGTGGTGAGGAAAGAGTTGCAAATGAGCTCGCCGCCATAGCCCAGAAGCGAGTCGGAGGAGCTGGTGACCATCTTAAGTACCACAGGGCCCAGCTCTGTCACCACGCCGTCGCAGACGTCCTCTTTCTGGAAGCCCTGGCAGATGTCTTTTACAATTTCCAAGGTCAGGTCCTCGCCAATAATGTCCACGGCAGCGTTCACTGCTACAAGGGCAGCTTGGCACGCCGCGCACTCAATGCTCTGGCCTGCCTCGGAAACAAGATCCTGCCAGCCAAAGAGCGAGGGCATGAGCAGGTCCAGAGCGGAGTTCTGGTCGGAGCTCAAACTGGCTCGGGGATCTAGCTGTGCAAGGGCCAGGGACGAAAGAGCCAGGACACGAAGGGTTTTGTTTGCAAGCATAGCTACCGTCGGTGGTTTTGGGGGAATTTATAGTTCTGCGGTTTCGTCCACGTGCAGTCAATAGAGAGAGCGCATGCAGCTGTCGATTCTTAAATGTCATAGTGCCACAATACGACGAAACAAAACGGTTGCCGAGAATGGCCAGTTTGGAAGATTTCTGAGCACGTGCCTGGATCTTGCAGATTTTTAGTCCGAAAATGGGTGGGGGTATTGTGGACGTGGCGGAATGGTTGTGGTGGTGCAAGATCTTTTGCAATTCAGTAGCAGGCTCTACACTGGCTGGTGGAAAAGCAGGTGGTGCGTGTAGATCAGGGTGCGTCAATCTACGAGCATAACGTAGTTAGGTCAAAAAATATTCTCCATTAAGTGAATGCTTTGTGTCCTTTCAGATTCAAGAGAGCATGGGATATTGGTGTACTTTGATTGAAGTTTGGAACCTGAGAGGGACCAAGTTACTAAAAAAGTTTTAGGCATCAAAACCTGATTTCCAAGAAAACTAGCTAATACCGGCATTTTTTTTATTAATAATGTACGATTATAAAATTCATTTTTTACTCCCAAAATGGAAATTATGTTGATAAGATTTGGGAGAAAAACGCGATTGCAAACTACGCTCGAACTGGGTAGCGTAAGTGTGGCTACACGGTCTTACAGGCATATAGTCTACTAACCAGAGCAGTCAGACTTGTATTTGGCATAAACAACAATATGGTCAGCTTTGGACTTTGAACAATACATTTCTAAATGACAGCTTGACCAAAGATGCACGTTTTCATACACAGCACAAAAACAATTTAGGTGCTGTTTTAGCCATAGAACCTGCTTTCTCTCAGTTTTCGTGGCAAGACTCGTGGCATTCAAAACTTCAGCGGCATTTGTGACCTTAAAGGGTTCAGAGACACGCTGTACATGTGTTATGAGAATTTTTGGTCTCTCATAAGGCACACTCAAAGCAAGCTTCTTTATAGAAGCCGGCCTAATGAGAAGCGAGACTTATTCTAAATTCATACTAATGTGGCCGACCTCTGGAAGCAAAAGCTTGTGCTCCAAAAATCACATATCTGTTGCAGGTCACAAGGCCAGGAAATTGGGTGTTGCTCTCGCCCTAAAAACTTACTATGTTCGAAAGAGTCTTAGTAGTAGCTACTCCGCTACAGCTGTTTGGGACCAAACACACTATGCCTGATAGCTCCACACAGGTACATACGTGCAAACTTCGGGACAGTGCTTGAATCAATCTTGGTAACACTCCAAGATCTCTACAAATTGATAAGACTTGAAAATCTAGAAGCTACCAAAGTTAAGAATCGCAAAAAAAATGGACAGTTTGCTGTCCAGGCTGACAACTACGTCTGACAATGGTGCCCTATCGGACAAGCACAAGAAATGACTGAAAGCTTAAATCCTGCCGTCCCTTGTAAATGACATTCAGTGGTTTAGGTCGACTTCCGCAGCACAAAACCATTGCCGTTGACGAGCTGCTTGGGTGGTGCAAAAGACTCAAAATTTCATAGCTCACTCCAATTTTGGCCGATAGCGCAACTGCCAAAAGCGGAAAATTGAGTTTTTGCTTATCAACAACCTCATGAGATAAGCTCAGCGGGGTTCACACAGCACTGGCAGCTAAGCCATATTATATGAACTCCGCCGTTCCCTTCTCACCTCAAATGACGGCACAGATTCCTGCCTCCTATCCCCAGCCACAAAAACAGCTCGGCCATGCAGTCAACTACCTAACTGGTAACCACGAATATGACATCCCCAAAGAAACCATTGACGGAGAAATTGCTCAGCTCCGTGAACGCCTAGAAAGCAAGCCGTCCTTCAATCCCAGCCTCATTTTTGATCCCGAAAAGCACCTAATCAAAACCCCAGATGTCAAGGTTTTCACGCTCCACGACTTGAAGATCAAGAAAACTCGCGTTGCGCCAGTATGCGATTTTGCCGCCACATACCCGTTCCCCCTACTGACCCAGGAGGCAGTGGATATGGTTCTCTGGGAGGCTTTGCGTCCAGAAGTTGTCGAAAAGTATGGCCGTCTTCCTAACCTCGCCAAAAGTGCTACCCGTCTCGACTTCCACATCGGCGGCCACTGCAGTCGCAGGGCCCCATTTACTCAGGCACTTTGGAACAGCGCAGAGCTTAAAGAAACCCTCGAAAATTTCACGAAAGTCAAGATGAAGCCGCTGTTTAGTGCTGGTCACTTCAACTTCTCCCTAGCGGAAAAGAACGCTGCAGAGCCTCCAAGAGAGGAGCTTCTCAAAAAATACAGCGAGCAGAGAAACGGCGACGACGTGCCCTCGTCGCTGGGAATGCACTACGACTCCTCGACGTTTGCTCTTGTTATTATGGCTGAGCTCGACGAGAACGCTATTGGAGGAGAGACCGGTATTGTCACCGGCGACAACAAGTTTGTGCGCGTGCCAGACCCAAAGGTTGGCTCTGCGACACTGATCCAGGGGATGGTGCTCAAGCACGTGGCCACTAAGCCTGTCTCTAATTCCAACCGTGTCACAGCAGTTGCTGGCTTCTGCGTGGCAGGGCCCGAAAAGCTGGATAACAGTCTTCTCACCAGTGTGAAGCCGTCAATTCTCCCGCGTCAGAAATACAACGAGTTCTACAACGACTGGGCGCAGTTCCGGCTCACAAACCTGGCCGAGCACATCTCGCACTACCGCGAGCAGCTCAAGACCGACGACCAGTTTGACCAGGAGGAATTTATTGCACACTGTCAGGAAATGGAGAAGTACCTGCGAAAGTGCTGGGACGAGATGGAGGCGTACCACAACCCTCCGTATCCACCGAGAGAGTTCCACGTCTCGTATGATGAGCTGTAAAATAATAAATTATAGGAAAAGAATATATTATAGCACATACCTATACGTAGGGGCATTGTCTCCTAGATCAGCCAGCTCCTCCAGGGAGAATTTGTCGACCTCTTCCTGAGACAGAGCGTCCCGTTTCCTGTTCTGCGACCTCAGATAGAAGTAGTTGCACATGCAGGGCACCATGGCACCGAGAACCGTGCAACCGACGGAAAACCCGAATCCCAGCGGATAGTAAGGAGCCTGGGAGTCGATATAAATATTCGAGCCAATTCCGCCGCCGCCAACGGACCCGAGAAGCATCATGAAGCCAATCGCCGAGGCCCGCTTAGTCGGGTTGGGGATGTTCAGGGACAGCCAAGCGCCGATTCCTGGGGCCTGCGCATTGTAGCCCGAGGCCGCAAGGAAAATAGCAAAATACGAAACGCCCGGCAGGTCGGGGTGGTGGACAGTGACCCATAGAATAATGATACCCACAAGGCCAATGGTGTAGCAAATCATAATAGTCCGAGCACGCTGCTGCGACCGGTCAGCCCAGATGGCCATGGCCACGGTGAGAATGGTAGCCGCAACATACGGCGGAGTGGTCATGGCCTGGGCCTTGATAGCCGAGTAGCCAAGGTTTTTGACCATGGTTGGCAGCGTGTAGGAAAGAGAGTACGTTGGCACAGAGCCTCCGAACCAAAACATAAGCATGACAAAGTAGACTTGCGGGTCCTTGAGAGCGTTCCAGGCCTGGCTCATCTCAAACTTTTGGTTTGTTCCTGCGGGCCCGTTATCGTATTTTTTCCGCAGATAAAGATAATCCAGCTCTCTATCAGAGAAAAACCTGATCTTGTCCTCTCCAGGGAAGTTGGGTAGCATGACATATCCGACAAGCGCAACAAGCACTGTTGCCACTCCTTCAATAAGGAACAGCCACCGCCAGGCACGCCAGCCTTTGGCATAGTCGAGATTACCGATCCCGTAGGCCAAAACTCCGCCAAACGCGCCGGCAAGCGTGTTGGCACCATAGAAAATTCCCATTCTCGTCTGAAGCTCGGAACGGGTGTACCAGCAGCTGAGAATGAAGTACGATCCTGGATAGATCACGCTTTCTGAAGCCCCAAGACACAACCGAATACCAATGTACTGATGCCAATTCTTCACGAAGGCCGTACACAGAGCCACAACTCCCCAGATGACCATCATGGAAGGCACCCAAAGTCTGGGACCAAACCGTTTGAGGGCGATGTTTGAGACGGGCTCAAACAGACCGTAGGTGAAGAATAGACACGTGAGGGCCAGGTTGAATTGCTCGCCGGTCATGTTGGTGTCTGTGAGAAATCCAAACAGCTTCGCGTTACCGGCATTTGACTTGTCGAGAGTACACCACAGGTAGCAAAAAGAAAGGTAAGGAAGCAAGCGCAGATCGATCTTGGTCAGCATTCTGCGTTTTTCCGCGGCATGGGCAGAGTAGTACTCCTCGAGCTCAAGGAGGTACTCGTAAGACGTCTTATAGTCTGTGTCGGTGGACACCTGAGTGACTTCAACGGGGCAACCTTTCTCCATACCAGAAGTCAGCAATTTTTTCGGTTTATATAGCTTATCTTATCTTATCAGGGAATTTTATTATTGTCGGCACCAAGCGCCGACGCACTGCATAGATTAGGTATACAGATACTCGTCGAGCCGCTCGTCGTCCGAATCTTCCTTTGCAGGAATTGGGCGATTGGCCAGCGGCGTCAGCCGGAACCCGTGCCGACGGTACTGGTCCACGGGATAGTCCAGGGTTTGGGAGTGGCAGGTGACTCTTTGGTCCCAGACCACTACGGTGCCCTTGTCGTATCTCACACGGCACGCAAAGTCCTGTCCGCGGATGATGTGGCTAAACAGAAAGTTCAGCAGAGCGTCGCTCTCCTCTTTCTGCATACCCACAATGCTCTCCGTGTAGACAGGAGTGACATAGAGAGCTTTTCTCTTGGTCACGGGATGGACCACCACAACAGGGTGCTCTGTCCGGCAGATGTTGCGTCTTTGGATTGCAGACATCCCGTTGTTGGTGACTTCTGCGTTGGCCACGCCGACGTTGCAATGGACAGCACGCAGGCCTTCCAATCTCTTTCTGAACTTTGGCGACAGACGCTCGTAGGCTCCGTAGCCACTAGAAAAAATAGTGTCTCCACCGGCTGTCGGAGGACACTCCAGCATGCACAGAATTGTAGTGCCTGGGGTCTGGGGCTCTGCCGATTGGTCAGAGTGGAACTGGATAGGACTGCGGCCTTTCCAGGACCGTCTCACACGCAAATCGTCTTTGTCGTCGTAGATTATCATGAACTCGGGTGGGCCGTTAGCGGGATGCGGAGCCCAGCCGTGGATGTGCAGAGGTCCAAAGTGACGGGCAATCTCAAGCTGTCTCTCGAACCCGATGTCCGCGTAGTCCTGGTCTCTGAAAACGACGACTCCACGCTGCGCAGCAAGCAGCGCAAGCTCGTCGAGTCCGGCTGGAGTCAGCTGCGAGAGCTGTGTTCCGCGGATCTCCGTGCCAATGGACGGAGATAGGTCCATGACCGTGGCAGTTTCGAGCAGGTTCGGCATTGCAGGGTCTGCTCTGTGGCCCGGGTCGTGGTGGACAAATTTGCCGATGTCCTCGACTTTCTCGAGCGGGTCGTAGAAAGGCAGGTAGTCTGGGTAGAGAGGGTTGGAAGAAGAGGGTCTTTGGATAGTGACGGTCATTGTTGGAGAGGAGAGAATCAGAGTTTGGTATTTAAATCAATACATATCCACCAGGTGCTCGGCGGTCGCCGACACTTACCGACGACTGCTGAGCTGTTTTTCGTGCTCCAGAATGCTGACAATGGCAGGATTACTGATAAGCTTTTCGGCGGCATTTGCCGACGCAGGCAGCAGCGGACTGCGGACATACGGCTCAAAGCCTTCGAGATAGTGGAGCAGGGCCTTCATGCCGGGGATGCCAGCGCTGGACGCTGCCGCGTCGGCGTTAGACACTAGCAGATGCAGCTTGTTGGCCTGGCTCAGAACTTCGGGAGTCAGTGGCTGCCGACACAGCTCCCAGAGTTTCTGGCAGGTTTTTGGAGCAAAGTTTGGGACGCCAGTGATTGCACCCTGTGCACCAACAATTATTCCTGGTAGCAGAAAATCAATAAAGCCGCATAGCGCGAAGAAGGGAATGCCCGTGGTGCGAGGACTGAGTGGCGACTGGGACACGCGGGCAAGTTTGGCAACAGAGGCACAGGTCAGCTTGCAGCCAGCCAAGTTGGGTGCTTTTTCGGCTATTCTGAGAATAAGGTCGCTGGACATGTCAATTCCGCCCGCAACAGCAGGAAAGTTGTAGATCAGAACAGGGATAGGGCTCTGGTCTGCAATGGTGGTGTAGTATGCCTCCAGATTGGCTTCTCCGAGTCCGTAGTATCCAGGTGGAATCACCAGAACGCTGTCAGCTCCCGCAGAAGCGGCGTCCTTGGCATATTGGACGGCCTTTCTGGTGGACAGTGCTCCTGCTCCTGCCATGATAGGCATGGACGCAAAGCCGGCCTCGTCCAGTGCTGCTCGTGCTGACTTGATCAGCTGAATCCTTTCCTCTCTAGCTAGATGGATGGCTTCACCCATGGACCCCGAAACAACAGGCATGACGCCTGCGGCAGCAAGACGCAGCGTATGTTTTGCAAACTGGTCGTAGTTGATCGTCTCGTCGGCGTTGAAGAAGCACGGCAAGGGCGCAAGGATTCCAGGACGAAGCGACGGCATTGGCCACACGGCTGGCAGAGACGCTATATATATGTCGGCGGATGTCGGCGGTGGCCGATATAAATATCTTATCTACACGCAGAAAACTGCGTCAATGCAAAATTCACTTGACTACGGTCCTCGCGATCTCATTGGCTATGGCGAGACCGCGCCAGACCCACGCTGGCCCAACGGGACCAAGATCGCACTTTCGTTTGTGCTGAACTACGAAGAAGGCAGCGAGGTGTGTCCCGAGAACGGCGACGCAGTCACCGAGGTGCTGGCGACGGAGCTGGGGCCCGGCGTGCAACCGTCTGTGGGCGGCGTCCGCGACGTGAATATCGAGTCTCTGTACGAGTACGGCAGCCGCTGCGGAGTGTGGCGAGTGCTCAGACTTTTTGAAGAGCATGACACGAAGCTGACTATTTTTGCTGTTGGACAGGCACTGGAGAAAAATCCCCAGGCTGGAAAGGCGTTTGTACGCGGCGGCCACGAAGTCGCGTCGCACGGCTGGAGATGGGTCGACCGTTCTGGATGGACTGCGGCCGAGGAAAAGGAGTACGTCAAGCGGTGCGTCCGCGCAATCGAGAAAGCTACCGGGCGGCCACCACGGGGCTGGTATTACGGGATGATCCACAGCAAGGCGGCCGAGAGATCGCGCAGCATACTGGCGCAGACGTTTGCGGAGTTAGGGCTGCCACTGCTTTGGTACGGCGACGCGTACAATGACGACCTGCCGTACTGGGTGCCGTATCCTGGCGGCCCCAAGCAAAACGGGCTTTTGATTATTCCCTACACCATGGACACAAACGACTACAAAAACGCTGGCTACCAGGCGTATATTACCGGAAACCAATTTTTTGAGTACCTGCGCGACTCTTTTGACGAACTCTACCGCGAGGGAGAGCGCGGCAGTCCCAAAATGCTGAGCATTGGCCTGCATGCCCGGATTATGGGCCGTCCAGGAAGAATCGCTGGGCTGCGCAGATTTTTAGAATATATAAAGGGCAAGCAGGTGTGGGTGGCCACGCGCGAGGAAATTGCTCTTCATTGGAGCAAGCAGTTTCCCTACGCGTAATCACCGCACTGACGAGCCAGAAACAAATTGAGATCAAATCCTTCATCGAGAGGAATCGGGAAGACGTCCTCGACGTAGTTTTTCGAGTCGTCCAGCAGTTCCAGCGAATCGTAGACCTGGTGGACCAGGGCAGCTATATGTGCAGCAGGATGAGTCGGGTCAAGGTCAAAAATGGTGAGCCCCAGCTGGAGAAGGTTGGAGAGCGGCGAACCGGGGGCCGGAGGACTGGTCTGGTTCTGCGTCGGCAGGCAACAGAAAAAAGTCTCGTCCACTGCTCCTCGAGCATACAGAATGCACAGCAAGATAAATGCAAACGCGTGCGTCATCCAGTACGAGTCGATTGCGCAGCGGAAGCGAGAAAGAAACGCGTGGCTCACTTTTGGGTCTTCCCATCCGGGAGTTTCGAGAAATAAGCCAAACATATCCAGAGCAGCCTCGACGCTGCGTTTCAGGGCCGCCAGCACAGCGCGCTCCTCCGTTTCCGGGACCGGCGTTCCCGCACATAGTCCAGCAAGGGGCCCACTGTTCAGACTCAGACGATACCAGCGCATGGAGGTGAACGGTATCTCAGATACGCTGAGCTGCGCGTTGGGATAGTTTGTCCACTCGGCTGCCCATTCGTCCAGAAAGAAGTTCACGTATTTTAGGTCGGTTGCGTGCTTGAGAGCGAGGGTCAGCTCACAGAGCCCCAGAAGCTTGTGGTCATTGGTTTCCGCGTTCACTGTCGAGCAGAATTTTCTGGCAAGGGCCACGAGCGGCACGGGGTCGATTGTCGTGGGCAGCTGCGTGGAAAGATGAGTTTGGTAGTCGAGCGAGACAAGATTGAGCATAATCCGTAAAATTCGCACGTCTTCGAGCGAGCCTGTAAATCTTGTCTGCAGGCGGCCCTCAAGATCCATGAACTTGACCCATCGGATTGTGAGTCCAATTACATTCCACACAGAAACCTCGTTGTATCTACTGGCGCTATGGCTCGCTCTCAGAGGCATCCAATGGGCGTAGAGCTGTAAAGACTCGAGCTGCTCCAGCGTGATGCGGTCTGTGCGTCCCAGAACCACCCGGGATAGCGAAAAGTCCAGCAAGGCGGCCAGATCGTGTATATTTTGGCCCGGCTGAGAAAGGCTCCGTGCTCCCACACAGCAGACGGTGAGAAAGAGAAGCGTTGACCGCTGGCGTAGCTCGGCTGCGTCTGAGTGGATACTTCTGGTAAGAAGCGGTGCCATGCTGTGCATCTGTTCGAAATACAAATCAACCAGGTGTTGAGCGTCTTGCAACGACAAAATGCCCAGCGACACAGGGTCGCAGCACCAATGATCTGTGCGGTAGAGCTGGTGTAGTAGTGGAAGAGGCGACCGTACCGAGGATGCTGTGCTGTTATTTTCTGCCATGCCGTTGCCGGCCATGGAGTATGCACTTTGCACCGTTGACATGGGTGCTCCGCGAAGTGAAATGGTCTGGATCGCGACGGGCGGACGGTGTAGGGTAGGTGAAGGCTCGGCAGCCGGTGGATCCGAGATGCCGCCTAGGAGATCAATTTTCTGTTCGATCGTTCCCAAGGACGAGAGCACGGTGCTCATCAGGTGGACGACTTCAGAGGCTCCGGGAATTTGTTCCTCTCCGTAGGAGCACAGCTTGTCGCTCTTGGAGCACCTAAAACACGGCTGCAACCCGTCGCAACGCTGCTTTCGCAAATGGCAGGCATCGCAAGCCCGCCGGACTCCTCTTCGCTTCATGATAAGAAATGAAAAAATGTCGTGTACTGTTCTCCGAAAGATAACAGATACAAACAAATCTGTAGCGGGAAGAACCCAGTGGACTGAATATTGATCGAATTACAGGTTATATTAAAAATGTTCCGTCAAGTAGCTAGTTAGCATAGTCTCGGTTCTACTGTATGACTTGTTGGCGGAGGTTTTAATTTGGGATGCAAATTGGGCGAGGCCCAAATTTTAGAGTTTTACCAAGCACGATCTTGCTTGATTCTGGGTAGTCATTGAGCAAAGAGTGGGATTCGAAGAAAATTAGGAGGGGACCTCTAAAGGAATGCAGGCATTGCCCATCCCAGATTTAGCGGTCAATGGCCTATTGTGAAAACACTCAGCACCACGCGTGATTGCTACGTCAATCAATATAGCTCATTGAGTTCGATTTCACCTTTAAATTGTAGCACCCCATCGAAAACTACGAAGGGTGACGGAATCGGCCAGAAAGATTATGGATGAAAAGATCAGCTCACTCATCGCTATACACGTGACCCTTCAACGTCAATAGTCTGCCTCCGTCCATCCTTATGTTTCGACCGTCAAGATAAGCACCACCCCTAGAACACATGAATATGATTAGAGCTACCATCTCTTCTGGAAGACCTGCTCTCCTTGCCGGAACTTGGCCAACATACTTGATATTTGATGTCGGATCGTCCGCTGCCATAGGAGTCATTCTGCTCTCATAGAGTCCTGGAGATACAGCGTTGACCCTAATATACTTATCTGCAAACTCGGCAGCCATGATCCTCACCATGTGGTCAATGGAAGCTTTCGACAGTTGATAGGCTGGAACGAACTGGTTATTATGCACAGATGCGGGAGATGAAAAGCAAATCACACACCCTCTTCCACCGCCTTTCTGTGCTGCCTCGCCTAGCTTTTTGGCTAGCCCAGCAGTCAAAAAGTACATTCCAAACACATTCACATCAAAAGTGTCGCGGAAGTCATTCCACCCGATGGAGCAAGTGGCCTCCTGGAGCTTCTCGAGGGATTCACCTGGTGAAAACGTGACTGGATTCTGTCTTCTGATTCCTGCACAGTTTATAAGAATATCCACGTTCTCGTAGTTCTCATTGATGAGACGCACCAGATTTTTATTCGAGACCTCGTCGCCGATGTCATAACACAAGGATGTGAATTTGCTGGACGAGCCTGTCTCCTCACTCACCTTTTCACACTTGCGAATGGTCTCGTCCAAGCGCTCTTGAATAAGATCAACCGCGGCAACGTCAACGTTGTTGGCTACCAATCCCTGGCAGATCATTTGGCCCAATCCCGATCCGCCTCCCGTCACGATGGCTTGTCTGCCTGCTATCTCGTAGAGCTGTGGAATAGTGAACTGTGACATCTTCTATGTGACAAATTATTTGTATGCTCGGAAATGCCGAGTCTGATAATTTAGAAATGTCTCGGTGTCTCTACGTAGATTTATTAACTCATGCGTTCGTCTCTTTATACCATCTATCAGATAGGCCACTAACCAATAGTGCTAGCTTTTCCAAATGCACGAACTAGCAAACAAAAACCTTTTGCCAATGTATCCGACTCAGATCGAGGTAGTGTCGCAAATATAATCAGTAAATCTCTTGAGAATTTATCGCTTATCTAATTGCATTTTGTGAATCCAGAACTAGCGAGTCTTACGACCTGCAAAAAAGTTCATTGGCTCTTCTCGTCTGCCCTTTGCTGGATCGTAATGCTTTCTTGCAGTGTGTGCAAAAAGAGAAAAAAGAAATGCGATTTTAACCTGCCAAGTTGCAAAAACTGCGAGTCTATGGGAACCATCTGTCGATACTACGACGAAGGACTAGGAACATCGGTATCCAGAAGATATCTTAAAGGCTTGGACGATAAGATAAGGGAGTTGAAACACGAAATAGCCAAATATGAAAACAAAATACAACGAAAGAATCTGGCACACTCAAGCACCAGCAGCCAGCAAGAAACCGAGGAGCTGCCCAGCACCTCTGTAAGCTCAGGATGTTTTATAGAAGGAGGCAAGGATTCTCACTATTTTGGGCCGAGCTCTGTGGTCTCAATGGTTCATTCGGTGTCAAAGGTGCTGAAGCTAAATGCTGAAACAAGTAAATTTGGTTCTATTGACAATTATACAGCATTTCCAAAGATTAAGGTCCCGTTTGACTTCTCAGTAATTGGCAATGACCAGTCCAGACTGCTCATTGAGAACTATCTGAGCAATATTTATCCTGTTTTCCCGCTGCTTCCAGAGAGCTTCTTTCATTTTGAAGTCATGGTAAGGAACTATCCTTCTTTCGAGCAGCTGTTTGTGCTGCTTATATTTCTCATCTCTGCAACCAACCTAATGCGGAAACGAGTGGATTTTGCATCCATCAAGATAATGCTTCAACAAAAAGTGGCGGAGCTCATGAAGGACAAATTGACGGATTCTGATGGTGACACTCTTCTGGCTCTAGTGTATTATGCTGTCTATGAAATGTTGGATCCTGAATCAGGCTCACCGGTATGGAAGACGCTTTCTTTGGCTTGTGGTTTAGCGGAAAAACTGAGATTTTCAAACACTGGGAACCAAGGTCCGATACCCGGAAGGGTGTGTAAACAAGTTCCTCGGATTAGGTTACTGAAAGTGCTCTATGAGCTTGAAACCAGTGTTTCGCTATGTTTGGGCAGACCGCCTTCAATTTATTTTTCGAAAAATCAGATTGCTCGTCTTGAAATCGATGACGGTAACAATAGGATGGTCTTTGTCGAGCTCACAAACAGAATTGATCTGTTTCGAACTATCTATGGAAAGCTCCCTGGGTGCCCTGTTTGCCGGGCCGAAACACTATTTATGCAGCAGCTGGAGACTAAATCCACCCACTGGCTTACTGCTTGCTCACTGCTCACTCATAGCTGTCCTTGGTGCGATAAGTCTAGCTTTCATTTGAATGTTTTGCAATCCTGTATTGAGTGCATCAAAGATGCAAGCCTAAAGCTCCAAAAGAGTGCTCCATTATGTTTTTGGATAGAAATATCCAACATCACGCTTTCTCTACTGAGTTTGATGGTCATTAGCAAGCGTCATCATGAATTGCTAGAAGATTCTTTTTTTCAGGGCAAAATCATTGATGCCATCAGTATGGGAAAGCAGCTTCTTGTTAGATACTCAACCTTCTGGCCAGACTCTCAAGCGCTGCTCTCGTTCACAGATATTGCATTGAAAAACATGAGCGTCTGTTAGATGTGTGGTTTAAATGAGAAAACGGCAGCTGGATCTGCCACCTAAACTAGACCCAATCTTGTAAGCCGACGTACTCCTCCAGGTTCAATAGACCATCAACATTGAAACTGTCAGTCCAGCTTGATTGCTTGTTGACCGAGAGCATACCAGGCATAGAATCAGAGCTTAAAACGTTACTGGGTTTAGTTCCACGAAGATGCAAACTTGCTTCAGGAACTAGGACATCATTTTGGGGAAACATTAATTGCTCGATTTGGGCTGACACTTCAGTATCCCTTTCAAGACTTTCGAAGCCTGACCTTTTCTTTGCAATTGCAAATAGTAGTCTCGAAGCTTTGGAATATATGTCCGTCAAGGTCTGAATCATCTTTCCACGGGTTATATCTGGCCATCGCTCACTAAATCGAAGAAGCAAATCAAGGCATCCTTTAAACTTGGAATCGAGAAAATCAGGCGTAAAAAAGTCTAGTATCCAGTCACTTTGCGTCCATATAACATCTGCTAGATTCACAGCTGCTTCCTCAATATAGTGAACTCCCATTAAAAGATAGAACACCTGACCGCTCCTGGAATCTCTCAAGTATTCATCTATCAGCAAAACAAGCGAGTTCACTAGTTTGACGTATGACGGACGAGATGGGTTGGTAATCCGAGGAGTACGTCTGCGTAGACGAGTCTGAAGGGATGCCTTGCAAATAAGCCTGAACCGTAATTGATTGAGTTTGGCAAATTCTTCTGCTTTCAGATACCATTTTTCGACCTTGCTCTCCATTTCATCCAGCCACTCTTCTGCGTCGGTGTTCAGCTCCTTATTGAGCCAAAGAACTTCGTGTACTTCTGTCTCATAAAGTCTGAATTGAGAAAAATGAAGGGCCGCAGCTTTTGTTTGCGGACCAGAGAGATCGATTCCTCTTTCTGTGATAAAAGAATCATCCACCGTAGCCGGTTTCTCCACTGTAATAAGACTATCTGGTATTGGAAATGCGATACGCAGCACTGAGCTCAGATGTCGCGCCATGGAGCTTGTGACCAGAAAAAGCCTGCGGCGAAGATCTATGTCTATCATCGTGCTTGTTTCCATTTCCACCTCCTTATGCAGTCCAAGATCAAGACAGAGTCTAAGGCATTCTCTGATGGTGTACCAAATATCAGCTGCGTATGGGTTTGCAAAGGCATAATGAGCGATGAGTAAGGTTATCTGAAGCTTTTTCAATTTATTCCCCCAGACTGTATGCGTGAGCTGCATGATGGCTTGGGAAAACAGAACGCTGGAAGATGATAAACTTTTCTTTTCTCCTTTGTGTGTCAGGGTAGCTGCTGAAATTGCCAGAGCAATTGAGATAGCTGCATAATCATACGAATCAGCTGAGTCTCGGGACTCGAAAACCCTGGCCTCTATTTCTTTGAGTTCTAATTTGGACAAGATAGGGTACTGAGGCTGATGATAGCTGGTATAATTTTGCATCAAAATCTGTACCACATCGGTAGGAATACTGTATAGATCGACCGGCGGATGCTCCTCAACGAAACGTTTCATGTTCCCTCTCTCCGAGTTATCCAACATCGAGTCGAAGGGAGCAGGTAAGCTGCTTGACCGAAAGTAAAGGAACGGGAAGTTGATAACACCTCTGTCGTATTCAGAAGACTCAAAAGCATCAATGAACGGTGTTGCTGCGTACCTGGCAAATGTCAAAGCCTGTTCTTCTGATTTGTCCAAAATTCTATCCACAGATAACTCTGCCAGTTTGATTTCCAGCTCGGCAACCCTATTTTCAAGATACAGAGCCAAACTCCGTGGAACCGGTTTATTAAGTCCTTTGACCCAGGCAAGGCATTCGTGACCCTCTTCTTCACAGTTGGTGCAAGTCGGGAATTCGTATCGGCATTTCAGTCTCTTGGTCTTACACCTATAGCATCGGGTGGAGCTTCTTGCGTGACCATCATTAAAAGCCTTGCGTAGTTCTGCTGGGTCGGCAATTTCATCCATGTGTGGTTTCTATATATGATTTTCAATACACTCTTGCAACGCTGGCAACGATTATACATGCAAATAGATAATTAATTATCCTGTTTTTTTAATTTACATATTTGGATAGTACCTAATAACACTTATTTATCAAGGACTGTGACTAAAGGGATTGGCTACAAACTTTACAACTCCAGATTATTTCAGTTTAGTAGCGAAATTAGCACTTTTCGATTGCTAGGTTTTGCCAATGAGATTAGCCAGAGTTAAGGTTCAACTACAAGAATTGTCATTCAAACAAGCTGAAAATGGGTCCAGATTTCAGATTTCGACAGCAGTATCTAGAAAATATTCCTGTAGCTGAGCACATATTGCTCAAACGTCCTTCTTGAACTTCCCAGCTGCTGCCTGCTCAGTATTGTTCATCAATTATAAACAACTCTCACATTCTCCAGCATCATCGTTTTCATATGAGTATGACAACTGCTCAGCACAAGCCTCTTTGGATTTTCTAAAACACCTCTCCATTGTATGGAGATTCCTTGGTCTCAAATATATACCAAACTCCTTAGGCCAGTACGTTTGTGCTGAGCGGTCTGCTGCATATCCAATATAGTCATTTACTGGTGGACGTGAAGCATCTTCCTCAATTTCAAAAAGCAGGCAGCTTCGTGTCAGAATGACATACAGAATTCTAATTGAAAGATTGACTGCCGTGCATGCCCTTGAACCAGCACCAAATGTGAAATGGAATGGCGAACGGTTGACGTCGGATTCATAGAGAAATCTTTCGGGAACAAACTCATCCACTGTGTCTCCAAAATGTTCTCTGTCGTGATTTGCGGCTTGCGCATTTAAGATTACCGTTGCACCCTCAGGAATGGTAGCCCCGTTCCACTCAAAAGACTTCGCTGTTTTTCTAGCCGGTATCAGAGGAATGACCGCGTACATTCTCAGGAGCTCGCGGATGAAGGACACTGCAAATTCACTCTTTTGTTCAAGTACCACCTGTTGCCATGCCACATCCACGGAGCCATAGTGCTTAACGCAATCGGAGTAGATTTTTGATTGCCACTTCCTTCCTTTTTCTGTGGCTAGCTGTGCAAATATTAGAGCTCCTGTTGAACCAAGAGTCTCGAACCCACCAGAGACCAAGCCAACACATATGCATTTAATATCATCTAGATCCAATCTTCCTTTCCCACTAGACTTAGCAAAGTCTCCTACAATACTCACACGGTCGTTTCTGTGATTGAGAGCTTGCTGCGTAAGCTTTTGGAGCCACTCGTCTCTGATCCTGCTACACTCAACAGCAAGCTTGCTTCTGGGATTTTCGGGCAAAAGCCTCATGATCGGGACATAATCTTGCAAATTTTTGTTTGTAGAACGGAAAGAGGATATAGTCTTCACAATTTCTAAAATCTCCTCCAAAAGTTTGGTCTTAATGTTGTCAAATCTCGTGGCATAGCAGAGCATAGTGGTGAAATTGAGAGCAAGCCTCTGGGTGTAAGTGTAAGGATAGGCTGAGCTACCATTCAACGTATCTTGATACAGATCACGTAGTAACGAGTACGATTCCACGTCGTACAAGCTTGCTCTCTCTTGAATCGCGGGTGTAGTCATATATCTTTGCACATTAAGTCGTCTTTTTTTGCACGTGGCATTCCATGGTGAGGTTCCTATTGTTAGCCCCTGTGATGTCGACACCAACTTGTGAAAGGTATAGAACACAGGTCTATCAATAAGACATGTCTGGTTTTTCAGAAACCAGTCTATTGCTGCTGAATATGAGTTGATGAAAATGATTCTCTGGTTTCCGAATAGACACTGAAACACAGGCATCTTATATCTAAGAGAGAGCTTCTGTAGGTGTGTGGGATGATCGTTCGCTAGCTGCCTCAAATTTCCAAAAAGTAGGCCTGGGTTTGGAAGATATGGAAGCCCATATATAAAGCTGGTCGTTGGCTTAATAGTGTATAGGTAAAGCCACAGCACCACACACAAAGTTACAACCGAACTCAGCAGCAACGCATTGTTCCATAGAAAAGCGAGATCTGGCATAGAGGAAAATTTCTAGCGTGCAGAACTTTATTGCCAGATCTAAAGGCTAGCTTTATCTGCTCACGAAATTTACTCGAAGTCTTTCGGGAAATGCTAGTTATTTACTGCAACGATAAGCCTCATCAGGTTGTCTGCTGACCGAAACAAAGCGCTCTCCAGACGCGAAAAATTTAAAAAAGCTCAAATCTATGCTGATACAGAGTATTTGCCAAACCCGGAATTTCCCCTCAGACCAAGAAAATAATTTACAGCTCAGATCGCGATGCGAGACTTGAAATAGTCGCAAATGATTACAGTTAATGAGAGGTCGTTCAAATGATCTGCAAACATCTTGCTAAATTTCTGGTAAGCTTTCGCCATTGGAGTGCCATTGCCACCTATCAAGACAAACGATTAGTCTGGTGGAGGACCAGTGGAAGGATGTCTATTCAGTTTTACATAAATCTATTTCCCCGATAAGAAAGTGTTTCCTTTTTGGGAAAGCCGCCGAACCAGCTTACTGATAAGAAAGCTCTGATTTCAGGATGAGGTGAATAATTTGAAGAACAAGGTTTCATCCTAATGACAGAACTCTAGTTTAATATACAACTATGGATAGAACCGGGGTGCATACCAGCACCTCGCGTATGAGCATCAACCCTATCTAGTCTGGTAATACTAATAAGTCGCTTTTTACTGACAATTCATCGAAGGGAGGTGACTGATCGTTGCCCGCTTTGTTTTCATTATCTTCGCTCAAATTTTGGTCTTCTACTTGTGACACCACACAATATAAAATACAGTTAAAATTTTGTGTGTATTTGTCTTTAATTGTAGAGATCTGTTTCAAATTTTCACACCGGTGACAATGTCTACTTCAAAACCTTTTCCAGTATCAGATCCGACAGACTCGTTTTGGCATTCCGAGAGCGATAGCTTTATTTACACTCGCACAACTAGTGACCTACCTACCGAAACTGATGTGCTCATTGTTGGTGCAGGATATGCTGGGGCGGCGTCGGCATACTGGCTTTATAAACAAAGCCAAACGTGCTCTTTGGACGTCTTGATGCTAGAAGCTAGAACAGTGTGTTCAGGAGCAACCGGAAGAAATGGAGGACATCTGAAACCCGACTACTACCGCGAGTATCTCAAGTTTGAGAGATTTTATGGGCAGAAGGGTGCAGCAGAAATTGGAAACTTTGAGCACGAGCATATATCCGCAATCAAGAACGTGGTCGAGGATCTCAACATTGATTGTGATCTAGTTCTCACGAGAGCATGTAATGTTCACCTTACTGAGGGTGCAGTGGATGGAAGCATTAAAGCAATAGATGCTCTGAAAAAAAATCCGTATTCCACTATACTGGACGACATTCAGGTCCTGGAAGAGAACAATGCAAGAGTGGTCTCCCAATTTCCAACATCATCACTCGCAGTAACATTTACTGCAGGACATTTATGGCCCTACAAGTTTGTGAAGGGTTTGCTTCAATTTTGTGTAGAAAAAGGCCTCAACCTGCAAACAAATACTTGTGTTGAAAACATAGAGACTCTTGAGGATGGCTTTCATTTGATAAGAACGGCAAGAGGCAGCGTCAAGGCAAGAAAAATTATACTGGCAACAAATGCCTACACATCAGCTATAGCTCCGGAATTTGACGACAGAATTGTCCCCGTGAAGGGCACATGCTCTCACATCAAGTTCGCCGCAGACAATGAGTACACTCCGTATCTAAACTATACTTACGGCATTTGTCGAGACTTTTCTGAGCACGAATACTTGATCAATAGGCCTGATGGCTCCATCGTTGTTGGTGGAGCCAAACCATTCTATCTCAAAGACAAGGATTCCTGGTATAATAATGTCGATGATGCCAGTCTTTTCAAAGCAGATATAAAAGGATGGTACAACACATTCATGCAGAATAACTTTAGCAGCTGGAAGGGAACTAAGACGGAAGTGGACTATTTATGGACCGGGATTCTAGGTTACTCTGTTGATGCTCTTCCATGGGTTGGAGAAGTACCAAATCAGAAAAATAAATTTGTTCTAGCAGGCTTCCATGGACATGGCATGCCACGGGTATTTTTGTCTGCTAAAGCAATATCGGAAATGATCTTAAGGGGGGTGGCAGTGGGGAGCACAGACTTGCCGCAGCCATTTATGCTGACTGAGGATCGCTTGAAAAGGGCTAGAAACAACATTTTAGAGGAAACGGGATATTACACGTATCAGAAGCTCTAACTTATGTATAGATTCTTTCCTTACATCACAATACTATTCTAATTGTCTCAGAATGTCGAACTCAGCAAATTGCAATCTGCCCGCTAAAAAATCGGTTTCCCAAATTAGCCCAGATCGAGCAAATGCCGATAAGCTTTATGAAACTTTCGGAAACTTTGAACCTAGTGTTTTTGACGACTTTTCTGCTACAGGTTTTCAACCATTGGCATTGATATAATACAGACTATTCCACCGAACGTCAGCTCTCAATCGGAAGTGAAAGACATTGGGTCCAGAAATTTTGCCTTTAAACTTATTGATATCGAGAATTACCATGCCAGACATTGTTTTTGATATAATAGGTACTTGCATTGGGTACGACGTAATGCTAAATGCCATTGAAAACAGACTGAGTAAGAGACTTCTTCAGTTTAATATCAACACAGATCTTTTCTTTGATGCTTGGGGAACGGCGTGCGAAAGAGACTTCTCTTACCTCTCTCAAATCGGAGAGTATCAGCCTACAAAGAAAATCCTTAAGGCTACGTTTTTCAGAACTCTATATCACGCAGGTATTCAAGATCCAAAAAGCTTTGCTACAGAGGAAGATCTAGAGTACCTCTGCGCTGAATGGCTAAAGCTCAAGGCTCGACCAGAGTTGCCAGCAATGTGGAAGCTGTTGAGAAACAATGGTTTTACTATATGGTGTCTTACAGATGGAGACAAGGAAAGAGTCAAGGGCTACTTCAAGAACTCCTTAATTGAGATGCCGGAGGAGAACATCGTATCATGCGATAGTTTGAAGATTGGAAAACCAGCACCCGAGGTTTACAAGTACATGCTTGAGAAAATTCCTGGTAGAGGAAAAGACGCGTGGTTTGCTGCAGCGCATATGTGGGACTGTTGCGCCGCAAAAAAGGCTGGATTCCATACAGCGTGGACTGACGTGTATGAGAAGTATCCTTGTGAGGAAATATTTGGTGAACCTGACATTATCGCTGGTGGTCTTATGGATATGGCCGAGAAGATTGTGCAAAATTACCAGAACCTTTAGGACTCCGTGTAGATAATATGATTCACATGATTTTGACTTTTCTGAGCTTTCCGAGTCGTAAAATAATGTATTGATTCTATATCGTGACTCACGATTGAGTCCGCTAAAAAACACTCTTCCCCAGATTTGCGCCCGCAGAATAATAGATACGCGATAGCTCTCGAAAACTTTGAATAAATATCCGATGCGATCCTATCTTTTATCGCGAAAAAAGCTGCATTATCAAAATCAGATACGAAAAAAATCATATAAATTTCCAGTCTCGATGGCTCAATAACAATCAAATGTCTGAATCCAAGGTGAGATCAACAGAAGTGGTTGACGAGGTTACCAGCGTCGAGGACTTTGAGCCTCTAGTTCAAACAATTAGAAAGCTAGAGGAGTCTGTCGAGGATGTTGGTTACAAGAGGCAAATTACAGGTCGTCAAGTCCTCATGATCACTTTTGGTGCTGGTATCGGTACTGGATTCTGGGTCGGTATGGGGTCAGCCTTGAGGCAAGGTGGTCCATTTGGTATAGTTTTTGCTTATACGATCAACGCATACATTGTCTATGTCATGTTTATTCAAACAGGAGAAATGACGGCCTATCAGCCTATTCACGGTGGCTTTATCAACCAGGCTGACATGTATCTTGACAAAGCAATTTGTTTTGCTCAAGGAATCAATTTTGCTTTTAACTGGATGGTCGTTTTGGCAGCAGAGCTTACTGCCGGTATCAGCATTCTACGCTACTGGGACACGAATGGCAGAGTGACGACTGCCGAGTACATTGCTATATTTGCTGCGATTTACATTGCTGGAAACGTTTGGCCAATTAGAGCATATGGGTACATTGAGTACGTCCAATCGTTCATCAAGATCGTTGCCATGGCAGGTATCACTCTCTTTATGTTCATCGGAACCTGTGGAGGATTGCCAAACACTGGACCGATTGGTTATAAGTTTTGGAAGAACCCAGGCTGGATAAGAAACGGAATACAAGGGATAGTGCTTGCCTTTTCACAGTCTGGGTTTTCTTTTGGTGGAGGTGAGCATATTGCTATCGTTGCAGGTGAGGTGAAAAATCCAAGAACGTTTATTCCCAGATGCACCCAGCCGATATTTTGGAGGCTTTGTGTGTTTTTCATCGGCAACGCCTGGCTGATTACAATGAACGTGCCATACGATGACGAAACACTTAACAACGCCAGTGGCTCCCTTGCCTCTCCATACATCATTGCTATGAAAAGGGGCGGAGTGAAGATCCTCCCTGATATTTTAAATGCACTCATTCTGCTGTCTGTTATCTCGTGTGGCAACTCTTCCGTGTACATCGGATCCAGATCCCTTGTTGCTTGTGCGGACCTGAAGGTTATTCACCCTGTATTTGGCAAAAAAGACTCCAAGGGCAGGCCCGTGCTATCTTTGCTTACCGTGTTCGTGATTGGTCTTGCCCTGGCATTCCTGAACTGCTCAAAAACGGGGGAGCAGGTGTACAACTGGTTCAATTCGCTGTGTGCCTTGAATGGGTACTTCACCTGGCTCTGTATATACTGGTCACATTATCGCTTCAGAGCTGGTCTCAAAGCGCAGGGCATCAATTACAAGACGCTGCCTCTTTACGACAGATTCTTCCCATGGACTACGTACACCGCCACATTCATTATTTTTGTGCTCTTTATAGGCCAGTTCTACATTGGGTTGTATCCGCTTGGAGGAAGCACGATGTCGGCTGCTGCTAGAGCTGAGAACTTTTTTTTGACCTACCTCTGTGTTCCTCTGTTTGGTCTCTGCTGGCTGTATTACAAACTTAGATACAAAACCAAACTGGTAAGACCAGAAGATATGAATTTCAGCTACGCGAAAAAATGGGACGAGATCGAAGAGCTGCGAGCTACCGAGAAGAAACAGACATCCAAAATTGGAGTGTTTATTGAAAAATACTTGGCGTGAACGGTGTATGACTTAACTAACTACTTGCTTTCCATTTCTCTTGTACACGCGGCCATCCTTCATTACAAAGGATACATGCCGCAGGGCCGTGGTGTCCTGACGAGGGTCTTTGTCGAGAGCTACCATATCTGCGGCGGTGCCCTCTGCCAGCCAGCCAAACCTTCTCCCGCAGAAGTCGCTGCCGCAGGCCAGCCAGCCGTGGTAGGTCAGGGACCTCAAGGTGTCTTCGAGCGAGATTCCTGCTTCCAAAAAAAGCTCTGCCTCTCTCACGTTTTCTCCGTGGTTGAATGTCCCTGTGTCGCCTCCACACGCTTGACGCAAGCCCATTTTCCAGGCTTTGTGTGTCTTGACAAGCATTTCTGCGAATCGAGAGCCGTATAGCCGTTCGGCAATGGCCAGAGTCGGCACGAGAATGCATCCATTTTCCTTGAGTGTCGCAAGAGTGTCTGTGTTACACCAGAAGCCGTGCTCAATTGTGTGTGCACCGGCTCTTGCGGCCATCGCCGCTGCCCTGTTGGTTGTGCAGTGTGCTGCAACGGGACAATCCGCGTTTCGCGCCTCTTCGCAAATGACGTTCATCTCCTTCTGCGTGTAGAGCACCACATCGGGGTTGGGATTCTCTGGCGGAAACATCACCGACGAGACGTATGGGTGCTGCACTGCCGGCGGATAGCGCATGATACGCTTGCGATAGTCGGCAAAGAACTTAATCACGTCGCAGCCCAGCCCAATACGCCGTCTCACGGCTTTTCTAATTTCGTCCTCGCCGTCGCACTCTTCACTGGCAACCGGCAACCTAGTGCCACCAATTGTGTTCTCCGTGTGCGTCTTGACGCCAGCAACCGACGCTAGCACTTTTGTGGCGACGAAAAGCCGTGGACCCACGGCAATGCCTCTGTTGATAGCATCTCTAAAACTTGCGTCCGCCTCCTGCGTCCCCTCTGACCCCAGGTCTCTGTAAGTAGTGTACCCGGCCATGAGCGCTGCTCTGCAGTGGTTGGTGGCCCGGATGATCCGCTCCACAAAGCTCTCATCACGCTTCTGCTTTGCATTGTCGGCCTCGTCGTACGAGTGAAGAAAAATATGGGTGTGTGCGTCCACAAAGCCGGGCATGACGATCTTGCCTCTGAGGTCAATATCTGTGACAGAAACGGGCAGATCGCTCTCTCGGTGTAGGACTTGAGTTATCAAACCTGTGGCTGGGTCCACTTCAAAAGAGACGTCCGTTAAGAACTGGCCAGTGAGGGAATCAAACACCGTAGACGTGTGAACGTAGAAAGGATCTTCTGGTAAGCTACTCGCAGCTCTTGGCGGCTCTGTGCAACAGGTACATGACATGCCGAAATCTATTTACCTTGGTATATTTATATTGTCCCATTTGCGACATCCGACGCATGTTTATCGCTAAACGATCTCGTCAAAAGTATGCCACGAAGCAGTGACGTACCGTTTTGGCAATGCCTTTCCTATTCTGGAAATCTCGTCCATGTCTGCTCCCGACAGCTCTAGAATGTTCAAGTTCTGATCGAGGCGCTCTGGAGATGACGAGCGCGGGATGACCGGCCATCCCTTTGCGACACCCCAGCTCAGCAGACACTGTGCAACGGTAGCATTATTCTTTTCAGCAATTGCCCTGAGGTTGGGATTGTGAAGCAGCGCAGATCCTGTTGAGCCCAGGGGACTGTAGGCGACGAGCTGTATTCCTTTCTGTAAACAGTAGTTGTGCAGATCTTCCTGGTTGCACGAAGGATGTAGCTCAACCTGATTGACCAGTGGTAGCACGCCTGTCACGCTGATCGCTTCGAGCTCTTTAATGCCGAAGTTGGCGACGCCCAGCCGCTTGACCTCCGGCCGTCGCTTTTGGATCTCGATCATTGCTTGCCATGTCTTCACGTAGTTCCAGTCTTTTTCAAAATCCACAGTGCCATCAGGCAACGTGGGGCACTTGGGATGGTTGCCGCGATGGTTCAACGGCGAGGGCCAGTGCATCAGCCATAGGTCTAGGGTGTCTGTTTTTAGCGCAGCAAGCGTCCTGTCTAGACACTCCTCAGCAGCAGAGTGCCAAGTGTTTGCAAGCTTGTCCACGATAAACAGGTCCTCGCGTGCCACGCCGGACAGCTCGATCGTTTTCGCAACTAAGGCCTGGTTGCCATACGAGAACGCGCAGTCCAACATGCGATAGCCGTTTTTGAGTGCGTGTACAATAGCTTTCTGGCCTCTGTCCCCCTCCAGCTGCCACGTTCCAAGCCCGACAGCGGGGATCGTGCCACCGTCTGCCAAAGTAAATTCCCTTGGCATGAAAAATAGCTGAAAAATAGACTAAAAAGAATTATCTTAAGTTACTTTTACAGTATAGGATCGTCTACAGATTCTAGGTCACGCACACACTGAGCAAAAATCTTGACGCCCTCAGCAAGAAGATCCTCCTCAATAGTTGGCGGCGGACAGATTCGCATGCGGTTGCCGCCAGAAGCGCTGTTGACCATCAGCCCTCTCTTGGCACACAGATGTCTCAGCCGTGGACCGTTGAACCGCGGAGTCACATACTCCGCGTTCAGGATCACAGCACACAACATTCCTGCTCCGCTGAAGCCAGAAATTTGGGCCACGTTTTCTGCTTCGAGCAGTTCCCGCAGCAGCTTTCCCTTCTCTTTGGACTGCTCTGCAATCCGTTCTTCCACTAGCACCTCTAATGCAGCAACTGCTGCCGCTGTGGCTGGCGGGTTTGCGGCCATTGTCGACCCGATGTCGCCGACCTCGATGATATCCATCACGTCCGCGTTGCCACACACAGCAGAGAGCGGTGCCACGCCGCCTGCCAAAGCCTTGCCGAGACATACGAGGTCGGGCTTCACCCCAGAACGCCAACTGTGCAAGATTTCGCCTGTTCTTCCCAGTCCAGTTTGCACCTCGTCGGCAATGAAAAGCACATTGTACTGCTTGCACACATCGTACGCCTGTTTCAGGTACCCCTCTGGTGGATCAATGATTCCGGCAGAACCCTGAATTGGTTCCACCATGAACGCCGCAATGGTCTCGTGGTCTTTTTCCAATGCCTTCTTGAGACTCTCTATGTCCCCGTACTCGACGAGTACACCAGATGGCGAGACTGGGCCAACACCGGGCACGTACGGACCAAACAGGTCTTCGGGAGCGGACGACAGCGAGTGAGTCGATATAGTAATCCCATGGTAGCATGCAGACGCCGTCAGTACCACGGCCTTGCCAGCAGGAATCCCCTTGACCTTGTAACCCCACTTACGGGCAATTTTTGTGGCCGCGTCTGTGCTGTCGGCTCCGGTACACATGCACACGATACTATCGTAACCAAGGATTTCTTTGATCTTGGATGCAAGCTTTGCGTAACTCGGGTTGACAAATGCCGTGTTGGCCATCGGACATTCTCGAGTTGCTGTGCACGCGGCTTCCACGATCTTGGGGTGTGCGTGGCCCATGTTGGCGACGGCAAAGAACGAGAGAAAGTCAATGTATCTGTTTCCATCCACGTCCCATAAGGTGGCATTGCGAGACTTTGTGAGCGCAATTGGAAGAGGCGTGAAACCGCCTTTGCAGCGTTCGTACTCTTCCAGTACCGCACGGGTCTTTTCTGTGAAGTGAGCTTCAGGCATGATTATTTGGAAACTCTAATTTCGTTTTTTGTTCTTGTGTTTGCGACAATTTTGGGGAATGTGCCGGAAAAGTATAAACGCGACTCTAATGCCCAAATATGCGACAGAGTACGTACATTCTACTAGAGGAGCAGATTAATTTATGGCTGGCCAAGGTGTGATGTGGCCAAGACGATTAGGCTACACGAGAAGCCTTCGTATCAGACGTCATTGGTCCATCTTACAGAGCCCCGTACAGAGGTCTGGGATGAAATAAAATGGGGTAGATTTCACGATAATTGGGAAAATTCTATCGCAAAAAATACGCGCATATAAATCACCCTTATCGAGGAATAGGCGATAAAGATTTTATAAAATAGGAAAAGATCTGGGTAAGATGCTGGACTGCTGAGATTTATCGAATCAATAAAAAATTCAAAAGTTCTCATCTCTACTCATGTTAGCACCATCATCGGATTCCAGCCAGGTTGATAGGGAGCAGAACTCTCTGGCATCCTACGTTTAAGGCCGGCTCGCACCATGGATAATGCTAATAGTAGTTACGCTAGCGGCTATTTGTTTTTGTCTCAGCTTATCAGGTTCGCAGATTTTTTCCCATTTTAATCTCAAAACAATAGATAAAAAATAAGGGGCCAATATCCTAAGCGGCATTTGAAATGGTCGCCTTTTTTCGAGTCTAATAAGAATGAAAGTTTTTATTTTTGTCCCGGACACTTCTCGAGGTCTACAATGATAGAAAAGCAGCCGGTCATTACAATTGTCGATTCAGACTCCTCTTCAGTCCCGTCTGTGCAGGATGGACTCAAGAAGAACCTAAAGCCAAGACACATCAATTTTATAGCTCTAGGAGGATCTCTTGGTGTTGGATTGCTTATTGGTAGTGGAGGAGCGCTTGCAATTGCTGGACCTGTAGGTATGCTCATCTCATATGCTCTGATGGGCGTGATCACAATGTGCACAATATTTTCTCTGGCCGAGATGTGTGCATATCTGGGGAGCGAGGGAAACTTCATTGAAATCATGGCTAGATTCATTGATAACTCCACCGCGTTCGCATTCACATGGTCCAATGCTCTTAGTTTTAGTCTCACGCTCCCGTCCGAGATCTCGTCAATATGCCTGCTGATTGGGTTCTGGGACAGCGATAAGAAGCTACCGGATTGGGCGACCGTCCTCATATTCACGTTTATCATCATTATGGTTAACATAGTGGATGTTGGAGCGTATGGGGAAGTTGAGTTCTGGGTCACTATGATAAAGCTGATTCTGTTTGTGGGCAGCATTCTCTTTTGCTTGATTGCTACATGTGGAGGCAATCCTTTGCACAAAACCACAGGGTTCCAGTACTGGAGGGACCCTGGTCCATTCGTCAGTTACCTCACAGATAAGCCTGTAGGAAAGTTTCTGGGAATGTGGAGAGTTCTGGTGAACGCTGGTTTCGGTTACCAAGGAAGTGAGACAATTGGACTAGCAAGTGGAGAAGTTGCCAACTTTAGAAAACTGGCACCGACTGTGATGAAATCGGTTGCGATTCGTGTGCTGACCTTCAACGTGCTATCGCTTTTCATGGTGTCGCTAATGGTTTCTTCCAACGACCCCAACCTTTTGAGCGCCATCAGTGCTGGCGCCGGTAACGGTGCACAGTCCCCATTTGTGATTGCAGTCGAAAATGCTGGTGTCAAGGTTCTTCCATCAATTGTCAATGGTGGCATCTTAATTGCTGCATTCTCTGCTGCCAACACCCAAATTTACATTCCTTCCAGAACCTATTTTTACGGAACCAAGTACGGTTTCTGTCCCAAGTGGCTGATCAAGACTAATAGAAACGGCGTTCCATATTACTCGGTTCTTTTCAACGGTGCGTTTGGACTTCTTGCACTTCTCACGTTGAACAATACTGCCGCACAAGTCTTCAATTGGCTCATGAATCTTGTCACTGAGTTTGGATTTATTTGTTGGGCTTTGATCAACTACGCCTTTCTAAGGTATTACTACGGGCTAAAAAGACAAGGAATTGACAGAAGTTCAATTCCGATATACAAGTCCCCACTACAGCCTTACTCAGCTATATTTGCATGTTTCATGCTTGTTCTGGTTGCCATTACCCAGGGGTTCACTGCTTTCATACCATGGGATACACAAAACTTCTTTGCGGCTTACATTTCTTTGATTCTTTATTTTGTTTTCTGGCTCGGATATAAACTGTGGACCCGTGACTTTAGGGAGATTCCACTTGACAAGATTGACCTTTCATATCCTGAAGATGAAGAAGATCTAGAGTATGACAACAAAGCTGCAAAAGTCATGGATAAGATTTTTTGTTGATGACTCTAAGTGCTAAACAAGTACGAGAGGGACATATTCTACTGGGCGCCGGTCCCAGGACACACCGATTATGAGTTCTACAAGGGGGAGACTAAATAGCTGAGAGATAGAGTAGATAGGAATATTAGGAGGGCAAGGTAAGAACTACACCGACCCCTGCCCGGTATAAGGTAAAAAATATAAGGTAAGCATAATATTTTTAAACATGGCTGAGACACGAAAATATAGAAGTCGTAAGAGCCGGCCATGTGATTTCTGTCGGCGGCGACGCATGGCGTGTCTGAGAAAAGAGAAGGCAGACAAGTGCGAGGGGTGTTGTCTTCGCAACCAGTCATGCACGTACACTATGGGCCCTATCAAGAAGAAGCGTCCAGACAGCTGGAAGGTGGAGACGGCCAACCCTTGCATTTTTCGACTCGAGCGACGACCAGACGTTGCTCCTGCCGAGAACAACGCATTGGAGCTCCATAATGGCAAGACTAGCTTGTTTGTGGGATTCAGTGGAGACCGGGATCCGTGGCTGTTGAGAAGGATCGGGGAGGCAGCAGGGGCAGATTCAGGGACAACATATTTGCTGAAGAATACTAGCACGCAGACGCCGATTGTGTTTGCTATGCACCCCACCGAGTATCTCGAGCCGCGCCCGGGGTGCTACGAGGTAGATGCCGTGAGGGAGGCGGCCAAGCCGGTAGAAGACAGCTTGTTGGAGACATATTTCTCCGTGGTGAACTCCTCGTATCCCATCATGAACCGGTCAGTTTTCTATGAGGAACTGCGCAACGGGACAATCTCTGCGACTCTTCTTGCTTCGATGTACGTGGTGGCGTATCCGTTTCTCCCCGACAAATCTGTGGTTGAGAAGAAGGCCGCAGACTGGTTCAAACTCTCAGACTTCACTGCGCGCGCTCTCCCGCTGGAGCAGGGAGCGTCGACCATGCAGACCGTCCAGGCAACCCTTCTGAAGCTGCATGAGCGCCCGATGATCATTCGAGACGCCAACTTCCCGCGCCATTGGGTACAGACAGCGTCTCTCGTTGCGTCTGCACAGGAACTGGGACTGCACATTGACCCCGTCGGCTGGGACATCCCATGGCGAGAAATCGCTATGCGACGCAGGCTCTGGTGGCTGATATACGTGCACGACAAGTGGGAGAGCCTGGGATTGTCGCGTCCTTCACACATTCACAGCGACGATTTCAGTGTCGGCGAGATCAGCGAAAGCGACTACGAGGACACGGTTCCGGGAGTACGGATGTTCCTTGTGATGGTGCGCCTGACCAAAGTACTTTCCGAGCTGCTAACGCGATTCTACACGGTCAAGGCTCTGCAGAGACCAGCTGAGGAGTCCATGGCGATCGGCGTCGAGCTCTTAAACAGGATAGATGCAATCGACACAATGTACTTTCCAGTCGCAAGCCCTGCCGGACCTATGGCTTCGTTGGTGCTCGCGAAGACAACGCTGGCACTGTCATGCTGTCGGTCAATCCTCTACACAGATACAGACGCGTGCTACGCGTCTCTGAGCTCACGGGCTCTAAACTACTGCAGCGAGTTCAACGTGTTTCTTACGGGCCTGCAGTTTGACGGCTTCTGGTGGTGCTACTCGCAGATGAACTTCTCAATTGTAGGTACCTGTATGGTTGCCTTCTACGTAATTGCACAATGCAAGGTTGACGGCGAGGCTTGGAAGAGCCAGGTCGAGTGCTACCGCAACAATCTGTCCGCGCTGGCCAAACAAACACACGTGACGCAGCTTGCCTTGATGCGTCTCGATGCGTTGTACGAAAGGATCCGCAAGCGGACAGGAGGCAATGTCCCGAAGAGAGTGGTGGCAACGGACGAAGACCTCTTTGGTGAGTGGTTAGCAAACAACGGATTCTAGCCCGCGGGTCATTTTGTTGGGTGTGCCACGACCAAAACATTGTTTCTCTCGCTGGGGTAGCATTGTTTTTTGCCCGCAGGAGGAAGAAAACAATATATAAGCCGGGGGAGTCTGGGGTAGTCGGCAATGACTACCACAACTATCACAACACTCAGACTGGAGAGCCGGTTCAAGGAACTCAAGCGCGAAATTATCAAGCCAGAAAACCGCGAGGCTGTCCAGGCTTCCTGGGAAAGACTACTGAAAGCTCTGGACAGGAAGGCGGATGAGATCAGCCGTGCAGGCTCATCCTACATCCCAGAGGTCAACTGGCGGGATATTGAGAACGGTGGTTTTACTGAGGAGATGTCTTCTCTGATCCACGCGCGCGGCTGCTTGATTATCCGCGACGTGATCGACGATGAGCAGTGCAACCAGTGGAGAGAGGATACCAAGAAGTACATCAAGAGCCATCCTGGTATCACCGGGACTCCACGCGCTGGTGTCACCAGCAATTGGTTTATTCATTGGTCGAAGGCACAAGTGGAGGCAAGAAGCCACCCTCGCATGGTTCAGCTTATGAAAACTGTTGGTAAGTTGTACAAAAACAACGACCCCGACGCTCTTCTGGACATGGACTCGCAAGTTGTGTATGCTGACCGTTTGAGAATCCGATACCCCGGGCGTGACAGCACGCTCCCACTGCATTTGGACTCGAGCTCTATCGAACGGTGGGAGGACGAGCAGTACAGAGACGTGTATCGGGAGATTTTCGAAGGCCGCTGGGAAGACTGGGATCCAAGCCTCATTGACAGACGTCCTTCTGCCAAACAGGATCTGTACCAAGGTATGAGTAGCAACGGGTCTACGTGCAGTGTGTTCCGCTCGTTTCAGGGCTGGTTGGCTCTTTCTGACGCCAAGCCTGGCGAGGGAACCATCTGGTTTTTGCCGGACCTGAAATGTGTTTTGGCGTACATTTTGCTGAGACCCTTCTTTGACGATGGGGGCAACTTGGACTTGAGCTCTGCACAGTTCCCCGGCGCAACGCCTGGCTCTGGTCAGTTCATGGCATACGATAGGGCCATGTTTCCTCATTTGCAGCATAACAAGAGCGTGGTTGGCATTCCTTACGTCAAGCCGGGCGACTTTGTCTTGTGGCATGCAGATCTTTTGCACGAAGTGGACGAGGAGCACAAAGGCGACAAGGAGTCGTCTGTCGTCTATATTGCACACACCCCGCTGTGTCCTTACAACATCGAGACTTTGAAGGACTCGAGGGAGTGCTTCGACTCAGGAGCAAAGCCACGAGACTTTAGGTACGAATATGATGATGGTCCTGACGAGTCGTCGTATGAGGACCGGGGACGCGAGGAGCATTTGCTGTCGCTGGAGGGCAAACAAGCGCTGGGTCTGGTTCCGTTCGACGTGAATGAGGAAGGTCTGACCCCAGGTCAAATCGCCGTCCGCAAAATGGCAAACGAGGCAATGCAAAGATAGGCGGGTCAGGGTAGGATTTTAAGATGGAGCAAAGATCGACGCATTTTTTGCAGCTCTTCCGTTGGATTATCGTGACATCGATGTGCTAGTGAACAAAGCTGGGAAGGCGTTGGGAGCTGAGAACGCTGGAAGTATTAGGGATGAGGACGTGGAGAAGATGTTTGCGACGAATGTTGTCGGGCTGATCCGCGCCGCGCTGGCCATCCTGGGCCCGCTGCGCACGGCGCTGCTCGACCTCACGCTCGGGTCGGCCATCAGCCCGTTCCTGTTCGTGCTGCCC